GTTATAAAATAACAGTCATGTATCAGATTCAAAACACTCTCATCAAACTGATTGATACAATGCATTGCAACATTGACAAGATATGCGATCGTGTGTCTAATTATTTTGTGATTCAAGAGTGTCAATATTCAATCACTTACAATTCTGATTGTGGTGGAATGATTGACTCTACATGTTGAACCCTTTCCATTGTCCTGGTGTTTGGAATGACGATTGGTCATCATGTGTTGTTGTTTAATCCAGACTATTGGCTGGTTATTACTTTGAACATGTCAGAATTGACAGATGTTACACTGGTAGCATCTACTTTTGCCTGTAAAAATACAAATCACTTGTTGCGGAACATGTTTGGATCTTGGCAGCTATGTCTGTTGTTGAATGGAGTGAATGCATTCATGCATCTGTCTTGCTATCTTCAGTATTTCCAAGTTTAGCATCAATTCAGTTTTGTGCAAACCCATCAATATACACAAATGGAGTTGTGTATGCAATGCAATGCAAGAATATTTATAATGACGACTGGATTCCTATGTTTTGAAACAATTTCTATTTGCAATTACGAATCATGATGATAAAATTGATCATTGAGCTCATATTCAAGGTTTCGTGTTTGGTGTTGGTTGCATATGGCTAATCAAAGTTATTTTTGATTTTGAAAATCCAATCTGTATATCAATTTCATCTTGAAACTTTATTGAAGGTTATTTCCAACTGAATCCAAAAAACTCCAAACACTCTTGCCAATCTCATCAAAAAACTGAGGCGAGTTTTGACTATTGATGATTTCCATACCTTGAACATCAACAGGGTTCTTTTCAGCAGTATGAATAACCAGAGTCTGTTGCAATGAGTAGCCTGATTCGTGTAGTTTCGACAAAGTGCTAAGAAGGTAAGTTCGTTCTTCTTCAAACCCTTCCGACACTCCACCGCCATTACGTTTGCAATAAAAGCGTTCAGGATCTGTAGTATTGTAAGCGTTTGCAGCTTCTTGTTTTGACATTCTCTCGACAAATTTGACTTGTACAATGTATACAGTATTTGTATTGGCACACTTGTAGATGATATCTGGTCCACACATATGATCGGGAAAGCATACTTGACTTGAATCACCAAATAGTAAATAGCTGGATGCAGAATCTCGGGATGCCTTGATACTATTGGCAGCATCAGGACCAGAATGGTTGGCTACTAAAGCAAACGCAACCAAGTATTCCGCCAAATAGCCAACCATTTGAGGGTTAGGGTTAAGAGACGAGCCAATTCTTTGGTATAAACTTTTGACAGTGTGTGCAAAGGGCAAAAAGTAGCAAAGACACTCGATTACGGCCAACTCTTGAATTTCAATGGAAGATATAGTTCCATTGACAGTCTGACCAAATCCCAAACCGTAACGTATTGCAGTAGCACCGTCATTTCCAGTTACATTAAGGTACATTTTTCCCTTCCAGATGGCATCAATAAATGCGTCGCAAATGGGTCCTGACAGGTTATCACCAGCAATGACTTTGTCAAATGAACGAATGCCTTCATCAAGGTCATTTTTCAAGAATCTAAGCGGGAAAATCTGGCCATCAACATTAGATATCCCAGTGATAAATTTGCCAATCGCAGCGTCAATATCATTTGATTTCATATATGTGCCCAGAATATACGATATAAAACATGGTCTTCCATGACATAATTCAAAGGCTGAAATTCTTGATACAATAGCATCCAGTTGATTGACTTGATGGTCTTGTAAAAATTGTCTAACATACTGTTCGACCTCGAGCTTTGTCAGAGAATGGAAATCTGATACAACTACACAATCTGTGATTTGATCATCCTTCATAGCACTAAACTCCACTAGCTCTTTGATGAGTTCAAAGTCAATACTGGTGGCAGACAGTAGGAAATGAGGAAATATTCCCATCATTTTGGAATGGTATACCAATGGAGTGAAAAAGGGACGAAAGTTTCTACTTTCTGGTTGAAAATGAAAACGACGACCTCCTGCAAGATTTCGAACTCCATCAATGGCAATAAAAGGAAACGGGTTTGTAATGGCAGTTGGAGAAAGTCCAGGCTCTTTTACAAGGGTCGTAAAAAGACACTCAAACAAGTCAAGCCCAAAGAATGCGATAGGATGGAGTTGAGCCAGAAGAATTTGCCAAGGTTCCTTGAATCCCTTGCTTATCAAGTAGTTGCAAACAGAAACCCGAACGAAACACAACAGTTGGATAGCATGTTGAGTGAGTTCAGGCTGATAGTTATTGTCGCAATACACCAGGCATTCATACATGTCAGTAGAACCAAAGTCATCTTGAGAGCTCTTGCAAGCAAAGTAGTACCCAAAGTTTGAATAAAGCAACTCTAGAAACATCCTTGTTTTTCCTGCACCAGAAACAGCAAAAAACAGTTTGATATTATCGACATTGTCAATTTGATAATTGGTTACTCTCCTATCAAGACGGTGTTCCCAGCAATTGTCGTTAAATACGGCGTTATTTGGTAGCCTTGATACATCGACAATATTTTCCAGATGATGTATCAAATACTTGAAAGCGTCATTTGGTTTTCGCAATTTCAAATTATTGGCGTCGATGAATTCTTGGTCACTTTTACTTTGTACAAAGTATCTTTGATAGGGACGGTCAACATTCACATCATTCTTGGATTTAATAGTCAGTGGATTGTTGTAACAACCAAAAGGATGTTGAATAGAGGTTAGAAACCCATATCGAGAAATGGCTGGACCATACTCCTCAAAATGAAGAGTGAGTTCGTCAACAGGAATAGCGTCAAGGAGGAGAGTGGCAGCAGTCTTGTAAGCTGAAATCAAATGAGAAACAGTAATCAGAGGTAGAGTTCCTTGTGTTCCTCTTCCGTTGTCTGTATCGATAAGCACTGGAGAGTTGTTCTTGTATTGAAGATAAAATTTGGTCATTTTTGAGTTTGTTGAAAGAAAAGAAAAGAAAAAAAGAACAAAACGTGAATTTGTCTCACATTCAAAATTTGATATTGTGAGACAAATTCACACACTTTGAAGTGTTTAAACATTTGTCATGTGTTCAATATAATGACTCGAGTCTTTTATTCAACATTTTAATATTCAATTATTGTTAATCAGTCAATTGTTGGGTTGGTAAATGTGTTACAAAACATGCATTTATATTTGCATGCTGAATCTGACAAGTGGATAATCATTGTTCCAATCAACACATGGATTGGATTGACTGCAATATTATCATTGATTGCAGTCACTGTTGACCAATACATTGTAATACATTGACAGTTTTGACATCAACATTGTCATTCATGTCAAGTTGTGTGTAGTTGCTAATATTACACCACAACAATACTGTGTCAACTTTCGAGTCCTGTGATACACCGTTTCAACCATGACCGGATCGATGTTGACCATTTGTCAATACACGGGTCAGTTGTATAATCGTACAACTGTTGGTTAACCAATGTTTGACTGTCAATATTTGAATCATGAATATTGTCCAACATAATCGTCACTAACATTGTCGTTGTCGTTTGATTGCCTTGTTCTATGAATAATCATTGCAATGTCATTTGTTCAGTTGTTGTTGGTTTATTGAAACCATGTCACAATTCTTGATATATTGCACATGATCTTGTAATTGTTGGTGTTGTCTGTAGTAATTCTGTCAATGTATACAAATGTCACTTGTTGCTAATTGGTAGTTGTTTATGATTGATACACAACCGATCAGGTTTGGTGACCATTCTATGCACATATATATTTAACATTATATTGGACTGTTATGTTGTTTGATCCAATAGTAGTATATGTCAGTCATACTATAATACTACATGTTTGTTGCAATATTCATACAACCTATATCCAAAACTGCACAAACACTGTCATTCAAGATTGATGAGTATACAATCACAAATGAATCCAACGCATTTTTGCTGTATATAGTTGTATCGACTGTCGTGTTTGTTGGCTTGACTGTTGACTTGACTAGATCTGATATTACACGGGCTATTCAACAATTGTATTGAATTCCGGTTACTACTAAGTCATTTGAGTCGTTCAAGTAGTCAAGTTGCTTGGTTTGCAATGTGTTGTGTCCAGGAATCACTTGCAACCAAATCATCACCAAACCACAGGTTAACAACACCAAATGGTATATGACTGGTTATATTAACACATTGCAAACACTCGACGAATTAGCCATGAATCAGGTTCAATCATCAACCGCCGACGTTGGCAATAATTTGTCCTGCGGTAAACTATTCATCCATTCCAATATCCACTTTTTGTTATTTCCTCCTAATTCAGTGAACATGCTTGGTGAGCTAACATCTTTTTTGTAATCCAGCCCTTGTTTAGAGCAAAAATCTGCGACATTGACGCCTGGAAAGACAGACATCAATCATAGCACTTGTTACCATTCGCCCCAGAGCGCACTGGACACCCTTCAAAATCAGCGAATTCGATGTCAAGAATTACCATGAGATTATCAACAGCAGTAATGGCAGCATCCATATCAATGCCTTGTTGTTGGTTAAGCTCAGATATACATGTATTTTTGGATTTCAACAAGCTATTTTCATTGATCTCTTTTTCGCTTTCTATGTATTTTTTGATGGTCATTGGTTTGAGCAAAGGGTTCAAAATCTTGAGTTTAAACTGTTTCGTGTCTGACTCGTATAAGAATCAGATGTGTGAATTGTCGAATGCAAATTCGAACGGTTTGAACATCAGTAGACCGTTGCGTGGATTATCGATGTCATCAAAATCAAGATGGTCTTGACAAGATGCAGCCCAGCACGATTTGAATAGATGCCCTGCAATAACTACGGTTGAAGGCAGGGAGTATTTGAAATCATGCATTTGACATGCGAAACTTTTTCTTCAATGCCGTAATAGTACTTCAGCAGGCTATTTTTGAATACGGAGCTTCTTGAGACTTTGGTTTTCATGTCACTCGATTCATTGAAACTCACTACCGAAATCTGCAGGTCGCTATTACAAAAAATAGCAGATCGCTGGAGCCTCTTGTCCAGGACTTTGTTAAAAAGTTCTACTACACAAATGACATGAGAACCAAAGTCTCGAGAAGCTCCGTATTCAAAAATAGCCTGCTGAAGTACTATTACGGCATTGAAGAAAAAGTTTCGCATGTCAAATGCATGATTTCAAATACTCCCTGCCTTCAACCGTAGTTATTGCAGGGCATCTATTCAAATCGTGCTGGGCTGCATCTTGTCAAGACCATCTTGATTTTGATGACATCGATAATCCACGCAACGGTCTACTGATGTTCAAACCGTTCGAATTTGCATTCGACAATTCACACATCTGATTCTTATACGAGTCAGACACGAAACAGTTTAAACTCAAGATTTTGAACCCTTTGCTCAAACCAATGACCATCAAAAAATACATAGAAAGCGAAAAAGAGATCAATGAAAATAGCTTGTTGAAATCCAAAAATACATGTATATCTGAGCTTAACCAACAACAAGCCATTGATATGGATGCTGCCATTACTGCTGTTGATAATCTCATGGTAATTCTTGACATCGAATTCGCTGATTTTGAAGGGTGTCCAGTGCGCTCTGGAGAGAATGGTAACAAGTGCTATGATTGATGTCTGTCTTTCCAGGCGTCAATGTCGCAGATTTTTGCTCTAAACAAGGGCTGGATTACAAAAAAGATGTTAGCTCACCAAGCATGTTCACTGAATTAGGAGGAAATAACAAAAAGTGGATATTGGAATGGATGAATAGTTTACCGCAGGACAAATTATTGCCAACGTCGGCGGTTGATGATTGAACCTGATTCATGGTTAATTCGTCGAGTGTTTGCAATGTGTTAATATAACCAGTCATATACCATTTGGTGTTGTTAACCTGTGGTTTGGTGATGATTTGGTTGCAAGTGATTCCTGGACACAACACATTGCAAACCAAGCAACTTGACTACTTGAACGACTCAAATGACTTAGTAGTAACCGGAATTCAATACAATTGTTGAATAGCCCGTGTAATATCAGATCTAGTCAAGTCAACAGTCAAGCCAACAAACACGACAGTCGATACAACTATATACAGCAAAAATGCGTTGGATTCATTTGTGATTGTATACTCATCAATCTTGAATGACAGTGTTTGTGCAGTTTTGGATATAGGTTGTATGGATATTGCAACAAACATGTAGTATTATAGTATGACTGACATATACTACTATTGGATCAAACAACATAACAGTCCAATATAATGTTAAATATATATGTGCATAGAATGGTCACCAAACCTGATCGGTTGTGTATCAATCATAAACAACTACCAATTAGCAACAAGTGACATTTGTATACATTGACAGAATCACTACAGACAACACCAACAATTACAAGATCATGTGCAATATATCAAGAATTGTGACATGGTTTCAATAAACCAACAACAACTGAACAAATGACATTACAATGATTATTCATAGAACAAGGCAATCAAACGACAATGTTAGTGACGATTATGTTGGACAATATTCATGATTCAAATATTGACAGTCAAACATTGGTTAACCAACAGTTGTACGATTATACAACTGACCCGTGTATTGACAAATGGTCAACATCGATCCGGTCATGGTTGAAACGGTGTATCACAGGAATCAAAAGTTGACACAGTATTGTTGTGGTGTAATATTAGCAACTACACACAACTTGACACGAATTACAATGTTGATGTTGAGACTGTCAATGTATTACAATGTATTGGTCAACAGTAACTGCAATCAATGACAATATTGCAGTCAATCCAATCCATGTGTTGATTGGAACAATGATTATCCACTTGTCAGATTCAGTATGTAAATGAATGGTTTGTAGCGTATTTACCAATCCAACAATCAAACTCAATCTGAACATTGAATATTAAAATGTAATCAATTGTCGAGTTGAATTGACACTCGATTGGACAATACAAATGAACACAAAAATGTCTAAACAATATTCAAAGTGTGAATTTGTTTCATATTCTTCACATGATATCGAGTTTTGGATTTAAAGTCCAATTTTTTTTCTTTTTTTCTTCACTTCACTTCACTTCATTCTATTCCATTTTCTTTTGCTCTTTCTTCTACTCTATTCCTTTCTATTTAAACAAACTCTAATGGAAAATAAAGTATTCTACATTCAATACCTCCACAGCCAACCAGTGAAAATCGAAACCCACTTCAATGGAGAACTAGAGAGAAAAAGACCGCTTGACAATGTCTCAAAACTGATTGCAGCTTACAAGACTGTCACCACTACCCTCCTTGGTGCTATTCCTGTCAACGAGCTCACTCTCCATTATGTGGTGGATGGTCCAGCCATTGCTGTGGATGTGCTCCTGACCTCCATTCAAAATTCTTTTGGTTCTTACGACCATCCACTGATAATCAAATCAAAAGGTGATTCTGGCCAAAGTCTTGTCAATCATCTTACAGTAAGACTCGATAAATTTTTATCAAACACTTTGGCAAATATTGAAAAAAATCTTTCAGAGTCATCTACTACTGAAATCAAAAGAAACTATCCTAAAACACCTTCGCATGTTGGACGGTGGGAAAGCTTTTCAACAGATGCAAAAGCATATGAATATCCTGCTACTCATGTTGGGAGTGATGTTGTTTTGCCTGTTACAAGGAGAGTTGCATTCACACTGGAAAGAGATGTCAGCAGGGCTGTTGGAAACCATTTGGATAACTTCAACAGAATATTTCAAGACCAAGGAAAGACGCACAGATTCCAAACCAAACCCACTGCTATCCCTTTAAACTCTGGAACACCAACTCAAACAGAAAAGTCTATCAAGTTTATTGGAGTTCCAGATAACGTTCTCACTCTTGGTTCCAAAGTGTTGTCATTTATTGAAGAAAAGACTCCAAATGATTTGCCGGCTCGTCATTTTGCAAGCGGAAACCCATTTGATTTGCTGGAGATGTATAAAGAAGATATACAATACCAACAAAGCAAAATAACCCGTGAGGACATTGGACGTATGGATGTGTGCACAGTGATTGATCAAGTTTACGGATATCTCTCATTGAACAATCTGATCTATGGGTGTGTAACTTGTTATGATGTTACATATTTTCTTTGGCGACCCAAGAGAAGCACTCTTCTTATCAGCCATCCCATTTTCAATAATTCTCATTCGCCTAGTCTTCTTCAAGCACTATATTACTTTGTTCAGCTTGCTTTACGAGACTATAAAAAACAAACGCTAGATCCCAATCCAAAGGACTCTGATATGCCTGTGGAACTTAACGCCAGCAATGAAATGGATACTGATGAACATAATGCGGATGAACAATCAGAATCAGGCAGTAACTATTCAACCGCAGGCCAGGGAAAAGAAACAAATTATAGTTTGGACAAGAGCAAAGGAACAAAATATAACCTTAATCTCGATTCTCTTCATTACGGTACCGTGGTTGGATCTGGAGCAACTGGTCAAGTCATTCGACTCAAGGACAGCAACATTGTTGTGAAGCAATGTGATTCTTATAACAATCCTGAAGGATTCAAAATGCTGAAGAACGAAATATCAATTTACGAAAAGCTTTCCCCACTCAATCTAAAGTATATTCCTCGTTATTATGGACAGTGCGAATATTATGGGCAACATTTCATTGCGTTGGACTATATTCCCGGAAACCATTGTGATTGGAGAGCAAACAGTGAATTGAAGAAAAAGTTGAATCGTGTTATTCGAGACTTGAAATCGGTTGGCGTGGTTCATCAGGACTTGAGACCAGAAAATGTGCTTTTAACTCATGATGGGGATATCAAATTGATTGATTTTGGTAAAGCAGAGATTAAATAAAAAGTTGGGTTTCATGTAACTAATTGGTTATTTTTATTGTCATTTGTAACATTGAATTTCTTAATATTATTCAAATTCGTTTTGGTACGAATTAAGCACAGAAGGCTCCTAATAATTTACACTTTGAACTAATGTCTATTTATTTTTGCCAAAATGAGCAGATGATATGCCAGTTTCAAAACAGGAGCGACAAACTATCAAGTAGTTGGCAATGCCACGTTCATGCCAACACATTACTGTCACGCGGCGGATTAGGTCCTTGACTCCTTTGGCAACTAGGGACATTTGTAGTTGATACGTTTGATATGCTTGTAATATTGCTAATCCTAACAACATTTGGAAACAACAGCAGCCAGATCTGACAAAAATCCGAAAGCGCCAGCACAGAAAAAAGACCAAACCAGTTGGAGGGATCCGGGGGAAATAAACTCACGAAAACAAGTAGCAAGCAAGTTAGGGATGGAGCCAGATTGAGAAAGTTTATCAAGATTTTTGTTCGAGTTTGGACATGAGTAGTATGGATAGAGCACTGGATGATACCAGTTTTCTTGACTAATGATTACCACTAAATTTTGTCCAAAGTTGTCAAAAATAGAAAGTTATTGGACATAAGCAATTCAGGTCAAAAACCTTGGGGTATTATAATGGGAGTTTATTAGTTTGAAATATCAGGAGATCTGTGTCAGATCCATACTTGATGCTTTAAATGGAACATCTTATTTTTGATGAATGTATGCAGTGTTACCACGAGCGAACCCCTGTGATTTGTGAAAGCCAAAGTGGTAAAGAATACCAATAGTTTTCATGGGATTATGAACTTAATTTCAATTATTTCTTCATTACTTGTTGTATTAAACAGTAATGAATGAAACTGACTCGAAACTTTGATCTGAACATTAAATATTAAAATGTTGAATAAAAGACTCGAGTCATTATATTAAAATGTAATCAATTGTCGAGTTGAATTGACACTCGATTGAACAATACAAATGAACACAAAAATGTCTAAACACTATTCAAAGTGTGAATTTGTTTCACATTGTTCACATGATATCGAGTTTTGGATTTAAAGTCGAATTTTTTTTTCTTTTTTTTCTTCACTTCACTTCATTCCATTCTATTACATTTCCTTTTGCTCTTTCTTTTACTCAATTCCTTCAATTCTCTTCAGTAAACTCTAATGGAAAATAAAGCATTCTACATTCAATACCTCCACAACCAGCCAGTGAAAATCGAAACCCACTTCAATGGAGAATTGGAGAGAAGAAGGCCACTGACTGACGTTGGTGACCTGGTTGTTGCTTTCCAAGCACTTCCCAACTCTCCTCTTGCTTCTACCTTTGTTGACGAGCTCACTCTCCATTATGTGGTGAATGGGGTGGAGACCAACTACAACTCCTGGGACCCCATTTCTGCTCTCGGAACAAATGGGACTGTTGGCTCCAGTCCACTCATTATCAAGGCCAACAATAGTACCAGGCAAGGCGTCGCTAGTGCAGTATCAGGAGCGTCAATGAATGCGAATATCAGACTGGTTTCGGGAACATCTGAAGAAACTATAAATCCATCACTTTCAGAGTATTGCCATATTGCCGATTCTTTAAAAAACGACAACTGTGTCGTGCAAATCGTAGATGTTCTCCTTTCGATTACAGCTGGAGAATTTTCCGAGTCAAGCTTCAAAAATTTACCATTTGTATTTCTCAAGGGCTCGTCTGGTTCAGGAAAGAGTCAGATGGGCTTTAATATCAAAGCCAATATCGGTAGTGAGAGGAAAGTGCATTATTTCCTGTTCGATCCTCCCGGTCCAACATCACAAAGAATCTACCGCAACTTTCGAAACACTTCAAAGTTGTTCAGCAAGTGTTGTGTAGAAGATGAGCACATGTGCAGCACTGAGGATTTATCTCCAAGCTGTGGTTCGTTATTTCAAAAAAGTCTATACATGTATGGATTTATTTTTGAATTGCTATCCAACAGAATTCAACCACCCACAGTCAGTATTGGTCCAAAGACTGGCAAAGATGTTCAAGAGCTGATGACTTCCAAAGGAATCAATGAATGCAGACCAGTGTTTATTCTGGACGAGTGTATTGCTATTTCAGACCAGTCCTTAAAAAAAGTGCGATTTGTGCGAAATTGCTTCCGCTCATTGGGTCTGGGACTCGTTATGATGGGAACAGATTCCAGAGCAGCCAAACTGCAACCCACCACTGACAATGGCAGTCGAAGTGAGATTCCAAGACCGTGGTGCCATGTGTTTGGGGAATTTCCAGCAGTAAAACTAGAACTAACAGGATTGCCACAAACACTACCAAGATATCTCAAATCTATCATACTCAACTCAAGGCCACTTTTTGCGCAGTTTGTCGCAGAAGAAATCGCAAACAATGCTTCAGATTTTGACGAATTGATGAAAGCAGCGTTTATTAAACTGAAATCAGTCAAAAAGATATTTGGAAATCTTTACGGACAACTTGGACAGGTTCGGCTGCTTCATAACGCTCACTGTCAACTGACCGATTTGGAAAGCCAATCGACCAATCTGAAAAACCAATCGACTCCATTGATTCACTCACACTTTGCCCAGCTAGATGGAGAAAAAAACTTTATATTGATGAACAATGGATGTATTCAAAACCATTCTGCTTCTTGGAGACCGTCTTCGGTGTTTCCAGAGCTAAAGAGCGACATTTTGCTTTACCTGCTGTTGATGGGTGGAAAGGGATTTTCCGCCTGTTATACAGGGGATAACAAGCAGGTGCCATATGCACATTTTTTGATGAAAGCCAAGAGTAATCCGGATTATCGCAGCCATATTCTATACTTTTCGAATGCTGTACAGGATAGCAATGATGGAATGTTTCTCGAGTCTTTGCTATGTTCGACAGTCTGTTTGGCTTCACATTCTAATGGCGTCAAGGGAATTGGTCTAAAACCGTTTCTGTTGAATTTGGTATACCAGCTTCAGATTGATAAACCTGATTCCGAAGACGTCTCTATACTCGATCTGAACAGGCTCGATGGTATAACATTTACTGTACCTTTTCTTTCACCGCCAAACCAAAAGTGGCCCGATTTTGTTCAAATACCTGGTTCAAACTTTGATTGGTTATCAAGAACTCGAAACTCGGAAGGTATTGATTTGAAGACTTCCTGTGGACTTTTTGGAGAATCCAAAGATCACAAAGGTGTAATCAGCCTTGAAACAATGGTGAATATCATTGGTAGGATTCCTAAAGCAGCAAAGGTGGAACTAGTTTTTACACGAAAACTTCAAGATTCGTACTTTAATCCTCCAGCTCCATCGTTTGAAGTTCAATTCCAAAGAAGCCATGTTCTGAAAAAGGCTTACTACAAGATTGACGCTTCAAAGCCCAAGACTTTGCTTGAACCAATCGAGGGTCTTCCGTGCGACCAGCCTGATATGGATGGAGTTGTTATTTTCTTTGAGATCAATGGCAAGCTTATTATTTAATGAGCATTGATATTTCCTCCCAATAAATATATTTAGCAACTTGTACAAATCTATAATAACTCGATCGAATTGAGCAAGTTGTTTTTGGATAAATATCAGTAATGATTACACAATCATTTAACAATCTATCCAGTTTCAAGGATATTGTTACAATTATGGGCAAGATATACAACAATCCAATCGTGTTCATTGTGTTCATTGTGCTATCGAGTATGAATATTACACAAAACTATCCATCATTCAAACTACAGACTATCCACTGTTGCACCTCGAGACTTTTGTCCATAATGACCTATTTTTGGTAGATTGTTGTTTTTGACAAGCTTGGACAAATCTAATAGTAATTATTGGCCAACAAAACTGGTATCATTTGGTGCCTGTCTACACTGTTATAATTGACAGTTCTGGTGTTTCAAGTAGTGTATATTGAGAACATTGCATTATGGAACCACTGCAATGTACGACACAAAGTTGGATGATGTGCGCAATGACGTACATCATATCGGCTATAAATGGATCAATGCATACCTTTGTAATAAACAACCAGCTTTATTACTACACCTGTCGAGTCTCTAGTTTCACAATAGTCTTTGATTTCCAACATGAATACCGCTACATTCAAAATGCACAACACGCTTGCTATGGAACAAAAACAGCACTATTGTTCACGTTGCTACAAGTATATTGGGATCATCATTGAATCACATACTACTGGTAGCTGTAAATCGGACGACAAAAACACAAACAGTGATGTTGAACATGATGAGTAAACCTAGTTGTATTGGTTGCTGTTGCACAAAAACAGCTGTTTTTAACAGTACATTTTGAATATCGTAATGTTGATCAATCACAAATATATGAGTTTTGATGGGTCCATTAGATCAATTCAGTGTATAGTAGTGATTAGTGCAATATGATCAATTCAAGCATGCCATGTCGTGTCGTGTCATTGTATTGGTAATGAATGATGTTATTGAATGGATGAGATTGAATGCAAGATAAATAAGTAAACCATCATGCAATACACGCTGGATTGTAGCATATCCTACTCGAGACTGTTGATGGTCCACTTTGAGCTGCAACAATGTGTCGGGTCTGGTTCAAGAGTTTGTTGTTCAGCACCAGAATCTTGAGCAACTGTACCATGCTCAGATTGTGACAATCATCGAAATACAACATTGTAGAACGAACCGAATCAAACCACTGCATTACCAGTTGATCCGAGATGCATCATATGGTCAAGTTTTACCAGACTGAACAACATCCAAGTAGTGTTGCTTGAATCCAGTTTTGTAAAACTGATATTTCCAAACCATATTTGTAGCAACCCAAGTGTTTTTGATGTTCAATCTCAAGTCGAGCCTTGTGAATCGGACTGGATTATTGTTGCATTCAAATCGGGATTGGAATCAGGATCAGGTCGATAAAACAGTCAAATACACAATATCGACACAAACCATAGCAGGTTGTTGTTCACATCCACTGACACCAATCATGACAATATTGTGTAGTTGTCAGTCTGTCGACTGGCATTTTGATGCTGATTTGTATGTTGCCAGAATAGACTTTTGAATACAAAACATTAGGGATTGTGTCAATGTCTTTGATGTCAATGTTCATGATGGTTTGATCCAGATGAATGGTTTTGATTGAATGTTGGACACACAACAGTTGTGTTCATCATACAAGTGTATTGACTGGACAAGGTTCACAAGAGTGGTTTGTAAAGTGAGTTCATGTCCATTACAGTGTCTAGTGTTGATGATACAGAGTTTGACCAGGCATAATGTGTTGTATTTGATGAGTGGATCAGTTCCAGTGGTTTGATCTAGTCCAAGAACAGCAAGACAATACCATGAATTGCAAGTTATTTCCACTCCATCAACAACAAAGTGGAAAGTAAGAAGTTAATGGTCGACTGGAATACCAACAAGCCTTTTAGTTGTCTCAATGATGGTGGTTGCGACCAAGTCAACAACAGGCTGTTGTTCAGCAATAGAACCTGTTGGCTTGGTCGCAGATTACAAAACAGGATCACTTTTGGTCGATACACTAACTGAATATCCACTCTGATGGATCAAGTCGAGATCAACTACAACGCATGGGACTCGCTTGCTGCACTTGGAACAAATGGGACTGTTGGATCCAGTCCACTCATCATCAAATCCAAGAATGATGTTGGCTCAAACCCAACAATCACTGGTTCATACAATCCTTTCAAGAAAACTATCCAGATCAATGGTATCAATGTTTCTACAAATCATCTCAAAAGACCTGATCAACTTGACAAACTCACATACTTGGTTTGAGTATCGGTTTGTCATATTGACTTGTTCATCTGATTCTGCAAAACCTATATTCATTAATATGTATCAACATAGTCTCAAACAAATGTCATTTGGATTTGTTTCTTGGACAAGATTGCACGACACTTTTGTTGGGAATGCATTGATTGTTCCAAACAACAACGGATAGAATTGGAAAAAGTAAAACTGTTGTTTCTTGATGATGCTCAACAGTAATTACAAGACACAAGTTTATGGAGACTTTTAATCAAAGCATCGCTGAGTTGGTTGCCATTAAGCATGCGATTTATCATTGCATCAAACCATCTTTTTGTTGGAGGAATTTCAAGTCCTGTTGAACTCGGTAGTCTTTCAGGTCTTGAAAAGTGATTTTCTACTTATTCCAGCCAAACTCTGTGAATTCCATGAATTCCATGAATTTCTGGATTTACTCGTTATTGGATTGCCAAACAACATGAACAATGAGACCTTGAAACATGTTCTTGTAACGGAATGTGATGGTCTTGTTGGTGCGCTGTGTGTGTCGATTGATGATCTAAAAACACAATGTCTAAACAGCATTGAACCCACTCGAGCAGATCTACTACAATACTGTCTATCAAACAATTCCATGTTGGATATGACTCGTTGTTTTGGAAGCGACCATTCAGATCTGTTGGAAATGGTTTTAAACTGTTACTCAAGAAATGTCTGACAAAAATCATCGATTGGACAACTTGGAAACCCAGCAAAATATGGAATCTTATTCATCACTCAAAAGGCTGGAATATTGATGAAGTCGTTCGACCTTGAACTTGCTTTTACTTTGCTGTTGGTCAAAAAATACTATTCAAATGGACATTCACAAACTGCTTTCCATCACAACATTTGTCTCTTCAAAAACTCATACGCAATGTTGTCTCATCAATATCGACCAATGTATTGGAATCTGTTTCGTCATGCGGTTTTCCAAATGAAACAACTTCACAGCACATGTTTATGGAGATATTGGTTTACTTGACTAAACCAGACTGTTCAATCTAACCAAAACTATCAAAAGTATTTCCCAACAACTCGAATGTGACGGACACTATTGCTGGTGGAATTGATTCTTATTTGGACAATGGACTAGCAACCAATCAACACATTGACAGATTTGTCATTCCAAATGGAAACAACGACAATCCAGTTGTAATCCATATTGAGCCTTGAATTCAAACAGTCGTGAATCAAATCATTAATAAACTACAAAAACAGTCCAATATGCCAACTCGCATTTATCCACAACTCGATATGTGATGTTCAAATGTCTAATATTCAGACTGTGCTGATTGCAATTGTGGTTGTAATTGTGGTTGTGTGTAAATATCAATCCAATACTCGATTCAATACTTGATTCAACTTGAGCATGCACAGTTTTGTAGTAATCCATTTGATCACATTGACAGAATCAAGCAATGATCTGATTCAACAACACCGAATGATGCATCCATATCACTTGTATCAATCAATTGTACACAATCAGTCAATATAATCAACAATCATTGTCAAGATTGACATGATTGATTCGATACATTTAATTGCATAGATCTGACTGGCATTGCAACTTGTTGTTGTAAAATCACAACCTCACAATCAATCACCAATCACTATACGCCTGTTCATATCTGTATGTGTTGTATGCTGCTGTGATTCGAGTTCGGTCACTTGTCAATTCATCTCGATAGTGTTTGGCTTCAGCTGGTGATTGAACACCTTGAATATACTGCGTGGCATCATTCCACAGTTCAGGCAGTATGGGTGTCTTGTCAAGACTCGAGTTGTACCATTGTGGTTGTTGTGGAGCCACATGCGCAGTCGAAACAATCCGACATGCTGGATCCACTACAAAAAATGTCAGAACTTTGCAATGTCCTGGTTGAGTTGGATCTGCAAGTTCAAATGATTGTTCTTTGTGTTGGTATCGATTGGGATAAACTACACATCGACCATTTGATACTTCAAGCGATCCTATATACTGATTATGCGGTGATTCTAGATCAATGCCATACACATCTTTCCAATACATATCAGATGCTCCTTGATAAAAACGATCAACAGCCACACGGAAATCGAGTTTGGGTGTGGTGATATTTTCCACGTCGTAGTAATACAGTCCAGTTGCAACAATCGATTCGTTAATTGGACCTTCAATGTGCCAGTTTCCCTCGTCGTATTTAGGTTTGGATGGTGTCAGTTGAATGTTGGTGAGTTTGACAATGACTTGCAGATTACGACCACGCAGTGATACTGGTTTTGCCGATTCATATTTGGATTCAAAATGTTCCGGAAGTGTTGGTACATACACGGGACGAATGACTTGAGTGTCTGGTTCCATATCATCATGATCTGACTGACTTGGTGATTCATATCCCTTTGTGCCATTGCCAATATCAATATACTTGAACACTGGATCCATCGTTCTGATCAGACTTTCAAACATTGGGACAAAACATTTGAATATTTTGGCAATGCATTTGTACATGTCTCGATGCCATATCGGATTCAGATTGTTGATGTATGAGTTGATGGTCACACTGCCATCCTGTTCGACACGGAATTCACTCGGAAGACATTGGAACTTGCATGATATAAACTCGGAATCACCTTCAATGATGGGCATATCTGAAACAAGTCGAGTCGATAACAATATATCGCATGGTATCATTGTGGTGTATTCGAGTCGTATACTCAGTGGTGCAATCATCGTTTGTCCATATACAACACTGTACATTGATGCATCAATCAGATTTGCACCATTTGACCAGTGTTGTGATTTGATCCATGTTCAATATCCGATACATTTGTCATCAATCGCGTGTATACATTGTCAGGTATGCCATTGTCCAGTATATACGTCAGTTCAACAGGTCCTGGTACAATTGTGCCAAATCCATCACTGCCACTACAAACAAGCTGTTTGACAAAAAACCCGAGTTGTTCCAACGCAAGATTAAATGTTGATGGTGATATATTCCGATCGAGTGAGTCAACCCTCCATTGCTCCACAATATGCTGGTTTGTGATATCGATCCACCACATGGGTTTGCAAAGTATAGAATGAAGATATTGGATATACCGCATCTCGACAAGTGTGCGTACCTCTCCATGTGTATCTCCGGCCATTCCAGATTTCATATCAATTTCGGCATTGTCGTTGTATGATTGAATGCTCGAACTAGCAGTGTAAACCCGATGCTGGAAACACGCTTCAATGATCTGGCCAGCAACCATTTTGTCTCTGTGGTTAGCAGTGTCTGATTGTACAATAGCCGTTAGATTTTCAAGTATCCTGCCTTGATCCAACTCGGTACGTATTGAACTGTCGGGATGATTGTCGGCAAAATCAGCAAGTGTTTCGAGTAGTTTTACAGTACTACCACCAGAATCACACAAACGTATATCTGTACGTGAATAAATGGTGTTGAGTTGCTTCACAATTCCATATTCTTGAAACACCTTGATTATCTCGGCCTTGTTTGTAGATTTCTCAATCATGTCGTTGAGATCATTAAACATGCGCAAAGAGTAACCCATGCGGAGATCACACACTGATATCGTCAATTGCTCAAAAACCAACGATCGTACAAGCGATACAGGAAAGTCGCGCATTTTGGATGCAACTGATCCAGCTATCTTGATCATGCGTGTTTTTAGTCTAGAATTATCGCTGTATCTGATATACAAGTCGTTCAACGTTTGAATCAAACCTGATCTTATAAACTCGGCTGAAATCACTTCACAATTTACATAGTTGCAAAAATTATGGATAATTTCAATACTTTGATCAATCACTTCTTGATCGACACTCCTGTATTCATGTCATGTCAATCCAACCATGTCAAATTTACCAATTGTGATGACTGGACACACATTCATGCATAACACCACATACCTGAACGTATTGACCAGTGCTGGAATGATGCCACATCCCGCTGCTTTTACTCGGTCATGACGATGAATATTCAGATACATGGTTTTAAGATTTTCGATAAAACCAACAGCAACTAGACCATTGGATGATTCCAGTCGTGAGACAAGTATTGATAGCACGATGCCAAACTAATGATATTGTTCAATGTCAAGTATACAATCAGATCAACATGACATGACAAGACACTGTCCAAACTGATCCAATATTGTATCACTGTAAACATACATTTCCATCGTCAATATCACTGCAAACTTTCAAAAACAGGTTAATCGCCAATGTGAGCACTTCTTGATTGGACTCGTGAACAATAATCTCAACCATTGGCTTGATGTCAAATTTATACTCTTGACTCCAGCGTTTATATTTGTAAAACTCTGTACATGTTTTTATCGCCTATATGCATATTGACACTGTGTGAGTTGAATGTCAATCATTTGATCAATATCAATCATGACTTGTCGCTATTTTGACTTGACGGTTTGGTGATTGCATGAGTTGTGAGAGTTGGTTGCTTAGTCGTTGAGATATTTTGAACTCATTATTACTGTATAAAATACCCAAAAACACTGTAGTAAATTCCATTACTTTGATCTGCACAACACATGTTGGTTATTTTAGTCATGAACAACAATCCATTATTGTTACAATATATGAATACCTGTAAACTGGGTCGATTATACTCCAAATACTTGGTTATGATATCTTGCAGTTCAATACTCTGTAAACGATGCATTACATCTGTAGACTCTGCCATTTCAAACCAACACAAAGTCAGCAACAGTTTGAATTCATCAATAATACAATTGCTACTAAACTTACTGCGATTCTGTTGTTTCAACTCCAGTATCAAGTCAAGCAGTCTGTCCCATATTTCATCAGCCTTGTATAGTTGAGCATCCGTTGTTAACAGTTCCAAATCTTCCAGGTGTTTGATAAACTCTTTCATGATATCATCCAACTTCATGTTTGATAAAATTAGTAAAGTTGAATTTTGATTTGACAATTTCATTCATGCGAATGTTCAACAATTGCCAAGAATTGTTTATGTTTGGATTGTTGTAAAACACACAAACGAGTTGTTCCATTTTAGTATTGTTTTGATCAGTTTTTTGTAACAAAATTGGATTGTTATCAAACATGCATTTAGAAATACTGTAAATTAATATTCTGAATGTGATCGTTGTAGATTTGGTTCAATAAACAAGTTAGTTTACTACAACACATGGTAATGGATTACTAAACATCATCATAAATCAGATGGACTGGACTGGAATGAGATGAGATCAATGACAATCGCATTACAATGTGTTGTGATTAAACCATCGAGTATTTTCAAATACAAACTTGAATGAAAAGTCTTGCCACAAGACTGATCAACTGTATTACTGTTTACACTGTGGTATTATTGATGTATTGGAATGTTTGGTGTTCAGATACACAATGATAATGGTAGTACAACTCATGGCAGTTGTACAGACCAAATGTGATTAAAGCCAATAATAATGTCAGACAAGATTGGATAATGAATTAGCGTGTAAATCATCAACATTGACCAAGATTGATTGAAATGGTGAGATTGGGTTGGATGGTGATGAACACAACAAATGTGTGCAGAGTTGTATTGACAATATTGACAGTCAAACACAATACATGAATGTGGGTTCAAATTTGGTGATCGTACAATGTATGATTACTAAGAGTACACAAAATGTAGATTCAACATTATAGTCTGATTGTGTGTTATATGATGGTTGTTGTGTTGATTCAAGAATCGACAGTGTTTATCCAACCAATACAGCCAATATCACCACTCAACTCAACGAATGATCGTTTAATGGCATGTTATTGGACTGACAATTCCAAGAGTCAATTTAAACAATATTTGTAATATAAAGTTTGGATTTACAATATACATTCAAGGTTTCATTCCTGTACTGAAATGATTAAATAACTGCAGCCATATCATTCAGTCATACAAATATGTACAAATATGTACCAATCAAACAACCACAATTAAACTACACACTTTGGTAGTATACATGGAACATTGATATCAGTTTCTTGACCGTCAATTACTGCTAAATGTGTCCATAGTTGTCACACACTGTTTATTCGAGATGTGCAATCCTGGACAAAAGACTTGGCGTACAATAGTGGATGACCTGAAATGATTGGTTGCTTACCGTGCCAGATTCATGCTCTGACTCGAATGAACACAATTGATGAGATTCACCCATAATCACTGCTATATTTTGTCCAAGATTGTAAAAATGAATCAATGCCATTAAAACTGAAACTGAATAAATGGTACTTGAAAGTTGCAATGATTTGGTTGAATTTTGTGTAGTGCATGCCAACATCTAGTCAGCGTTCATTTATTGCAATCAATAACTTGCTGAATTCGATAAAATCAATACTTGAACTCATGTTTTACACCTTCTACATTTATGGCTGATAAATAGTAAAATGTAAATACTAGCCAGGTTTTTAAAACTTGATTCTTGCACGAGCCGACTCGTTCAACTTTCCACCCCATTCTGACACCAATGATTCAAGCTCATCATAGTTTGCAATGCGTTTGTTGTAGCGCTGTTCAATGACCTTGTTTGCCAAATTCGTTTGCTCATGATTGGTACCGCAGAATATCTGTTTAATCGATGTTTTCAATGCAGAATTAGCATCAATGGCCACAGAACAACCTGGATGATCATAGAGTGAACCATGAAAACCTGGAGAATTTGATGCAGAAACAAAATACGTTGAATCTGGAACAGGGCTAATGTTAATCTGTGAATATACGCTCATCAGACCAAAAACAGAGTCCAATTTGAGCCCGTTTAAAAATGCTGGCGGGTTCGGTAATTTTGATCGGAAAGTGGTCAGATCCGAGTTTGTAATATTAGAACCAAGTCGTTTTCGTTGATCCAAAACTATGATATAGCCAGAGTCTTGTTCTGCGCATTTCAGAATAAAGTATATATCCACTCCTGGTCCATCCTCACCATTGATTACAATTTGCAATGTCTCGCTGTCAACCCAGTCAACGGAATAATAGCTGTTGTCTTTCCGAGTGATTATTCGTGGCATATCAGGTCCATATTGCTCGTTTGATCGAAAAACTTTGGCGATTCTGATGTGAACTTGAGTATTGAAAATACCTGGGTTAAACTGCGATCCATGCAGTATATCAGACAAAGAAAGTATCGATATTCCCAATACAAGAAACGAGTTGATTCTGATACAGTAGAAACTAGCACCAAAATACTCCCATGATGACCAACGAGTCATGTTGGAAAATGGATATTCAACGTCAAGCGACAAACCATTCAACGATGATAGGAGTGCCGCTTCAAATTGGTTTAGACTGACCCTTTCATTCAATGACCTCTCCAAAGCCTGAGTAACAATATGGAACGGTATAATCACTCGACCATTATTTTGAAGCTGACACATCCCGTTTGAAACCATTTGACTCCAAGTAAGGTCTCTTGCAGAAGATAGCGATGATTCAGAAAACGGACAGTTTAGTATATTTGCAACAGGCGTGTTTGTAAAAGAAGTCGCCAGTAGCTTCAAAATATCAGCGAGTGACAATTGAGGATATTGCAAATTTGAAAGCGCAGTCATTCTTGCCTCCTGAAAATTGTGTTCGGTTAGATCAGCCAGTTTCATGGATACAACTTCTTCTGCAAACTCAGTCAGTAGTCTTGGCACTCCGCCTAGATAAAAGACATTTCGAGCAAAGGCTTCACTGACCACGAATCCACAATGTGTATCCGAAATAAAAGGACCAATAGCTTCCATTGATTCCATGTGAGTTAGAAACCGGATCGGCGTTCTCTTAGTATTAGGGTGTGATGATCGAGCAATACGAGTCATGTTCAGGTCAGTTCCCGCCAGCATACAGAAAAATGTAAGCTTTGACGTTGTAGAACAATGAGAAGAATCACACAAGATATCCAGCAGAGAACTCAGTTCATCTTGACAGAGTTTTTGATACTCGTCGACTCCGACAAATAAAAGTATGTCGTCTTGAGTTTCCCGACTCCAATAAAGTTCAATGGTCGATAAAACTAATGTCATTGTGAGCTCGCTTCTGTTCTTTGGTGACTTTTCACGCATCCAAACATCGAGCTTGTATTGCGCCTTGAAAAGCGAATGGAGCAATCTCCAGGCAAATGAACATTTGATTCCAAGGAGTTTGTCAATCTCGCCATAGGCACTCCCGTCATTTCCAAAAGAAACAATTGCCGAAAGTCGTTTGCCTTGGATCTTTGTCATGTCTAAAACTGTGGTAGAGCACTCTGTCATAAGTCGAGTTTTTCCCAATCCCGGTATACCAGTACAAACAGGAATATGTCTTGAATTCCGATCAATATTGCTGCGGTGTCGATGGGTGGCCATAAAGCATGATGCAATGTGTTGGAGCGATTTCTCTCGACCAGCCAGCGGAAATACAACTTTTTGATTGGGATTGGTTTGCTGCTGAGATAGAATTTGTTTATCAGGCAAATCAACTGTAGAACTATTATTCGACCCAGAAAGCCATTCCAAGAGACCAGTGGCAGTCATGGGAATTTGGTTTGGATTGGAAAACTTTACAACATTCACACCACTCTCCACATCACTCTTTGACTTGATAATGAGTGGGTTAGAACCAACAGTTCCGTTTGTTTTGAGAACAGTAATGGGTTCCCAGGAGTTGTAAGTCATTTCCACTCCATCCATCACATAATGGAGTGAGGTCTCCAACAAAAGCAAAAGCAAGAGGAGAGTTGGGAAGTGCTTGGAAAGCAGCAACCAGGTCAGAAATATTAGGCTCTTCTCCTTCAGGGACAGGCAACTTTTGAGTAAATAATGATACCGGAGTGTTTTCAAGGTATTGAATATAAAGCCTGGTCATTTTGGAGTTTATGAAGGAAAGGAATAGAATATAGAATAGAATGAAGTGAAACAATGAAATGACAAGAAAAGATCAAAACGTGAATTTGTCTCACATTCAAAACTCGATATCACGTGAACAATGTGAGACAAATTCACACTTTGAATAGTTTAAACATTTTTGTGTGAAATTAAAACTGTCAAATTAAACATTTGTCATGTGATTATTTGTATTGTTCAATCGAGTGTCAATTCAACTCAACAATTGATTACGTCATTCATATAATGACTCGAGTCTTACTCAACATTTTAATATTCAATTATTGTTAATCAGTCAATTGTTGGATTAGTAAATATGTTACAAAACATTCATTTACATGCTGAATCTGACAAGTGGATAATGATTGTTCCAATCAACACATGGATTGGATCGACTGCAATATTGTCATTGATTGCAGTCACTGTTGACCAATACATTGTAATACATTGTCAGCCTCGACATCAACATTGTCATTCATGTCAAGTTGTGTGTAGTTGCTAATATTACACCACAACAATACTGTTGCTTTTGGACGTATGACAACATATTAATGTAGTATAGTTTTGGAGGAATATCAGAAGTAAAAGATGAGAATGAAGGAATGAACCAATGAGTTAATTGTGTTGTTTATTGATAAAAGAAAGTATTGATCATTTTATAAGAATGTGGATAACGGTTATGCGTATCCGTGAATTAGACGTCATAGCTGAGAAAGTCTCTTGTTATTGCACAAGTGATGGCTGCGATAGACATCTCCTCAAACATATATGCGTCGTGTACGAGTCTCTGAAATATCTCGTTATTTATGATATTTCACATTACCAATGTTTAACAACTCTGATACAGTAATGCGGACTCGTGCACCGAGTTGAGTTGTCCAGCAATCGATTTTGGAAATGTGTTTGATGTGATGGTTTGAGATGGGTGCCAAATGACCACGAATGTTACCCATTGTCATGACAGTTGATTGTTGATTCAAAACGCTGTTTGGTTGGTATTAATGGTTAGAGTGTCACTCATTGACCTGTCAGATCAGCAAGTATTATTTTGGTGAGTTTCGTGTTTATTGTAGTCACATCAACATCAGCAGGTTGCACTACGGATTTGCTTGACAGAGTTGCAGATCCAGGTGGATTGATAGACGAGCAACTGTGCAAACAACTGTGCGAGTTGCAGGATGTTTGAGATCCAACAAAACACTGCTTGCACACAAGTTTGCGAATACAGATTGTCAGACTTGACCATCAACTCGCAGTATAAATTGCGTGTACGACAGTTTACACGCTTACCCATCAACAATAAACCCACATAACCAGCAAACCGTCAACAAACAGCCAGTTCAGTGGTCGGGTTGATGGTTTTTGTTGGAGTTTCTGGATCAAACTTGACCTGATTTGTACCGAGTTGTGTCATGACTACAAGTTTGACAGCAATAGATTGATTTACTAATAATCTGATCGTGTTGTTGATTGTATGGATGTTGGTAATCCGTTGCAGATTGATACAGAATGTGACCAGAATACCACAAAGTTTATTGAGTGTGCACATTGCATTCGATGCAAAACGCAATAAACAAATGCGAGTTGCAGCATTCATTCAAGGTTCGACACCAGTCGATACAGCATTGACCGCAATGGCATTTATGTCAACAATTGCACGACTACGGAATAAGTCGATTGTTGCTTGACATTCCGTATCGACAGTCTGCGTGTGTGTGCAACGTGCTGTTGTCGCATATGAACAACTTGGATTGACTTTGTGGACAAAACACAGTCACAGTTGCGGTGGTGTTTACAGTCGTGGAAATGGTTTCGAATACCGCAACTGGTATAACAACTGCATGTGTTGGTGAGCAACCAGAGTCCAGTTTGACCAAGATCTGTCCCAGTAATGATCGAATGACATTGTCGTGTTTGGTCATCATGGCAACAATGTCATTGGTTTGACTCTGCAACTGACCAAATGCGCTAGTGACAGCGGCCATATCAGTTTTCAGGAATACAGCTTGCATGGTGAGGTATTTGACTGTTTGTCGCATTTCGTCCATCGATATGAAAAAGTCAACGTTTCCAATCGAGTTCATATTACCTCGAGTTGCCCTGCCAGTAGTTTGGATTGGACTGATACCACATAAATTGTTGGTCTGCGTGTACACTGACAAATCGCTGTTGATCAATCGCATGCACACAGATCCAACTATATATATCAGTCGAGTTGCATCAGACGCAGATGCACTGTCTGGATCAATCGAAAACACCTCACATTTGTCACGGATGCATTGGGTGGTCGAGTAAACGGTACTGGTTGATTGATACGGTGATCTTGCCATGTTTTCAGCAATCATGAGTTTGGTCCAGTCACCACTGCAGAGACTGCAAACACTGAACAGGATCTGGTTGAGTACCGTGATTGGGTCTTATTTTTGACTGTAATGGATGTTTTGTTATCAACGATTGTTGAACCAGAAATTTGTAACTCGCGCACATACTCACAGAGACTGATACAATCACTCAGTCATGACATGGGCTGCCACACTTTTGATCTATCAACCTCACCGGGAAGCTTACTGCTTGTGTACTGCATCTGGTCAGCCTGTCAAATATAAATAGTTGACACATACCAATAAATAAAACATTAGTCAACCATAACTATACAATTGTATCAATCCAGCACAGCTTGTGCAATTTCAAAGCTAAACCCAAGATTTATACTAATACAACCAACTTACTTTATACCGAGTTTCAAAAGGCGGTTTGTCACACGCCAAAACCCGTTTAGCATAGCTGTATGACAGCATAGATGCTTGAGCATCGGTATAATGCTCAACGGGTCCTGATGAATGACCAGTCACTGCTGAATCTGGTGCAATGGACTCTGCAGTATATATGGTTGATACTGTAGAGTCGCATTGCTTTCCAGACTGCAGTATCCTAGCTGCCTCAATCAGGGACGAGACTATAATGTAAATGTTTTAAAACAATCCATCAGTCAATATAATCAGTATAGTTACCATCAACACACTACAGCCTAAACAATCCACAATACATGCATTCACATGCATTCACATCCAAAACTCGTGAGAAATTGATACAAAATCACACACTTACTTGGTGAAACAGGGATTCTTGGATCATTGATTGGACTGACTGTACTGATTGGACTGACTGGACTGGATGTATACATATCAGTATATATGTTTTCCTGATTTGAACTAGTCAATCACAACATTACAAAATTATGCACAAACAACAGTAAAAGTTTAAAGTAGCATTCAACCCATTGTCCCATAAATCAAATTAGGCATCAACCAATTCAATCCCAAATAATAATCAACCAGTACATCATACCAACCAACACAAATCACAATTGATACACATCGAATGACGTTCGATGACATTAGATAGCATCAAAAACAGTCAAAATCATTACCATCAAAGTCGCGTAGTCGGAGTCGAATCAACAAAATTAAATTCGGCAACGTTTCGAGTCCATCCCAAAATACCGTAAATGCAATCATCAAATCGTAAATAATACAACATGCAAGTAAACAGCCATGTTAGCAATGTGCTGTGTAACCAAAATACAATATTTAGATGCACAACTATAATACAAATGCTGTACTGCATACCTTTCTGGATTCATGCTTGCTTCGGCAAGGTGTGGTGCATTTTCACAAGCATTGGTTGGTTGGGGAATAGTGTTTTGCACACTACGGCAAGACTGTTTTGGAGAAAGAGCAGATAAGATGTTGAGACGGGACCACAGTGAATTCATTATTGGTGTTGTAGGGTGTCAGGAAATGGAAATGTAAAACGAGTTGATCTCGAAACTTGATAACAATAATATGGGTAGCAGTTGTAATAGTTGCAATAGTTGCTGCAAACTAATACGTTCAAACAAGTAGTGTGTATGACTGTTTAACAAAATACACAAGGGAAACAATCAGATCTGAGTTTTGGATCAATAAGTGGATGGACAAGTATCTCCAATACCAATCTAGTTTCAGCAGCACAATAGTCGGCATTTTCAATGGGTTTGATACTCTAGTCAATTCGATCCTCCCAGAAACAGTAAAATGATGAATGAGGCAAATACATGCCAGATTTTGACGTCATTTCCTGTATATAGCCGCAATAACAATCATTGATGTCAGTCGAGTCAATCAGTTTGTGTAAAAATGAAACAAAAAGTCTTGGACGACCTTGAAGAGACTGTGAGATTTCTTGAAGGTCAATATTCTTTGACACATCAATAGTAGTTTGAAAATATCGGATGATTTCAAGTAGTTGAAGTCGGTGAATATCAATATATTATCTGGTTTGAGTCCAGCAGCAGAGTATGTCAAGTCCATAATGCAGATTCGCATTTGTGTTCCGCACCATATATTGTTGAAGCCATCTTGGATAATAGTCCTGGTCAAAAACGAAAACAACGACAGAGGAAAATCAAATTGTCCAGCAGTGTTGATGGATTGTTGTTGAACGATAGTCCGACTTTAAAAGACTTGGCATATGCTGCGATTCGTCAAATATAACACGACCATCTTTTAGGAACCATGATTTCAACTCTTGATAGACTTTACCAAACGCAGACCAAGGAAGCTTAGATAGATGTTTGAATATTTTACAAAAGAGTACACCAGTTTGTATACTTGTTTGAATGCATAGTCATGTAAAAGGCTTGAGATCGGGATTTGTTTCACGGAGTGTTTTCAGAACAAAAATACGAGCAGAAATCAAACACTGGATCAGTCTTTCAGATTGGTATTCAAAGACTGATTGATTCTTGTCCGTCTTTTTGGTAGGTGCCAACTGTGCCAACTTGTCAATCATCGCACTGAAATCAGGTCGATAAAACAGTCAAATACACAATGTTGACACAAACCATAGCAGGTTGTTGTTCACATCCACTGACACCGATCATGACAATATTGTGTAGTTGTCAGTCTGTCGACTGGCATTTCGATGCTGATTTGTATGTTGCCAGAATAGACTTTTGAATACAAAACATTAGGGATTGTGTCAATGTCTTTGATGTCGATGTTCATGATGGTTTGATCCAGATGAATGGTTTTGATTGAATGTTGGACACACAACAGTTGTGTTCATCATACAAGTGTATCGACTGGACAAGGTTCACAAGAGTGGTTTGTAAAGTGAGTTCATGTCCATTACAGTGTCTAGTGTTGATGATACAGAGTTTGACCAAGCATAATGTGTTGGATTTGATGAGTGGATCAGTTCCAGTGGTTCAATATAGTCCAAGAACAGCAAGACAATACCATGAATTGCAAGTTATTTCCACTCCATCAACAACAAAGTGGAAAGTAAGAAGTTGATGGTCGACTGGAATACCAACAAGCCTTTTAGTTGTCTCAATGATGGTGGTTGCGACCAAGTCAACAACAGGCTGTTGTTCAGCAATAGAACCTGTTGGCTTGGTCGCAGATTACAAAACAGGATCACTTTTGGTCGATACACTAACTGAATATCCACTCTGGTGGATCAAGTCGAGATCAATCACAACGCATGGGACTCGCTTGCTGCACTTGGAACAAACGGGACTGTTGGATCCAGTCCACTCATCATCAAATCCAAGAATGATGTTGGCTCAAACCCAACAATCACTGGTTCATACAATCCTTTCAAGAAAACTATCCAGATCAATGGTATCAATGTTTCTACAAATCATCTCAAAAGACCTGTTCAACTTGACAAACTCACATACTTGGTTTGAGTATCGGTTTGTCATATTGACTTGTTCATCTGATTCTGCAAAACCTATATTCATTAATATGTATCAACATAGTCTCAAACAAATGTCATTTGGATTTGTTTCTTGGACAAGATTGCACGACACTTTTGTTGGGAATGCATTGATTGTTCCAAACAACAACGGATAGAATTGGAAAAAGTAAAACTGTTGTTTCTTGATGATGCTCAACAGTAATTACAAGACACAAGTTTATGGAGACTTTTAATCAAAGCATCGCTGAGTTGGTTGCCATTAAGCATGCGATTTATCATTGCATCAAACCATCTTTTTGTTGGAGGAATTTCAAGTCCTGTTGAACTCGGTAGTCTTTCAGGTCTTGAAAAGTGATTTTCTACTTATTCCAGCCAAACTCTGTGAATTCCATGAATTCCATGAATTTCTGGATTTACTCGTTATTGGGTTGCCAAACAACATGAACAATGAGACCTTGAAACATGTTCTTGTAACGGAATGTGATGGTCTTGTTGGTGCGCTGTGTGTGTCGATTGATGATCTAAAAACACAATGTCTAAACAACATTGAACCCACTCGAGCAGATCTACTACAATACTGCCTATCAAACAATTCCATGTTGGGTATGTTAGACATTGGTAATGTATGACCTTTGTAATAAGGTTTAGACGGTAGAGATATGTATTGTGTTAACTTGCATTGTGTATGGTATAACAAATAAGCTACACCTTTCGTATAGCTTATTTGTGACAATGACTATCACCTCACTTTATGCAAGAACTAGAGTGTTTAGGAACTCTCAACAGTGAGACTTGAGATGCAGTTCTTGTTTCTCGTGGACGTATAACGACATATTAATGTTGCACATTGTTAAAAAGTAATTCACAAAAGTTTAAAGATAACAATGAAGGAATGAACCAATAAAGTAATTGTCATTTTTTACTTACTATGACTTTCAAACTATGAACAGCGCAAATATGTCAACATACGTCCACGAGCTACAACTACTGGACACCATTGGACATTGTTGGACACTAAGGTTGTCAAACATCACAGTGTCGTTCAAACTTGGACAATGATGTTTGATCATTTGAACCACGGCAGTCAACTATACAACGATCAATGTTATGTACCATCACCTATCCAATACATGTCAACTGATACAATCACCAACCATTGCATGATTTCAATCGTCAATCAAGTCAATACTATGATATTGTTCAATGTCAAGTATACGGCCAAATCAACATGACTCGACACACTGTCCAATATTGTATCATTGTAAACATACATTTTGATTGTCAATATCACTGCAAACGGTCGATAACAGGTCAATCTGCATGCATTGTGCAAGCTGGTTGTTTAGTCGATGAGATACTTTGATCAAACAATACTTGAATGACTGGCATTCTATCGTCCTACTTGATCCTGTAATTAACAGCCTGATTTACCAGTTGTTTTTACAGAATTACACAATTAATCATACTCGAATGTATAGTCTGCAGTTCAACCAACATTACATGAAATCATGGACATGAACATCAGTTTACACTTTGGCGTTGATACCAACGACACCAATTGGTTGAAATGGCCATTCAACATCCAATCGTGCCCTACAACATAAACACAATACAATGCAAGACCCTACTTGTTGAATGACAACTTGCTTGGATCCAGTAAAATGACACTCGAGTTGTTTACTGTGGTCAGTATATGCAGCCTAGTTCAACTACACATACTAGATCCAGTCTGTTGGTTGTTTCAGTTGATCTTGATTCACTTTTGACATTTTGTCCGAGATTGACAATACAAATGTGTCAAGCTGAACCCAAACTACACGACTCGACTGTTTGTGTCAATTGGATCGTGATCGAGCTATGCGATCATGATATGTATTTAATCCATGCCATGTATTACCAATACAATAGTATGCGTGATCATCGTGTACCAAACAACTACAATACACACTGGACTGATCCAATACATGCACGGCTTGAACATATCACACAATCAAACATGAACACACCACATTAAATATGCATATAGTAGCAGCTTGTCACTAATGAATTGTATTCAATCGAGTTTATTGAGAGTCTGTTTGTGACTGTTGACAGCGTGGTGAGTGTTTTCAGGCACAACTACTTGATCAGTTGTAGTTAATTGTTAACACCAAGAGTCCTGACGTACATCATATCAACTATAACATAATCATGGTCACCATCCATGCAACAAATAACCAGTTTTATTGATATATCTGTTTAGTCCTCAAATTTCTCGTAATTAGGCTTTGACCGCCTACTACCACGACGAATACTATCACGGAGAGTACTACCAAGTCGCGACAATGATCTCCTAAGAGTAGATGTGCCATCTGAACTTGAACCACTTGGTTGTTCAGGCAATCTAACAGTATGCATCAAATTCATGATCAATATCAATCAACACATGCACACATCAATATCAAACAACTTACTGTGATGGTGACCAGAGCACTTGATCACTGTTTGAAATAATAGGATATCCATCAGTCACGACTTTGCATCCACATCCAGGACCAAACCCAATGCGTGCATGCTTTCGATCAAATACCAACCCAAGTCGGGTCATAAATGATATACCAAGAGTTGCTTTGTAATTTGGACCAACTTTTACAGCAAACACCACTATAATACAACATGTATGTCAGCTAGGTTAATCAAGCGACACATATTGCATACAATTGTCAAATATTTACCATATTTAGAGTCAATTCTCTGCATATAGTCTCTAGGACCCAATTCAATCGTTACAACAGAGTTGCTATTGTCATAAGTTACAGGAGTTTCAGCATGCATTGTAATTGAAATTGTCGGCATCTTGTCCCAATTGATATTATAAGTGGATTCGGACATTAACCGATTTTCTTTTAATCTTTTTTTAATCCTTCTTTTGTCAAGGTAATCGTTACTGAGCATAGTATTCTTGACAGTGATTGCACCACTATCAAGGATAGCATCAATCAGCATTGTCACGACTATTTCAGGGAAAACATATATGTAAGGCATGTTTCCATGACTGAATACAAAGTACGTCCATTCTCCACAACTTGCTGAAATTCAGCAGGTAGATTTACGTTTTTGCCATTGATTAGTATACTCTTGATGTCGACAGTAAATTGATCGGCTATTGGTGAGTTTACCCATGCAACACTTTTTCCATCCGTTCCACATTTTGCAGTTACGTCCGTGTTTCCTATATTGATGAAACTATCTTGCAGCATATCATATGAGCATAGTTGAATACTAATCTCGTTATTAGGAATGACACCATAACTGTACAAAGCATCCATCGCGGTGACTGATGTGTAATGGCTTGACAACGAAAGATAGCCAAACCCAAATACTCCATCAAACTTTGGATTGATACCAACTAGATCTGGTGATTGTTTTTCAACCAAGATTACTGGTAAATTGATGCCAGTTATCCTAGTACCCGGAATCGTCACAACGGCTGTGGAACTAAATCCTCTATACTCTTCGCCTTTGTAATTTATAGCAACAGGTTCTCCACTTGGAGTACTTTCTGGAGCCAAACCTGCATAGTTGCTTGAACTAGGAAGTGGTGCAATTATACCAGGAGCTGCTGAGTTGACTTGCAAATTCAACTATTTTAAACAAGTGTGAGATTGATTCAACGTGGTGCAAATTGATATCAAACTACAATGCATGACATGATACATACATTGACTCCATTAACATTGGATCTCATTGTGTAGCATTTTGTGATATCACCACCCAATTCAACGGGTGATCGTTTTGACAGCCTATTGTTTGATGGACTGGCACTTTCAAAAGGTGAGTGTAATGCAAGTCGAATTGCAGCAACCGCCTGCAACGCAAGTATAACGCATTCTATAGTAATCAGCATTGTATAGAGTAGTGTGATGAAAATGGTTTGAATCTGATACATAACTGCTGTTTTATAATGACGGCAGCTTCAAGGGTGACAGTCGGCAACTTTCAAATGTATATTTAGAAGACACAAATACACCCTGTAGGGTTAACAAACCCAGAATCACACTGTAGGGTGAATCAATATACAAGCATCGCTGTTGGTGTATAATCAACCTCAGTAGTATGCTGTGTTGATCTCTCCAATTGCGGTCATGCATCCAGTGATCAGGTAGTGTCAGATTGTCACCCTGATTATGGATAGTTATCATCACATTTACAATCCATTACTACAACACATACTGTCACTGTATACCAAATGTTTGACTGATTGTTCAATTGGTCATGTATTTGATCATTCAAACAACAGCATCCAACAGCCTGTTGTTGCAGTATTTCAAAACCATGACTTTTCCGTTGGTATGACCGCATGGTCATTTTAGGTTAGTGTAGACTGTATACATCAAACACTGCTGATTGTGTCACAACATGATCAACATCAAACTTGGCAATCTGTCGTTGATATACTGAATGAGTGACGTTGTACTATAATTGAATTGTAGACTGGCAGGTCGTTCAACAAACTGGCCGTGTCAACAGATCAGATTGTCATCGTGTACATGAACCACAATGGATGATCATGCCATTCAAATCAGCACACAATCTACTGGTATATGCAATACAACACCACCAACACAATACAAATCAAATCCGATCACAAACGTGGTGTTGAATCCAATGCATGCGAGTACTTTTTAAACACATGATACACACTGATGGTGATGGTTGCTGACAGTCACATTGAAGTGTACATGTCCAATAGTGTCCACTGTCATGTCGATCGTTGCTATCCGTGACATCCAACTGTACTTGTATTCACCAAATGTGCACAACATCTAGGGTTGATTGCTAGATGCTCTCATGTTTGGCATACAACTAGTCACCATCAGACCAAGCGTATACGCTAGTACAGCGCCATAAATCTATTGGCAAGTGGTTTCAATTTTATTCTGGCGCGTTGAGGGTTGGATGTGTATTAGACACAATGTTGCGGATATAACTGAACTACAACAGGATAATATCATGCATAATGGTACGGCCTGTATCTGTTTGGTAGATATGCAACCATATATATGACAACCCAATCCGTCCTTTATCACGGGTTGGTTTTAGAAATGCCTGTTATTTTGGTTGATATATGTTTGTTGCATAGATTGACAGTATTGTATGTATTTAGTCTGATTACATTATAGACAGTCTGGTTGATTACCCATTCACTGCTAATAACCCGTTTGTACAACATAATCGATCATTTGCTCAGTATCGAGTATTTCCAAATACAAACTTGAATGAAAAGTCTTGCCACAATACTGATCAACTGTATTACTGTTTACACTGTGGTATTATTGATGTATTGGAATGTTTGGTGTTCAGATACACGATGATAATGGTAGTACAACTCATGGCAGTTGTACAAACCAAATGTGATTAAAGCCAATAATAATGTCAGACAAGATTGGATAATGAATTAGCGTGTAAATCATCAACATTGACCAAGATTGATTGAAATGGTGAGATTGAGTTGGATGGTGATAAACACAACAAATGTGCAGAGTTGTATTGACAATATTGACAGTCAACCACAATACATGAATGTGGGTTCAAACTTGGTGATCGTACAATGTATGATTACTAAGAGTGCACAAAGTGTAGATTCAACATTATAGTCTGATTGTGTGTCATATGATGATCGTTGTATATTGAACACACAATACAGTCAATGTGTAGTAATCATTGTATATTGCAATTCAGAATACAGACATTGTTGGATGAATATTGGAGTGAACCATTTTACATGAATACGGTTGTAAAACAAAGCGTTTGCGGTTAAACGACACTCCTGAAGGGTGTGCTTTTCAATATACCTGATCAAAGGGTCGTAAAAGCATCATCCAATCGGCATGACCATCAAATTGATCAATATGATATTGTGGATAGGGAGTAACATACTATCTAGTTTGATATTGGCCCACTACAAGCAATCAAGTAGCCCTGTATAATTGGTTAATCTAAAAGGGTTGGTTTGCTATACAAGAATATAAATACAATCGATTATGCTCAACTTTATAATCGAGACTATTTTTGTATTAATCGTTTAAATACATTGACTAATCTGATGAAATTGGTTGATATTTTATTTGTACTGACTGTAGCAGCAACCGCTAATGCAATATTGATACCGGCTGATAACGATGGTTCACCCAAAGCATCAAGCACTTCCAGTCAAGCATCTGGTTCGACTGATGAACCCGATCCAGGCACTTCCAACGACTGGCAAAAGCCAATGGATTTGAGCCTTCCTAACCAAAGTCGACGGCAGCCAATGGGTCAACCCAATTCAAATACTTCCACTCAAGGTCAACGACCAACTGTGATTGTAGCTGGTCCAAATATTCTCAAACAAGGCCGAAAACGCATAATTGGTGTGATTGATTTAACCACATCCGACCAAGACCAGCAACACTCGATTGACGAACCCGGTCCAAGTGCCCCCAAACGAAGTCGAAAACAACCAATTGATGTAATTGATTTAACCATTTCCGACCAAGACGAGTCTGCCAATACTGTCCCAGATCAAGTGACTGTATTAAGCCAAAAAGATCAGGAAATTTTTGATGATATAAAACAAAGACTTGTCGAGTCTAAAATAGTACAAAAGAAAAAACGCAAAGAATATCGTGAATATGCAGACCTCAAATTCAGTCAGCAGTTAAGAATAGCAATGGGCAAAGAAATATCTGAACCAAGGCACAATCCAGAGGTTGAAGAGCGATTGAAACAAGAGTATAAAAAGGCAGGAGCAAGAGTATACAGTATCAGACAAGAATTGAAAAGGTTTATGAAAAGGCAGGGTTTGAAATTTGAAGAACCGAATTAGAGTTGATGATGTGATGATGGATTCGATTTTGAATAAATTTAAACTTTTTGATGTATTGGCATTTATCGAGTATTGTGAATGGATCAACAACCATATTATTGATTGTATATTGTGTTGGGTATTACATCAACAGTTACTGGATTGTTGATTGATACATTGACAGTTTGTTCCATATACATTAATGACCTGATAACAACCAGTGTTACTTGCAAGAATAGCATACTCATAGATACTTCCAACAATATACTTTGAATTATGACGTTTCAGGCATTCAATAATATCATTTCCGTCAATCAGATCCAAAATAATGTCAATATCCATATTAATCATGGATTGATTGTTACCATTAAACAATAATGTATTATCTGAAATATTAAATTGAATTGTCTTTTCAGTATCTACATTTTGCAGCATATACCCAAATTGAATATCAAGCCAATATCCAATGTTTTGATTGGTGATTTTTCCGGTATATTTTGCATCAACTCTTCCACATTGGTGAACATGTGCCTTGCATTGTATTGTTTTGTATTTTGGGTGGAAAGGATGTTTGTTGATATGTCTATTAAACTGTCGCTTTAACTTGCCTACTTGGTTCCAATGCTCTATTTGTAGTTGAATCAGTTGCTTGTACGCCTTTGTTGCTTCAACTCGACTCCTGAATCCTTGGATACGTTTTGTAAACCGCAGTTTGACTTTGACGAGTTTAACATCAATATTCACCGTTGATCCAATCATTTTCATGATATTGTTATTGGGGTTTTCCTAATGGCAACAATAAATCAACGACAAGACTCAATCCGAGCATCTCGTAATGGACTCTGTGTGAGCCAATCGAACCACTATTTTTGTTCAAATCAGAATTACTTTGTAACAGGTTTCCAACATTTTCAACGAGTTTAAACAATAATAGAAAGTAAATCCAATCCAATTGTTTGTTGATACCATTCCAAAATGGATTTTCTTGGGTTTATTCAAAACCACTTCAATGACATTACACATCACAAGCACATCCTTAAGATTCAAGTATCTACAAACTTTGATCGTGAACTCGGTCTTGATCAAACCTAAAAACGGTCAAAAGTATCATGTTGTTGAACGAAATCTAACCAACCATCTTGTGAAAGTAGCAACCCACTATTTGTGCAATGATATTGAACCTATTACTCATGAAATCATACCTCGATATATGCTCAAGTCGGACAACCCAATCAAAGTGGATCCCAACAAACTCTTGAAATCAAACATTCAATTCCTTGATGAAAAGTATCATTCAAAATCAATACAAGTCGCTTTATCATTGAGTCAATGAGTTACTGAACAAGAGTTACTACGAGACATTGTATTGTATGTATATTTTACATTCTGGCTTAGTACTTTGATCAAAAGCCATCATCACACTGTAACGGACGCTCAGATCAATGTAGACCGAATGGCTCATCATGTATTTAGCGATTCAGATGTTCTTGGTAAAGTGATGGGAAAACAGCACACATTACAGCAGAAATTGTATCAAATGGTAATGAGTGCCGATGTAGACGCCAAATATGTTGAATATATCATACTATGAATCCGTAATCTTGATGGAACCCAGCACCATTTATTGGGTCAAGCAAATGCTGGAAAAACACATCCAGTTCATCGTTTGCCATATTGACACTTGACTTGTTGTATCTGATATTCCAAATCTACCGCATCCAGTGGTATTGTTGGTGAATCATCAATTACATTCAAAGTATGTTTGATAGTTATTGTGTTATTATTTTCAAACGATTTGCTGATTTGAGGTAGCCAGTAAGTTATCATGATTGTATTGCTGGGATTTTGGCAAATATTGATTATTTTCAATAACCATTGACTATTTCCTATTTTGAATACTGGTATCTGGCCATGGGATATGATGACAAATGACTTTAATGTGTCCAATTTCAATTCTGATTGTGATTCCTGTTTTCATGCAATTGGTCAACGATTTTGAATATCCATTTCCGTCGACCCAGAATACATTACATCCAGTTTTGAAACAAGTCTTCAAACAAGGTTTTGATGCAAGTTGTGTACAATAGTCACATCCTGTTGTTCTGGATCTGCAATTCTTGTCATGGTTGTGTTTTGTATACAGAAATACTGATATTTTACAATTATGATGCTCACAATTAATCATTTGTGATTTGATGGTTCTTTCCAGCATCATGTTGTGTAAAACTTGGACAGTCCTACAAATCGGACAGTTCCATTGGGTTCAAGATATACAGGATATACAAAGTGATTGGCATCCTGACATTGAATCAAAAGTGTTGTAACAACTTCATGGCAAATGGAGCAAGTGAGTGTTTTGATGGAGTTGGTAGCTTACATGGATTTCATGGATTGTGATTTATAATAATCGTACAGAAAATATAATATTGTATTTTGACTATTATTGATTGACATAATGTTTGATGTTGGACGATACAATCGATACAGTCGATACACAGATTGAAAGAAAGTTGTTCATTCAGAGTAGATTAACAAGTGATTTCCACAACGATGGACATGATTGACATGATACCGAGTTGTCTCACCACAGTGTAAAAAGACTGCACTATCAGTTCCACGATCATTGGTAGCAATATCATCATCACTGGAATCTGAATGTGTCATCAATTGATGAGACATTGTTGGTTGACAAACTGTCTCACTGCAATGGAAAGAGACATTTGAGTTGCTTTCATTATTGCTTGAATTCAAAAGTGTCAACATCAACTGTTGGTATTCACACTCACTACAATGACAACTATTGCTGTAACAGAAACCAGTCTCTTGTAATGAATACACAATTTTATCGAGTATTTCAATGATCAAGGTAGCACTCGATTCCATCCATTTCTCGATATTCTTACTCTGGTAATCTACAGGAGTACAGCCATCATCATCATATGGACAATATTCATCATCAAACTCCGCACCACCAGCAATACACCAAATGAGACATGTTGTCTTGTGTAACTCTAGTGCGTTCCTGTTTGGTAGTCGAGTGAGATTGTTGTGAATGAAATACAATGTCATTTCACTGTTGGATTCGACTGTTTGTCGATTGTCAGTCCATCTCTTTTGCCTTGTTCTGCGGATAACTTTCAAATCTTCAATTGTCTCAATCCACTTCTTGTGCTTGTCACTTGTCAGATCATTCGTCTCATTGATCACTTTGATCACCAGTTTGTCATCCACTACATCCACATATTGCTTTAGTTTACCAAACTGGTCATGGCAATTGATACACAACAACAGTCCGTTTTGTATTTGATGTTTCTGCGTCAAACCAGATCGTAGCAATATGGATGGTTCGTTGTATGCCATTCCAATGTTCTTTTGGGATATGATGTGTGCTCCTTGCAAGGACAGCTTATTCCAGCAAAACAAGCAGACTGTATCTCTTCTCAACCGCCTTGTTCAAGTCCTTGTGCTGTAGCTCACTCACTTTTGCAACATAGTCCAGATCATCAGCAGAGTTGGTTCTTGATGTTGGGTTTGATGAAACTGGAGTGACAGCTGGATGAATCGTTGTAGTCTTTGTGGAATGGCAGTATGTAATACTCAAACATGTCATCAATGAATGTACGAGGATGTTCTGAGTCTGCCAACTGGATCTTGGTTGAGAATTCCTGCTGCTCTGCAAATTGGTTGGCAGTCAGCAGGTTGTGCAGTCGAGTGATGTGTGAGGTTTCTCCCTTTTGGATGATTCCCAAAAACAAACCTCGTTTGTTGTCATCCTGCCATTCAGACTTGACTCTCTGTGTTGGTATGGCTTGAGTGCTGATTTGGTAGTATTCATTCAACAGTTGTGTTGTTGCTGTGTTTGTTGTTTCAATATTCATTTGATGTTTTTTGACAAAAGAATGAAACTCGAACCAACCAAAATAATTGCAGTCAACAATCAAATTGGACAACATTCACCAATAATCTTTTAAACTCGTACAGTTTGTACAGTGTTGTCATAAAAGTCATGGTTTGACACATTTTCATTAAGCTATCAGTGAGTATCAGTGAATATCAACCAACAAAATTGGTCTCGTTGATTGATATACTATTATAATGTAATCGATTGAGTTGAATTGACACTCAATTGAACAATACAAATAAACACAAAATTGTTTAAATATTCAAAGTGTGAATTTGTTTCATTCTTCACAATATTAAATTTTGAATTCAAGTCACTTTTTTTGTATCTTTTCTTTCACAATTGCAATGGAAAACAAAATATTCTATATCAAATATCTTGACAATCAGTCAGTGGAAATCGAAACTCACTTTGATGGAGAACTAGAGAGAAGAACCCCAATTGATAGTGTTTCGAAACTAATTGCAGCTTACAAGACTGCCACCACTCCCCTCCTTGACAATATCCCTGTTGACGAGCTCACTCTCCATTATATGGTGAATGGTCCAGCCATTCCCAGGAATACTCTATTAACCTCCATTCAAAATCATATTGGTTCTTACGGCCATCCATTCATCATTAAATCCAAGAGTGGTATTGACGCAAGAACCACTTCACTCATCAACGCTACCGCTATTGCTTCAGATCCAATGCAACTTGATTTGTTCTTGCCCTGTCAGATCCCTTTTTACAACAACATATGCAACGCTGTTGAACAGGATACATGGCTTTTGTTTGAACAAGAGATTTTCTCGTCTACGTTAAAACGACTCTTTATTCGGGACAGTTATAAATCCATTGCATCAAACATCAAGCCCGGCATCAACAAAACAATCATCACAGGAACTCCTGGCATTGGCAAGTCTTTATTTCTCATCTACTTATTGTGGAAGTTGATCAAGCAAGGAAAACGAGTGTTGTTTATTTATCATCCAGACAAAATCTATTACGATGGTCAAGGCGGTGTGTTTGAGTTAACTAGTCTACCATCAGTTGTTGACCACGCATTTTGGGCATCTGACTTGTGGTGTTTGTTTGACGCCAAAGGCAAGAACTCGGCGAATCTAAATGCACTTCCCTATGAAAGGTGTTCATTTGTGGTGTCGACCTCACCAAAACGAGAACTAACCAACGACTTTAAAAAATCCCTTCCCCTTCAGATCTTTTACATGCCGATATGGACTAAACCAGAATTGGAAGCCATTGCACCCGATTTTGCCATTGATATTGACTGGCGCCATCGTTTCAAAGTCCTTGGTGGAATCCCTCGACGTGTCTTGGAAGATACAAGTAGTGATCCAGTAGAATTACTTCAAAATGTATGTAGGCAATGCAAGCTTGATGATTGCATCAAAGAGATTAGCTTCAACTCGACTATTACAGAAAACTCCAAAGCTTCCCATTCTTTGATTCACATGACATCTGTTGACCCATTTACAGAATCATCTGTTGCCTTTGCGTCTCGAACAGCCTTGGATATCATTATCGAAATCAAAGGAATGGACGTCATGCGAAAAATGACGAGTCTCCTAGTTTTGTGCGAAGAAAACCCTCTTGCTGCTGCATTGTGTGGGCATATTTTTGAACCGTATGCTGTTGAAATGCTGGAGAAAGGAGGTGTTTTTGACAGTCATCAGTTGGTGCATGGAAACAAGAAAACCAAGCCCGAAGAAACGCTTCTTTTTATTCCTTTGTCGAAAAAACAAGTTGCTGGCAAGGTTTTACCGAATCAGGTTCCAAATCAGCTATATGTGCCAAAAACTAAAAACTATGCAGCAATCGATGCTTGGATTCCTGGAATCGGTGCATTTCAAGCGACTGTTAGTAACAAACATGATATCAAAAAAAGTACCGAAGAAGATTTAAAGATGCTTGGAGATGGTGCCGAAAAGTTGTATTGGCTACTTCCTCCACTGCATTACCATTCTTTCACCAAAAAATCACCAACAAGTATCGACCAATACGCTGTAAAAATTCCTTATCCTAGTATGTAATCCTAATCAATTTCACGTCATGATATTGCCATTTCAATTTTCAAATAAAAACATATACCTTATTGTATTCACCGATAAAGCATTGTATATCAAATGATGTTGTATTTTTTGTTGGTTTCAGACATTTGGACGAATGAATGATCAAGTTTCCAAAAAACAAGCAAGTGTGAGTTTGATTGTTTGCAACTGTAATGTCTGGACAACTGACTGTCTGAATAACAGTAACTATTTCCAGTGATGCTGATTTGTAAACACTCGAATTATTCAACACTCTATCAATGCATTTGCAAGAGTCATTGGACGTATCTGTTGTTTGAATGTTGATTCTCATGCATTCAGAAGTGGGAGTTATGAAGCTTATTTCCATGCAGACACGATCAATGTATTACTTTTTGTTGGATAGGCTGTATCATCTGTCATCAATTCAGACACACTTGTCAGTCCTGTTCCGTATACAATGAGTCACATATGGACACCAATGCAACAATCAAGAATCAATTGTCATTTACAAGTCTGAATTGCCAACCAACAATCGTACTAATGGACCAACGGACCAATGCCAAAACACCTGCACATCAGACAGTTTATTGGACATGACTTGATTGTTTTTGAAAACTGATTGATGACTCGAGTAATCCAATCACACATTGCTGGCAATTAAATGGGACTATACAATGTGTCATGTACACATTGGATACCATCAGTTTATCAGTGACTATCAGGTGTTTGTTTATTCAGGATTACTTGGACTACTATTTGCAATCAACACAATCACTGGTGTCAATGACTGATAACAATGAAACCAAACGATTGACCACATCAGATTATACACGTTCATTCTGGAATGCAACTTTGCATCGATATCGTAAATATCAACCAGAATCCGAGCCAAACGAGTCAAGCGAGTGTCGCAAGCTTGCATTCATTTGAAAATACTCGATATCAGGCTAAAGTTGCATGTGAAATGGTCATTTGTACAAGGTTAAACAACATCGACATTTACAATCAATGTGATGTTGGAACAGAGCTGCTATTTTCAAATTTAAAAGTCCAAATCGTACACATTGTTATCAAGTCTAATCCACACCCTTCATGGCATGTCATACCATGTCATGCTTGATAGTTTCATACACTGCTGCAAGAGTTGTATTGTGTGTATTTCGAGTATTTCCATCACTCCATCATATGTCGCATGTGTTGGCATGTCAAGTGTGGTGATATCAGGTCAAAACAGTCGATTGACATAATAATCCATCAGCATTCGAGTCGGTTGATCAGCCAAACAGTTGTATCATGCGGTAATATCAATATACTGCGATTGTAGCATGTCATTCATCAGATATTGTTGAAACCATTACAAAACCTGTTTGGACCAAATCAAACTGTGACGAATACCGCATACTCGGATCATCGTCAACCAAACCAGGAATACACACTTTGACAATATTGGAAATTGATGATTGAACCTGATTCATGGCTAATTCGTCGAGTGTTTGCAATGTGTTAATATAACCAGTCATATATCATTTGGTGTTGTTAACTTGTGGTTTGGTGATGGTTTGATTGCAAGTGATTCTTGGACACAACACATTGCAAACCAAGCAACTTGACTACTTGAACGACTCAAATGACTCAATACTAACCGGAATTCAATACAATTGTTGAATAGCCCGTGTAATATCAGATCTAGTCAAGCCAACAGTCAAGTCAACAGACACGACATTTGATACAACTATATACAGCAAAAATGCGTTGGATTCATTTGTGATTGCATACTCATCAATCTTGAATGACAGTGTTTGTGCAGTTTTGGATATAGGTTGTATGGATATTGCAACAAACATGTAGTATTATAGTATGACTGACATATACTACTATTGGATCAAACAACATAACAGTCCGATATGATGTCAAATATATATGTGCATAGAATGGTCACCAAACCTGATCGGTCGTGTATCAATCATAAACAACTACCAATTAGCAACAAGTGACATTCGTATACATTGACAGAATTACTACAGACAACACCAACAATTACAAGATTACGTGCAATATATCAAGAATTGTGACATGGTTTCAATAAACCAACAACAACTGAACAAATGACATTGCAATGATTATTCATAAAACAAGGCAATCAAACGACAATGTTAGTGACGATTATGTTGGACAATATTCATGATTCAAATATCGACAGTCAAACATTGGTTAACCAACAGTTGTACGATTATACAACTGACCCGTGTATTAACAAGTGATCAACCTCGATCCAGTCATGGTTGAAACGGTGTATCACAGGAATCGAAAGTTGATAGTATTGCTGTGGTGTAATATTAGCAACTACACACAACTTGACATGAATGACAATGTTGATATCGAGACTGTCAATGTATTACAATGTATTGGTCAACAGTGACTGCAATCAATGACAATATTGCAGTCGATCCAACCCATGTGTTGATTGGAACAATCATTATCCACTTGTCAGATTCAGCATGTAAATGAATGTCTTGTAACACATTTACCAATCCAACAATTGACTGATTAACAATAATTGAATATTAAAATGTTGAGTAAGACTCGAGTCATTATATGAATGACGTAATCAATTGTTGAGTTGAATTGACACTTGATTGAACAATACAAATAAACACATGACAAATGTTTAATTTGACAGTTTTAATTTCACACAAAATTGCTTAAACACTATTCAAAGTGTGAATTTGTCTCACATTGTTCACGTGATATCGAGTTTTGAATGTGAGACAAATTCACGTTTTGATCTTTTCTTGTCATTTCATTGTTTCACTTCATTCTATTACTCTATTCTATATTATATTTCATTCTACTCTATTCCATTTCTTTTTACCATATCTCTTCTTTTACAAACTCTGATGGAGAACAAAGCATTCTTTGTTCAGTACCTTGACAATCAGCCAGTTGGTTTGAGAACTCATATTCTCAACACCAATACTTTTGTCTGGGTTCAAACCCTGTTTACTGTTGCTGACCTGGTTGCTGCTTTCCAAGCACTTCCCAACTCTCCTCTTGCTTTTGCTTTTGTTGGAGACCTCACTCCATTATGTGATGGATGGAGTGGAGACTAGCTATAATTCCTGGGACCCCATTGCGAGCACCAACCGGGTCACCAACATTATCAAGGGGAAAAGGCCGCAAAGCAGTCCTTTCATTATTGATATGGGTATCAACCTTTACAGGTTGGTTTGTAAGATATTGAACAAAGAATGCTTTGTTCTCCATCAGAGTTTGTAAAAGAGATATGGTAAAAAGAAATGGAATAGAGTAGAATGAAATAGAATATAGAATAGAGTAATAGAATAAAGTGGAACAATGAAATGACAAAAAAAGATCAAAACGTGAATTTGTCTCACATTCAAAACTCGATATCACGTGAACAATGTGAGACAAATTCACACTTTGAATAGTTTAAACATTTTTGTGTGAAATTAAAACTGTCAAATTAAACATTTGTCATGTGTTTATTTGTATTGTTCAATCAAGTGTCAATTCAACTCAACAATTGATTACGTCATTCATATAATGACTCGAGTCTTACTCAACATTTTAATATTCAATTATTGTTAATCAGTCAATTGTTGGATTGGTAAATGTGTTACAAGACATTCATTTACATGCTGAATCTGACAAGTGGATAATGATTGTTCCAATCAACACATGGGTTGGATCGACTGCAATATTGTCATTGATTGCAGTCACTGTTGACCAATACATTGTAATACATTGTCAGCCTCGACATCAACATTGTCATTCATGTCAAGTTGTGTGTAGTTGCTAATATTACACCACAACAATACTGTTGCTTTTGGACGTATGACAACATATTAATGTAGTATAGTTTTGGAGGAATATCAGAAGTAAAAGATGAGAATGAAGGAATGAACCAATGAGTTAATTGTGTTGTTTATTGATAAAAGAAAGTATTGATCATTTTATAAGAATGTAAATAACGGTTATGCGTATCCGTGAATTAGACGTCATAGCTGAGAAAGTCTCTTGTTATTGCACAAGTGATGGCTGCGATAGACATCTCCTCAAACATATATGCGTCGTGTACGAGTCTCTGAAATATCTCGTTATTTATGATATTTCACATTACCAATGTTTAACAACTCTGATACAGTAATGCGGACTCGTGCACCGAGTTGAGTTGTCCAGCAATCGATTTTGGAAATGTGTTTGATGTGATGGTTTGAGATGGGTGCCAAATGACCACGAATGTTACCCATTGTCATGACAGTTGATTGTTGATTCAAAACGTTGTTTGTTTGGTATTAATGGTTAGAGTGTCACTCATTGACCTGTCAGATCAGCAAGTGTTATTTCGGTGAGTTTCGTGTTTATTGTAGTCACATCAACATCAGCAGGTTGCACTACGGATTTGCTTGACAGAGTTGCAGATCCAGTTGGATTGATAGACGAACAACTGTGCAAACAACTGTGCGAGTTGCAGGATGTTTGAGATCCAACAAAACACTGCTTGCACACAAGTTTGCGAATACAGATTGTCAGACTTGACCATCAACTCGCAGTATAAATTGCGTGTACGACAGTTTACACGCTTACCCATCAACAGTAAACCCACATAACCAGCAAATCATCAACGAGCAGCCAGCTCAGTGGTCGGGTTGATGTTTTTTGTTGGAGTTTCTGGATCAAACTTGACCTGATTTGTACCGAGTTGTGTCATGACTACAAGTTTGACAGCAATAGATTGATTTACTAATAATCTGATCGTGTTGTTGATTGTATGGATGTTGGTAATCCGTTGCAGATTGATACAGAATGTGACCAGAATACCACAAAGTTTATTGAGTGTGCACATTGCATTCGATGCAAAACGCAATAAACAAATGCGAGTTGCAGCATTCATTCAAGGTTCGACACCAGTCGATACAGCATTGACCGCAATGGTATTTATGTCAACAATTGCACGATTACGGAATGAGTTGATTGTTGCTTGGCATTCCGTATCGACAGTCTGCGTGTGTGTGCAACGTGCTGTTGTCGCATATGAACAACTTGGATTGACTTTGTGGACAAAACACAGTCACTGTTGCGGTGGTGTTTACAGTCGTGGAAATGGTTTCGAATACCGCAACTGGTATAACAACTGCATGTGTTGGTGAGCAACCAGAGTCCAGTTTGACCAAGATCTGTCCCAGTAATGATCAAATGACATTGTCGTGTTTGGTCATCATGGCAACAATGTCATTGGTTTGACTCTGCAACTGACCAAATGCGCTAATAACAGCGTTTGCAATTGAGTTCATATTACTTGTGAGGATCGTAGACATATGATGGCATATTGATGGTTGTCATTATTGTCAAGTGTGTTGCAGTTGATTGAAGATGTGAATGAATGAATCAATATTCGATTGTGTTGTTTATTAACAAGAAAATGAGTGTGTTCATAAGATGGAAGAAACCAAGAAAGTCATGTGAATTCCAGTTCAAACGTCATTGTTGATGGCTTTTGATTGTTAAACTATTCAGAAATGTCTCACATTCACACACTACTAATGTCTCACACAATGCAAGTCAACACTCTCACACTAGTAATGTCTCACATTAATGAGACATTAATTCTGGTGTGAATTTGACTAATTTCCAAATATTTCAATCGTGTGAATTGTCTTGAAATATCCCAAAATTTTGTTATTTTGACTCGATTAAAAAGTCGATTTTTGTTTTACAATTTGACAAATAAATTGCTTTTTTACTCTTTTTTCTTTTCATAAAATGCCAAAACGATTCCTCAATGTTGAATACAACACTATTTCTACTGAAATCGATGTGACTGACTTTGAAGACCTGAGTGAAGTTCAGGATGCTATCAAGTCTGAGTATGGTCCTGCTATGGCTGACATTGATGCTCCTCAACTGCAACTATACACCAACAGCAACAAGGACCAACTAATCAACACCTGGGCTTTACTCGACTCTCTTCCTCAATAATACTTTACTCAAGATGGTTATTGTGTTGTTATTGGTTGTTTACCACCACCTTCAAGACAACCTACTCAAACTAACCTAGGTCCAACATCTGTTGCAGCCTCAACCGCACTACTGAAATTTTGGACTGCTTTCACAAACTACCCTAACTCTCTTGAAGGAAACACTGTTGTCCAACTTCCAGCAGACATATTCATCCTTGGAAACCATTCAATTTGATCATCCATTTACATCCGTCCTTGTTATCCTAAACTTCTTGAAAAATCACTATCTATTGTGCAATCTGCTGATATACGTCATTTGATCATCCTTGGAAATCCTGGAATTGGCAAGACATATTTTGGTTACTTTTTGCTGTTGCATCTTGCTCGCTCTGGTGCTACAGTCGTGTATGAGAGTGGAGTTGATCAAAAAAGATATCTGCTTACTCCCAATGGTGTAATCGAAGGAGGAAAGCATGCTTTTTGGCAAATCTTGGATTCCTCGTCAACATTCTACATTGTTGATGGCTCGGCACCTGTTGATGTTGATGCCAAGACCATTCTTGTTACTTTACCTCGTTGGGAAATTTGGCATCGGTTTTGCAAGGGATCCTGCGACATTCGGTATATGCCAGTGTGGTCAAAAAAAGAATTGCATTCTTGTCGCTCAATGCTGTTTCCTACAGTTCCACAAGAATTGGTTGAAAGTCTGTATTTGAAGTGGGGAGGAATTGCTCGTTATGTTCTTAAATATGCATTGGTAAAAGAACAACAGGATTTTCTCGACAAAGCTTTAAATATTTCCAATATCGATTCAGTTGTCAAGTCTTTTGGTAAATATGGTGAAAACCTAGACGCTTCAAGTTGTTTGATTCATATATCAGTCAAGGATGGCTTCCACAGTGGTCCTTATCAGTTTGCTTCTGACTATGTGGTTGATGAAATTTACAACCGTGTCTATGTCAGAGACCGAGATCATCTTATCAGATTCGTTTCTGTCACTCGAGAAATTGGTGAAACTGGTCAACTTAATAGGGTATTATTTGAAAAGCACGCTCATACAGTCATCGCTAAAGGTGGTTCATTCAAGATTCGTGATTTACGTACCAAGCTGGAGTCTACACTTCAACTGCCGATGGATCTTACTACTTTGTTATTGTCCAACAATTCTCAAGTTCAAGACGCAACGAATTGCTATTTCCGTCCCATTAGCAATACTTTTGAATCTGTTGATTCGTTCATCAAGCCAAATCTACTTTTCCAAATGACCGGTGCCAAAGATCATCCTTGCAAACAGACTGAACTTTGTGATGTTTTGGAAATACTTGGTAATCCGTCAAAACCAGAACTGTATTTTGTTGTACCTCCTGATCGTTTTGCCTGTTTTACACGCCAAAGCTACCACGGAACAGATGGCCAAGTGTTGTCACAAAACGATACTATTGCGAGTGTCAAGAAGTTGACTCGATTTGTTTTGACGTTTGAACCATCTCATCAATAAGGTATGTAGACTATAATCAATGATTTTTATTGGCTGCATAACGCTAATCCTAACTCTGTTTCTTGACCTCGTTCTACACAATACACGGCGTTTGATTTCTTAAAGGTGAATAATATCGTATGGGTTCCATTGGACAACAAACCTCACTTTGTGGAAATGACCACTTTCATTGTCAGGAACTTCCCAGTCGTGTAATTTAATAGTTTTGGTTTTGAAACCTATAGTTTCTTGTAAATAATTGCATATCCCAAGACTGTTTTTCACCATACAGTTTTGAAACTAATATTTTGATTCAAGAACAAACTGCGTTTTCCTTTTCCTTTTTCTTTTGCAAATAAAAGTTGTTTTGTTGCTTACAATTATGGTCAATCAATTGACTGCCAAACTGTACAGCAGTTTTGCTGACATTGGATTTGTCCAGTCGATAGTCTCGGGTTTCAAACTTGAATCAAACTCCCAGCTGATAAAACACTGCAGGGATTGTTACAAGCACAAAAGCAGCTGTTTCAAGAGATGTTGGTATGATACAAGGAGTACCAGAAAGTATACTCTTACAAAGAATTGTTTGCAACTGAATTGAATCAAATAGCCATACGTGATAAACAGCGGGTTGATTCTGGCTTTATTCCCAATCAATGGTATTTGTCAGAATATTTCGAGCTTCGTTGATTTGTTTTTGTATGTAGTATAGTAGATAAAGTATAATCTGTAACTGTTAGTAGTTATCAGAAGAGAACAAATCAGAAGTTCAAGAGGAAGTTGCACTTGAAATCAAGATCAGCAAACTTAGTCTTTTCAACCGTAGTGAAAAGGGTTTGATAAGGTAGTTAGACAGATGAAATAGTTTTGAAGAGTTGTTTATTGATAAGTGTAAGCATTCTAGCTTTTATAGTAGTTGATTGTTTGTGTCTTGTGATACGAACAATTAACACGTTTGATGATGAGAGGTTGTAAACGAGAGTTACAACCAATAGTGTTGATTTCTGGAGTTAGTAAATTTAATAATGGCATCGTCTACCCGTTTATAGAGAGCTCGAGTCCTAGAAATGAGTGTAATGGAGTTACTGTGCACATGGATTTTTGGTGATGAAAGGATTTAACTTGTGTTTAAGTTTGGCGCTTTTTAGAACTAGCTTTGCCACAGGTTACCGCTTAAGAGTATCCGTCTGGATATTCCAACACAAACAAGTAGAATGTATGATGAGCAATCAGAAAAGTAAATTGATCAATAGGTGTAATTCATATTGTTTACCAAGTCAGATAGTGGAATTATGGCACACAAACATTGGTGATACGAGTCCCTTGGATCATCACATATTACCATTTAGTATTCTGCATGGATACTCGACACATTTGGTAGTCATACATTGTATGGTCATCAAATTTGAACCCACATTCATGTATTGTGTTTGACTGTCAATGTTGTCAATACAACTATGTACACACATTTGTTGTGTTTATCACCATCCAACTCAATCTCACCATTTCAATCAATCTTGGTCAATGTTGATGATTTACACGCTAATTCATTATCCAATCTTGTCTGACATTATTATTGGCTTTAATCACATTTGGTTTGTACAACTGCCATGATTTGTACTACCATTATCATTGTGTATCTAATCACCAAATATTCCAATACATCAATAGTACCACAGTGTAAACAGTAATACAGTTGATTAGTCTTGTGGCAAGACTTTTCATTCAAGTTTGTATTTGGAAATACTCGATGATTTAATCACAACACATTGTAATGCGATTGTCATTGATCTCATCTCATTCCAGTCCAGTCCATCTGATTTATGATGATGTTTAGTAATCCATTACCATGTGTTGTAGTAAACTAACTTGTTTATTAAACCAAATCTACAACGATCACATTCAGAATATTAATTTACAGTATTTCTAAATGCATGTTTGATAACAATCCAATTTTGTTACAAAAAACTGATCAAAACAATACTAAAATGGAACAACTCGTTTGTGTGTTTTACAACAATCCAAACATGAACAATTCTCGGCAATTGTTGGACATTCGCATGAATGAAATTGTCATCAAAATTCAACTTTACTAATTTTATCAAACATGGATTGTGTTGATATCATGAAAGAGTTTATCAAACACCTGGAGGATTTGAAACTATTAACAACGGATGCCCAACTATACAAGGCTGATGAAATATGAGACAGACTGCTTGAATTGATAATGGAGTTGGAAGAACAGAATTACAGTAAGTTTAATAGCAATTGGATTATTGATGAATTCAAACCATTGCTGACTTTGTGTTGGTTTGAAATGGCATGATATACATATGTAATGCAGCACTTACAGAGTATTGGACTGGAAGATATTATAATCAAGTATTTGGAGTATAATCGACCCAGTTTACAGGTATTCATATATTGTAACAATAATGGATTGTTGTTCATGACTAAACTAATCAACATGTGTTGTGTAGGTCAAAGTAATGGAATTTACTGCAGTGTTTTTGAGAATGGTGTACAGTAATAATGAGTTCAAAGTATCACATCGACTAAACAGCCAATTTGCACAACTCATGCAATCACCAAACTGTCAAGTCAAAATGGCGGCAAGTCATGATTGATATTGACCAAATGATTGACATTCAACTCATCTAGTGTCAATATGCATATAGGCAATAAACGCATGTATAAAGTTCAGCCATAAATTCTGGAGCAATAAGGATGGATTTGACATCAAGCCAATGGTTGATATTATTGTTCATGAGTCCAATCAAGAAGTGCTCAGATTGGCAATTGGCCTGTTCTCGACCGTTTGCAGTGAGGTTGACGATTGGAATGTATGTTTACAACAATACAATATTGGATCAGTTTGGACAGTGTCATGTCATGTCTTGTTGATCTAATTGTATACTTGATATTGAACAATATCATTAGTTTGGCATCGTGTTGTCAAGACTTGTTTCACGACTGGAATCATCCAATGGTCTAGTTGCTGTTGGGTTTATTAGAAATATCAAAACCATATTTTGGAGTATTCATCGTCATGACTCGGTAAAAGCAGCAGGATGTGGCATCATTCCAGCACTGGTCAATACGCTCGGGTATGTGGTGTTATGCATGAATGTGTGTCCAGTCATCACAATTGGTAAATTTGACATGGTTGGATTGATATGACATGAATACAGGAGTGTCGATCGAAAAGTGATTAGTCAAAGTATTTATACTATTTGGAATTTTTGCAACTATAAAGATTGTGAAATAGTTTCAGCCGAGTTTATAAGATCGGGTTTGATTCAAACACTGAACGACTTGTGTATCAGATACAGCGACGACCTTGAACTAAAAAAAACGCATAATCTGGATAGCTGGAACAATTGTATCTGGTATGCGCGACTTTCCTGTATCACTTGTACGGTCGTTGGTTTTTGAGCAATTGACGATATCGATGTGTGATGTCGATATACGTGACTGTTTGCGCCTGTTTGATTATGTCAACGACATGATTCAGAAATCTACAAACAAGGACGAGATGATCAAGGTGTTTCGAGAATATGGAATTGTAAAGCAACTCAACATTACTCTTTTACGCAGAGATATAGATCTGTATGATTATGATAATGGTAATAATGCCGGTACTGGTATTGTAAACCTACTCAAAACATTTGCTGGTTTTGCCGACAATCATCCCGACAGTTCAATACGTACCGAGTTGGATCAAGGCATGATATTTGAAAATCTAACGGCTATTGTAAAATCGGATACTGCTGACTACACAAACAAGAGGGCTGCTGGCCGGATCATTAAAACGTGTTTTCAGCATCGGGTTCACGTTGCTAATTCGGACATTCAGCCATACAAGGACAATGCCGAAATTGATATGAGTTCTGGAATGGCCGGATATGTACATGGAGAGGTACGCACACTTGTCGAGATGCGGTATGTCCAGTATCTGCAACATATACTTTGCAAACCCATGTGGTGGATCGATATCACAAACCAGCATATTGTGGAGCAATGGAGGGCCGACTCACTCGATCGGAATATATCACCATCAACATTTAATCTTGCGTTGGAACAACTCGGGGTTTTTGTCAAACAACTTGTTTGTAGTGGCAGTGATGGATTGGGCACAATTGTACCAGGACCTGTTGAACTGACGTATATACTGGACAATGGCATACCTGACAATGTATACACGCGATTGATGACAAATGTATCGGATATTGAACATGGATCAAATCACAACACTGGTCAAATGGTGCACAATCTGATTGATGCATCAATGTACAGTGTTGTATATGGACAAACGATGATTGCACCACTGAGTATACGACTCAAATACATCACAATGGTACCATGCGATATATTGTTATCGACTCGACTTGTTTCAAATGTGCCCATCATTGAAGGTGATTCCGAGTTTATATCATGCAGGTTCCAATGTCTTCCGAGTGAATTCCGTGTCGAACAGGATGGCAGTGTGACCATCAACTCATACATCAACAATCTGAATCCGATATGGCATCGAGACATGTACAAATGCATTGCCAAAATATTCAAATATTTTGTCCCAATGTTTGAAAGTCTGTTCAGGACGATGGATCCAATGTTCAAGTATATTGATATTCGCAATGGCACAAAGGGATATGAACCATCAAGGCATTCAGACTATGGTGGTATGGAATCAGACACTCAAGTCATTCGTCCCGTGTATGTACCAACACTTCCGGAACACTTTGAATCCAAATATGAATCAGCAAAGCCAGTGTCACTGCGTGGTCGTAATCTACAAGTCATTGTCAAACTCACCAACATTCAACTGACACCATCCAAACCTAAATACGACGAGGGAGACTGGCACATTGAAGGTCTAATTAACGAATCGATTGTTGCAACTGGACTGTATTACTACGACGTGGAAAATATCACCACACCCAAACTCGATTTCCGCGTGGCTGTTGATCGTTTTGAATATGAAATGGCATCTGATATGTATTGGAAAGATGTGTACGACATTGATCGAGAATCACCACGCAATCAGTATATAGGATCGCTTGAAGTACCAAATGGTCGATGTGCAGTTTATCCCAATCGATATCAACACAAGGAACAATCATTTGAACTTGCAGATCCAACTCAACCAGGACACTGCAAGATTCTGACATTTTTTGTAGTGAATCCATCTTGTCGGATTGTTTCGACTGCACATGTGGCTCCGCAACAACCACAATGGTACAACTCGAGTCTTGATAAGGCACCCATACCGCCTGAACTGTGGAATGATATCACGCAGTATATTCAAGGTGTTCAATCACCAGCTGAAACCAAACACCATCGAGATAAATTGACAAGTGACCGAACTCAAATCATAAGAGTATACAACGAATACATATATGAGCAGGTGTATAATCTTGGTCCTTGGCAGTGAATTGTGAGGTTGTGATTTTACAACAATGAGTTGCAATGCCAGTCAGATCTATGCAATTAAATGTATCGAATCAATCATGTCAATCTTGACAGTGACTGTTGATTATATTGACTGATTGTGTACAATTGATTGATACAAGTGATATGGATGCATCATTCGGTGTTGTTGAATCAGATCATTGCTTGATTCTGTCAATGTGATCAAATGGATTACTACAAAACTGGACATGCTCAAGTTGAATCAAGTATTGAATCGAGTATTGGATTGATATTTACACACAACCACAATTACAACCACAATTGCAATCAGCACAGTCTGAATATTAGACATTTGAACATCACGTATCGAGTTGTGGATAAATGCGAGTTGGCATATTGGACTGTTTTTGTAGTTTATTAATGATTTGATTCACGACTGTTTGAATTCAAGGCTCAATATGGATTACAACTGGATTGTCGTTGTTTCCATTTGGAATGACAAATCTGTCAATGTGTTGATTGATTGCTAGTTCATTGATCAATTCATTGATCAGTAATTGTCCAAATCAAAGTTGTATCTGAGTCGAGTTGTCAATCAGAATACCATAACCTGACATCCAAACGATTATTCAAACGATTGTCCAAACCATCAATGATTGCCAGAATAAGCTTTACGACTCGACTGCAATAACCACCACAGTCATGATCAGGTTAGTATGTTGATCCGTTTACAAAGTTCCAGTACTGAAACAGATTCAACATACTCTTGAAAGTGCTGCACACCACATGAATCCAGCAAACCCACTGATGAATTGAACCAATCAATTGACCAATGACATGACTCGATATTGGACATCGAGTTGCACACAGTTGGTAAAAAGTTACCGACATGTTCAGATAGTCAAACCTTGACTACAGGTTGATATCATCGCCCAACACACCAAATACAACACACAATCTGGACGACTACTGGATCATATTGTGGATATCAATCGACGGAGTTACTGGTTCCAAACAACCATGTACAGTCATGTACAGTCATTACAGGACAATATGATACATTTATGAATAGCATGTTGTAATCAACACGAGTGGAGTTGTGCAATAGACTTGTCATGGTTTGCAATGGTTTGATATGAACATGATGACTCGGACTCTATTCAGTCACATCAACTCGACTACAATTGGTCGTGTATATTATGATTAACACGATCAATTGTAGTTGAACTCGACTACAGATTGACTGTTGAATCACAATGCGTGGTATCAGCAACATGATGTGATATATAGTGGAATGTATACGCTAACCTGACATGTGTCATGTAGTGTGTATTCGATCAATATGGGGTATTGATTAAAGTTGTGACCAATTACCGGTATTTTAGTTGCAGAAAGTGGATTGTCCAAGCTTTCAAGTATTTGCTTTACAAAACCTTGTTTTCATCCAAGAATATAATAGTAAACATGACTAATGAATTTATTTGCTTGTAAAAATCTATAATTAGGCAGCCTTGGGATAGGAATGCAAAAAAGCGTTATATTAGGAAGACGTTCAAGCATGAATGACAACATCATCTTCGTTGGAAAGCTCTTCCAAAGTTTTGCCCTTAGTCTCGGGAACAAGATAGGTGGCAACGAAACCAGTGGCCATGACAACAGCAAAGGTGTAAAGCACGGCTTGAGGGGCCTGAGAAAAGTATGGAGTAACGGCCTGAACACCGATAATGGCTCCAAGTTTACCAGTAGCAGCGGAAATACCATGACCAGTCGATCTCCAACGAGTTGGGAAAACTTCACCAGGAATAACAAAGGTAGTAGTGTTGGGACCAAAATTGAAAAAGAATTGAGCAATGGTGTAAATAACAATAAAGACAGTGGTGTTGGTCAGCATGTATTGCCATCCAGCAGCGAGAATGATCAAGCACACTGTGATGACAGCGAATCCGAGATACTGAATGGGTTTACGGCCAAGCTTTTCAACAGTGGCAACAGTTACCCAGTAGCCTGGTACAGTTCCCATCAGTGCAATAATGATATATCCGATAGACTTTTGGAAAAACTGTTCGTATACAATCTTGGTATTGGAACCACCATAGTTGATAGCAGTGAGAATAACCGACTGATTAATGGAGAGACCATACCAGGCAATATCAAGCGCAAACCAACAATATGCACATCCAAATAGAACCTTGAAGTTCTTCCATTGCCCAAAGTGGGATTTGAAGTCGGCAAACGTATTCTCTTTGACCTGAACAGGTTGAGAAACCTCATTGGAGTCTTTGGTAGCAACCCATGAAGAAGTAACATTGGCACTGGTGTTCATCTCGAGAACTTTGGACACGTCGCGTTCGGCAGCTTCCTCGTCACCAAGTACATCGACAGTATAACGAGGAGTTTCGGGAATAGTAAGACGGAAATAGACAGCAAACATGGCAGGAATGACACCAAAACCAAGCATAATACGCCAGACATAGTCGAGGTACATAATGTCTTGACGTATGCTAGACTCGAAGGCGGAAAGAGTAACAACAGTGACAATACCACCAACAAGAATACCAATGCCTTGCATGGCAAATACGGCAGACATCATCATACCACGGTAGCGCACGTTGGCAAATTCTGAAGTTATAATGGCGGACATGGGGTAGTCTCCACCGATACCGATACCAAGAAAGAATCGCCATATGCCAAGAACAGTAAGGATATCGATACCACGAAGAGAAGAAGCAGAAAAGGCAGAACCAATTGTGCATACAATCATGATGATCAGCTCAATACCGTACATTTGCTTACGACCAAGCTTGTCACCAAGGTAACCAAAGCCGAGTTGACCAATAAGGTTACCCCACGAAGTGGATGCTTTGATAAGTGCATCAATGTGCTTCCAGTAGGGATCCGAACCAAAGCTGATTTTGGGATACCATATTTTTTCAATCATACCAATAGCCTGAGAGATGACAAAAATATCATACTACAATTATAGACAATTAAAAGTGACAGAAACCAAGTTAATATTGAGCAAAATAAATTGTATTTGCATGTTAGTGAGAGTATATCTAGATCAAAGTAACCTACAGCATCAGTGAAAAATCCGACACCAGATACAAGAACAGCACGCATGTGAAACCAGCCAAGCTTGGCATCATCAAGATGAGCGAGAGCTTGTGCACGACGCTCACCAGCACTGATGGTTTTGGTAATTTCTTTTTGGTCCATGTAAACTATTACAACAGGAGTCTTGGTGGATAAAAGACAGGTTTGGGGGAAAAGTCGGTCTATTTGTATTCAGAGAGGCAATGAATACATTCTACTGACTCCATGCAATGGATAGCTATACGGCAGACGTACCTTTGTGTCTAGTAGGAGTTTATTCCCACGTTGATTTTGCTTTGCGCTTATTGGCTAGACAGTAAGCCAATTAGTGGGTGATAAGCGAGCATGTTTCTAGCCGAAAATTTGAACATACCCCAATCACATGAATACTCGAGATGAAGCGGTGTCTTGAAAACAATCGACATGGCTTTTTATGGCAGTATTCACAATGTGGGTACTGATACACACAATCACCACTGTGGCGTGCTAATCTATCCACACGAGCAGCCGGTATTGGTTTGTATTCAGTGTAGTGCGCAACTAATTTCCCACTCGCCAATTGGCTGAAAATTGCTTTGTAAAATGAAAATCTACAATTCAGCTAGTGTTATCAAGAGATTAAAACGTTGGTAATATCGATCATTGTCAAATTCAATTCATCTTTTGTCCTGAGCCATACTGTGAGTCATCTGTGCAATCTCAAACTTGATATATTCATGTAATTCAACTCTTTGACACAGATGATAACAATTTGCTGTTGTCCAAGCACCAATATCCAATTTTAGAAGTCTGTTGCAATAAAAGGGTTGTGTTTTGTCTTTTCCAACAATTTTTGCTTTGATACAGTTTATGGGTATCTAAAGAGTGTCAAAGTACATGATGGACAGTCTCATGGAACGATTGGTGTCAATTTACTGGACAAGTGTCATCTGAACTTTTTACTGGTCTTTATTTGGTGATTGGCATATATAGTTGTATTCCTAATGTGTGATTTTTGTTGAGCTAAATCGCGAACATATGAGATTCAAAACAGGAGTTTATACAGGGTTTGAATGATACCAGTCAACCCCAATATATCGATTGCGGTGGATGAATATGGTGATCGTACAATATATGGCAATGTCAAGTGGGGATAATCTCAGTTCAAAACTATCATTTGAGTATTATATGATGGATATCGTGTTTATTAAAGAATTGATAATCCCTAAAACCAATTAATAGTAAGCACAACAGATGGTTGAATATTATTTATTCCGAAAAGGCAGTGAATGCAAGATCAGTACAAATGTTCCATTTCGTACGAATACTACTCTAGAATCGAGTATCAAGCATTACAGATATGGCATGTATAAAACAATGGTTTATAAATGTGTACTAGATTAACTACCGCTTATATTGTAAAGTTGAACAACTTATTTGTGTAGTTTGCCATGTATTTAAACTGTAAAATCTAACAGGAAATCTTGAATGACTTGTATCAAAGTATTCCAACAGATAAACTAGAGTTGAATACACTAGACATGAATATCATCTGCATGGAAATGTCTTCAAATGCTCTTGATTCAACTCAATATTCTCCTAGCCAAGCCAGACTATTACAAAGTTCACCAAACTTCATATCGGGTTGCATAACTACAAGATTTACTCGATCGACTGTTTGACAAAACTTTTTGACCAACTTTCCATCCAGCAATCAGCACAATCGAAAGGATTCATACAATGGTTGAACCACTAGACTCTGAACAACCTACATGTCCTGTTGACCACAGTAATATGGACAAGAATCATCCATTATGGGAGCAATACACTAATATCCATTCTCAAACGGCTACACAAAAGCCTTCATTAAACGAATCAGACCAATCCACAATAGATACTGCTTTACTCAGGCATCAACTTCCTATCGATAAGCCGACAGAGAATAAACAAAAACTAGCTAATGAAAGAAATGATGGCTCTGCAAAACATAACCACTCTGTTTCTGATCAGACGGATGCAATCAATCCACTGAACAATATGACTGCACCTAATCAAACGCCTGCACCTAATCAGACAAAACCATTAGACACAGACAGAGAAGTCAGTACAATTCCTATGGGTGGGTCGCATAGTGGATCCAATTGGATTTATCCAAGTGAACAGGCAAGCTTATGAGCTGTTTAAACCCAATGCTATTAACCATGTGTTTGACTGATTTCAATTGGATATTAATTTCTTTTAAACATGTAGATGTTTTTTAATGCCATGCGTCGTAAGAGCTGGGATGCCAAGGAAGACGATATGAAAGTCATTGTGCCGATTCATAACGCTGTGAATGAACGATGTTGGAAACAAATTCTGGAATGGGAGTCGCTTCATTCAAGGTATTTTTATTCTTAATCTGGTGTCGTTAAACTTATGGGCAAGTATTCTTATGTTTGCAAATCTGTCTTTAATCATGTCTGGTAGCACATGTTCCCAGCCAAAACTATTGAAATTTCAAGGAAGACCAAAGGACTATTCACCAAAAGCTCGATTTCGACAACTTCTTGGGTATGTTGATACAAAATAGACTGTACAATTGATTCTATTTTTATATTTGTAAATCAATATAACCTGACTGCTTGTGTTTTTAACAATACAACAGATATAAGCTTCCTTTTGATCGACACGACTGGACTGTTGATCGATGCGGAACCACTGTAACATACGTGGTAGATTTCTATACAGGCCAATCTAGTAGTCCAACCGATCTTGCCTTTTACCTGGACGTCCGACCTGCAATTAGCTATCAAGGAATAACTGACAGGCTGTTCAAATTCTGGAAAACTGGTACTGGATTATGGTGAATCCACTGGTTTCATTTCCACGCCAATATTATTATGCAAAAATAATATATCAAACATGCCAAGATTTGGTTTTATATTTTATAGTATTGGGTATTGTTCCGATGGCTACACAATACAGAGTAATTATATCGAATGTAATTATACACGGCAATATGTAGATGAATTTGAGCAATCTGTCAAGCAGATACTTGTATGAACAATTATGAAGACTGTAACACGGAAATGTAACGGTCACAGCTAAAGAGATGAGAGTGAAGATGTACACTTATAGAATAACGAATCAAGAAACCTCGAGAATAGCAATTATAGTTGGACACCAGTTCAATGAATCTCATACAGTAAATCCATTACAAAGTTTGTATTTACAGCCAATAGTTTTGGCTTTTCTAGGCATATGCTTTTATTTCATAGCAAACTCCCAATGCTAGCAATCATCGCTCATTTGACTTCCTAAAAAGCAAATTAGTCGAATGCGATCTAGTTCAGCAATCAATGCTGATAGCGAATCTGGCATTGAATCCAATCCGGCCAATGTTTCAGAACCAATTGATGATGCTGGTGTAGATGCCATATCGGGAAGCGCAGAGTTGTATGAGTTCTAATGCAATAAAAAGTATAATGAAATGATTAAAAATAGTCTCAAGGTAACCATTACGACACTACCCATCCAAAGACATGCTGCGCTACTATAAGTTTATCAAGAAGCTAGCAGATTATGCCTATAGATCGGATTTAAAGCAAGGAGAAATACCTGGCTGAAAGCATGTGTGGATGGTGAATTGCAAGATTTCATGTTTATAGCCATGTTGACCAAGCTAGCATGAGTCTGTGAACAAGGCACAATGCTATCAAGACAAAAAGAAGCAGCTGCAGTTGGTTTGTACTGAATATCAAAAAGATTCTTGCTGGTAGTACCAAATGACATTCTCATTTGTCTTGAACGAAGAAATGTGCCAGCAGCAGATCGACCTGAATTTATACAGCATTTCAGCACTAATCCAGGCATAGTTTAAATCAATATATTTGATGGAATGTATTTGAATGGTCAAACAAGTGCCAGCAAAAAAAGTTGTAAAAATCTGGATTAGACGATTAACCAAGTTTAACCCTTTGAATCGCATTAGATTGATTCGACCAGAATGATTGACCAAATGGTATGAATCTTGACCAATATCCGTGCATTACTATGATATTGAACTGCTTTATTCACACCAATATTCTTGAACTCTTCAACTCAGCTTCACTCACTTTTACCTAAACAATTGCTGGATCTGGACTGGAGCGCTTTGATAACTCAAGCATGGACAGAACTATCACAAGACTTGAAGCAGTTTATACATGCAGTAAGGAATATGATTGTCTGTATGTTTTTGGAGAATGAGCGAGTGTGTAGTGCCTTGAACTATTGAATCTGTCAAACGATGGCTGACAATTTATCCAAACTCGCTGATCATTAGGTAGACTGGGATGAGTCGTTTATCATGGGTCTAGCTGCATTCCATCTGACTGTATTTATATGGATCCTCATTTCTCGTAGTCGCCAAATCACATTGATACTGACAGTCATGATTTTAGGTATTCGAGTTGTTGAAATTCAATAATGCTAGATATGAACATTTTCAATCTTGACCTTATTGATCGATCCCAATCTAATATTTTGTGATCTTGAACTAGGTGTTATGGCACTACTGAGTGAACCAATCAATGCACTAGCCAACAGTCACTACTTGTTATTTTCAAAACAAAACTACTTTGATAAATCTGGAATATTTGTTGTTACCATGTTTGCGTTGCCCATTCTTGTCAATATCTTGGTTGCATTGGTAGGTTTTTGGGATAGTTGTTTGAAACGTGTTGCATATATTCTTTTTAAATCAAATCCTGAGATTTATTTGACAGCACCATGATTATACTAGAGTTAATTTGGTGTATCAACTATTATGATTAAATGTATAGGCATTTATTGTGGTATATACTTTGAAATTAATGGTCCAGGCCAAACGCAGTCAGTTGCGACAGCACATCCTATCAAAGGCAGACAAGGATAAATAAATCTATCAGGGCATCGGCTGAAAAACTGTGTCAACCTTGATCTTGTTCATAAAAGTAAAATGGTTGTACTTTTAATGCCAATGAACTTGAATAGATCAGATGGATTGCTTTTCGATTTCTTTTGCAAATGCGACATCCATTAGGGCAAACATGGTTTCTCGAGAAGGAAGAAGCTAAAATATTGACAAGTCATACATTACGAAATAGTTTTATATACAAGTCAGTACAGTATATTGATATTTGCATTCCAAGTTGAAATGAAAAATGCAATGTAGGTTTAAAATAAATCGCTGTTATTTTGATACGAGCATACTTTGAAAATGGGACGCTTGATTGCTTGAGAGGCCGCATACGATCTATCTTTGGACAGATATGATCGTTTCTATCAACATGATTACCATTTAGCAGTTTATAATAAGCGCATGTTTAATGCATAATATCACTGGCTAGACATGAAAATTAAATGTGCTTACCTTGATATCTTCATGATGGGCAGCAAGTGCAGTTTTGTAATTCATCAATGCATTTCGATGATTTTTGCGTCGGAATATTAGATTTTCAAAAATCAATTCGGTTTTGGCATCACTAAATCATATATGGCATTTTATATTTGATTGTCAAAATCATGTCAACAATCGAGTAAATTCAGATTCAATAAAAATAAAAATAAAATTTAATCATTTGCATGCTCAACTCACTTGGAAATTCTTGCCAGAGCCTTTTCAATGGCCACTGCTTCCTCTTTTTTTGACTTTGCTTTTTTCTTTTTAGCACGCTTTTCGTCTACATCAAATGGGTTGTCTTTGCTATAGTGAATCAACCACGCATTGCTGAGTTGTGTCCAATACATATCGATGACCTTCAACTGTGCTTGACGGATTTGTAAAAACGATTTTGTGTATTTTTGAACGTATACAACTGCAAATATAATCAATTACAGTGATATTGAATAAATGAAAGTTGTCAGATACGCCATCCTACACAAAATTTGCACATGTCAAGACAAGGCTATAAAAGTATTAAATTACCTGAAGAGCGGTATTTTAAAATCTGATGTTTGATTTTGGATGTGTCATATACTTCTTTAAAGAATGAATGAATGACATCGGATGCCTTTAGCAAACGAGCAGACTTCCACTTTGGATAAAACTTTTTGAAACACCTAAAAAACAGTCAATCCTGTAACTATTTGTACATGTATAGACTGTTACTCAATATTTTTATACCTTGAAATAATCCGTAATGATGCCTTTTGCAATTGTTTTAAACGAGACTCTTTATACCGTCGATATTCACGTTGGATAATAATAGCTGCGTGCAACTGTTTCAAATAAACCAATTTTTCCTTTCGGACTGTTTCCAAAGCAGTACATATTGCACTAACTCTCGATGCAACAATAATAATTTGAAACCATCTAGACTGGATAGCTTGAGTACGACCATCACCCTCTCGATCTCTCAACAGATGCAAAGCAGAAATTTCTTCCTTTTGCTGTATATCTTTGGCTTTCCGTATTTGTGCTCGTTCATCCAACCGTTTCTTTTTTACCAGTACCTGACACCGATGTTCTTCATTTTTAGCCCGACGTGTAGCAATCAAGGCACGCTTGACTTCGGGGAATAAAGTATAGGCAGTCTGTTTGTTGATCTTGACAATATTCATATTGTCCATACGGGTTTGATGAATGGTGTTGAATTTGTATGTGGCAATTTTTGTTTCAAGAGCTTCCCATTCAGTGGGGTTGGTTTTTAAAACTTGAATGCGTTTAGCTAGATCTTGCATTATGACTCGCATGGGTTTTCGACCTGCAAGAGCTCGAAGGTTTGAATTGTTTGGATCGACTGGGTTGGCGGCAGTGGATTGGGGTATGCCCGTGTTTGTTGCTGGAGTATGAGAAGAGGGTTGTAATTGTGAGGAGGGTTGAAAAGATGGCATTACAGAATATTGTCGGTTGATTTCAGATGGATCTAGCCCCCCTTCTCGTCGTTTTTTGGGATGATCTGTCACATCCCGTTGAAGTGCTTGAACAACATCGTCTGTTTCTTGGTTAGGTTTTGCTTCAATGCCTTTGGCAGTTTCTATAAACCATATCATTTTGCGTCAATAAAACAAATTACCAAAAACACCAATCGTGTTAAATCAGGCATTTGAAACTATTTCAATTGATTTACATATTAAAACAGTCAAGTATCAATTCAACAAGAGTGAGTGGTTGATAACTTACCTAGCATTCGATAAATAGTTTGCAAATTGCGGTCGAATGCAGCCTTCATATCAGCCGATTCTTGCAACGCATCTCCATCATCTCCAATATCTCGCCACATATCTTTTAGTCCAGCCGTATGGCGGTAATAGTGATCACCAGTTAGATTGTTTGCGTTTTGCCCATTTATCGTTGCAAGAATGGCAGACATGTGTTGGTTCTGCCGACGCGTTGCGAGCGACATGGATGTTGTGATATAGTTGGACCGTTTTGGCTGATGATAGTGTGTCAAGGACCCAAATAAATCTGCTGGTGCCGTACTTGGATAATCCGGCAAGTGTTTTTCATTAGTGGATATAGGCTTGGTTTCATCGCTGAATCCAGACTTGGTCAGGTCGGCAAAACGAGAAGGCAACGGTTGCAGTGTGGAAGTTGTTGGTGTACAGCTGGCTAAAAAGCCTTTACAAGTGACGGATGCATTTAGGGGAGGTAGCGTGGCTGGAGCAGTAGACATTTTTTTTGGAGAATCAGTTGGCCATTGCGGTATCTGTTCAAGACCCAATGGATGCCGTCTTTGGTGGTTGATGGTTTCAAAATTGCTCAGTAAATGGTCGCGAGTTTCCATTTTCTGCGAGTTGCCTTGACAATTTATCCTACTTTGTGAAAGTAGAAAACAGCTGGTTTTAATCCAAATCTGTCGAGTTTGCTAGATTATAGGCTCATTGTAATGGTAACACTACATTAGCTGCTTTGACATTCAATATATACTGCTTTGGTCTAGCGTGAACAGGCTTCCCAATACTCCAATATTTGACTGAGCTAATATCGCATTCAAGCTATTGCCAAAACAAGATAAATAGGTAAAGTAAAAGATAGATTTGTTTATTTGAAAATAAAAAGGTAGATAATAAAAAGTATACTCAGTAGCGCTGCATAGGCAATTTAGTATGGGCATCGGCCATTGATAGTTTAAAATGAAAGCCACCATGAGGCATAGATGCAGATTTTTCAATTTCTTGAATTAGCTTGGCAGGTTTCGGATGTTCAGTATTATCAGTAAAATTTGGTATGTTTAATACAGAACCACATTCATCTTTGGAAACTTTAGAATATACTGAGATTGGAGTTCCAGGCATAGAAGAATGTTTAACCATATCAGCAGTTGTAACTGATAAAGTAGCCGCAGAGGAAAAGGCAGTCGAGAATGGGGTAAAATTAGGATGCCTTGGTATAGGTTTACAGCAAGAAGCATGATCAATGGATCGTTTTTTAATAGCGACTTGCAAACTAGGAGTTTTCAAAGATGTTTGTGCGTGAGGAAGTCCATCAAAGGGGTAGGGAGCAGTTGAATCTTCAAGGTAATATGCATAGGCTGATTTTTCTTTGGAACTACAATTAGAAAAACAAGGCGTTGATAAATGACGAGATCCATGAAGCATCATGTCTGCATCTGGACCTGGCATCCGCATATTTGAGACTTCGTCGTTGTCAGATCCAGATGAAATGCATTCTTGGCCACGCTTTAAACCACACACTGTATCGGATGATCTATCCTTGCTGGTTCGCGATATAGTTGATGAAAGAGGTTGCCGAGACATCAAGTTGGCCAAAAATTTGTCGCATGCGCTGTCTTCAGCAGTAGTCAGCGCATTTGGATGTTTTGTTGGTTCGTTTGACGACGACAAAATGCCAGGTTTAGACAAAGAAAATAGCAACGGTGCTGTTGAAGCAAACTCAACAGCTGCCATGTTAAACATAACCAAGAAAAATTAATCATGATCATAGTAAAGAGTGTCAATACTACAATCATTAAAAGCTTGATGTCGCTTTACGAATCCGGTCAACAGTGGTAAGCTTTAAAGTTTGAGTTTGAAAAGTTTACACTATACTTACATTTTGAGGATGAAAATAAATACTTGTTTTTGGCAGATAATTTGCATTCACGAACACTACTTTCAGCCATAATTGGACTTGCATTATAGTCAGAAAAAGAAACCGCACTGGTAGCACCTGATACAGAAATAGAAAAACAAGTCGCATGAGTTGAAATCAATCCAGTGTGGCAAAACGTTTTATAGATTGCTTACTGGTAGTTTTTTGGCCAATAATTGAAAAAGTATTCACACAAGATAAATCTATACGTGTACTAGCTGCATCGGACTTTTCTGACCTTATAGATGCCGGAGTCATCAGTCCAAGAGTAGATGCAGTTGTAGTACTAAAAGTACTGCCATGTTGCAAAAAAGGTTGAAATGATTCAGACTGAGGAGTGAGAGGAACAAATTTGTGTCGAGAACTACGATTTGTTTGACCTAAATCTTGCAGTTTATGGTCATTATAAGAATCTTCAACACTGGTATTGACTTGATTGTGTATATCGGAGTGAATATGAGCACTATTGGAATTATTGATGTAGCTATAGATGCTCTTGGTATGAGGATAGTGACGGCCAGCGCTGTTTTCAGAATATTCAATTGTACTGCAAGATGAAACAGACGATGCGGTGATTGCTTTGACAGGTTTTTTCCATGTTGCTGAGATCAAAGAAGGTGAAGATTCTTGCAAATCTCCGATAGTGCCAAAACCAAGCACACTAGAGGAACCAGTACTTTGGGACGATTGTGTGAGTGAAGGACGTGCATCAATCATTACTGGCAATGATGTGTAGCAATTAGTAGAAACAGATTTTTGAGCAGCTGATAAAGGCTTGACTGCCGCATTTATACTGGTAGCAGCTAAAGTAGAAGCAGCTTGACTGGCAGTCGTGCGATTGGATACAACTACTACATGAGAACTGACCGATGCAGGAAAAGTAAGATCTGTGGTACCGACAGCTGTAGTTGCACTGGGAATTTCATCCATACTTGAAGATTGTCCAGACAATCGCTGAGTCAAAGACTTTACACGTGGGCCAGATACCAACGCGACTTCATGATGAATGGGTTGCAAGTTAATACTGGACCCTTGGCGTATATTTTCTATGGGTGGGGAAATAGCAAAAGATACTTTTGATTTGATGGTATCAGATGTAGTGAACACATTAGACATGGTGGAAATAGCAGATGTGCATGAGGTTGGCAATGAACTGGACAATTGTGTGGCAGAGTTGGAGCATGTGGTGGACAATGAAGATGTGATGATGGGCTGAGATGAGTGATGGGGCTGGCTATTATGATTGCGAGATTGCGTATGATGAACAAGACTTGACCTTATGTTGACAGATGGTGTTGGGAGCTTTGATTCACTAATTAGTGACTTTCCAGTAATTAATGAAGACATTGTGGAATGGCGTTTGATGTTGGAGTGCAGACTGGATATTAAACAATGCAGATGTAGGAGTTTGTCAAAAGGTGTTACTGTAAATGGAATTTCGGAGTAAAATGTAGTGAAGCACGACAGAGGGTATTGGTATAGTAGAACAAAATAGAATGGAATAGGAATGAATGTATACTAATCAAGTGGGATATAGAGCAAGTTGAGAGCCGGTGCTGATTGGATGAAATACAGCTAGACTTGCCCAAATAATTATATAATGATGAGATAAAATTAAGCTTGAGATGAAAATCTGCAAATGGTCGAGTCTTGTCAAGATTACCAGAACTGGCCTGATGTACTGTAAGTAGTTGCAGATACGGCTATTTGATTGGACGATATGTTGCTGAATAGTTCAAATATGTGCTAGAATACGATTAAACAAATGAATAAAGCTAGCAATTAGTATATATATAATGGATACGCGTGGGGCTGCAATAGGGTCAAGTTGAAAATGCAGATCCAGTAGCTTTATTGTATTTGGAAACCAGACATTATGATGTAAGGCGGAGATCTGGACATGCCAAAGAAAACCGCATGCACCAAATGAACAGCAATCCTTATTACATTCAAATTACGGCTGTACAACACTCATTAATAGTAATTATATATATAGCATCTATCAGGATGTAGTGAAATTGACAAACAAGACAGCTATATTTGTAGGGATATAACAGCAGACAAACCAAATGTATGGAAATGCTTGCAATTAAGTTTACCAAGCAAGCCTGGCTTGTCGACCCTCAGCTATACTTGCATCAGATAAGACTGTAGAGTAAATCCCAATATGAATAGTATCAAATAACCCATGGTCACTTTAAAAAGCAACGGCTATTATCAAGTATATATTTCATAGTAAATAGTATCGAGGGGGTGGGATCTTGCATTTATAAGCTGTTAGATACGGATGGGATTGCAATAATTTGATAGACTGACTTGTACCAAAGTAGTCCTATAACAGCAATTAATATTAACTAGTACCTCTTAAACTTGTTGGCAATTCATACACTAATAAGAAGAATAGTGAATCTAATTCGATTTGATGGGAACAAGGAATAATCGGCTTAAACTGTGTTGGTCAGTACTCGGTTTGCCATGCTCTTCGCGTGCTGTAGCGATGCATTTGACGCATCTCCACTAAGCATGACGTTTTACTAGTCCGATATTCTAAGTTGATTTGAGTGGTATCAATACGACCCCACTACATACTGAAATCCTATAATGCAACCCTATTTGAATATGTATCTATAATACACATCCGACCCTAATCATTAGAATACATTAAAAAGGAATGGTCGAGCTTCTTGTCCATGATGCTGTAGCAACAAAATATCCTGTCTAGAAACTCCGACTATAGAATAAGTGCTGTTGTAATATAGAGTGTCAGATACATGCTTCCAACTGTGGCCACTGATCAATTATTGCCGAGAAACTCAGTCCAGATGCTCTCATCTTCACCCCGACTCCGTGGTTTAGTAAATACTTTGTAGGATTCTCAAGTCGGCCCTACACTGGGCTCTTGTTTCATCTAAGCAAAGTTGCTGCAAGTATAAATATTGGTCTTTTGATGCTTTTATCACCGCCATATTCAATAAAATGAAGCATGCGATAGAGGTGTTGATACACACTAGATCTACTGGACAATATTGTTTTCTAAACCCATTAGCAAAACTGTCTTTCTCTTCCATGCTCATCCTTGGCATGTTTCCAATCTCCAACTCTCTTTTCATTCAAACCAAACATTGGGTGACCATCATGGAAACAACAGTTGTATTCCCAAGACATGCAGTTTGTGTTTTGGACTAGAACACGAACCTATCTGCAAGCTTATACAGGTCAACATCAAATAGTCTAACCTAATATCTGAATTGAAATCTAAAAGTCTAGTTTCGAATTTGGTGACTGTAAAATGTATGACTTGTCAAAAGTGAAGATAGGGATAGTTTAACTGCGAATCACATGATGAACATTGTGTTGATTGAAGGATGGGGAATGTTGTTCAAGTCAATCTCCAATAGAAAAATGCAATGAATAGTTAATCATTATTTATTCCAAAATAGAGGTAGTGACTGCAAGGTAAATACAAGTGTTCCATTTTATATGAATACGGTTGTGAATACAAGTCACGCATGAGAGCAAGCTTTGCAAATATCTTGCCAATCCAAGTCGTTCATTTATCCATATACTGATTCAAGCAGTGGTGTTTAAAAGTCCAAATCTTGAACTTCTTTTTCTGTCGCATACACTTTAGCCTAGCAAGTGGGAATGTGCATTTGAGCAAGATTCAGCCTGACGTGTTAGTTTCCACAATATCATGCACAATGGCTATTAACTCGGACATATAAACACTCTTATATGGACAGTTTACCTTGAGTGACTGTAGCTGAGTAGAAATTTTGTTGGCTCGTTCACCTGTTAGTCGAGCTAATTTGAAAAAATGGTTAGACCTCGATCACAAAAAACAGCCATTGTTTGAAAAATACCTAGATTTAGCAAAACAAGTTCTTTATCTTCCAAAGGTCCATATTTCAAAATATTCTTTTCTAGTGTACGTAGTTGCTTCCGTAGCGATAAAATATCATTGGTAAAGCCTTCAATTTCGTAGTCTCTCCGCCGTTTAAGCGAAGTATAGCTAAATCAAATGGCAGACAAGTGAGTCAGATATTGCAAAGCCATTGCATTTACCTGACCTATCACTGAGTTCATAAAAATAACAAAAGCGATGTATTCTATTCCCAATACCTGGAATTCACAGTTTCGAGTCTGCTTTTTAAATACCCGACTTGGCGAGTGTGTGATGCCTCCATTTTATCACGCTGAGCCTAAAAATAACAAGAATGTCAATAAAACAGTATCCATGATGGCCAAAAACTATATGTAGTATACCTTGGTGGCCAACAGCTCCGCTTCTAGTTTTCCTAAATGGTGTCTAAGATCAGCAACAATCCCTTCTTGTTTTCGGCTTACTCGACTTTCAATCACCTACAGTCATGCAATGCATATTCAGCAAGTTTAAATTTAAGCCAGCGAATTGTTTGTAAAACACACTCTGATCAATCACAAACCCTGACATTGAATGTATACATCCTACCTTTTCGGCATTTTCATTGCGATCCTGCTCAAGAGATATTTGAGATTTCAATTCTCCCAACTCTTTGACCATGGCTGCCTTTTCTTCAATCAAGCTTCTTTCATGCGCATGTGATACTTTTTTGGTTCTTAGCAGCTCTTTTTTAAATAATAAGAATCAAAACTTGACTGAGTTGGCAGGATGAAAAACACTAAGCAGAGCATACAAACAGCTGTACCTCGAGTATTTTCTCGACAAAGAATGCGCAGTTTTTTAATCGTCGCCAAGTGCTCTTCGATCTTGGCTGCATCGTATTCTCTCCGAACACGCTCCTCCTCGATCATGTTTTTTCGATCTTTCATCAAACCAGAAATGGTTTCATCAAACCCCTTTTTCTTTAAACGATCATTAAATCAAGCACATGTAGTATACTGTGAGCCGAGACTGAACATACAGATGATGGGGCAGTATACAGCTCAAAAAACCGGAAAATCGAGGTTTAGATGAACATGACAAACCTGTTCGTCAAGCTGTGTTTGGAGTGATAGCACAGTAAGCCGCAATCCTTGCACCTCATCCTCTAGAATAATCAAATCCTGCTCTTCTATTTTTTTTCGCTCCGCCTAGTTTAATAAACAATACCATTTCCTCGCAATGTCGTAAGATTTTTGGGCATCAAATGCATCAGAATTCAAATATATACTTTGTTGGATACTGCTGTTTTTGGCTCAAGAGGCACTCTGGCGATTTTGACTAGACGCTGATCTAATCTATCTCGAAAGTAGGTGACTTCTTCTTGAGGCGCACCACTCAGAGATAATAAGAATCGAATCTTTTTACGATCCTTGAGTTCTTGGACTGTTACCATTGTAGTATCAAAAGAGAAAGGGCTAGCCAAGTCAGCTTTCATGGCAGATGGTTGCATTCGAAATAGTTTGCAGTATTTACTGTTTGGAAATAGATAACAGATTTAAACCATCCACGACAATTCACTCAACTCTTTAGCTCGTCATTTTCTGCAACAATCCTTAGTGTATGTTTTCGTTCATCATACAATGCGGTTTGGAAATCACTTAACGCTTGCTGCATTTCGACTACCTCTTGAGCCCGCTTGTGCAACTCCCATGACAGCTTATGAGACTCTTCATGAGATATACTTAGCTGCTCTATACGCTGAGTAGCTTTCTGATATTCATCCTCTGAATTTTCTAATAGATTAAATGAGATAGAGTTGAGTGGGATCAATCTGAATGCTGGTTACACTACTAGATGGTGGAAATAGAGCTCATCAGAGTACCTAGACGTCTTCGATAATAAGAAAGAAGCTCTTCAGATATTGGCAAGTGCTTCAACTCTGTCTGTGCATGAGCTACAGCTGGAGTAGGATTATTCATTGTATGTTTGTATTTGGTCGAGTTTCGAGTCTTGCTAATGCAGTCGTATTCACGTAAAATACAAAAGTGCAAAATGCATGCTAAACAGTCAATCTCAGATGGCTAGCTTACTGGACAAGATTGTCGTTGAACTGTTTAGTTGATATTTCTCGTGATGATTGGCATGCTTTCCTGGGATTATTCTGTTCAACTAGAACGCGAATCCAAGTTTAGAATACACAAGTTGGTACCAGTGTCAAGAATGCGAGATGTATTGCAACAGAAATAAAAGTACTAATTTAAATATTCGTCTAGTTTTTTATAAAAAAATGTGTAAAGACTAATCGGCTTTGTTAGCGAGTTCAGAGGGCACAATGTCGAGTAAATGTAGAAATTATCATTTCATGAGACCAACATCCATATTAAGCGTTTCATTTTACGTGAATACGGCTGTAGAATGAAATGACCGACTTGATTACTATCATCAATACCTTGCTTAATCTGGAGCTTCATGGGCATGATGCTAGTCAGTCGTTTGGCAAAGGGAGACCACGTGACTGTAGTATTGATCGAGTGGTTAAATACAGCCAGCAACTGATTCCGCCTTGAAATCTTGCTCCTATAGTATTACCCATCAGCATGAAGGTTGTCGACAAAATCCAAAAAGCTAATGGTAATTGGTTTATTGTCTGGTCTTTATGGCCTTTACTTTTTATTTTTCTTTAGTGATTTAGTTTATGGGCATATTAGCTGCACGAGCATTTGTATGCCTTGTTGTCGGTAGAATTTACTAGATTCAACTGAATGAGTGCATTCATTTCAATTTATTTATGCCTTGCATAGAGGATGATAAATGCATTAGTATCACAAGTTGCACCATTATTTGATGGTGATTTCTTTGCAGATTGGCTGATCCAATATTCATCGGATCAAATAACCCAGCTCGTTCAAACTGCGAACCGAAATTCGCTTACTAATCCACACTCGCTGCCCTAATCTTAATTGGCATCCGCTTCCAGCGGAAATTGCTTAGGCTTACATGAATGAGCTGGTGCACAACCATATCATTTATATTGAAGCACTAGACTACTGCTATGTATATTTTAGATGATTTTCTGACTTTGTGAACATGCTTGTATTAAACAGATGAAGGACGCTGCTTCTGGGTAATATTCACTCGTATTTCTACTGCTGGGATTCTTGCCATAAAAATGTTGTCTTGGTTGTTCTAGGCTTTGAACTGCTGATATTTTCATTAGCAATTCGCTGGGATACTCGACTTTTTAATTCTTAAACGACCATGCGATGCTTGAATATTTGCCATCACTAGCTTTTTGGATAATGTTTTGCTCATTCTTGTTTGAAACTCATTGATATGGCGTTTTTATCTATTTATTCCATTTACACACTATAGTCCTTTGAGTACTTTCCTCCAAAGACCGAGTCTGGCGTTGTGAACCTGTTCGATCGTATGGTAATATTTTTATCGAATCAATACGCGGCTTGATCTGTGGATAGTTGCTAACTTTACCCATGCCAAATTTTTGAACTCAAGGAACGCATGTATCTACTAGGCCCAGAGTTTATTGATGTTACCTGGGGTGCTGGTGGTACTACTTCTGATTTGACTCTTGAGGTATATAACTCATGATAGCCAGCTTCTATTATGCAAGAGACTAAATTTTGGATTTTTATAAAATATTGCAACTTGTTAGATCTGCACTACTGCACAGGCTGTTTTTGGTCTCGAGACATGCATGCATCTGTAGGTTTGATTGAGTTCTTATTTTCAGCTACAATACGTCTAGATGCTTACCTATTATTTTTAGTACTTGCACCAACATGCCTCGGATCAAAATTGATGAGGCTCTTGAGCAAGCCAAGAACGCTGGCATTATGAATATTCTTGCACTTCGCGGCGATGCTCCTCGTGGCCAGACAAATTGGACCAAAGTCGAGACTGGTTTTTCGTATGCCACTGATTTGGTACGCTACATTCGTGAAAAGTATGGCGACTACTTTTGCATTGGTGTTGCAGGTAAGAATCAATAGTCTATGATGTCTTGACAATTTGTCAGTGTCTAGCAATGCATGCTTATTTATTTGTACTTGATTACTAGGCTATCCTGAGGGCCATACTGAAACCCCTGACAAGGAAGCTGATTTGCTGTACTTGAAAGAAAAAGTGCTTGCTGGTGCAGACTATATTGTTACACAGCTTTTTTACGATGTTGATATCTATATTGATTGGTCCAAGAAAGTCCGAGCAATGGGTAAGTCACTTCACCTACTTTGATATTTATAATCAATGTAAAACTTGGTTTTAATACTAATTAAACTTGTTTGCGTGTTTAAATTTCCTGTTCAGATATTACCATTCCCATTCTTCCTGGTTTGCTTCCCATTCAAAACTACAGTGGATTCAAGCGCATGACTGCTCTCTCTAAAACCTTTGTTCCTCAGTTTATCCTAGACGATCTTGAACCTATCAAGGACGATGACCAAGCTGTTAAAGACTATGGTATTCGCTTGGCTGTTCAGATGTGTAACAAAATGAGAGAAGCTGGCCAGCGCGGATTCCATTTCTACTGTTTGAATCTGGAGCGCTCCACTCGCCTCATTCTTGAAGGCCTTGATTTTGTTGCTCCCCGTGAGAATGTCAAGCCCTTGCCGTGGAATCCAGTATGTTTTTTATATTTACACTATTTTGTAATGCACTGCTTGTTTCATGTATATATTGACTTTTGCGTGCATGATGACAGTCTTTGGGTAAAAATAGAGAAAAGGAGACTGTTCGTCCCATCTTTTGGCGTAACCGTACCAAGAGTTACATTATGCGTACTGATGGATGGGACGAGTTTCCTAATGGTCGCTGGGGAGATTCTCGTTCTCCTGGTTAGTAAACCTTGCACAATTGGCTGTATTTACTTTTTTCCGTAAACATCTAACGCTGGTTATTTTGAACTAGCCTACGGTGACATTGATGGCTATGGAATCAGACTCAAGTATTCTGTAGGTTATATTTTTAGCATAAACACACTGATGCGTTGATACTGACGTTTTTGATCAACTTTTGCGATTGTCTTGTTTTAAAATTCAGGCTGAAGACTGCTTAACTTTTTGGAACCACCCTGAAACTCTTGGTGATATCTATGGTCTTTTTGAAAAATACTGCATGGGTGATCTTAGCTGCCTTCCATGGAGTGATACCCCACTTTTCCCCGAATCCGAAATTTTGCGTGCCCGTCTTGCCAACATCAATCGTAGTGGGTTTTTGACAATCAACAGTCAGCCGGCTGTTGATGGTGCTCTTTCTTCCGACTCTGTTTACGGCTGGGGACCCAAGAATGGATATGTGTATCAAAAGGCATACTTGGAATTTTTCATTTCACCCAAAAAGCTTGATCTCTTGCTTGAAAAGCTTTGCCAGCATCCATTCTTGACTTACCACGCTGTTAACAAAAACGTGGGTATATGTAGTTATTTTGGGTTTGTAGCGTACGTGTATTGACATTTCTGATTTGATTTCAAACACAGGGTGATCTCAAGACCAACACCAAAAACGATTCACCCAATGCCGTTACATGGGGTGTTTTCCCTGGACAAGAGATTGTTCAGCCTACTGTTGTCGAAGGTGTTAGCTTTATTGCATGGAAGGTAATATTTTTGATTAGTAGCAAGATTACTGCATTCTGCTTAATGTGCTGTCATTTGAGGATATTGATATTTTCCTGTATATAATTCTACCCTTGTGTAGGACGAAGCCTTTGAGCTTTGGAAACAGTGGAGCCAGCTCTATTCTGCAGAATCCCCCAGCTATAAGATTATCAACCACGTCACCTCCAACTGGTTTTTGATCAACATTGTCGACAACAATTACAAAAACCGGTTTGCCATTTACGATATCCTTGACCAAGTTGCTGCCGATGCTAAAGACATTATAGATCATTAAGCTGTACTTTGGGTTTTAAACCATGCGTTGGATCATGAGTGCTTGTTTATGGAGTCGAGCGACAAAACGAAACTACTGTCGGGCTTTTTGTTGTATTGCTGTATTCGCGTAAAATAGGACACTTGTGTTCATCTTGCAGTGACTATTTTACTTGAAATAAACAATGGTTAAATATTCATTACATCTTTCTATTAGATATTGATTGCACTCTTTTGTGCTTGGGATTGCACGCCGTACAAATCCATTTTCATCCAGTGATGGCCAGCAGGCTTGAATGGAAAGTATAAAGATTTATACCTCGCGATATTGCTGTTTGTTGAATGATTGACAGACCATGCCGAGTCACCGAGTTTGTAAAAACGATTAAAAGCTGACTCCAGATGATTGCTGAACCAATCAAGTCTCATTCCTGCAGTCAAATCTAAACACTACTCATACAATTATATTTCAAAAAACTTGGCTAGCATATTGATCAACTCGAACTGACATTTTTATTCCAACAATCTAGTCGACTCATTTGATTTGTAAACACAAACTTTTTCACTGCCAACATTGAAATTCTTTCCAGTCAGCTCGATTATCCATAAATGATGATTCGCATCCGGTCGGCAGCAACTACCAGTTTTAAATTCCACTCCTTCGCCTATAATAATATCAAAGCGTCTCATGTCTATAAACATACTATTCCAACTACTCAGCTTCGGGTCTTACCGTCTTCACTGCTACAATGCAGACGCCATATCAACTACTGGTAAACACTCACCTTTTACTTATTTGAGAGCATGAGGTTAGGATCATTGATTTGATACTTGAAGCTAACCTGTATATTAACGTAGGGATGCAATGCATCAAAGACAAGTGGAGGCTTCAAAGTTTTCATTCACTAGCGGATTTCAATCTCAAAAAGATTTGAATCATCCTGAACAATCTTCCAGATCAAGACGGCAGGATGAGTTGCAATCATTGGGCAACAAAAGTGCTACGACAGCATCTGCCAATCCGAAATTCATGGACATATTTTTGGACCCAAATTCAGCACCTGCCCCTAATGCACGGTGTTCTGCTTTGGATGCAGCCAAGCAAAATGACGTTCCATCAGATGTTCGAATGCTCACCAGAGACTTTATTGACATGTCACTCTATCATCCAGTTTACGGATACTTTTCAAAGAAAGCGTATATTTTTTCACCTCCAGAAACAATTCAGTTCAATTCCATCAAAGACAACTACGAATTCATGAACCATATGGGAGATATGTACAAGGATGTAGAAGAAGAGTATATCCACGATTCGGATATTGCAAGACAGGTCTGGCATACTCCAGCAGAGCTTTTCAAAGTAAGAATATTTGCATTGATTTGGTTTTCATACCATTCATGATTTTAAATGGGATTGATCAAAACTCGAGCTTAATCACGTATTTCAACTCTGTATTTGCTTTGACTAGCCATACTATGGTTATGCGATAGCAAAACACATGGTTTCTGAATACAAACGAGATCCTCGAGGTGCTGATCGTATGATTATTTACGAAGTCGGAGCAGGAAATGGTACACTGATGGCAAACATTATGGACTACATTTTGATAAATGAGCCAGAGATTTACAAGACAATCGAGTACAACATTATTGAAATCAGCTCGCAATTGACAGGAAAACAACACAAATCAAAACTACTAAAGTCGCATAAAAAGGGGTCCATTGGATCTCATCGTGGTGTTCAAATCATTAACAAGTCTATACTAGAATGGGACAAGGTGGTTTCGGGAGCTTGCTTTTTTATTGCCATGGAAGTTATTGTAGGTTTAGTTTTGGTTGAGCGAGAATAACGCTTTTTTATAGATGTGTGTATTTTCCATTGCATGTTTCCATAACGATTTTTGACCATTTTGCTCAATTCACGAATGTTTAATACAGGACAACTTTTCCCATGATCTTGTTCGGTACGATGCTAAAACCAAAGAGCCTTTGCAGGGAGTTGTTTTAGCAAGTGCCGATCATGATTATGTTCAAGCATACGAGTCACTTTCTGATCCATTGTTGAAGGACTATCTAGATATTAGAGCACGAGTTGGCTACACATCGCCTATATTTAGCGGCTTATCTTTGATTTTAACTCATGTACAAAACCAACTTCCATTTGTTTCAAACATGTCATCTTCAGAGTTTCTTCCTACATCTACTTTCAAACTGATTCGACTCCTTAAGCAATACTTTCCCAACCACCGTTTAGTGGTGGCTGATTTTGATCAACTTCCCGACTCGATTGCTGGAGTAGATGCGCCTGTTGTGCAAACACGATACCAAGGCAGCATGGTAGCATGCTCTACCTACCTTGTTCAACCTGGATGGTTTGATATATTTTTTCCTACAAATTTTGAGTTGCTAAAAAGAGTGTATCGAGAGGTGACTGGCCGTGATGCTCAAGTGATGACCCAGCGCAAGTTTTTGGAGGAGAATGCAGATCTTCAAAAAACACGGACTCGGTCAGGCGAGAATCCAATGTTGACATTCTATGAAAACTTCAAATTCATACTTTCTTGATTCATGACACCATTAGCAATGATTGAATAAATATTGATTGTACCAGTTGATAAAAGTCACGTTCGGTCCCGTGATGCAGTTCGGACGAGTTTTGAAATGTCCACAATTATACAATTTTATTTCAACTTGCAATTCAAAGACGATCATGAGCACTAGCCATCAAATTCACCCAAATGGGGCTGCAAAGGCATCGTTTTCTGGCTTAAAGGAACCACAGACAGTAGATGCTCGTGCAAGACTTCTCAACCAAAGTCTCTATCGAATCATGACTAAAAAACACGGCTTGAAAATGTCTGCCGACACTACAAAGTATCTGGCACAAGTTTTTGCTGACTTTGTATCGGCTGGAAACGACGATTGCAATGACGCCAAACCAAGAATTGATTTAACGACCTTGACGGAAAGTTTAGATTACATTGCTCAGCATTATGTACAACAACAAGGTGGATCTCGGCTATTAAACTGTATCGGTGTATTATTCTGATACTGGATATGCATTGGACTTGTACCTTTGCTTCAAACATACATGCTGGTATTTAACTTTGGAACTTGTATGAATAGGCGGAACAGCAAAAGCAGTAGATCATGAATCGATGCAGAATGTAGTGAATGGAATATTTCTTAAAGGGAGTATCGGCAGTCGAGATGCTAGACAAAAACAGCCTGCCAGTAACTCAAGTGCTATTGAATTTAAAGGCAATGTGGAGGATCAAGGCATGAATCGCTATGAAAATGTACTTTACGATCCATCCAACGAAGCGGATGAGATAGAGCCAACTACCAACATTCAAGAAATTAGTCAATGTATAAGCATCATTGATGCCTATCAAGTTCCACACAATCAATACTGGGCCGATAAAAACACGTTTATCAGGTTAGGATTATGACTGGCATAGATTTTGAATTCCCAACTGGCTGGGATACTTACAATCTGGATCGCATCTTGACCAACTTATGCTTCAGTAGTCTCAATGCTAACATTGACTACTTTAATTTGCATTCCACAACTGTTTTTATCAAGTGTCACGTCAAAAGAAACACCCGTTGCATCTGCAGATTCTCGGACAGCACTGTTTCGTGATAGGTTTGACTTGCTTAAACAAAGACTATTGCGCAACGAAGCGTTTCGTGTTCCTACATTTACTGCTGATGACTCTTCCTATTTTCAAGTACGATTGATGCCATTTTCCATTGAATCTATACCATTCATGTATTTTCTAATTGTAGTTCTACAGATCACTCCTATTATTCATCTTAAAGGGAAAAAACCTGGAAGATATCTACTTTTCGGAATGCTTACAAGTATTCAAGATGGAAACTACCACTTGGAGGATACAGATGCATTTATTCAGCTGGAGTTTCAAAAAATTGTAAGGCATTTTATGCATCATACCAAATACGGAAAAGACTACAACCGGCATGCTGGTGTTTCTAACTTGCATTGATTTTCTAGATGCAGCAAGGTCCTGGAATGATTACTCGTAATTGTTTTATGCTTATTCAAGGGGACTACACTGACCAAGGGACATTCAAAGTAGATGTTATTGGGCATCCTTTACCCGAGCGTCGTGAAGACTCGATGTATGCACACATTTAAAAGCTAATCGCTGTTATACTAGACTGTATAAAATGTTGACATGCACATTTTTACCAAATTTAGATCGGCTTTTGGAAACAATGTAGACTTTTTTGGTGGTGCTCGGTTTTCTGATGAACAGGTTTGTGGATTGAAATGCATTCAAGAGTATTTTTGTGTATTTCAATACAGCATTGATTGTATTTTTATATTAACAGTACTGGTATGTGTATGGGGCCACTGCAACTTTTTGAAATTGATTCCTATATACAGCATGTTTTGGAAAAAATTGAATTGGATGCAGTCGATATATCGATGGTGTTTATCTCAGATGTATGGCTTGATCAAACGAGGGTATGTCATGTTTGAATCCATGTAACTAGTTACTGTCGCGCACAGACTAATCTAGTTTTACAGGTTTTGGATAAACTGAGAATACTTTTGAAGGGGTTTTCGGATGCAGTTGTTCCTCTGGTATTTGTTTTTTCTGGAAATTTCTCTTCTACACCTTATATTTATAACGGCAGTGAAAGCAAACGGTACAAAGGTATAGCTAGATATCGCTGCTTTTTACTCTCGGGCTACATATACTATTAACATTGCTTTATTAACTTCATTATTTGCTATCATTTGTCACTCCTTTTCTTTTGAAATCGTCAATGTTATCCCAAGCAGAAGGATTCGATAATTTGGCCGATCTTATTTCCGAGTTTCCTTTGATTGCAGAGCAAGCTCATTTTGTATTTGTTCCTGGGCCACACGATCCTTGGGCACCAAATATTCTTCCACGTGCACCCATTCCAAAATCGCTCACTGAAAAGATTCGACAAAAAGTAGTGCACACTTATTTTACCACTTCACCTTGCAGGTTTGTTAAGAATTTAAAATTGTTCAGTGCACTATTGAACATGTATGTTTGCTGTTATAAATGCATTTTCAAACCAACACTTTTGTAGAATTAAATATTGTACACAGGAGATTGTTATTTTTCGCGATGACCTAGTCAACACCATGCGTAGACATTGTATTCTTCCAGTCTCTGAAAATCATGATTCTCCACTTGAAGGCCACGTAAGTAATGTCATTAGTCAACTATACAGGGTTATATCTGTTTTTACCATCTGCGTAAATGTATACTGACACATTTTAATTATTCAATTCCACCCATTGATTTTACAATATTTGAAATGTATTGTAAATAGCTTGTATCAACACTGTTGGATCAAAGCCATCTAGTACCGCTACCCATAGATTTAAAGCCTAGATACTGGGACTATGATCACGCATTACGATTGTATCCACAACCACATCTGGTTAGCATTCTAAACTTGCTAAATTATTAGGCGCTTTGATTTATAAACTGATTTACTAAATATACTAAATTTTGAAACTGATTAGCTCATTCTTGCAGACAAGTACGATCCGTATCAGCAAGAGTATGAAGGCACACTTTGTGCAAATCCAGGATCATTTCCAAACACTGGGTATCAGTTTTTAATGTATCATCCATCTTCTCGCAAATGCGAACCAAGGCAAGTGCATTCTACATAATAGCATTACTAGTATAGATCCAGACCTTGCTAATTTGTTTTTAATCTGCTGTACATTTAGTCGAATTGGATAATATCCAACATATTTATGGTTCAAGGATTTTCAAACATTGTCCATATACACACAGTTGCCTTGATTCAATCTTCAATGCTTTAAATCCCAAAGATTGATCCAGATCAATAAAACCAGGATAGCAAATAATATTGATATATTGTATAAATACGATCATTTAGAGTAAATGCAACTGTCATAGTAGACTGCAGTGAACCAATGAAATGCGACTGTCTATCTGGTTGTAGCAAGAGACAATCAACAGTCTCATTTTCTACGCAATGCAATTGTATAACATTCTTTGAATGCAGCAAACTCTACTGAACAAGATCCTTGCTGAGTATCAGCAAACGTCTTGCTGATGCATGCACCATATACTGCTGCCTATTGAAAGAGAATCAATACATTGTCAAGCAGTTGAATAAAATAAACGATGCATAAAAGTCGTACCGTTTCAGAGCAAGATCCAAGTGCCTTTGCTAATCGTAATACACCCCGCTGAGTGGTGGACACAGGCTTGGTCATTTACTTGTGCTGAATTATTCCAGTGAGGAAAGTGTTCATTAAACCAAATTTTGGGTTGATTTGAAAAGCATTTGATAGTATCGAATTGGTAAGATTGGATTGCAGTCATCATGTCGATGAATAGATTTGATTTTGTTGCTGCTGCTGAGAAGCTAGCGATGATCACTAATGGATTGTGGACTGTTGTTGTGGATGATTTCAAGGTGAGAATGTGATGCTGGAAACCCAGAAACCGAGTGCATGGAATGACCTTTCAATGCATGTTCATACTAGATGCCATCACTGCTTCCCTTTCTGCAAAGATCTTTTACTATTCATTCTGACAAGATCATCCATTCAAAACCATCCAGTATATTGACTACAGTTGATTTTGAATCCCATTTGGATGACCATCAAGACCCAGCATGCTGTCACTCAATCGATGCTTCCAGTACAGCTGTAAATCAATCTACAATCGAATGCAAATTCGATATAGTTTATTCTCTGCCATGGGGATGTCCTGTTCTGTATTTCTCTATAGTTGATGATACTGGAATGCCATTATCCTTGTCTGAGATAATGCTTGTATTCAATATACAATCACCCATACTAGATAATAATGACTCGCATAGGTTTTGGAATACTGCAATCTCTATGCAGGTAGGCTATTTACATTGGATGAGTATTGTTGCATTGGTATACTCATTGAATGGTATTGATCGTGTAAATCTTAGGATCATCCTGTATACTCTTATCCCTGTTGGACGATTCATCCATGCAATATTCATAAAGCAATAAGCGAACAAATTCATTCCGATGCAACACCTTTACAGTATCTTTTACTATGGATAAGTATAAATAACCGGCTATTGAATTCTATCAATTTGATTGATATTGAGACAGTTGTTCAGGAAAAATAAAATATTCTTGTAATGGTTTTGTTTTGGAATAAACTGGTCAAGTAGTCGTTGCGCTTCACTATTGGAGATTGAACCAGCATGAAATACATTTAAACAAAGATGTGAATACACCAGCTTACTGGGATCGGTTGTTTGGTTCAAAAGTATACTTTGGTGATGCTTTTGTAAATATCGGTAGATTGTCTACTGACTCAAATGGCAAGATCATCTATTGTTTGCATTGCGTGTATCATGGCGACAATCTGGCTGGTTGATACAATCTTCAGCATTTCATATATAGTCCACGTTAATCTAAACTCATCCTGCAGTCAACAAACGCAGAATTCTCGTTTTCAAAATACTGCAATAGCAACCTGATTGTGACATTAGAATAGTTTTAAAGCATGATGGTGATGGTTGTCAATATTTTTCATTTTGCCTCATCTCTCTACTCATGCCTAGTGTGACCAGTTATGCGAGGTAATTTTCATGCCAGGAAATACAGAATCAAAGTCCAATCCAGAATGATTTACCGCCCACGTTGTGAATCATGGATGCTTCACCCATAACTGGTGTGCCATTAATGCATGGTATAACACACCATTCGTACCACACTTTATGAGTATTCGATAGTCGCCAAAAGTGCAATTCCACACTCGATCCCTTTGGTAGGAAAATGGGAATCTATTAAAATTGAAAATGGATTAAACCCATGCAACTCAAACCACCCAAAAAAGTTGGATGAACCAGTGTATTACCTTGATGGGGAAAAATAGAGGGAACCAAGAAAACATGCCATCTGAGTGAGTTTTTGGACGGATGCTAATCATCACATCCTTGTACAAGGTAGATTCAAAGTATCCAGCAATACCATGCTAAAAATCAAAAACTCTCAAATAAGTATCTACTCATAATATTCTCATAAATACAATACACTGTGTACCATCATTGTATCTTGTGATATATCAAATGAAGCCGAGCCATAGCGTGAATTATGGAGATTAAACTGTGGATGACCAATTGGACGCATATTGCACGGCGTAGGATGATCAAATTTCCACAACGGAACAGATTCTGCAATCTCATAAACTGATCTGAATTTGACCACATAGGGTGTCTCCATATGCTCTTCGTCATTGAATGAAGCTGCCTCTGTAAAAAGTTTAGAAGAAGACAGCGGTGCAATGTAGGACACGTACTGAGATGGAATGGAAATGCCACCATCTAAATTTTAACACATTTTTAGTGAAATCAAGATAAAAATGCATTTAAACCAGCAACTACCAAACAAGTCCAAGTATAACTTTAAAGATGTCGTGTACTTACCCTTGATCAATCTTTGAGCCCCATCTAAGCACTCGGGAGACAATTCATTATCTAATCAGTTGAACCCCAGTCAGTAATGATTATGAAAAATATATTGTCCATGGATTCAATAACTCTAGCGTATCTGGTCAAAATTTTGAAACTTACCCCCAAAAGATCCAAGCAATTCGCTGACAAGAATATCAGCCTAAATCAATATAAACTCGAGTAAATACCGATATCTAATATAAATCCAGTGAATCAATTTAAACTACGGTATGTAAAGCAAATAAAAAAACCTTGTCTTCGGGGTTCCAGTAGCGCATATCAATATGCACAACAGTAACTGCATCCCCCCATACAGCAGCTTTACGTGCGCGAAGTCTAGTTGTTTTAGAATTCAGGTTAAACAGAGAATGTATTGTCAGCCAAATAGCATGCACCATTGATAATGATACAGATCAAAGTGTAGCATACCCAACAACAGCATTTGCATTCTTTTCCACCGCATAGAGTTTGACTTTACGTCCAGCATCGGCAGCTGCTTTTAAAGATCGATCAACCAGTGGACCTCGACCTGCGCCAACAACCATAATTGTACTAGATATTATTCATGAACAGTTGTGTTGGTGGTTATATCATTCCAATGCAATGTTTTTGATTTCAGCCCAATTCAGTAAAACTTACGAGATAATGTCAGAATTTTCAGGTACCCGATCAATCAGTGCCCTGTATACAGCCTGTTTCCAATCAAAATTAAAAAAGTTGATAAACGAGACGTATCAATTAAGCATGCCATCACAACCAGGTACTTTTGACAATGCACAAACATACCATTTCATATTGCTGATATTTGATGGGATCTTTTTCGAATACCTCGTAAGTAGCAGATTCAAGGTTTTCCATCAGAGGCTGCCGTTAAAAGTACAAGCATGCCACATTTAAAAACACAATTAAAGCAACTTCTTTTTAGAAACAAGAATGAGTAATCGCTATATATACGTCTAAAAAGTAAAAATATACCTGCAAAGGAGCTTGGAGATAGCTTTTTAATGGCGACGATAGGATTGAAAAGTGATTAGAATTTGCTTACACATTTAAACACCTGAAAGTGCATGGCTTACTCGTGGTATCCGGCAGAAAATTGGTTGATAACATCGCCAGCAGGCAAATTTCGATTCAAAAACTCGATATACTCGCGATACAGTGAAAGTGTACCAGCTTTGTGTAAAGAGTCATTTGAAGGTGAAGAAATCACAAATTTGCAATCCGTCTAAAGTGTAAAACATCGAATTGTAAAAACAGGCTTGAAATTAGCAATATGGTAGAGTATCATTGAATTGAAATGACTTTAAAACGGATATATGAAAATACATTGAAATACCTCCATTAATTTCTGAATAAATGACTGATGGCGCTTGCTTAGTACAGGAAATCCTCCTTTGTTGGTAATAAATGCATTGGTTGGTAAAATAGCAAGTCGTATTGGTTCAGCCAGCCATTTTTCAAGCACTTCTGGACTTGGAAGTTCATGTCCAATTTCGAGTGCTATAGTTCAAGATAATAAATTTAGATTTTTAAAGTATACCAACTCTCTCCAATCACCAGCAATTACCCACCAACAACAAGCTTGACATTATGTCGACCAAGTATGCGAGCAGTATTCCATCGAGTCCATCCTTCGTTGTCATCTCCAGAAATGAATATGGGTATACGAATAAAAACCTATACCCAATAAACAACCAGGTAGATTCAGCTTAGACTTTTCCTGCTTATTATTAGTGATGTGAATAGATTCGATGAATATAGCAAAATCACCTGAGAATAGTTGAGCATGCCAATTGCTTCATTAAGACAGCGAGAGAAATTAATCATAGGTCCAGTGGTTGGACAGTAAAATATGACTCCAGACAATCCAATGTGCGATGCCCACTGAACCTGCTGACGAATGATTGTTTGGCAGTGCGAGACAGCCATCAAATCAGAAGATTCAACATCCATCCATGGAGCAATAGATCCGATAGAAAACGACGCATGTTCTAGCAAAGCCGAATATGTTGATTAAAATGATAAATTGAATTTTATAGTTTCAGTTATTGAAATAGCAATGCAATCAAGATTCAGTCTATTCCAGATCCAGAAAGTCAATGTAAAGATTGTCACACGACAGGTGTATGTCTGGATTTAAAAAAGTTGGATATGTAGCACGCACCTGGACCATTGAGAACTAGCTTATCATAGACAAGAGAAGCCGGAGGATAGCTGGCATCATCCAAAGCGATCGAACCGAATTTAAGGATCTGTGGAACCATAAAAGAGAATCCATACATTTGAGAATATTGCATCAGTTCATCGGCATCTTCATTGCAAAGGATTTCTAGACCAACAGTAGGCGACATTGCTCGAGAGTTGATTCGAGTCGATAAAACTGTTGGCTGAGAAATTTAAAAAAAATTAATTCCAATTTGACATTTTGTTCAAATATTTATGAACACGTTTGCCCAAAAGTTCAAATGGATTGACTCTACTTGCCATTACCCATCCAGTATTATGCTAGTAGCAAGTGTAAAGCAACCACAAAAACCTTTATTTTGTTTCTACCTCTTAATAAAAACAGCAAATCCACTTGAATGAGCTCAGTTTAAACACAACGTAGACTCGGACAGTTGCATTGTAAATGTGTTGATGCTTTAAAATTGAATTACAGATCTGCACGCACTCCAAATCCAGGACCGGTTGGTTTGGTTGTGAGAGAAGTTAATCCGGCGCGAGGCTCGCAGTTCATACGTCCAGAAACTGGTCCAGGTTTGGGAACAGTACCTTTTTTAATAGACTCTAGGAGTGATTTAGTAGCATCTACTGTCAGATCCTCCTAAAGTTGATTGAAACAGCTAATGAAATCAGTACACTTTTTTAACCGAGTCAACTAATGGAGTCAAATATCTACAAAAAACTATACAAGCCTCAACATACGTAATAATCATCATTGACAGCCATGACGGGAGCATTGACGCATGCACCAGCACATTCAACCTCTACCAAAGTAAACATGTTGTCGCTAGTGGTTTCGCCAAGTTTGATGCCAAGAGTTTCTTCAGCAGCCTTGACGATCGCATCGGATCCACATAGCTGACAAGGCGTAGTAGTGCAAACCTGCAAGAAATATTTGCCAACAGGATCTCTAAAAAACAGTTAATATGGCATGCTGAAAACTCAAGCATGAATCTATTGAATAGCAAACTGCACTTCAATATACTCCATTGCAATCTTATAGCACATTTCTCAAGATCGCCCACCTGTTATACATGGTGTAAAAAGTGGCAACCTCATAAACACGCATAGGCGGCATCTCTAGCAACTTGGCAATGTAATTCATGGAAGAAATGCTGACCCATCCAAGCTGTCTCTGAGCAAGATCTAAAAGAGGCATGGTTGCACCTTTTTTATACTGGGCTGGATACTTGGCAATGATTTCCTGTGCTCTCTTCATTTCAGCAGGAGTGAACTCAAAGGGAATGTCAGGGTTGTTGACCTTGGTATTGCGATGCTATATACATATGTGAGATGGAATCCAGAAATGCATACTTTATCAGAACCAATTGGACGCCAGGTATGGTCTCGATAGTCGATGTGCATTTGACACATTGACGATTTCCCGACTCTTTACAACTGCAATGTCATGCTCTTACCACAAATAGCTTGTCTGATGCAACAGCACAGGAGGAACCAAATGAACGGAAACCAACAGTCCTTGAAACAGCAGGTCTCTTTATCAGAGCATCGGCTGTTATGGAAGCAACACGAGCAATACCAGCAAGGACTCTCGACACCATTCCAAAGTCTGATTTGACGACAAAAAAGTGCGTGCGTAGAAATTGCGACTTGAATTCAACAATTGAATTCAAACTCAAGACTCGAGTCTATTCTTGCTGTTGGATCGTCATAGCGTGCAGCACTTGATACAATGACATACAATGCCATACAATGACATGTAATGAAATTATACATTGAATTGGTAGTTTATTCACGACTATTTAAAATATTTTATTCCAACAAAAAAATCAAAGGAATAAACAGGATCAAATCATTCTATTACTATACTTGAGATTCCTTTATCATTGTATTTGAACCTATATTCTTTGATGTCAATACGCTTCATTCGATGGATTGCAAGATCGTGGTACCTGAGGGTGTGATCATTAAACTCATTTTTGACATTGATTTTATCGTAACTATTTAGTTTGACCATGAGGAATACAATAGTGTGTTGTGGGAGTGACCGTATAAGCTATAATAACAACCCACTTTTTAATTTACATCAACCACTAAAAACGTCATGGATTACATATCTGATGTTATTCTGGGCTGCAACGTTCATTCCATCCACTGTTGTGGCAAGAATGCCAAAGTTTCCTACTCCTGGCTTGCATTCATTTGATGCCGGTTTGGCTGAAGCAAATGGTCGGATTGCTGCATTTGGAGATTTTAACGGAGACAGGATGTATGTAGTTTGACTCTATTGATCCATGGATATATGCTAGTTTTTTGGCCTGCCTAGACAATACCATATTAGATCTCAAGCTGTATCAAACTTGTCATCTTATTCAAATATCTGTGTACTAGGACGGACCTATTTATCCTCAGCACTGATCAAACTTCAATATCGGTTTATTTATGGAATCCAGGCATGCTAAAATACTATATATGCTAGACTCGCATCTATTCTAAATATATCTAATATAATTGTTCTAAATGCTTTAGGCCAAACAAAATTTGTGCGATTACCCACTACTAAGTTTAGTATTTTACAAAATGGTAAACCACTTTCAATCACAAACGTCATTCCGGGCGACTTTAATTATGACGGAAAACTCGATTTCATTTTATTTGGACAGAAAGATCCATTGAGCACTAGCGATAAAGAATTGCATTTCCAGCTGTTTTTGGGAAATGGTAAACTGAATTCAAGTAAGTACACCATTTAGACGATATTGAAGCTGTGGAGATTGCAAGCTTATCTTGTGTTTTTTTGGAATTGATTTACAGCCGTCGTCAAATCAGGCAGCGGAATTTCAGAAACAGCACAACCTTTTGTCATTGACTACGATGGACAGATGTATCCCAGTCTTTTGGGTCATGTTCATAATCAACCCAATAATCTGAGTCTATGGACGTTCAACACCACTACTAATTTATTTGACATGTGAGTATATTTTGAAAAAGGTTAAATACTCAAAGATGCTAATTGACACTTTATTGCTGGCACTGCAATGTCATAGTCGGCCGTCTAATTTTACACAAAATTCCCCTGCTGGTAACAGTTGCCAACTATCTCATCCTCATTCCAGTGCATTTATTGATATAAACGGCGATTGTTTGCCTGGTGAGTAGTTTATAATATCATTACCATTTAGATATGCGATCAATAAATGTATCTAAGACGCCTATTGTTTACTGTAATGATGCAGACGTGTTCTTGACATGCGATAAAGGGTCTGGTCGTCAAGGCTACCAGATTTGGATCAATAGTAAAGAAAATGGATTCGAGTTTGCACGATCGGGTGATCTTCCAGTTGGTTCTGGACAAATATCTTTTGCCGATATGGGTGAGTTGCAATGTTTTAGTGTATACTAGTTGGCTAAAATAATAATTTAAAATATATTTTGTATTTGACCAATGGTTTGCAATTGGATCACGACTAACCAACGCTAATTGTACATGTTTTAGATGCCGATGGAACAATAGACATGGTGTTTCCTGTATGCAACTCTGGTTCTTGTACAATCAATATAGCCTACAACCAGCAAATAGGACTATGTGTCGGAGACATTCTTGATAACTGCAGAGATCCTCATAACTTGTGTGTGGCTGACCCAGACTTCAAGTTTAGCTTTGCATCAACATCTCCGGTAATTCCTATGGTTTTGAAACTGTTGCTGTTTAATCGTCGCGTTGGGTTGTCTAGTTTTTATATTTAAATGACCATTCATTTTAACGGATTTTGGATTTAGAGATATGTTTCCATGCCCATTGCTGAACTGTTTCCTTTGGAAGATATTTATTTGAACGACCTTTCGTTTAAAGGAACCATGCCAATCCCTTTGCGAATTGGTAAGTTTTGTTGCCATATTTTACAACACATACCAGACATTTACTCATTTTTATAATATTTGATTTGTAAATCGGCAGGGGACTACAACAATGATGGATATCCTGATATTCTTTTTTTAAGTGTGTCGAAAACTTCAGCATCTAAAATATCTTCTCGACTAGTTCGATCTGTTCCATGTGACAATAGATGCACGCCAGAAGCGTCAGCCGCAGGAGCACGATCGTTTGTATCCGTGTACGAAGGTGTTGGTGTATTTAAGAGTTACCCAGACATGATACTGTCTGGTCTGACTTTTATGGATATTGATGAAGATGTAGGTAGAAATGTTGTTTATATACAAATACTTGTATATTGAAAAATAACCAAGGTTTCTTGAATAATATTGATTTGTAGGGGACATTGGATATTTTCATGACAGTACGGAACATCGATATGGGAATGCGAACCATCTCACTCATCAATAATTACTACAATGATGCATTTTTTCTCAAAGCAATTGGTATGTGATTAATTATTTGCTTATACTGTAAGTTACGCATTGCAAATACTAACTCTTGATTGCGTTAGTTCTTAATGGTGTATGTAATGAGTGGTGTCCTGGTCTCGAACCATTTCCAGATCCAAGGGTAATTATTTTATCTAGTGTTACAATTGAAGATACAAATGGGGTTTGTGTGCAGTAGCTGAACTCTATATTTCTTGCTTTTGGATCAACTTAGCCATATGGAGTCAATTATGCTGGCGGTACATTCAAATATACTGTTTTAGATACTAGAGGAGAACGTCGAGCAACTCAGGTCGCACAGCTTCCCCAGTCAGCATATATGTCACTTCATACGCCTTACACCCTTTTTGGACTTGGTCGTACCAATAACTACATTGAAGATTTGTTTGTTGGTGTATCCAGAAGAACCAAAGAACATGTCGCGGCATATCAAGGTGTGATTCCCAATTCGCAACTGGTGATCATTCCTTATGAAGCGGCTAGAAGCGGACATAGTCCAGTAGATTGGAAGCTTGAGTTGTATATGAATCCGAGTTCAAGTAGTGCAGGATTGATGGGCGTGCTTTGTGGAGCGATTACAATACTTTGCATAATAATCTGGGGTTTTGATTGGGCAGAAAAGGTGAGTTATGTTTAAACGAATGCCATGAATAACTGTTATTCAATATATAGTATTCAAAGCTAACGAATGCAACCTGACTAATTAGCGTGAAGATGAACTGGAACGTAAACGAATCTTGCATGCAATCAACTTTGATGCGTTGTGAATATAATAAACTGTTTCGGCCGGTTGAGTTTAAAAAGTTTAGATTACATCGAGTGCAAGCCATTCAGTCTGTTTAGTATTGCTGATTTCCTTTACACTTCCAGCCCACTGAGCATGGCATTCACACATGCACCTTCAACTCATCCATCTCGATATACTGTACAAGTTCGTTTTGCAGATGGCAGAGATGATGTTCCATTGATTCTATCACCTACACATCCAGCCACAGTCCAAGACATTCGACATCAACTGGCAAGTTCAATTCTATCAATTCGATAGAACCCGATACTAAGTTGTCATTCTAATCCAAAGTATTTGATAGGTAAACCAAGACCCTTCCCTTCAAGGGAAATACCTTCGACTCTTGCATCATGGACGAATACTGCAAAGCCATAAAACAATAGAGTCACTCTTGGCCTCATTGGATCTTACAGCATTATCTAATCCAGTGTTTATTCACTGCTCTATATCCGATACACCACCACAAAATATCAACGAGGTATCATGGCACACCAGTGGATTTTAAATGGTGTTTGCAGCTGATGATTGTCTGATGATTAGCAACCGCAACTGACAAGACGAGCACAAGGATTCGATCGGCTGGTTGAGCTAGGTTCGAGTTGTGTGACTGCAGGGTATAAGCATAACATGCTGACTCGATCTTCAAATATATTATATGGTTGAATTAGGCATGTCAGAACAAGAGGTTCAAGATCTACGGACACAATTCCATGCACTACGAGGTCATAATCCCGATGGTAAAGTTGAAAACTATCATCAGCGTTATTAAGCTTTATTCAAGTCGTGTAGTATTGTTCTAAATATATGGTTTGTAATAGAACTGCAGGAAGATTCATTAAATATAGAAGAAGATTGGATGGACAATCCTGGTATTGCTGGACAGACACCAGAAACTCTAGGTATATCATGAATGTCTTGTTAGGCATCTGTTCAATGTTTCAGTCACTAAAAGTGGATCATATAGAAACACACTCGGACATGCTTATTGGACTGATGGTTGGATTCTTTATGGGGATTCTTGCAATATACTGGATCAAGGAAGCTCGAATGTACAATCGACAACAACAATTAGGTATACAATCCAAAGCGTCGTTAAACTAACTGATTGAACTAATTGACATGCAACTATTTAGGAATCATCACTGGTTTAATCATCAACTTTTCGTTTGGTGCATTGCGACTGTAAGTGTCTGATTTAGAGTCATGCTTGTTTTTATCACTTGATCTAGTCTAACTCTGATGTCCTGTAGATGCTATTATGATTGGTAGGCTGGATCAGCCGATCGTATTGCCGGATCGTCCAAAACCGTTGTTAAACCTACCTGATGCTTATAATAAACAATCTTTACTGATATCACCCAAGCGACTGAAACCAGATGAAATAATCGAGTCAAGCTTATAAATACATGTTTATGTGGAAATAGATGGCAAGTGTTGAAAGCTCATTTCTAGTCCAGGACAGAAACTTGAAGGTGCATGTCAACTCGATGACTGATTTTTATTAGAAAGCTGTTCAAGTCTGTTATGATATTAGCAAAACAACATTCAATAAAAGTAGTATTGCATAGCAAAGTATAGTCTTCAACAAACCTATTCAAGATATCCTGTGCTTTGGCAGCACTTTCTGCAATATTCTTTTTTTGATCCAAATCCATTTGTTGCTTTGCGTATTGGAATTGCTGAATAGACATACCAATCCCAAGTCCTAATCCTGCACCAATAAAACACTTTTAAATACGATTGACTGTTAGCTGTATAGTGACGGTATGTATGAATTATACAAGGTTGATGAATTACCTTGAGTCCAAATCGAGCTTTAACGCTCAGCATAATCCTGTTTTTATAAATTCTTGGGCAAGATTTTCTATTTTAAAACCTGAGCCATTCATCAACTGGATTTGACTGCTGTAATAGCATCTAGCAATAATACAACAACAATCTGAAACCAACCCAACAATACATGGAATCATTATATATAAAGGGTCAAATATTAATGTGATGAACCAAGTTTGACCTGGTACAGTACAGAACATGTTTTTTCATATCCAGCAGATTCATGACCTGAAATGTATCCAAAATGACTATACAATCCATCTACACATGCCAAGTATGTATGACCTGCATTGTGTAGTATTGCAACTCTATGCAGACACTGGTTTTGAATGATGTTTGTTCAAGTATGGTATTGACTAATCAACAGTACCATTCAAAGTTCATGATGGACTAGTCCAACACATTTAATTCCACGCAATACTGACAAAAGCTTAAATAATATGCATTGAGCCAGAATACAATCATCACATACAGTGACAGCCAAGCCACAGTAATCAACAGTTGTGTCACGAATGGGTTGCAGATCCGCAAGGTTTCATGTATCAGTCAATACGATTGAATACAAGAGTTGTCATAATGATCATCCAGTAACATGGTCGATATACGCGGTTGATGAGCATCAGATCTGGCGTTATACTTACCATCACATTCGAGTATTATCTGTTTTTTCAGTCATGACCCACTCACTTGTTCGTATTGCTGGAAAGACACAGTCCTATGACTGGGGAAAATTAGGTATGGACAGCACAGTTGCTCAGCTTGCTGCTGCTACACCTGAATTCCAGACTGATTCTACTAAACCATACGCCGAAGTAAGTTTATTGAGCAATGACTGTTTATGAATACAAGGTGCGGTGTTTAATGTTATTTTGGACTATCCAGCTGTGGATGGGAACCCATCCAAACGCTCCATCGGTTTTAGTAGATGAGCAGATTCCACTTCATCAGATTCTCACTCAAGAAACGCTCTCTCCAGCCATTCATTCACTGTATGCTGGCGACCTTCCTTTCCTTTTCAAGGTTCTGAGTATCCGCAAGGCTCTTTCAATTCAAGCTCATCCTGACAAATCTCTCGCTCAGAGCCTTCATAGGCAGTTCCCTGACATTTACAAGGACCCAAACCATAAGCCTGAAATGGCATTGGCCATTACACCCTTTGAGGCTTTTGTTGGGTTTAGACCCCTTGGTGAGATCAGTGGGTTTTTGGAAACCTATCCGGAATTTGCTGCAGTGGTGGGTGTAGAAGCCACCAAGACTTTCAAGACACAAGTCAGCCATGCTGGAACATCAACAGTTGGATCAGATGTAGTAAAAAACAAGCAAGCTCTACGGTCACTGTTTAGTGCCTTGATGACATGCCATCCAGCAGTAGTTGCTGAGCATTTGGATCGTCTCGTGAACAGATTGGACAAGGTAAAAGGTGGTGAGGATCCATTACCTGGTCTGATATGTAGACTCTATCAACAGTTTCCTCAAGATGTCGGATGCTTTTGTACACTGCTGTTGAATTATATTACAATGGTTCCTGGTCAAGCCATCTTTCTTGCTGCCAACGAGCCCCATGCTTATATATCTGGAGGTAATGGCTATATCTATCTTGACAGATCGTGTTTTTATTTCAAACTTCGATGCCAAAACTATCCTTGATATAATAGAATGCTCACAATGCGTTGAATTGAATACTATAGACTGTGTGGAATGTATGGCTACAAGTGACAACGTTGTGAGATCGGGTCTTACTCCCAAATTCAAAGATGTGGATACATTGGTATCGATGTTGACTTATTCCTACGGACCAGCCGATGCGCAGATTTTATACGGTGAAGCTGTTCCTAATACTCAATTCACGAAACTTTATGATCCACCCATTAGTGAATTCGCTGTTGTACAAGTATGCATGACCCGTCAAGCACAGGGGGAAGTTGTTGAGATGGGAGAGAGTGTCCAAGGACCAAGTCTTGCAATCGTTACAGGTGGAAAAGGAAGAGTTGAAGCTGGATCTGTAGTACTGGAAGCACCCTGTGGGTCCATTTTCTTCATCGGTGCTGGTGTCAGTGTCAAGTACGTTTTACCCAATGGAAGCAACGAGTTTGTTGTGTATCGGGCCTTTTGTCAGGTCTGATTTGGGCGTGAGTTTATTTTAAAAAAATTGAAGACTGCCATTCATCTATAGTGGAAAACGCACATTGCACCCCAAGGCTACTGCAAGTGTTTTGGCTGAATACGCATTTTATTAAACTTTATATTGACAGTTTATCAAGGCATTATCCATTTCAAATCTAAAACTCCACAATAGGAAACTTTGTTCATTTGTCTATCCATAATAACAAAAAGTAGATTCATCACAAAAAGTCGTCTTTGCAAGTCTATCTGCGGCTTTTGTACCCAGAAGTTGCCTTTCTTACGTTTGCATTACGTCTTAATAATCCCAAATCATCGTAAATTTCATGATCTTTAAGCTGAAACACTAGTAAAGGCCCGTTTTGTCCTTTGTTTCTCTTGCCATTCTTTCTCGACATAGCACCTTCCTCGCTACCATTGTTTCCTGCATTAAAACGCTGGTTTAACCTGGCAGCCTTTCGAATTCCAACATTTTTTGTAGCTTCAATTCCTGCATCGGTTGCAACATCAAACCCATCTCGCTCCTCTTTCAATTTTCGTTTCTTTTCGTTGAGTTGATTCAGCATGGATTCCCTCAGCCCCGACTTTTCTCCAACATATTCCGTCAAGCACGTATCATGTTCTAACTGATGTACTTTTTTGGCACATTCGATTGTGTAATCACGAAATAAAGCGGCTTCTACCAATGCTGCATCTCGCTCTTGTTCTAAAACTTTTAAAGCATCGAGGTATTCTGGATAGATTCCCATTCGCAGTTCTTTTGTTTCTTTTGCAAATTTGTCCAATCTGGATCGATAGATTTCGTCTTTTTGAGCTTGAAACGTAATGTCGAGTTTTTCAAGATGTTCATCCACGTCATGGAAGATACGAGGTTTACGATGGGTGGCAGCTGACAAAGATGTACCGAGTTGATGATTGGCATACGCCATATCAGCATAAGACTCCTTGTATCCATCAGAGCTTTCAGATGCATTAGAATGGTCGGTATAAGTGCCCGGTGATGTATTGCGAGCGGTTTGATGCGGTCTTGATTGGGGTGGAGGGTTAGGAGCATCGAATTTAGTTGTGGCAGAACTACGAGGACGCCCAATGGGTCTACGAGCAATTGGACCATTTCCTTGTGGCGGAGATTTGGGTCGAACAACAGATTTTTTTTGTTGAAGAGATTGAATAGGCTGCAATGGATTCGATTCCTTGGCTGGATAAAATGTAGATTCAGAATCATTCACGCTCGAATACTCTTGTTTTATTTGCTGTCGCTCAGATTGCTGGATTTGCTGTAAAGGATAAGTAGATCCATGTAAAGCCTGTCCAGACATTGTTGGAGAAGTAGTAACAGGAGCTAATTTTGCATTGGTATTGGAAGGTGCAGCATTGCTAGCAGCAGGCATAACAGAGGTGGTAGGAACAATAGGAGTAATAGTGGTTATATCGTTATCTGCATGACTAGCAGAACCAGCAGTAGATGGATGTGAAAGCGGTCTGTATGCAGCAGCAGTAGAATCGTGACTTTCGTCAAGATTGTCACCTCGAAAATTGCTCTGATGTTGCTGATACTGAGACGGTTGATGAGAAACGGGAAGCGATCCACTAAAGGATTTGCGATGCTCAATACGTGGAGGTTGTGAGTGGTGCACGGGTTGATAAGAGTGTCGCTGGTACTCTTGGGGGTGATGCATTGATTGTTGTTGATGGTGTTGATTGAGATGAGGGTGCTGCTGCATCGGGTGATGATAAGGCATAGACTGTTGCTGATGGTCCCTCTGATCGCGATGTTGTTGAGAAGTAGGTACGATCGAATGGTGTTGATGGTGATATTGAGCAGGCCCTGGTAGTGGGGATATGACAGTGTGGTGCATGTCCATAGGCTGTTGCTGATTGTAGTGTTGTTGTTGATGATGTTGGATGCTATAAGGATGTGGATCTCTACCATAAGTCATACCAGATTGGGCTCCGCTGCCAGTAGACTGAGAGTGGATCTGAGGATGGGTTGGAGAGTGGTGGTGAATTTGTTGATGACCAGATCCGTGCAGCATGTGTTGTGGTGGTGGTGGATTATAATGACTACCACCACTTCCAGTACCAGAATTGTATTGGCGATAGTAATGCTGGGATGGATGGTGATTGCCATTACCATGACTGGCAATGGCAGTAGAATTACCGTATTCACTCTGAGGATGATGCTGGGAATAGTATTCACGGTCATAATCTGAATAACCCTGTTGCTGAATATGGGTAGGACGAGTAGTAATAGCAGTGGATCCAACAGTAGTAGATCCAGTAGTAGATCCAATACTCACATGATTCGCACCACTAGTCGCAGATCCGACACTTGAGCCTTGACGCGCATTGGCGGCAGATGGATTGATGGCATGAGAAGTAGTTGCTATAGCAGAATTGGTGGAGTGGGAAGAAACATGTCCTGGCTGTTGCTGAGAGTAGTAATGATACTCTCTTGAATGAGCTGAGATGGACGTAGGTGGTGGAAGAGTGGTGGTGGATGGATGGGAATATGCATTACTGCTCCCATGAGGTGGCGGTACATGACGAAAAGATGATAATGGCGGTAGAGTTGGAGGCTGAGGTTGACCATTACCACCAATGGTAGAAGCGGAAGGAGTCGGATGGTCTCTAGACACAAAGCCATCATTTCTATATCCATTATTAGGAGTAGTTCCAGAAGTACTGGAACTACTAGTACGATGTTGCATTAGATGAAGTTTCCAACGATTATTCCAACTACTAGTTTTGAATCAACCGCTAATGATAGTTTTAAATTCAATGTAGCTTCGATAGTAATCTTGACTCGATGCAACTCGTAAATCTTGAATTCAATGCGATTGGAATGATTATCAAAAATCAGATTCAACTCCATAACTGATCGTACTCGTTCTTTTGTTCAAATGCTCACGTGGCTCGCTCCGTATTGCTTGACTTGCCACAAGTCATCACATAGAATGAACCACAAAATACAATCTCATGAAATGATTGGCCAGTTTACTGTTTAGTATTGTTTTTTAAACTCTGACTGGTGATTGACATGTACAGTTGTATCCCTAAGACTATAGTCGTTGGTTTCTTGAACTAGAACGCGAACAAGTTTTAAAAACAGCGATGGTTTGAGAACAATCGAACCCAACATCTGGATTGCAATGGTGATTATAAACGTATGGCTATGCCAAAGCGGAGAAAGAATGGAATCAAAAAAAGATAATTCCAGGTCAAAATCATTGTTTTTCCAGAGCAAAATAAAGACAATCGAGACAAACAAAGTGTTTTACATGAATGTATTGGTTTCGGGGTTTACCCATCGTTACAGATACTTGAATGTATCTTGGTATCAGCCAAAGCTCTTCTGCTGCTGCATTGATCGCTTTGGTACTGCAAAGCACTTTTTTGGTTCTCTCGCTGAAATACGTTCAAAACATCACTGCTGCTTCCAATGCCACACCTTACTTGAAGGCTGCTGTCATTCTCCTGGCTGAAATCCTCAAGCTGCTGTGCTCTTTTTTTCTATATGCATCCGAGCACTCATCAATCGCATCTACTTCCTTGTCATTATCACATTCATTTAAAGACAGACGTTACTACTACCCAAACCTTACTCTTGGCTCGCTCTATGTTGCTCTTTTTGGACACAGCTCTCAATGGCTGAAACTAGCTATTCCCGCTATTCTCTATTTTATTCAAAACTGTTTGTTATATGCTGCTGCCGACCGGCTCGATTCTCCCACTTTTCAAGTACTGGCACAGTCCAAACTCATCACCACCGCTGTGTTTTCTGTCATGATGTTGAGAAAACGCATTTCATTTCCAAGAATCGTGGCATTAGGAATGTTGACGCTTGGGATTGCACTAGTCCAGCTGTCGGGTGAAAAAAGTGGCGGTAATAGTAACAATGCTACCAATGAAAAAATGAGCGATTCAATTTATCATGTATGGGTATTGGCCAAGCGGTCCTGGAATGCCTCGGGAGCTCATTTGGCTGTAGACTCTGCCAATGATAAACAGCAAGTCGTGGCTATATTTTCTGATCGCTTCATTGGTATAATCTATATATTTTTAGCCTCGACTTTGTCTGGTCTTGCTGGTGTATGGTATGTATTGACTATTGTCTCATTCATTCTACTGGGTGCGTCTGCTTTTGGATTGCATACTAATGCTCATCTTGATGTATAGGTTTGAAAAAGTACTGAAAGAACACAAGACTTCGGTATGGCTACGCAACATGCAGCTTTCACTATTCACGCTACCATTTGGACTCATCACTATGGGTAGGTTATCTTTCATGACAATTACTTCAACCCCATTTTTGAGCATAAATTCAAGGTTCGTTTCCATCAACTCACTTATATTTACAATTGTTTCTACCTGCATTAGCTATTGTGGATGGAAAGGAAATTCTCCAAGCAGGTGTATTTCAAGGCTTTACTTTTTGGACCATCATTATTGTTTTCCTTCAAGCTTTAGGCGGACTCTTAATAGCGATTGTTGTCAAGCATGCCGACAACATTGTCAAGGGATTTGCCACGTGTATATCTATTGTTTTTTCATCTATATTGAGCATGTATTTGTTTGGATCCAGAGTATCGACTACATTTTTGATTGGCGTACCATTGGTCATTGCTAGCATTGTGTTGTATGCTCGTAGTGATTTAGGAAATATTCGGTTCAATACAAAGAACCCAAAGCGGATCTAATTTTACGGTCATATTCATTTAAAATGGAGCACTTGCATTTATCTTGCAATGATTGCTTCAAAATAAACAATATTTAAATATCTATTGCGCTTTTCTGTTAAAGATTAGCTTGAATAGACATGGTCAGTTTTTAAAACTTGTTCGCGTTCTAGTTCAAGAAACCAACGACTATAGTCTCAGGGATGCAACTGTGCATGTCAATCACTAGCCAGAGTTCAAAAAACAATACTAAACAGTAAACTGGCCAATCATTTCATGAGATTGTTTACTATACACTGACACCCTTATTAAGGATCTGTTTTACATCAATGCGGCTGAAATTGAATTGTAAATCATTTCTAGTTCAACCTTTATGTATTACTTATAAAAGCATTGTAGATATCAATGGATTCGAATATATGAAGAAATGTAGTGAATTTGAATATTATAATAATACAGAAATAGCGTACAAGACATGCAACAACAAGAGTAAAACTACTTTATTGCAGCAGCCCTGACATGAAGCAGCCCAAGTCCTACCACGTGGCAACTTTAAATGACTAGAAATAATTCTAGTTTCACTCCGCTGGATTTGCAAGTTTGAATTGTGCAACTTGACATTATAATTACCAAGAGTTCTGTTATACTTGACTGTTGCAAAACTATCTGTACCTCTTGTATTGGTTTCCATTTGCTTTCTTTACATCGAGTTTATTCCATTACTAATGGGTAAGTCACTACTGCTATGCCACTAAAACTGACATGATTATTGGTCATTTCTATTGCTCGTATTGAGTGATTGTTGGTAGTCATATTATGACTGGCATTTTTTATTGTATGCATTCAACTCATTACTGAAATTTATATGAATATTCCATGTTTTAATTAGCAGCAACCATCTTCGGAGTACCTCTTAAATGGGTTTCTCTTGTTACATTAGTAGTTCAAAACTCTGCTTTGGTCTTGGTTATGCGCTATGCTCAGACACTGCCCGGTCCTCGCTTTCTAACCTCCACTGCGGTCGTCATGTCCGAATTTATCAAGCTCTCTGTATCTTTAATCGTTCATATTATTGAAGAACGTCGTACTACTGGCATCTCCGCCCATAAACTTTTTCTCAGCCTCTTTGGTCCAAATTCCGATTGGGTTAAAATGACCGTTCCTGCTATTCTTTACTTTATCCAAAACAATCTACAATATGTCGCTGTTCATTTGCTTGATGCTGCCACGTTTCAGGTCACTTATCAGATGAAAATCATCACTACAGCCCTATTCTCTGTATGGCTGTTGAATAGATCCTTGACAGGCTTGAAATGGATATCGTTGGGACTGTTGACGATGGGAATCGCGATTGTCCAGCTGGCTGGTAGATCTGCGTCAAATGAAAATGCTACTGTTGCAACAGATGCCGAACCTGATTTGAATGTGGTTCTCAATACAGATCGATTTCTGGGTTTGATTGCTGTCACTGTGGCATGTCTTTTGTCTGGCCTTGCTGGTGTTTGGTACGTACTGCTTTACATGGATGACTTGGCTTGTATCTATGTTGAATACTTGAATGTGCGCGAGTTTTTTAATCTATATTTTTGCAACTGTCTAGGTTTGAAAAGGTGCTCAAGGGCACAAGTGCATCCCTTTTTCTTCGCAATGTTCAGCTCAGTCTTTTCAGCGTAATCTCTGGTCTTATTTTTGGTGTGTACATGATAGACGGAGCCGCCATTGTTGAGGGCGGATTTTTTCAAGGATACACGGTGTGGGCCTGGGCAGCTATCATTTGCCAAGCTGTAGGCGGTCTTATTGTTGCTGTGGTTGTCAAGTATGCCGATAATATCCTCAAGGGATTTGCTACATCAATTGCCATCATTTTGTCTTCAGTAGCGTCGGTATTTATTTTTAATTTTGAGATTTCTGCTGGATTCATGTTTGGATCTGGGCTAGTTCTTTACGGTGAGCAGCATGCATTCTGTATACTTTAGTCCTTGTTTTGAAAACTAGATTATTTATCAACTTTTGCATTGATTCCTATTGTAGCTACACATCTATACAGTAAGCCTGACAATACAAAATCGATTGTATCTGCCAAATCAGATGTGCGGTATGTCAAGCTAGAAGCGGGATTAAAATAGGATGCATCTAATAGTAAATGCATTCGTGACACTAATTACAACCGTATTCACGTAAAATGGAGCACTCCTGTATCCAGCAGTCTTTATTTTGCTTTGAAATAAATATGGTCAACTGTCTGCTATGCTCTCCGATTGGAGATCGACTTTTCCTTTTTTCAGTAGACACATTTATGATACAATCAAACTAAAGTCATGTTGGAATAATCACCAGATTCAACTCGATTATTGTCCAACTTTCAAGTCGCATATGTTCGCGCTCTAGTTCAACAGAACATTTCAGGAATGCAACTCTACATGGCAGTCATCAAGAGAAAGACTAAAACACAATATTGACCAGTAAATTTGATGCCAATCACTTGATAAGATTGTCACCCTTATTTAGTATTCCATTTTACATGAATACAATGGTGAATGAACCATCAGAACCATTCTTGCAACGACAGCCATTAACAGAAATGAATGCTACCAGTTCATTAGTACAGAATAACAGTCCGTTAAGATTCGGATCGACAGAGTTTAGAGACCGACACTTTCCTCAGTTGGTTACATTGAATACTACAGGAAAAGACTCGAGTGAATCCCAAGCTCCGCTTTATTTAGACAATGCAGGCGCACCGCCTGTACCAGTTGAAGTGGTTCATGCTCATGCTCACAGTCTTGCTCAAACACTGCTGGCAAATCCTCACTCCTCAATGGCAGCCGCAGCTGCTTACACTTCTGTTAGTATCAACAGAGTCCGTCAAAGAATACTGAGGTATGATTAACACGATTATGATTTTCGATAATTTCACTAGACATGATTTAAGCGTATTCTTGAAACCTAACTGAATCTAGACACTTTGGAGTTTCCACTGCAACTCATTCGGTAGTATTCACTGCTAATTCTACTGCTGCCATCAAATTGGTTGCCGATCGTTTTCCTTGGTCACCCAAAAGCTTGTTTTGTTACCACCAGAGCTCACATACTTCTATCATTGGTATTCGATCAAGATTTTCTGATACTAAATCAGTCTTTTGTTTTCAATCAAAAGAGTTGGATTCAATACTGTCGTTGACTGAATCTACTAATGGCAATGTTTCAAGTATAAATGCCGATGAAACACATCACTTGCTTTCCTATCCTGCGCAATCTAATTTTTCTGGTGAACGATTCCCACTTGAATGGGTACAGGCAGTACGATCACTTGATCATATTCCTCAACCTTTTTCATCTCATTCAAGCTCTTGTCATAAATCAAACTGGAGAGTATTAATCGATTGTGCCTCAATGGTATCCACTACTCGATTGGATCTCGCCAAAACACAGGCAGATTTTGCTGTTGTTTCTTTTTACAAAATGTTTGGATTTCCAACTAGTCTAGGAGCTTTGATTGTTCGTAACGACGCTACTAGCCTATTAACAACAAGTCCTAGAAAGTATTTTGGTGGGGGTACTGTAGCTGCCATTGCTGCCAATTCTGAATATCACAGATTCAGATCGGGTGTGGCCGAGCAGCTTGAGGAAGGAACTTTGCCATTTACAGAGATTCTTGCATTAAACCATGGCTTTGAATTCGTTGAAAAAACGATTGGTGGGTGGGATATACTTTCTCAACATGTTACAGATCTGGCCGAGTACGCGCAAAGTCGACTAGGTGAACTTCGACACGAAACTGATCATCAACTTCCAGTATGTAAACTCTACTCTCCTATGACTCAAAACACCAAGGGTCCCATCATTGCATTCAATATTCAAACCTCAACCGGAACACTGATTCATCATAGTCAATTCATGACTCTTGCATCTATTCATAATATCAATATTCGATCTGGATGTTTTTGTAATCCTGGCGCATGCCAACAGTACTTGGAGATTTCTGCACAAGACATCAAACAAAACCATGAAGTGTATGGCCATGTTTGTGGAGGCTCGACAGATATTGGTCGACCAACAGGTGCATTACGGATTTCATTTGGATTTGCAAACATTGTTTCTGATGTAGATCGATTCTTGGATTTTATACAGGAATTTTTTGTATCAAAGCACGACGCAATCGATAATGGAATTGTGTCGGGTTTAACTAGACCGAGATTGATTCCGTATATATCTGCTATTCATGTGTATCCAATCAAATCGTGTGGAGCTATAAGTGTAACATCATGGCCCATGTGTGATTCTGGATTGGTGTGTGATCGAAAATGGATGCTTGTAGATCGAATCCATTTTCAGCCTTTAACACAGAAAAAGTGTCCCAAAATGTGTCGGATTCTTATTGAAAAACTTGATCCTTATGTTGGCATGATGCAAGTGGTTTACTCTAGTGAATATGAAACTCATAAGACGAACGATGATCAACTGGTAATTATGTTTGATCCCATCATGCCTCATTCGGATCGTGTGCCATTGAACCATGATCCCGCCGACTATGACCACCAATTATCTGAAAAGGGTGATTTTTCTATTGTACCAAAGAAAATATCTCAAGCCGATGAGTGGTTTTCTCGTCATTTAGGTGTAGATGTATGTTTTGTCAGATCGAGCACCACTGCACACATCCAGTCTGCTACCATGGCAAACCTTGATAAACATCATCACACCACCATGACACCATCATTTGCAAACAAATCACCATATCTGATCATCTCTCAATCAAGTTACGACTTGGTGGCGACTCGTGTCAAGCAAAAGAATCCAGTTGCCCATGTAGATATTATGGCGTTTCGACCAAACTTGGTTATTCATGGGTTGATACCGTTCAGTGAAGATCAGTGGATATCAAAATCCATTCAATTAGGCGGAACGCAATTTGAGGTGATTGTTGCTGTGTGTGTCAACCAGAGCCTTTATTGTTTAAACTGCCCATTTAATACTTTTTGCTAAACTAGATCCAAGAACATTGTTCAAGATGTCAAATGATTTGCATTGATCAAGCTACTTGCAAACGGCACTCTGAGCCACTCAGTACTTTGGCTAAAATGCACAGAATTGATGTATGTATTTATAACTAAACTGATCTTGGTTATAGCAAAATTAGATTGATTCATGTATATCGGATTGCATAAAATGTAAAGCTTAATTTTTTAAATTTTTGTAGGGGCGTGTTGTGTTTGGGGTGCATGCTTGGAGCAAGGATCAGCATCTGGAATTTAAAATAATTCATGTTGGTGATGTGTATACTCCGCCTAAAATGAATCTGTAAACACAACTATATACTTTAACTCCTCACATTGCTATTTTAGTGTCTGTAGTTCAAAAAGTTGAGCAAATGGCTAGTTTAATCATGTGGGATATGCATTTCGAATACATAGTATAGCGTGTAAAACAAGATAAATATGAGCTCCTAAAATCATTTCATTGGGTCGGTATTGGAATGTTGATACCCAGTGATAATCAGCACATTGCTAGAGTGCATAATCATGGAAGGAATCACCGTAGCTGCTTTTTTTGAAATCCAGTTGCGTTGCAAGTCGATTGTAATCCTTTGTTCTAACCTTTTTTCAGTGGTCGCAATGACTCTTTTAATTGTTCCAACACCTTGATCTGTCAGTAAATTGTCTGTCAAGACCCATTTCTGACAGGTGCGCATTGCAATAGCATTTCCCAAAGCTTCGCATACCGTGTCATTCAAACACTGAGCAGAAAAGTCAATGTGCATGAGATGCAATGCATGATGAACTGAAGCAACAATGTCAATTATACCATTTGTACCAAGAGTTTGAACAGGTGTGCCAAGACCTTTGGCAACGAGACTGTTGAGCTGGCATGTTCCACTAGATATCCATGCAGCTAAACGAGTCGCCACAGTCTGATCAAACACATTGGCAGAAATATCGAGATATGTGATGGTTGTGGTACATAGGGGCTGTATATGAATTTGTTTTGGTACATTATGTTGATTTGTGGCAGTCTGTAGTGCATCAATGACAAGACATAAGCCACGTGGAAGCACTCCATTTCGAGCAATGCATATTTTGGTAAGTGATGTCTGCTCTATTGTTACAGATTTTACAAGGTGTTTTACGTGAGATCCTAGATTTACTCCATTGAGATGAATGCATGTTAAACGCGTGTTGGTAGCGATGGCGTCAGTGAGGATAATCATTCCAAGCGACGTGAGTGGATTGTCACTAAGATCAAGAGTACGTATACATGTCCGGTTTGAAGCAATGTACGCAGCAATAGATTTGCAGCAGTCAGTGATATTGGGATCAGCTGAATGAATTGTACGTGATATACTAATGTAAGTAAGGTTAGAGGATGCATGCTGCATGGCATCAAAGATGGTTGCAAGAGCAGAGGCAGTGAGATGTGTGTTGGTCAGTACAAGATGCGTAAGACTAGACTGTGCATGGGAAACCAAGGCAATAATTGTAGGTGTGGTATCTGGACTCAATTGGATATTTGATAGATCAAGGTGAGTAATTCTAATATGTACTAGAGGGATTTGAACAAGAAAAGTATGGAATATAGATGCATCTACACCCATTTGTTTAGAAGCTGTTGGGATCCATTTCATATGAACTCCAAGATGGCGAGATTGGCGGTTTTGAATCGAGTTGGTTGCGGGAAGCTTATTTGAGTTTGTCCAACTTGAAGGGTAAATAAATTCTGCCAAACTGCTGATTCCTCGCAAATCCAAGTTGCTTTCTGTTTCTATACGCATTTGTCGTGAATGTGGATCATTTGGCTGAAATACCGAGTTGAAGCTATTTGTTTTATTCGAAAGTAATTCATGCTCTATTGTAGCCGATGATGTGCACAGTGCTAGAATTGATGGAATCGACCCAGATGATGATGCAACAACCAGAACTTCAAGAAAAAGCTGGCATGTATTGGGAAGTATTTGTGCTACATTTGTGAGCTCATTTAAAGTATATTGGTTGCACCGGTCAATTCTTAAAACAAGCTGTTTCAAATTGGAGCAATATGCACTTAATTGCCCAACCAACCCTTGTATTCCATAATTATCCTGGATCAACCCTATATCTAGATACAGTTTTTTTAGTATTGATCCTTGATGTTGAATCACCTGTGTAAACATCTTGTGGCCAAGTGGTTGTCCAAGCACGTCCAAAATGTAATTTTCAAGACAGACACGTTTGGCTACTGTATAAAATTCTACTTCTTCGCAGACATCATCAAGTGACATTCCCAAATTTTGCATAATATTGATACTTTGAACACTATCCAGCATTACTGATTCTGCTGTATCATTGTTCAAGTTTGATACTAGTGAATCACAATGTTGGCCGCGATTGTAAATATGTTGATACGTGAAATGGTCGTGTTGGCTTACACACTGTTGAATGCGATCCATCCTGCCATTCATCAGTCGCCAAAACTGATTTATCCAAATGGATTGCGTATTAATGCATGGTTTAGAAATCAGATTGCCAGTTTTGGTTTCCGATACCGATTTCATACTTTCTTCTTTGGACCGTGCCAGCAGATCATGCTCACAGATAATCAGTTGGCCCACATTCAAATGCTTAAGAACACTTCTGACCAGCATTGTCGATAGTTCTTCAAACGACTTTATACAATCAAAGTTTTTCGCAACTAATTTTGCACACAAGTCGACTAGTCCTGGTAAATCAAGATACATTCCAGCCTCCATCAAATCAAACAAGTGATCGAGACGTGGTTGTATTTCGTCAACACTAACCATTCCCTCTTTCCACAGATTTTGTTTATAGTATTGACGTGTGAGATATTCCATGATTTGCAGGATGACATCTGTAGGAATGGTTGGCAATGATAGTCCCTGAACACTTTCTTGAAAATGTGTCGAGTGAAGGTGAATATGCTTTAATGTTGCTGATTGGTATACAATTTCCTTGTGAATACGGATTGTGGAGTGTGACTCATGAGCTGGAATACCGATGTTTACTGTAATGGTTTCGCTGTTTGAAAGATTTTCCATAACTGCAAGAGTGGCATGTTTTAATGTAATAATTTTTGAAGATTGTGCATCAGCCATGAGAACTAATGGCTTGATTATAGTTGTAGAATTAGGACATGGCAGTTGATCTGCAATACGCGACGGTTGTAAACGACAAGTGGTATGAGCTGGGACTATTGGTTGAGCGTGTTTGAGCGACTCGAGTATGAGTCTACGACTCGGTTCTCGAGTATCTGGACAACCTTTTAATAAAAAATAATCCTGTGTTATACCTGCAGTTGAATTATCCGTGTGTATCACTTCAGAGTTTAAACTGCTACTATTCAACAAACATTGATTCTTTTGCTTAGATGATACCAGACCTCCGACTACACTATTCAATTTGCTTGTATTGGATTCACAAGAAATTTTTGGCAGTCTGTTGCTACGAAGAGTGCTTTTCGGATAAGTGATTTTGGATGCTTTTGCAAGTGTTGTGCTAACTTCGATTCCCAAATGTATATTTTGTCCATTCTGCCATTTTCCTACTGAGAGCTTATTGAACGAGGGGAGCGCGATGGCTGGTGACACAGTGACACGCTGCTCAGATTTACCACCAACTGTGTTTTGCAAGGATACAGTCAAGTCCATTTCCGAAAATGTGGGGTTGCCAATACTACCAACTCTGCATTGGATTTCAGATGATGGAAATGCAGTGGCCTTGTGTGAAATTGAGGGTTTAAAAAAATCAGATTGACGGTTAGTGTTTGGAACGTATCCTGTGTTGTGGCTTGTGGAAGTAGATCGAGTTTGGGTGATTGAAGTAGAAGAGTTGTATCTGACTACTTTGAGCATAGGCTGATCCAGCGGGTCAAAAAAGAACGAACCCAAACCTTGCATTTTAAAGTGTAGATTACAACTGAGAAAGGAATCAAGTTCACTTTGTGATTTAAACAGTCGAGTTAATCTTGTCGTTTAAAGTGGTCAAGTTTGCCATTTTCGTAATTGCAAACAATTTGGCATTTAGATGAGTGTGTTTGGACTGGGACGACAGGTGGGTCGACGGTGTTGACAGGAAAATACTACATATTCAGCATATATCATTATCAGGAATGTGCCGATATACAGTTGTCTGCTTTACATGGATAAATTGATGCTCATCAATAAAACTATTGGTTTGGGTCAAACTTGAAAGGGACGAGTGCTGGTTGCTCAATTAGGAGATACAGAACGAAACCGCTGGATAGCAGGCTCAAGTAGTTTATTGAAAGACAACAAGGTACAAGTCATACTCTTCAAGCATTGTCCGAACCAGACTCCATATCTTCTAACATGCGTGATTGCTGGATGATTTAAACTTGTGGACTGTAGATTTACCTCATTGATTACGACGAAGACCAAGATGAAATCACACATGCTGCCTATGCTCATCCAGATGAGATTCTCAGTATTTCGCCCGCACCAACCAAGGCCGACTTGTTTTTTTCATGTTCCTGTAAAAGTATGGGTTGATTGCTTGGGAATTCAAGTTCTGATCACTATAAAGTAGCTGATTCTAATAGTGGATTCAAATTATATATAGTTGAAGAAAATATCCCAATTCTATCTACAACGTTATGGCGTTTTTCTCAAATCGATTCGGATGAGTCGGGTCAATTAAAACAAAATGGGTCCAACGTGCTTGAAGAAGTCACCAAATTAATACCAGACGGAGGCCAATCTGACATTCACCAGTTGAGTTTTTATATGGATGGCTATTTGAAAGTAAACCACACGTTGATTATGTTGTTTGTAGAGTTTTGTGGGAGCCAGCAGGAGATACATCACAAATAGTCGCGATTGGACGGAAAAAGCTATATATTTACTCTTTGGCTCAAAAAGATTTGAAAGCAGTAGGTTTTTACAGAACTTGAGTTGGGATTGATTTACTTGATCAAGTGCTAATTTCTATTTTAAAATGCAGACTTTATCAACTGTAATTGCGATTCCCATGGATGCCGAATCCTGCATTGGGTGCGCAGCGTGGGATCCTCATCACACATCTCAAATCTCAGTTGCAATTGGGCGTAACATCATTGGCTGGAATATTTCCACTAACAGGTAAAGTTTAAATTGCCGACATAATACCTGTTGCCTGCATTGTGCTGACTATCTTTGCCAGTGAATGTTTTCGAATAGATCTTGCACATGAACTGCCAATGAGAGCTTTGGATTACAATCCAAATAAGCCATACCATATTGTATCTGGTAGTGATGATTGCACCATTCGAATTTGGGATACACGAAACACCAGCACGTATCTTAAAAATATTACTGACCATTCTCACTGGTATGCCGCATTAAAACATGTCGAGTTGATACTGGTCTCACTTGACCAACATTTTATTTTTACTTTTAGGGTATGGTCGGTGTCGTTTAATCGATCGCACGATCAACTACTACTTTCATCTAGCTCGGACTGTCAAGTCAATTTAGACTCGGTTGTCTCTGTATCATCAGTATTTTTTTATGATAAAAATAGATTTCTGTCGAGTGAGAGTAATGGCGGAGACAAATTTAACGATTCCAGTGACGATTCAGGCGGAAACTATCACAGGCTAGTTGGATGACTATTATTGGATACTATTCTTTTGTTTGAGGTAAATTTGTTCAAATATTAACTAGACTCTCTGGTTTGGTTGATTAGCAAAGCAACAGATGGATTGATTGCATCGTTTGATCAGCATGAGGAGGCAGTATATTCTGCTTCTTGGAGTGCAGCAGATCCGTGGATATTTGCTTCACTTTCGTTTGATGGAAGAGTGGTTGTAAATCAAGTTCCAAGAGAAGAAAAGTATAGAATTATGGATTGTTGAGGATTTTTCACGACTAGCAGACTCAAGAGTTGTCTAGATCGCTTTAGCTTGATCTGAAATTCATTACACGTGTGAGCATAATATGACTTGCTAATAGCACTATACTAAAAGCTAAATATGGAATTGGCTACGCTAAACACATATCAACTATGTCATTATTCGTAACTAGTGGTTTCAAAACATGATGAAATCGAGTTGTTGGAATATAACTAAAATAAATATTTCATCTCGCTGTTCTCATCCCTTTTGTCTTTAGTTGTGAGCGATCCGTCATGACTTTGGGATTAAATCTATACCAGCACTCGAACAATCTGTCAAAATCAATCAGTTCAGATACTCGTCAAACATTATTGCAAATCTTAATGCAACCAACTGTATTTGCTGGCCAATCAATACATATCCAATTGATCAATACAATGCCAGTAAACTTGATTAAGCTATATCGACACCAACGTGTTGCTATTGTTGGCTGGACTATCACTTGTAATGTTCTACGATATACTGGATTGTAAATTTCAATCTATTACCATTGCATTGTTGATATTGTCACATCTGCAATTTCAGCATCACTCTGTAATATTCTAAATATATTGTTTCATTGTCCAAACATCAAATGGTTGTCGACCATGTTACTGGATGATCATTATGACAACTCTTGTATTCAATCGTATTGACTGATACATGAAACCTTGCGGATCTGCAACCCATTCGTGATGCAACTGTTGATTACTGCGGCTTGGCTGTCACTGTATGTGATGATCGTATTCTGGCTCAATGCATATTATTTAAGCTTTTGTCAGTATTGCGTGGAATTAAATGTGTTGGACTAGTCCATCATGAACTTTGAATGGTACTGTTGATTAGTCAATGCCATACTTGAACAAACATCATTCAAAACCAGTGTCTGCATAGAGTTGCAATACTACACAATGCAGGCCATACATACTTGGCATGTGTAGATGGATTGTAGTTATTTTGGATACATTTCAGGTCATGAATCTGCTGGATATGAAAAAGGATCTAGCTTTGAAATCATGCTCGACCTGTTGCTAAAATACTATGTATTCAAAAATAAACTATATTTGATCAAAAATTACATTACAGATTCATTTTTAATCCAACTGACCAGCAATAATATTTTCAATATGCTGAGCAAGTGAATATCGTTTAAATGACTTTGCCACTTGGTAGAAATGCGCAAGACCCTTTTTTTTCTGATCATCATCAAGAATATCAGTCACAGCAAGTTTATCCATATTTAAGCATGTATACAACTCATTATATTCTAAACCATCCAAAATTAAATCAAGATTAGTTATTGCAATGTTGAGCCTAATATTTTATATGCATTTGCACCAAACACAACTTACCACTAGGCCATTTTGCAATCAGTCTATGAAGATGCAAACGAATATCTGGCCATGATTTAAGATTGGCATCCCAGCTGACTATTGATGTCAAATTACGCTCAGGGATATTCATTGTACTATCTTTTCGTGCTATTTTAGTTTCAGACATACTTGGAAAGTCCAGTCTTCGTTTTAGTAGCGACTCTGTATCTGTCCCCGAATTCAGGTCATTGCACGAATCAGGATATACACTATCCATCTGCATCGCTGGATCGTACTCATTTAATCCTACATCAGATATGGTATCCAACGTTTCCCATAATTCTGCTGGTAAAGTCTCAGATGTGTTGTTTTTTGAGCTCGTATTCAATGCACCAAGACTTGGATCATCTGGCGATGATTGTGGAATGTCTTTTGACATGATATCAGTCGGAGCAGTATCCAACAACAAATCAGCATCTTGAAGCGTGTCATCAGTGGGCTCAACAGGCAAGGTTTGGCTTGGAATCATTTTATCTACACTTTTTTCCAAGCTCAGTGTATGATTATCTGAAGATTGCTTGGATGCATTGGAATCCAGAAAAGGCCGAGAACAATTTCTGATATCTATCATTTGTTTTGCCAAATCAAATTTTCCACTTGCAATGTGATTCCATTCCAGATATTTCAGCTGTGGAACAAGGATTACAGGCATAGTAGCATGAGTCAATCGCGGTACTTTTGCAATCGAAAAAGTACTGGAAGTCGTTGATATGCTACTAGAGGCTACGGAAAAAGGTGAACCGGGTGTACAGGGATCATATTTTCCAGAAGATCCCACAGAAGAGGTAGATATGGATCGTCTGCGTGGATAAAGTCTTCTTCGCCGTAACGCTGAGCTGGGCGACTCCATGGAAGGCACAAGTGGCAGCTCACCTCCCTCTCCATCATTAAACTGCGAGGCTTCTTCGTCTGCTTCATCCATAGATGTGGATACGGGATCAATAGGTATTCCCTTGTTTGATGATGTAGGTGGTGGTGGAGTAGGTTGTCGTTTTGCATAGGGATTGCCAAATAGAGTACGCTCGCGCTCAGCAGCTTCATTTTCATCCTCGAGAGGATTTCGTAATATCTGCATAGCATTCATGGCCGATGTATAGTTACCCATTTGTGAGATTGGCAAGGTGTGCAACGCATCTACACGGAATAATTCAAGTTTCAAGCAGAGTCAAAAACAATGCCAATCAAGCGTACATGTTTGAAAAATTGTGCTGAATTACCTTGATCGCGCTGGGAAAGCCTACGGCCTGATACACCAAGTGCTTTACTTGGCGCAAATATGAGTTTCAGTGCATTGTCGAGTATTCCAAGCATGCCAGATTTGGGCACATCAAACACATTTTCAGCAATCTTGATATCAGAAACATCGTTTTTTCCCTTGGTTGTTCCCAAAGTGCCAATTAAATCAGATGAATTTGCAGTTTGAGAAAGATTCAATCCCACATCAACTTTTTTTTGTAATTGTTTAGCCTTTCCCGTATCCCGAAGCTGCATGATTGATGAAACCAGTTTTTGGTGTTCCATATGTGCCTGAATCATATTCAATACAGTCAGCTTGACGTTAGCTAGTTACATCCAGTCAAATTCTCAATCATTGTATTGTTTCATTACCTGCCGAGCAATCTTTTCTCCCAAATCGACTATTTTTGACATGACCAATGGCACAGCAAAATTTTTTGGCCACAAGTACCACAGATTCAAATGGTTTAAAGCATTTCGAATGGGCTGATGATAGTAGCATGGCACGCTTCGCATATACAGTATGAATGCTTGTGTCCATATGTCTGGAATTGCGCCATTTCGAAAGTTTTTGGCATCGTCTAGAATAAACATCATTTTAGAATGTAGCAGCTAGAGGTTTGTGCGGACAAGAAATGGGTTATTGAACATAGCAATAAAAATGCATACTTAAAAGTTTAAATAGCTTAGGAAAGTTGTAGGGAAGGATGTAGATATTGACCGAGTTTCCTGCTCCGCTAACTTTTAAAAACCCAAAGGGGAGCCCAGGTCCTGGCTGGTGGTGACTATTCTCAATAAAAATCTGCCAGTTGCCATTAAAAAATAGTAGGTTCAGTTATTTGACTTGCTGATTGTCATGCAACTCGACAGACTTACTGTCCAGCATGTGCCAGCACGTTTTTTGAGCAACTCTTGGCATAGACTAGTTTGCTCCATGCTAAACCGATCCACAGGAAACCCGTCGTAAATTGAGTGGTACTCATCTCTTTGTAGTACCATGATTGTTGGGTGTGCTTTTCTTCTTGGCTTATTTAGAAAAAATACAGTACAGCATTAAAAACCGTGAATGCAACAAGTTTAAACCAATAAGATTGAAACCTACAAGACGAAGTATATCTTTACTGAGCATACTCTCAGGCCAATACGACTCTGGAATAGGAAACCACTTTGATGCAGTGATGTTTGCATAGATGAACAGCATTTCTTGATTGAATTTTGGCGTGGAATTTGCTAATGTTATAGCCGCATAACAACAAGTAGATTAAATCAATATTTTTAGTACACTCAATACTGACTAAAGTCAACCGACAACTCGCAGTTTAAGCAAGATACAAAGGGTAGATCTAACCTGGATGAGGCGCCATGATCACTGAAACGCCTTCAATATGTGAGATGGGATGCAATGGAGGAATTCCTTGATTTGTAGCGTTTTGTTGTTTAGCCCCAAGACAGTTTTCTATACACTTTAGCAAATGTCTTGACGAACTAATTTTCCATAATTTTCCTATTTCAAGCATTTCAACGCCAGTATTGGTCAAACAAGTGATTTTAATTGCAAGTCGATACATGAAAGCAGTCACCCACCTCCCATGACATCACTCATGGCTGTAAGATGTGACGAAACAGGAACTGATTCTGGCATTAGAGCGATTGTATACAGTCGTTGCTCCCATCTAAATGGCTCAACGGAATATTCCAAACCACTCAGTCGCGATCCAGGAATATTGATCTTTAAAGAAGTAGCATTAGAATCAATAGATGCCTAAAGTAGATAGTACTGCTAAACTAGATCGACACTTACGTTGTCTTCAACGCCTGCTGGTCCACTATATCCTGAACCGTCAGTAAACCAAAAAATAAGTGTAGATTCATGACCTCCAGGAAACCGACCCTAGAGTAAATAAATTCAGAAACAGTCCCATTTAAAATCAATATTACCAAACTCAAATGTCATGGTAGAATCACATACCACGCCAGGTGGATCTATTTTGTTACGTAAACGATAAGCAGCTAAATAGTCAAATATAGATGCCATGGCTGGTCCGGCTGTTGACATATCAGTAGCTTTCAAGGTTTTTGTGGCCTCTAATAAAACTTTTTCGTCATCTGTAAGAATCGACTGAATTGTATCATTTCAAGGTTGGTGCAACCAAGTTAGTATCAAGACTCGTAAAACCTAGTATACAAAAAAATGAATCTTTACTTTAAACCCTGCAGGAAAATCTTGGTACGTGACCAGCATGTATTTGTTGTTATTCCGTTGTGGTTTGCGAAGCTCCCACTATGTTTAAAAATGACAGTTAGTATTGATTCAAATCCATCCATGTACGACTATATTCAGATGCGGCATATGCCAAATCTAAGCCGAGTTGAGTTTAAATTTGATTTTGTGGTTTAAAATCTTTCTAGATGGATGTGTTCAAATGATACTGAACTTGTATCAAGTACGATCAGTAAATTGAATCTCAAATCTAGACTTGATATTCATGTATATACTCTAATTTGACTGCAAAGTTTAGAGGATTATGATTTGAAATGGACAGTATAGATTTGAATTGGGTGGAATAAGAATGCAGAACGAGTAGTAATCCAGTATTTTGAGTAATCAGATCCAGATCCAAATCCAGATCGATTGTAAAAATCCAATTCCTGTTTTGGAGATTATTATCCTACAGCCACCACAGCAGAACAGGGTTAGGACACAACCATGGGAAATGCATGTACCTTGAAAAAATGCTCAACTCCAGCCTTGGCAACCTCCAGTACAGATAGTCTGTCTGAAAACATAGTGTTCATGGACACACTTGTGTCTACCAAGAACACATAGATCATTGTGGTACCCAAGACAACTCAAGTTCTTTCACCAAGACACTCTTTCAAGCAGGTTTGAATCAATCTCCTATGTAGAACTACAAGTATTCGTAGTCTAAGTGTAGCTCTTGTTTAAACCACTAAACTGCCCGTTACAACTGTGTTTGCACCAATATCCCTATTAACCCCTCAATGCAAGATGAATGGTTTTCTGATATCGAATGGCTGACACTGGCCACTACTTGTTAAAGACTTTGGGGCAGTTTTAATTCAATCAAGAGAGCCAAACTCGCTGCCCAAAATATTTGATTTATAAACTTTGGCTAAAATTGGATCCGTTGACTGTTTAGTTTTCATAGATTTAAAGAGTAAATGGCTTATATATTTCACTCTAAAACGTTACTGAGTCCATAGTCGATTCAATCAGTATCTTGGGATTCAGAATTTATTTTCCAATGGGATACTCGGTAGTAAAATCAGCCCGGTTGTGGTAACGAAGATTCTAATGTATGCCAGTATAGTGGATAAACGAGTAAGCAATCAATTCGAATGGCATCAACCTCATGCTTTCTACAAGCCAATTCAGCAATAAACTACCTTTGTGGACATGGTAGATCCACGCCACCATTGAGGACTGAGAATCGAAAACGATGTGTCTTCCTTGTTGTCTTGAGGAAGGTACACATATGTGGGGCTCACATACCGCTTGGTGTGGTAAACAGGCTCAGACTGTGCAGAGTCACGAACACCACCTTTGCCAATGCCTTGAACTGGTGCTTTCAGATCTAGAACAGACCAATCTGTTCGATCCTTCATCATGCCAGCCTCACGCCCCTTGAGACAGTCGAGGCGACGAACCAGATCTCGATCAGTTTCGGCTTGCAAAAGAGGTGCAAGAAATATACGAGCGTAAGCTTTTTCTCTAAGCAACTCTCTATAATAGTATTTATTGTCATTAGTCCCAGTTTTAAAAAATAAATCAAATCTTGCTGGTACAGTTGCCATATTTAGAAACTAGGCAAGCTCAAAAGCAGGTCACACAAAAAGCCTATGATAAACACATTATCAATTAAAGCCGTGGACCATTAGACTTGTATCCCAATGTGGCATTGACAAAGTCGGGATAGTTGGCTTGTAGAAAGCCATCAAGTGATTGTAGGATCCAGTAATGACTTTGAAATAGTTTGGATAACCAAATACTTTTGAAAAAGCTCAAATAGAAAGATACAGTGAAACTGACTACATGCTCACCTGTTTTCTTGATTGGCATCTAGAACCATGCACCATCCATAGCTCATGATGCCAATAGTAGCGAGAATCATGACGGCGCCTGAAGGGCCACGAGCAGGAAGATATCGCTTGTATTTGATTGTATGCGGGAATCCATTTGGAGGAGAAAGGTCCTGCAGGGGAGGTACTGCTGCTCCAGACGACATTTGCTATATTAAATGTAGTGAGCAACAACGATTGACTGTTCTAATCAAACTTGCAAGTCTGTTGAGCGTCAGGAAAATTCAATATAATCTCACGTGACTATAACTTGCTTTTGATCTCACCAAAGGTTTGAGCAGTGTAGATTCAGTGCATACAAGCCAATCTAGTGGACTCAACACTACATTCTAAAGCAAACCAACGGTTATTCTTGTAAAACTGTGACAGGAATAATAGAAAACTCAATTGAATAGCTGAAATCAAAATGTCTGTCTATTGAATTGGCACAATAGGTTACTTGTCCAGATCACCATTTTATTTCACGTTGATAGTCTAGAGAATAGCTAAAACAAAATTATAAACAGTCTTGAAAAAACCACCATTCATCAATGTTTCTTGGGAGTCTGTTTTCGAGGAGACTTTTTGGTTTGGACGGGCTTTTCATCCTCAGATTCCTCATCAGCAGAATAGGTAGCGGCATTATCTTTGGAAACATAGGGAGTATCTTCATCTTCGGAATCTTCTTGGACCAATGGAGCAGCTTCGTCTTCGGATTCAGAAATACCCTGTCGTTTACGTTCTTCTTTTTGCTCATTCTCATAGTCAATTTTCCATCTGCGATCGTAGACATACTTGATACAGCCAGTCAGTTCTAGTGCACACATGACATAAAGCACGCCCCACTTTATACGAGTAGCAAAAGAGGCTTGAGCAATGAATCCACTAGTAAGAGCAAACGGTATCTTGTTCATCTCATCATATTCGAACCAACCAATAAAACTAGCGCCAGACAAGTTTTCAAACATATCGAAAGCAGCATAGACAGAGGGAAGGCGATACAGCATATCAATCAAAAAGGCCTGCATATCAGTGTCATCCTTATAGGTCAGCTTAATCAAGGCACGATGGAACCAAAGGAATGCCAAGATGTTGAAAGTGTCAATTATCAAGTACATGGCATAGTTATCTCTGCCGTGAGGACCAGAGCGTACCATAAGGCGAGTGACATTACGATAATCATACTGCATGGTAAGATCGAGAGGAAGGTAAGGAGTGTAATCACCAGTGCCATTATTCTGCTGGTGCATAATATCTTGAGCGTTGAGCATGGCGTTGACATAGAGCAGACTAATGGCAGTGATCACACCAAAAACAATACCGGCAACGTAGATCATTGACCAATGAACAAACTTAATGGGACGACCAAATAGGCGCATGGATACTAAAAGCAAAAGGATCATAGTAATGGCATGAGAGTGATCGGCAAGAGCCCGCAAGTTTGGTTGAAAAGCAGGAGGACACATGGCTAGCAGTTTAGGCCATGAATCCAGTCCATATTGGACAGCATCTAGCAGATACTGAATTCGAATGGAAACCATTACTAAAACTTTATTCATTTTTCAGAAATAGGTATATTAGTGCACAAGTAGTGGCGATAGCCCTGAATAGTAGCAGCATTAAAGACAATACCTTGAACAGAACAAATCAGATTCCAAGAAAGTGAAGCTCAGCAAATTCCATTCCTTTAACTGTTTGTACACGTGATTTTTTATTGATTCAATGCAGTCTCCATTTATTTATTCCATGAGATACCATGACACTCGGGCGATCAATAGGCATGCAAAAAACTAGCCTGGCTTACTTGTTTAGGACAAATCTTGAGTTTTTCCAAACCCAGATACAATCAGTCAAAAGTGCTGGGTTTGTAATATAAAAATACTGACTTGTCAAAATACGATTTTAAAAAAATCAAGTGGGGCTGTGGCACAGTGGTAGCGCGTTCGCTTCGCATGCGAAAGGCCTAGGGTTCGAACCCCTACTGCTCCACTTACTGATTTTTTGCTGGTTTGTAGCAGAAAATACATTTTGCACTGGGATAATGGTTGAATATTTATGTATTACGACTAAAACTGTCTATTTGTTCCAAATGCAACGTTCGACCATTGTCAAACTTTGCTGTATCATGAATCGCAGATACATTCGCGTTCCTACTCAAGAATACAATTGTTTCCATGTTAGTAACCAGAAGAAAGACTAAAACACAATATTGGCCAGTAAACTATCATCGATTATTTCATGAGATTGGCGATTTATTATGTTCTTAGTGCAACATTTGATGCAAATACGGCTGTAGCTGAGCAAATACTATTGTAGTAAATCCAATACAAACTATGCTGATTCTTCAAACCCTTCTTTTGGTACTACAATTGCCTTTCCAGATCGGTCTGTAATTTTCGAAAAATATCTTGGATGAAGAACACCATCTACACCTTCCGTCAATATTACATTGTTTGCAGATTGCACAAAAACAATTCCATCTATATCAAGTATATGATTAATAGTGTCAAATTTTGCCATGAAATAGAGTAGAATGCCTGGCATATTGCTTAGTTGGATGTTACCTTTCATTGCCTTTTCAGTATTCACATAAATAAGTATATTGCAATTGTTTCGCATTCCACTCGTAATATCCTGATGTTCTGGCAAACCAGCAGCAAAATGAATGTGCTTTCTTGACATGGATCTGAGGCCCTGTTTTAAAATCAAAGCCAAATGCTGTTGATATGTTCCATGGACTACCAGTGGGATTTCTGAGGAGTCTTGAACAGTCCTCATTTCTACATTGACGTTTATCGAGTGACCTTGATTTGCCCGGATAGACCATTGCAAAGTGGTTGGATCTTGACGTAGAGCGAATCGCTGCTTGGCATTGGATTCAACCAGATGCTGTATTGACTCGAGCGTTTGTCCCGAGAACTGTTTTCGAGATAGCTATATGATTACAGTGGCAACCTAAGTATAAATAGTGACAATAACAGTAAATACAGTTCAAGTAGACTGGACTCACAATATCCTTCAGCTTCACAAACCCGTCCGACTCTATAACCAGTCGCTCTTTTTCTGCCCCATGACGAAGTAAATACGATAATGCTTTGGATATCCTGACCTCCTCGCTATCATTTTTACTGGTTCTTGAATGAGATTTTTTGGTATTCCCATCTGCGGGATTGTGGTTTGGCATGACAGTAAGTATTTGACAAGAAACTTTTCAGTGAGTGTTGCTTTTAGCAGGTCTGATTGACGGGACTAGTGGATCGTTTACTAATTTACAGCCGTATTCTTGTAAAGTGAAATACTGAATGAGTCGAAACACATGATAAACAGTCATGTTTGATTGGTACCAATCTTATCGATCTTTCTCCTCCGGGCTCATTTTTTACAAGGATACAGTGTGAATGTTCACATCTCTGTTTCAATATATTCCACATTCTTGACATCTTTTCAACCACCAACTTTTGAAAACACTGCGTGACCGGTATGAAAGCAACTGTTGCATTCTTGAGATCGTTCTCTTGAACTAGAGCGCGAACGTATCTGATATTAGAATACAACAGAATTTCAATAAAAGAAATAATCAATAGCAGCGAATATTTATTGTTTATTCCAAGACGATCATTACAAGATCAATACAGAAAAATATTTCATTTTATGCGAGTACGGCCGTAAATACAGGATTTATGACGTGGCAAATTGAGCTTGAATTAGTAAACCCGAAAACTGATACTTTCCAACTGGCCTCCTCATCAATACTCCTTGTCAGTCGACCATTGCTAACATGACCCAGTCTTCTACTACCGAAAACCCTACTGCTACTCTTTCAATCAATGGTACTGCATACCATTTATCGCAACTAGAACATGACACCGTTTTCAAGCCATATACATCTCTAGCTCCCTATTGTACGATGTATTCTGATTCTTTGTAGTCTTATATCAAGAACTGTTTGTTTCTATTTCTCTTCTCATAATGCTGGGTTAGTTGCATATATACCTATTACTAACTTGTTTTAAACATTGAATTTTCAGCCAAATGGGGATCACTTATTGGAACTGCAACAGGTTTTAGCATCGGTAAGTAATTCCACCCTTGATCTAGACAATACCGAGCATTTTCATGTGTTGGATCGGTTATTACTCGGATATATAAACCCCTTATTTGGTTTGCTGTAACTTGGGCTGACAAACCTTGTTCATTCGTTCAAACCAGCTGTTTTCAGGGGATGGCGTATTCCAGGGACAATCGGCATAAGCATTTTGGGCTTGACTGTCGGCCAATTCGTCGGTGTCGGGCTTGGCATAAAAAACTATTTCCGCAACATCAACAATCTTCCTCCATCACCACTTTCAATCGCTTTACGCGAAGTCTGTTCAAGCCGCAACAAAAAAGAAATCAATGACAATACAACTCTTTTATTCGAATTTGGACCAGTAACGGCATCATGGTACAAACTCCTTTATAATGTGGATATATGTTACTTTTTCACCAACTTATTTCTTCTCACTCTTTTACTAATAGGGATAGCAAAAAGCTGCCAGAGAAATACAAGAGTGAGTGCGGCCGTTCATCGACAAACAAGTATGGCGATTCCACCATCCATGAAGATCCAAAATGATGTTTGTGTACAAGTGTGATGTTTGCATATGCCTTATGAAGCACTCATTTGAATATCTTTACGACCTTAGCTCATCAATTCCTCTTGAACCTCATTCAATAAATATCCAATTGATCAATTGCTTGCATTATCTAGTTAAAATCTTGCAATGGTTCTGTCGAGATTTTATGCTCACATTTAAAGCAATCAACTCTTCACCAAATCCGTCGATCAAACCAAAATGAGAATATTGTTCCACTTTTGACGTAGCCATACACTGCACAATCGCCATAGTTATATTTAGGGATGAAAATAGTCAAGTTTTATTGGTTCATTTAACAGATTCCCATTCAATAATGGTATTATCTGGTGCTTTGTATATACACTGCTTTTGTATCACATTGAGTTCAATTTAATCCTATTCTGATATGCATAGAATGTCATTGGATCAGACTGAGCATTTCATGTAGTATTGCATTGACACAAGTCAAATGCCAACAATATTATTGCAACACCCGATAGGTTTAGGCGAATACGTTGCCATTGATGTAATGATTGTTTAGTATGAGCCATGCAGCAACTGAATGCAAAAGTATATCCAAGTAAACCAACACGCTTATCATCAAATAAACTATTGCTCACTAAACATACTAATTGGATGTCAATCCAGTAATGCATGCATCTACTATCCAACCCAATATTACATCACTATCACTGGATAGTATCCGTTAATCATAGATACACTGCTTCAACAAAAACATGATAGTAGGCTATTTATAACAAATCAAGTCATGTCTAATCAGGTTTATTGTATTTCTGATGTATATTAGTATTTCCTAGTATGACATCTAAACTCGAATGATCGAGACTACGTTTTTCATTAGGATTTACTCAGTTTTCGATAAGAACTTTGTCTGAAACTAGACTTTTTCGGTCTACAATTGAACAAAGCATCAGTATTTGCAACTCATAATCTGCCTTTACAATTTCATTACAGTATATTGAATAAAACTTTACCTTGGAGACCAGAGCACTTGGCTATTGCTTGAAATGATAGGATATCCATCAGCTGAATTCTCACATCCACATCCAGGTCCAAATCCAATGCGCTGGTTAGTTCGATCAAACACTACTCGCATTCGGAGCATAAAAGGTGTACCAAGAACTACGCGCTTATTTCGTCCAACATCAACAAAGAATTGATCTGATTCAACTGTGTTAATACACACTTGATTCAAATGGCACATCCATTACTTGTCGAGTACTTACATTCTTCAGCGCCAACTTGTTGGATATAGTCTCTGCCACCCAGTGTAATCTCTACACTAGAACGGGAAGCTTTTCCCGTTTTTGAAGTTTCAGTATACATCACAAACGAAAGCTTGGGTAGTTTTTTCCAATCAATAATGTGGTCTGGCACTTTAATGGTTTGCTTTTTCTCAAAGAATTTTTTGATATCATCTTTGGTAAGCTTGGGCTTAAATGCACCACTTTTACCAATCGCTCTAATCAGTTTATCCACGATTTTACGAGGGAGACTGATATACTTACTGCACGTGCTAATAAATGAATACGGATGCCATATATCTTCCGACTCCTTTACTTGAAACTCACTGGGCAATCTTCTTGCCTTGTTATCGATTCGTATTTCCTTGATGTTGACAGTGAAGCGATCGCGTGATGGTGATTGTACCCATATGACAGGTTGTCCATCTGTGTCACATTTTGGGTCTGTCTCTGTGTTTCCTATATCAATGTAGCTTTTTTCAGACAGTCCATAAGGACATAGTTCCATAGCAACTTCATTGTTTGGGACAGCCCCACTCTCGTAAATAGCATCCATTATGGTTGGTGGTTTTGCATGGTACATTGCTATAGAAGGGTATGCAAAACTAAACACTCCTTGATTGGGGTTGCCATCAATAATGACTGGGTTTTCCGATTGTTCAGAAATTCCTACTACTGGAGCACTTTTAATGGATATTGTGGTTTCTGGAATACTCACGGTAGTCAAAAATCCGTGTCCTTTAGCACTAGCACCACCATCATACTTCAGCGTAACGGCATCGGCATGTTCAGGATACGACAAAGTGGGTCCTTGATAGTTGTTCAGATTGGGAAGAGGCACAATCGAATCAGAAATCCTCGAGTCTACCTTCAAATCCAACTATTTCAAACAATATAGCACAATCAGTGAGTTGGGTTTGAATGGTATGCATTGACATCAAAGTACAGCTCATGACATAATACATACATCAACACCAGCAATATTGAATTTCATACGGTAACAACTGGAAATATCTCCTTGTAATTGAACGGGTGATCGCTTTGATAGTCTATTGCTTGACTCACCGAATGTGTCTGAAGAATGCAATCGGACTTTGATTGCAGCAACCATCTGCATGACGGTTAGAAAATACTGCAAAGTAATCAGCATTGTATCGGTGAATTTTGTCGAGCACAAAAAATTATAGTCGATGAGTGACCATCATCAAGCTATTTATCAATAGGGTTAAGGGTTACACAAGCATCAGGAAAAATGGTGGTTACAAGAGATATGTGCAACATTATACAGGCAAACAGTCACAAGACACAAGCATTCTACAAAACAATGGTTACAAAAAACAAACAGTATTGTTTAAAGCCCCAATAGAATAGCAAAGTTATGACACTCTGGTAGCCTATATACGTACTTTTATAGTCATGGTGTTGTTTACAGATGACTCGTGGTTTTTAGATTAGTAGCATTGATAAATGTAATGCGTATGTATATAGTACTAATGATTTTAGAAGCATAGATGATTACGGTAATACTATGCTAAGCGAAATTATTGACAAGAATAATAGGTCAAGTATACTGGTGCGTGGAGTGTACTTGAACATGTCGATACTTGGTCGTATTGCCACATTCAGTCTGCTCTCATCTTGGTAGCGTGCATCATGTGGTACATTAAATATACCACCTAACTGCGTAATTGGATTACCGACGCATTTTAATCCAGAGTATACCAATATATTTTTCTGGGCCATATAAAGTATGGATGAGTTGAATATTGTATAACATTCACCATCAGATAGCGTGTATATATTAATAAAGGCGGATATGCTACATGGTATACTGTATTATGCGGATATTGGCACCACATAACTACATAGACATATCTATATGCAGTGAAAATAATAAATTGTCAACGTCATGGTTTTAATATAGATAATGACTGTATTAATACGTCAGCTATACTGTCAAGCAATTTGATCAACATTTATATTCCCATCATGATTACAGTGCCCAGCTATCTTCATTACATATTATCAATATTTCACTCTTTGAATATTGATAATAAGGATTTGAGGATATTCCATTCCTGTATATTATATCGTTGTATCCTATTAGGGTTAGATGTTCCCTGAATAACATGGACTGTCTGAATAGTGTTCCATATATTGCCATTATTCTTCAACGACTGTTCTTGCACGATAGCTCTTGCCATGCATACTGCTAGCAACTCACATGAGATGTTGATAGAATGCTCTGGCGGGTATCTCATACGACCGTAAACTTGGGTCCCGTTCCGAATCATAAGCCAATTCCACCGAGACTGGGCGTTATATCAAAAGCATGACCCTATCAAGATGGGCTATACCGAAATATATTGCAATCTCCACATAATAATTCATTACTTTCCATTCATTGGCTTTTTGTATTCAAAATCACCCATATTACTTTATTGGCGATAATATTTCTGCAGCAACTTTGTCAAGCATATTTACCAATTAGCTAGATGCACGCTCATGGGATTCAGTATAGTTTACGTTTAATACGACAATCATTTGGATAACCATCCACGGTATATCATAATAGCCATAATCTTGTTATCCAACAGCATCACAGCACATGTTGATGGATAATTATTCATGGATAATACTGTTTGACAAGCCATATCACATAGATAGGCTGTGACTTTACACCAACCCTTAGCACCGCTTAACACTCAATATATTGCGCATCCCAACACTTGTATCGTATCGTATTGGACTGAACTACTCCAACGATAAAGTGTTGATCTATTTGGTTAACAAAGCATAGACGTACGGGTGAGTCAATGCAAGCAATGATTCCTATACAATACAATCCATGAAGCACAAACCGCATCATTAAATTAATGCATATTTTAAACAGACCTCCCTTGATATAAACCATTTAAATACAGTGCATTTGTATGATTTATTTGAGCATTTAAAATTGTTCCTGAATTGCCTATTCATTGCATCTAAATATCATCACTGCAACCTCGCCAAACAGGATGAAGCTTATATCGATCGCTGTATTTTCACTATTTTCAACTGCAGTCATTGCTCATCCATACATCAGTGAGTCATCAATTAATCTCGAAAAGCAAGCAATAGGCGACGACGTATCTGAAACACAACATCAGAATAATGAATCGAATGATGATGTTGGCTCTGTGGTTCAAGTAAATGAACAAGCTACTGACACAAGCCAATCCACTGCAGACTCTAGCGTTTTGGACAATCTTGATTCTAAACATCTCGCTGTATCCAACGATCAACATACTAGCGACTCTGACTGTCAGCTCTGCAACTTATCGCCAAACAAAGACTCGACCCCTCAAACTAATGCCCAAAGCTCGTCTTTATCATCTGATGGCTATTGCGATACTGGCTCTAAATTGCTTGACATCTTTATGTATATCTGTGGATGGACTGAAATGACACTACAACAGCAGTTGAAAGAAATCGAAGCGACTATGACATATCTTGGAATGTCTATTTCAGACGATACTGAATTTGAATGTCCGCTCAATATAAACATGGATTTGTTAAAAAGTCGAGCGCAGGTTGCTTGTAATTTGGAAACAGTGCTTCAAGATTATTGGGAAAATGGAAAACAACAAATGCTAGAATTAACACGGAATCAACTCGTATTGAATCTCGACATACTCAAGATGTCATCACAGGAAATCATAGTCAATTATGATAAAACATTAAAATCTTGCTTAAAACCAGAACGGTGCGCGTCTTTTAAACACTATGACTCAAAGCAGTCCGATTATGAAAGTGATCAGTTGCCATCAAGAAATACTCGAGTAAAGTTTACGACCAAAACAACCAGGGAGTTTGTCAAAAACAAGAAAATACGGAAATATGGCAAAGATGTCACCAGGGACATTCTAGACGATGAAGATTCAGATTCGGATTCAGATTCAGACTCGGATTCAGATTCAGACTCGGACTCAGACTCAGACTCGGATTCATACTCAGATTCAGATTCAGATTCAGATTCAGATTCAGACTCAGCTTTGTACTCAGACTCGGACTTGGATGAAGGCTTGAACTCGAATGAAAATGAAAATGGAATGCAAGTGGAATTCGACGAAAAAACCAACGAGAGGCTCAATAAGATACATGAAAAGTTCAGTTCAATGTTCAAGGTACCCGAAACAAATGTCAAGCATGATACCCAACAAAACACACACGAGTCTGAATCCACCAGCAACGAGCAAGAAACAGCACTTTTGAACAAGGATTTTGAACAAACCAAAGATAATACCAAGACGATCGAATGTCCCAATAAAGATATACCACAACCTAAAACAAGATTCACGGTTTCTCCTGTCAATGATCCAGAAACCAAGTCCGAAACACCAAGTTCATCACAATCTAAAACAAGATTCACGGTTTCTCCTGTCATTGAACCAGAAATCAAGTCCGAAACACAAAGTCCATCACAACCTAAAACAAGATTCACGGTTTCTCCTGTCATTGAACCAGAAATCAAGTCCGAAACACAAAGTCCATCACAACCTAAAACAAGATTCACGGTTTGTCCTGTCATTGAACCAGAAATCAAGTCCGAAACACAAAGTCCATCACAACCTAAAACAAGATTCACGGTTTCTCCTGTCATTGAACCAGAAATCAAGTCCGAAACACAAAGTTCATCACGATTCAAAAAAAGATTCACGGACATCCTATCAATGATCCGGAAATCAATTCCAAAACCAAATTCATCACGATTCAAAAAAAGATTCACGGACATCCTATCAATGTTCCGGAAACCAAGTCCATCACAACCCAAAACAAAATGATTAGACCGCGATTAAAACACATCTTGGTTCACGACCAACAAAGCTGATGGATCCACTAGTCATTACAGAACTAACCAACATGATATATTCTTGTTAATATATGTATATGAACTAGTCACACTTGCGGATCTATATCATATCAATAAATTGGAATGGTATATATAAAACACATTTTGTTAATGATTCAATATATGCAACTGAATTATATACATTTAATGGTGTGGTTGGTCCGTTTACGGTTGTTTTCACTATGTGACAATACATGACGGGTGAGTGAATGCATGTATGCTGGATCGCCATTGCAGAGTCATGACTACCGTGACATTTCATTTGGATATACAACGTGGTGCATATTTTATCTGATCAACTTGGACTCGATGAATCGTGTATATTGTCATTGCTGACATCAGTTTGACTACAGCATACAGTATATCGCTTGATTGTGTGTATTGATCCATCACGCAATGCATTACAATGGGTTATATCTGGTTACAACACGATTGAATCCGACTAAATTAATGTATTTAATCATGAACAAGCCATAAACAATCACAATCGGTTTGATTATTAGCCGCTATTAGTATATGATCAACTGCATGTGAGCAACATACACAGAATGCATCGGTTTGAACCATACTACTGTGCTAGTGCAATAATACACACCAATAACGAGTAAATATTAAATGCATGATTTGAAAGATGCGTGATCAAATAAACGTATCATCACCATCACCAATTGAACTCAAAGTACTGCAACACATGTGTCAATGAAAACAGACCTAAACACTCGAGCAACAATGTATTGGATTGTAAGAGTGCCAGCAGTTGATGTTGATCGAGACAAGTTTAAATATAAATTCGATTAGACTATTGGTGTGTCAAATATGATGATTTGATACAAGTTGCAAGTGAATATACGGTGTATTTGAATCATTCATACAATGTATATAAATATTCAGAATAAAGTATAATTGCAATATTGAGATTAAAAGCAAAAGACAAATATGGAAAACAAAATAGTACGAAAATAGAATGAAAGTAATACAGAATGGGGCTGTGGCGCAGTGGTAGCGCGTTCGCTTTGCATGCGAAAGGCCTAGGGTTCGAACCCCTACTGCTCCATTTATACTTTTGCAAAAGTGTCGAATTGTTGGCTCGATCAGTCATGCATTTTTGAACACATCCAAGAATTCATATCAAATGTTGAACATCAATACTGTAATCATATTTTTCAAGAAATAATTTGACGGCTCACACCGGATTTACTGGACAACATTGTGTTTTAAACTCATTAATTGACTGGTTTTTGAGTGATGGGTGTAGAAACAACTGTTGTATTACTGACATGTGCGATCTTTGTTGTCAGACTAGATTGTAAACGTATCCAAGATTATGATACAACAAATACGAGTTTGTAGAGTTTAACAACAGTGTAAGCCAATATCTAGATTGTAATAAATCTGATGATCATAAATCAAGGACAGTTTCAGTTCAAAACTATAGTTTGATGGTCGTTGAAGAAACCAATTTCTAATAGGAAAGCGCAACAGATATTCAACCATCATTCCAAAATAATGACAAATACAAGCGTTCCGTTTTACGTGAACAAAATGTCGAGTATATATCGGCACCAGCTGTAAATTCTCAACTTTTGACGCGTCTTTTCAAAACAAATCTTATCTGAACATATCGGTTGACAATTTTTGTAACAAGGCATGTCTAATGAAGACAGCGGTTCTCAACAATCCAATGACATTCAACATGATGAAGATGGTTATGTAGCATCTTCTACTGCAGACTTTGCTATTGATGCATCGAATCTAATTGATGGCGTGGGCACTGAGAGTGAGGAATTTGACCAAGTCGCGAACCAACAAGACTCGAATGAATACGATGATGGTATGTACTCACAGAGCACTGCACCACTAAAGTCAAATAACGTATCTGGATCTCAGCATATACAAGGGATTGTATACACCGGCTCCAGTGAGAATATTCGTACTCCAGAATATAACCCAAGCAATGACTTGGTTCATGACCAGCTTGATGTAGATGATACTGACCAAAAAAAAGGCGGCTACAATGATGAAAGCGATAATAATGACGATGCTGCTGATTCGATTACAGATATTCTGGGCTCAATGCTCAAGCCTACTATAGATGGACGGCCCAGCTTCGATGCCGAAGTAAAAACAGCACTTGATAGTAAAGCAAAAACAGCGCTCAACGCTGGCGACGTAATCACCACGTATAAAAGCCCCAACAACATGCTGGACGAAATAGATGCAGCAGACATAAAAGGCGAGGATATTATTTTTCAGGATATTCAAAAAACTCTAATTTTATTGACTGGGGTTGAAAGTGATGGTGGATCTGCAGCTCAAACTAATCCTACAAGCCAAGACCAAATTGTTGCTCGTCTCAAGGTCGAGTATGATAAGCTTCATCGACTTTTTTTCAGCTCTCGTAAAAACGAAAAAACTCTAGTTAAAAAATGCCGAGAGTTGATCACCGAATTGAGTGTCAACGCCTCCAAGGTGCAGGTTGCATTAAAGCTCAGTCAAAACGATCGCAGCACAATTGCTGCCTTGCGCAAAGAGGTTAAAAAAGCCTGGAAAATGGTCGAGACTGCTGGCGAAAAAGAAAGTAGAGCAAAGGATGCTGTTTCAAGTTTAAAGAATGAAGTAGAGTCGTTACGGATGAGTATGATTGACCAAGGACTGACATCGGCTGCAGCTATACCGTCGGCTTCTGGACTAGCACGCAACAAATTGGTCGAGTTGCAGATAGAGCAGGAGGATCAGTTGCGTAAAATCACTAAAGAAAAGCAAGCGGTCGAGGAAGATTTAATTAATGCCAATGCTGATCTCAGGGCACTCAAGATTGAAAATGAAAAGATCATTGACATGGTATCGCAAATGACTAGCGAAAAGACACTTATGGACAACGAAATGCTTACATTAAAGGATCTGCTGGCATCAAAGAAAGCTGAGCAAGATCGAGACACTCGCTCTCGTGGTAAAATCGAGCTTGCTCTCAAGCAGTCCACGGACGCTTGGGAGAAGCGTGAAAATGAGATAAAGATTAAAACTGGAGAAACCAAAGGATTGCGTGATCATATGATCAAGCTTGATATGCAACTTCAAAACGAGCGAATCCGCCTCGAAAAAAGCGAAAAGGATCGTGAGCAGCTGAGCATTCGGATGGTGCGTGTACAACAGGAATATGATGAGAAATCATTGTTGACTCAAAGACTACTAAATGAAAATCATGAAATGGGTCGCGATCTCAAGTTATGGGAGGAAGAACTCTCTCGGTTAAAAGACAACTTCAAAATGGTATCCCGTGTCAAGGAAACATTAAGCAAAAAGCTAAAAATCACTGACGAAGCAAAACTAACTGCTGAAATGGACAGAGATTCACTTCGTGTAAGTTTAAAGTGCAACTGTTTATACTATTTGAATAGATATCACAAGCATTAACCAAAAAGTCAATGGTAATTGCATACTATCATTGATTTTTCAACTGATTACATTATAAAATGTCAACTCAAACATAGAGTACCAACTCCCATCTTACCCATGATATTGAAGGACTGCACAAAGAATTTGATCAAACCAAAAAGATACTTGAAATGACATCAAGAGAACGGGACATTGCTCAAAAGAATTTTGTAAAAGCTACAGGAGCAACTCAAAAGCAGTTCAATGTTTTAAAACTTGCAGAACAAACCCAACGAAAGCTGGAGCAAGAAATTCAAGGCTACAAGGACGAGGCTCAAAAAATGCGTAAACTTATCTACACGCTGGAAAAGGACCGTGACAACAAAATCAATGAGTCAAGCCACTTGGATCAAGTAATTGCTGCCAATGATGAAGATATGAAGATGAAGGATATGATCATATTTGACTCGAAGAAAAAAATCATCGAGTTTGAACGAAAGTTGAAGGAGCAGCAGGCTTTGTACGAAAGTGTTCGTGCTGATCGAAACGTGTATTCAAAAAACCTGATTGAATCGCAAGATGAAATCACCGAGATGAAGCGTAAGCTTAAAATCATGAACCACCAAGTTGAGCAGCTCAAAGAAGAGATTGCATCAAAGGAAAGTATTTTAGTCAAGGAGCATTTTGAACACTCTAAACTCGAAAAAGAAAAAGATGCACTTTCAATTCAAATTGGAAAGCTTCAGCAACAGTATGAAGAGTCTCAACAAATGATTCAAAATCAACAAGCAGAAGAAAACAAGTTGCGGCATATCATCACTGAAGCTGATACAGAGCGTCTGCGCCAAAAAAAAGAGTATGAAACAGTTGTTCAAGAAAGAGATATTTTGGGCACCCAACTAATCCGCCGTAATGACGAGCTGTCGCTTTTGTATGAAAAAATCAAGATTCAAACATCTACACTCAACAAGGGCGAGATTCAGTATCGCGAAAGACTTGAAGATATTAGAGTACTACGTTTAGAAATCAAACGGCTTCGTCGTGAAAAGGCGATTTTGCAAACTGAAACACAAAATGTCGACAGCTTACGCAACGAAATATTTCGTCTTCAGCGGGATGTGCTTCGTGAACGAACTCGTGTCAAGGTTCTTGAAGAAGAACTTGAATCTCCAATGAACATCCACCGATGGCGTAAACTTGCTGGTTCTGATCCCTCTACATATGAACTGATCACCAAAATTCAAACCCTTCAAAAACGACTTATTTCAAAAACTGAAGAAGTGGTAGAAAAGGAGCTCATTATTCAACAAAAAATGAAATTATACTCTCAAGTAAAATTAGTGCTGCAAAGACAGTCAGGACCAGAGGTTGTTGAAGAGCTTCGTGTTGTGCGAGAAGCGGTCAAGACTAAAATCAATGAATGCAAGGCACTCGCATCTGAGCTCAATATGTATCATTCCCAAGTAAATGAATACAAGTACGAAATTGATCGACTTGGTCGTGAACAACAGGAGCTTAAAAAAAAGTACTATCAACTGCGCAAGCGTCACCAAGGTAATAAACACAATGGGTTTGATGCACTCAAGGATCAAGCATTGCTACGAGCTGGAATGCCCAATGCAGTACATTGCAATGAGTTGCCATACACACCAGGAGCCATCGAGTCAATGTATACAAACCAGCATCAGATTCAGCTTAGAAAATCTGGCTATGATGACAATCGCGGACAGGGTGAAATTCTCAAAGTTAGTGATGCATTACGCGGACTTGCTCCAGATAGACTGTCCATTAGATCCAACAAGCAACACGGACCTAGATTCTCTGGTGGTGGCTTTAACATGTCAACTGGTGTGCAGCCCCCAGCAAATATAATGGATGATTCCCATCAGGCTGAATCTGAGATAGAAGGTGCGGATAATGGTAAAAAAAGATACTCTTATAAACAATCCTCTGCTTCACAGCAGTCTGCAATTCATCCTACAAATTCTAATGAAACTCAAAGTAAGCCCACCAACACTGACGGCTTAAGCTCACAAACAGACACCCATAGAGATACGTACCAAATTAATGCTGACGATCTAGACAAACCACTTGATAATCGGCACGGCAAACTTAAGGACGAAGCCCATCTACCACTTCTTCCGGAATCTGCCACTTTTGACAAAATGACCAGCGATCCCAAAGAGCATACTACTGCCGAGGACACCAAAGTCACCATCACCATTTAAAGCAGTTTCTCGCATTACTTTACAAGTGATATCAAGCAGTGCTGTTGGGTATTTACAAAATACAGATTTACAAGATATACTGCCTTTATGGTATGCTGGCAAAAATAGTACTTCAAGATTCAAATGCCTATATTATATACAATCAATCGCACTATCATTTCAAACTGAACCGTAGCAGTTTAAATAATCATTGTGGCGTACCAATGTCCAATCATTCCGCTTTTTAGTCTTAATAAATTCGTTTTGCACTCCAAAAAACTCATTCAGAAATCTAAAGCCTGGCTTGTTTGTATATCAGTTGATTAATTTCTTTTAAAAGTCGAGTGTACAACAGAGAATCCAAAAGCAAATGCCAGCTTATATCAAAGTGATTGCAAACACATGACAAAAATAAAGTAGTATAATATAATACTAAACTACCAAGGTCAAATCTACAAAGTTGCTATCGCTGCTTGGGTTTAGATTGAATATCTGCGTTGGAAACAGGTAACAACATAATGCTCGTATGGACAGCACCAGATTGTGCAAATGGAGAGTCATGTCCGGTTTGCCAATCATAGCCAACAGCATAGGCAAAAATTGTTCCATTACGATTAAACGCCGTACTTGTAATTGGCATACCCACTTTTGGTCCAAGCTTTAACCTCATCCGCGAGTCCTTGTCCCAAAAATGAAATGCTCCATCGCCTCCAGCAGTTGCCAATGTTCCATAGGTTGCATGAAACGAAATAGAGTTGACTGGATATACTTTGGTTTCATCTCTATGACATCTAAATGCAAAACACTTTTCAGCATCACGATCTTCGATATACTGGATGGCAACGCGACCTTCAATCGATCCGATTGCATAACCATTAAAACTAGGAAAACAGCTAATTACTCTTGTTTGCCACTTGAGCGGTGATATGATTTGCTATATATTGTCCATTGTGTATCTCGGTTCAGTCCACAACCACCAACTGTGTCGATGCATTCTAAACCACTATTACATCAATTATTCACTTGCCTTGTATACTGTTGACGGATTGTTAAGATTGTATGCAAGAATGTGTCGTTCAGCCGTTCCTACTACCATCAACGGCCCTGCAACATCCAGCGAATAGCATCGTTCAGGAAGTTGGAGTGTGAATGCTGGTGCTTGTGATCGGAGATCCCAATACTATATAGTTGCAACAGTTAATCACTCGTGTTGACAATCCTGTACTCCAGCTCATACACAATCAATCAACAATCGTTAGGTTTACCCACCTTGACAGTTTTGTCCCATGATCCCGTCACTAGCATGTTGGTTAGATTCGGCACGCCGTCAATCCAACGACAACTCTTGATAGGAGCGTCGTGTCCAGCAACTTGTGTAGACTGTCCCGTATGCATATCAAGCATTCTTCCTGCTCTGTCTGCTCCAACCGAGACAATCTTGGTTCCATCCTACATTGATGCATTCATTACCAGTTACTTTTCACGCAATTCATTACCACATGAATGATGCATCTGGCCAATAACAATGACACTGCCAGTTGAATCGATCTGAACATACTTTACTCCAACAGACATCCAGAACCGGTGCTTCGTGTTGGATTGCAGCCTTTCCTACGGCAGTTCCGTTCTGCTGGACCTCATAGATTCTAGTCTAAACCAGTCATCATACAATTATTTATGCACAACAATAATGCGTGCGTTTAGATTAAAATATCAGTATCAAGACTTGAAGACCTCGACATGCAATGATTGCGAGATGGATGCATTGGGTTGTGACCATTACAGCCATTTCCAGTGGTAAATCTAATCTACATTTCACACCAATATCAAACTGATGATCCTATTAAACTAATATGCATACTTGGTTATCCCAACTAGATGCAGCTAGGAAATCAGCCTGTGGAGAGAATGCTAAGCCAGTGACTGTATTGCTTGGTGGTTGCGAAACCTAGACAATGCAATTCCAGTAAAGTGTTATTCAAATCCATGTGGTATTGTCAAACTGATCCAAATTGAGCTAATATAATCAGATTCTTGGTAATGGTGGAATCTAGAATAATAATATACTTACAGGAATGCCTGGAATATTGGCATTGGCTTGCATATTTAGATTCTCAGTTGGTGACAAAGGGTATGAGAATGGAGAAAAAGTAGAACGAGAAATTGTCAGCAATCACCATTAGTGGTGTATTTATCTTGTCATTATTTTGGAATGATGGTTGAATATCTGTTGCGCTTTCCTATTAGAAATTGGTTTCTTCAACGACCATCAAACTATAGTTTTGAACTGAAACTGTCCTTGATTTATGATCATCAGATTTATTACAATCTAGATATTGGCTTACACTGTTGTTAAACTCTACAAACTCGTATTTGTTGTATCATAATCTTGGATACGTTTACAATCTAGTCTGACAACAAAGATCGCACATGTCAGTAATACAACAGTTGTTTCTACACCCATCACTCAAAAACCAGTCAATTAATGAGTTTAAAACACACCATGTTGTCCAGTAAACTGACACCAATCATGCCATGATATTGACTGTTTATCATGTATTGACTCTGATTTAGTATCCCACTTTACATGGGTATGACTAAACTACTCGGTTTTAATGTTTAAATTTATTGAGAATGGAATAAAGCTAATAATTTAACCACAGTAGAGTCACAAATCAAGAGTAAAGAATGCTTGATTTTGATACTTTGATTTAGCGTCTACGACGTCTAGATCTATGTGTTGCATGATCAGAGTCGGAGTCAGAGTCAGATGAATCCGAGGAATCAGAACCATTTCCATTACTATTGGTTGATCCTGAATGGTTTCCACCTTGATGGTGCCCTACAGAACCACTAGGATCGCTAGGAGCGACACCGTTCTCGCCAGAGCGCTTCACAAGAAGTGCATCTTGGTTAGAATTTGCTTTTATTATGACATGGGCAGCTACAGATGCAGCAACGATAGCGAGAAGAGAAAGTCTTGTAAATATCATTTGATAGTGTTGGGTATGAGATTAGAGTTTTTGAGATTTCTATTCACGATAGCTGTTTAGAATAATGAATGATTAAATGGGAATTGGTTGTTTTTATATTTGAAATTTCAATTGAGGCGTAGTTTTGATGAATAAACTTTTAGCGTTGTGAAAATGCACCAGTGGTTTCTTGATTGGTGTCCAACACATGAATGCTCACATGTACACACCAGATTACAGCTGGTGATGGGACACAGACAAACTCAGCAGTTTGCCATCGGTTTTGAAATAAGCCACTTGGTTATATGCTTCCATATAGAGGTGCTTGGATAAACTTGTCCAAAACGTAGTAATATCATACTATTCTTGAAGATTACTCCAAATAACATGTCCTTGTCATTTTAAACTCAATGACCTGGTTAGAATAAAGTGGTCAGGCTACACTATCAAATGCAATGGTTGATCTTGATGTTAAAATGACCATCTACTCAAAATACTATTAACCGATTCGATAGCTTATCTAATGAACTTGTCAATAGTATGAGTCCTTTCAAGTGCTTTATTTTTGCTATTTTAGTATTCTATCATCACTGCTGTGTTCATGTAAAGTGGGATACTAAATAAGAGTCAATGCATGATAAACAGTCAATATCATGGCATGATTGGTGTCAGTTTACTGGACAACATTGTGCTTTAAACTCATTAATTGACTGGTCTTTGAGTGATGGGTGTAGAAACAACTGTTGTATTACTGACATGTGCGATCTTTGTTGTCAGACTAGATTGTAAACGTATCCAAGATTATGATACAACAAATACGAGTTTGTAGAGTTTAACAACAGTGTAAGCCAATATCTAGATTGTAATAAATCTGATGATCATAAATCAAGGACAGTTTCAGTTCAAAACTATAGTTTGATGGTCGTTGAAGAAACCAATTTCTAATAGGAAAGCGCAACAGATATTCAACCATCATTCCAAAATAATGACAAATACAAGCGTTCCGTTTCACATGAATACGACTGTGAATCTGGCTTACAAAAAGCAGTAGACAAGAATATCGATCCAATCACACAGCAATGCATGAAAGTAATCCGAAAGTGTGATTCAATATACAAGCATGAGTCGATTGGAAATAATTCCGATGTGAAAGCAAGCTTCCGAATCCAAAATGTAGCAACTAGTTCAAACTAAGCTATTCCAAATCACTCGACAATACATAGCATGATGAATGGCTGCCATAAGCGACAGTTTATAGACAACATTCGATGTCTGCCATGGTTCATACGAAAGAGTATCTTCAAGTATGCTGGACTGCGCACTCAGTATCTAATGCATGAGCTGACCCTTCCCATCACACAAATTACTTGGCAGTTGGTCATGGTGGACTGTCTAGAGTCGAACGACACTGCTACTGCCGTCAGACTGCTAGGGTCTTATCAAGATTATGAGCCACAGTGGGAGCTGCTGTTTACTCAGACTGGAGAAATGCTGAATGCATTCAAGAAGAGTCTGAAGCCAACTAGTCGTTTGAGTAAAGCTTTGGGCTTGCCAGATTTGATGATTCAAGCCAGACCCAGTCTGCATCTACTGCTTGAAGAGAGTGACAGGAACGAGAAATTGATCAATACAATCCTGAATAAGCTTTTAGCTTATATTACCCAGCATACCATGACAAGCGGACTGCATAACTACTATTGTCGGGCAGTTGTAGAATGTGCCAGTGCGATAGGTCGGCTAGACATTATTCAACACTATTCAGATGGTATTACTGACTACAGTTTCGTTGGCAGGCTGGCAGCGCTGCATGGACACGAGCCAATTGTAAAAAGCTTATTGGCCATGGGTAGAGACCATCCATCTGGCAATCGCAACCAACGGCTATCTGGAACAGATTGCGAGTATGCTCCACCACTCGAGGCAAGAAGTTTTGTAGATATTCGCTGCTATGAGGATATTTTCAAGGCAGCAGTTGAAGGCGGACACGTTGCCATGGTTGATGCCATGATGAGGGCTCATCCACCATTGCTACAGAAAGTGACTGAACGGCTTGTTACAGCAGCATTGGTGAGGGGCCATACTCGAATGGTCAAGCATCTACTACAGCTACTGTCACCACAACAACCACTCTTGCTACTGACAGATGCATTTAGAAACTTTTTGTGCCAGGCAGCTCAGTGTGGACATATGGATCTAGTGCAGTACAGTCTCACTCACAATCAACGACTAGGCAGACAGGAACAGCAAGTCATTATTGAGGCCATCGAGCTGGCCGCGATTGCTGGTCATTTTACCATTGCCGAGAGTCTTTGTCAAGCTGTCAACTGCTCAACTGTTCCTATCCTATTGGGTGCTGCCAAAGGCGGACATGTCGATTATATCCACCATATATTGGCTACACATTGCCATTCTTGGACTTCCAACGACGTGGCGAGAGCATTAGAGCGAGCTACATGGAGCAACCACTACCATGTAGTCAAACTGTTGGTCGAACACTCGCTGTACAGCACCAGTGGACCCACTATTAGACAAACAACCATTCAGAACCTCATCAAGAGCTCTTTCGATAGACGCAACTTTGGACTCTTTTCATATCTGGTGCCATTGCTCACAGATTCTTTCCTATGCACTGTATTTGGTGCAAAAGCCATTCATCTACTACCTGCAGACTTTCTGACCTTTTTCTTTGAACAAAACAGAAATTGGAATTGCATTCTCTTGTCCTGTTTAGAAAGCAATTATTCCGACATGGCAGTAGAAATTATATCCAGAAAACTGGCTGTATCCACTCCATTGATTGGAAGTGCTGCTTGATCTCATTGTGATTGTCAATAAATTATGTTGTCTTTAGATCCAGACATGTCCCGTTATAAATTGGATTGCGTGGTTTTGCTACATGACACAATACATTCCAGTAGCGTATCTGCCTTGGTACAATGGCTCTTATCTGCTTTGATTTAAAGTTGTAAAATCGTTTGATTGCCAAATATGATACACCTAGTGCTCGATATGCAATGTTTCCTTCCACTAATACCGAATTATAGCTGGTGACAAAGGGTATGAGAATGTATAGGTGGGTGAGAGATTGTCAACAGCCATCATCATGGGTGATGCTTTGCAAATATCGGTAGATTGTTGATTTGAATGACAATTATCCATCGATCGTGTCTTGTATTACGACGACAATCCGGCCTGTTGGTACAACCAGTTTGATGAACAATCTGTTACTCTTTTCAATTAAATGTAAAACGACGTCACTTATTTGGTCTTGATCTTGTTATGGCACGATGTTCAACGTCCTACTATAGCCTGTACAGTAACCTAAACCAATCGCAGTTTTACCAACCAAAAACTTGGTTTTAAATGCCACAACAGCCTGATTGATACTGTACGAATGGTTTCAAAACATGATGAAATCGAGTTGTTGGAATATAACTAAAATAAATATTTCATCTCGCTGTTCTCATCCCTTTTGTCTTTAGTTGTGAGCGATCCGTCATGACTTTGGGATTAAATATATACTAGCACTCGAACAATCTGTCAAAATCAATCAGTTCAGATACTCGTCAAACATTATTGCAAATCTTAGTGCAACCAACTGTATTTGCTGACCAACCAATACATATCCAATTGATCAATACAATGCCAGTAAACTTGATTAAGCTATATCGACACCAACGTGTTGCTATTGTTGGCTGGACTATCACTTGTAATGTTCTACGATATACTGGATTGTAAATTTCAATCTATTACCATTGCATTGTTGATATTGTCACATCTGCAATTTCAGCATCACTTTGTAATATTCTAAATATATTGTTTCATTGTCCAAACATCAAATGGTTGTCGATCATGTTACTGGATGATCATTATGACAACTCTTGTATTCAATCGTATTGACTGATACATGAAACCTTGCGGATCTGCAACCCATTCGTGATGCAACTGTTGATTACTGCAGCTTGGCTGTCACTGTATGTGATGATCGTATTCTGGCTCAATGCATATTATTTAAGCTTTTGTCAGTATTGCGTGGAATTAAATGTGTTGGACTAGTCCATCATGAACTTTGAATGGTACTGTTGATTAGTCAATACCATACTTGAACAAACATCATTCAAAACCAGTGTCTGCATAGAGTTGCAATACTACACAATGCAGGCCATACATACTTGGCATGTGTAGATGGATTGTATAGTCATTTTGGATACATTTCAGGTCATGAATCTGCTGGATATGAAAAAACATGTTCTGTACTGTACCAGGTCAAACTTGGTTCATCACATTAATATTTGACCCTTTATATATAATGATTCCATGTATTGTTGGGTTGGTTTCAGATTGTTGTTGTATTATTGCTAGATGCTATTACAGCAGTCAAATCCAGTTGATGAATGGCTCAGGTTTTAAAATAGAAAATCTTGCCCAAGAATTTATAAAAACAGGATCATGCTGAGCGTTAAAGCTCGATTTGGACTCAAGGTAATTCATCAACCTTGTATAATTCATACATACCGTCACTATACAGCTAACAGTCAATCGTATTTAAAAGTGTTTTATTGGTGCAGGATTAGGACTCAATGTGGCCATTAATCTAGTTTACTGTGTAACATTGTTGGAATCATGTATATTATTTAGGGAGAATCCATTAAAATCTGATTTAGCAATATAAAGAGAATTTATTCGATAAACATGGCAAATAGTGGTCCAGTTTAAACTGTATGGATTTAAATTGAATCACTTGCTGATCTTTTCAATAAACTCCTTGATAAATGTTGGGTCTCTGCTACCAAGAAAAGAGTCGACAAGCACTCCATCCCTAAATGCCGCAACTGTGGGCAACGAAGCAATCTGATATCGCGACGAGACCTCCTGAGCTTCGTCAATATTCACCTTGACAAGAATACACTTTCCATTGGCAGAGACAAGTTTTTCAAGAACTGGACCAAGAATACGGCATGGTCCACACCAACTAGAATTGTTAAATAATGAAATGGTTAGACGGACAAATCAAGTTGAAATGTCAAACAAATTTATAACTCACTCGGCATAAAAGTCTACTATGACTGGAATATGGTGGGCTTGTCTAAGTATGGCGTCAAGATCGTCACCGGCTTCAATGGTTGTGCCCGGAGTAACCATCTCGCGAGGCGAAGCATCGGTACCAGATGTGGTGGACATGGCTCTGTTTTGAGACTTGATCACCTGTGGCACAATCGAGATATCTGCAGTGGATGATGGAGAGGTACCTCCAACGTGGGCAATTGAAGGAATGGCCGATATGATGGATGGAATGGCAAAGCGAGTTGGAAATGCGCTCATTGCACATGGACCAATAGTGGATTTAAGACTCAGCACTAAATTCATGCAATGAGTTGAAAAATAGTGAGTATGATTGATTCAATTATATCAGCTACATGGACAAACTTGATGTATAGATTTGACACCAATAGCTTATGAATTGTTAAATTTGGAAATGGATCAGTTTTCCAAATGTTGAGCTGAGTTCAATACCACACAGTAGTATACATACTTCTAGATGGAGAGCCACACATTGCCTTCATGGTGTGTTTCGGAGTAGCTCGCATAGAAAACTTTGCAAAGTGACGAGCTCCTGCTGATATCATTGCTGGCTATTTGATCTGGCAATCACTCGCTTGGGTTGAATTTCAAATTTGATTTTTCTGTTTCAAATGATTACAAGTCACGTGTGTATGATCGTGACACGATAAAAGTCGGCGCGAAACAACTCGACAATTTCAACCCAAAACAATGGCGAATACAAGTTCTTTGGTTGGATCTGTCATTCAATCTGCTATTCGATCTACTGCCAGAATATCCACAGCGTCAAGGATAGTATGCTATAATCAGCAGAGATCAATGTCAGGATATAAACACAATCTTGCAGCTGAATGGATCAACCCATACCCCTCCAAACAGCAAACAGAAATGACTGATCCAACCCTCTCCAACCCCAACTATCTACCAGACTTTGCCATTCCTCGAAGAGTATCCAGACCCAATGAGCCGTTGGAACAAAAGAGATCCCGATTAGTCTGGCAGTCTCGCAAGCGGGGAATCCTTGAGACCGATTTGTTGCTGAGTACATATATTCAGCAGGCTTTACCAACCATGGAAGATGCCCAGTTGCAAGAGTACGACTCATTGCTAGATGAGAACGATTGGGATATATATTATTGGTGTACAGGAGCTAAGGAAGCACCTGAGCGAATCAAGGACATGTCCATCTTTGATGGGTTGGTGGAGCATTGCAAAAACAAACGCAAGTTGGTATTGAGAATGCCCAACGTATAGATTCAATATATTCATATTCAATCTTTTGACTTGTTTATATAAGACTTTATAGCTGGTGACAAAGGGTATGAGAATGTATAAGTGGGTGAGAGATTGTCAACAGCCATCATCATGGGTGATGCTTTGCAAATATCGGTAGATTGTTGATTTGAATGACAATTATCCATCGATCGTGTCTTGTACTACGACGACAATCCGGCCTGTTGGTACAACCAGTTTGATGAACAATCTGTTGCTCTTTTCAATTAAATGTAAAACGACGTCACTTATTTGGTCTTGATCTTGTTATGGCACGATGTTCAACGTCCTACTATAGCCTGTACAGTAACCTAAACCAATCGCAGTTTTACCAACCAAAAACTTGGTTTTAAATGTCACAACAACAGCCTGATTGATACTGTACGAATGGTTTCAAAACATGATGAAATCGAGTTGAAATACAAACACTTTTGCATTCTCATGCCCATTAGCGTCAGCTGTAAACTATAATTTTGCCAATCTGGTGATCCTGAGGACGACTGTATGTTTATGAAATTGTATTTTTTAGTGTCCTTGCAAACAAGCACATTGAACATCAATGATATCTACTACATCACTTGGAGCTCCGAAAGATATTGAGGTACTTTGTTTAGCTGATTTATAATATACCATTTTTCTTTATGGCACAGCATATCTGCTCATACTTGCATGGACAGATACACTTTTCACCAACTGATTGTTTTGAAAGTCATTATTGACTGGCTTTGCATTCATAAATGATTGGTATTGACATGCACCTTGAACAAGACCTTACTACGCATTATCTTTTATAAATGTATTTCAAAACCATCTTTATTTATCTTGAAATTCTATGAACTATATAGGTTCCAAGATCTCCTGGCGATGGTGTCACTGGCTTAGCATTCTCTCCACAGGCTGATTTCCTAGCTGCATCTAGTTGGGATAACCAAGTATGCATATTAGTTTAATAGGATCATCAGTTTGATATTGGTGTGAAATGTAGATTAGATTTACCACTAGAAATGGCTGTAGTGGTCACAACCCAATGCATCCATCTCGCAATCATTGCATGTCGAGGTCTTCAAGTCTTGATACTGATATTTTAATCTAAACGCACACATCATTGTTGTGGGTAAATAATTGTATGATGACTGGTTTAGACTAGAATCTATGAGGTCCAGCAGAACGGAACTGCCGTAGGAAAGGCTGCAATCCAACACGAAGCACCGGTTCTGGATGTCTGTTGGAGTAAAGTATGTTCAGATCGATTCAACTGGCAGTGTCATTGTTATTGGCCAGATGCATCATTCATGTGGTAATGAATTGCGTGAAAAGTAACTGGTAATGAATGCATCAATGTAGGATGGAACCAAGATTGTCTCGGTTGGAGCAGACAGAGCAGGAAGAATGCTTGATATGCATACGGGACAGTCTACACAAGTTGCTGGACACGACGCTCCTATCAAGAGTTGTCGTTGGATTGACGGCGTGCCGAATCTAACCAACATGCTAGTGACGGGATCATGGGACAAAACTGTCAAGGTGGGTAAACCTAACGATTGTTGATTGATTGTGTATGAGCTGGAGTACAGGATTGTCAACACGAGTGATTAACTGTTGCAACTATATAGTATTGGGATCTCCGATCACAAGCACCAGCATTCACACTCCAACTTCCTGAACGATGCTATTCGCTGGATGTTGCAGGGCCGTTGATGGTAGTAGGAACGGCTGAACGACACATTCTTGCATACAATCTTAACAATCCGTCAACAGTATACAAGGCAAGTGAATAATTGATGTAATAGTGGTTTAGAATGCATCGACACAGTTGGTGGTTGTGGACTGAACCGAGATACACAATGGACAATATATAGCAAATCATATCACCGCTCAAGTGGCAAACAAGAGTAATTAGCTGTTTTCCTAGTTTTAATGGTTATGCAATCGGATCGATTGAAGGTCGCGTTGCCATCCAGTATATCGAAGATCGTGATGCTGCCAACACGTTTTCATTCAAATGCCATAGAGAAGACTCGAAGGTTTTCCCAATCAACTCTATTTCGTTTCATCCAACATATGGAACATTTTCTACTGCGGGTGCTGATGGAGCATTTAACTTTTGGGATAAGGATTCAAAGCAGCGATTGAAATTGGGTACTCAACAGTCTGGATCGCCAATTTCCGCTACATGCTTTAATCGTAACGGAACAATTTTTGCCTATGCTGTTGGTTATGATTGGCACAAGGGCCACGAGCACAATAAATCTAACCAGGGCGGCACACGAAATGTGATTATGTTGCATCCTGTCAAAGATGAGGATATCAAGCCAAAACCCAAGAAACGATAATCATATGATATACGACATACAGTTGATTTGTGAATGGATGAGTTGCTTAACATGAATGCTCGTGCTATTATAAACGATGCGTGCACCAGACATTGCGATTAGTTTGGAGAAAATGAAGATGCGTTTGATCTACTCAAATTGTACATTAATTCTTGTTATTTCAGATGCACACAACTAGAGAATTACTTTTTTGATTCCACCAAGACAAACGGTATGATCATGTCAAGGCACATGTTTTGATGGGTTTATTTACAATACAAATTGATGAGGTCAACGTGCAAGCCAAGCAAGTCTCGATAAGATATGCTGACACTTTTTACTGATCTTTATCCTCCATGCTCATTTTTTACAAAAAATACAGTGTGAATGTTCACATCTTTGTTCCAGTACATTCCACATTCTTGACATCTCAACCTTCAACTCTTGAAAATATTGCGTGACCAGTATGGGAGCAACTGTTGCATTTCTGAGATCGTTTTTTTGAACTAGAGCGCAAACGTATTTGATATTAAAATACAACAGAATTTCAATAGAAAAAGTAAACAACTTCCAATAGCAACGAATATTTAACGATTGTTTATTCTGGAGCAAAATAGTGGCAGTGATTGTCCAGAAAAGCTTCATTTTACGTGAATCAGCAACAAATAATTTCACACTTGATTAGCTATAAATTTAGTGTTTTTGGCGGCTGAGTTTCATACAATATCTGGAAAAGTATTTACACTCATTCTACTCCAATAACACTATTTAAAGATATGGGCGCTAGAATATCTGTGCTCAAAAATGTAGAGTAAGTAGGCTCCATCTATTTTATACACCCATATGCATCAATAATGCCATCCCATCGCTTTAAACTTTGCGCTTTGACTTGCAACAAAATTAGCATATAATTAATTTTCTCGAATATTTGCCCATGATACACATGGATACTCTAATGTGTTGTCGAGTGTACAGCTTGGATAGCTACTTTTCATATGATACGTCCAAAGTAGTGCGTATTAAAGACTATCGTCTTGGCGTGGCTTATTACATAATGATGATTGCCATTATTGTGTACATTGTTTACACATTAGTTGTAAATGGATCTTATCTCGACAAAGGTCCGCCCGTTGCAGGTAATCATATACTAGTTTTACAGTCTAGACGTTATCTTCTACTTGAAAATTGTAGATACGACACATTTCCACGTTGAAATGTCAAGCAAAACGATATAAACTTTGCAAATCTGATACTTTTACTGACTGAGCTACAACATATGTGCAGGTTCCATCAGAATCAGTGCACAACTTCCAGATATGAGCCAATTACCTATACCCAGCTATTGCACATCAACAGCAAAAATCTCGGGATGTTTGTTTTGGACATCCGAACAGATTGTGTATCCATTTTCTGGTGAACTCGATACTATTTTTTTGACTACTCGCGCATCCATCGTCAGCACTCCACCGCCGCCGGTTCAATGTGGATCATACCTTAATGCAACATCATCACTGTGCACGCCTCCACCATATACTACACTCAAATCTTTGCGCAAAACATACTACATTGCCAATGTAGAAAATATCACGTTACAGATTGATCATTCCGTGCGAATACAAACAGCTGGGTCACTTGGTGCAGCTACATATGATACAATTGCAGCGGTAGAAATGAAGGGGAAAATGTTGAAGGGGTGCACAGGAAATTCCGACAATTATTTACCTCAGCTAAGATTTGACAGTGAGTACCGTGCCAGTAATCAATACAACACTTCATTGGACGTGGTTAGTGTCAATGATGTGCTGGAGAGTGCATGGTGTGCAGGGATTGGTAATCAGACTGGTTTGGATTCAGCTTCGACTGCTAATGGTGCATATGTTGGCGAGGCTTGGAGATCTTCTGGAATGGTGATATCAACCCCCATAGCCTACACAAATCGGTTGACAGTTGGGCAACAAGGGTATATCAAATACTCGTATATTCCATCAATTGGTAAGTCGATCTTATTGTAGTGAAACGTGTCTATTTGGTTTTTGATCACTCATCACATTGAATGAATTTTGAATTCTAGTTAATGGATCAGAGTTTACTATTCTACAATCGCAACTCAATGCGGATGGATCGATAACCTATATTGATCGACACGGTATTCGTATTGTGTTTGCACAAACAGGAAGTATTGGCGTTGTGAGTTTTCTTGCATTGACAATCAATTTTGCAGCTGGATTGGGTCTTCTTAGTGTTGCTACGCTTATTTGCGATATGTTGCTGTTGTATGTTTTCCCTCGAAAAGAAAAGTACGCGGCATGCAAGATTCAACAGACGGAGGAGTTCAACTTGGCAAATGTTGCTCGTACTTCTATTGTTTGATTGAACTGGTGTGATTATGTCAAGAATACAAAGCCTAGAACGGTGTTTAAATAGGCTTGCGGGACACTTTTATCGGTTATGATTGGATTTATGACAGTCTTTTGACCCAAATCTATTAAAATAAAATTTGAAATACCAAATGGTCAGTGCATTCTTTCAACGTATTTCTTCAATACAAAAAAAGCATCTTTTATTCTCTCGAGATATCTCGTCCAAAACACTTTTTTTTCGCCCAATCAAACGCAACCAATACACGGTTACGTAGAGAAAATAATGTGCTCAAGTAGGCACTTCGCCAGAAAAAGTATGTAGCTGCTCCGCCAACCGTTACACCAAACGGAAATTCGGCAATAGCGTGATCCTTTCCAATATATGCCAATGAGCCTAAATGATCATATTGAAAGGGGCCGCATGCCATCAAAGCTTGATGAAGTGTAGTCGTGGCCGATGTATTAGGAGTTTTATAAGCTGGATCAGTTGCATTTGTCAGTGCAAGTGAAGATTCTTTTGGATTGGTTTTTGCTGTATCTAGTTCGCCCATGTGGTTGAACATGTTTGCCAAGTATCTTCCCTGCCGGCTTGCAACTTGTGCAGTTGGTGCCCATCTAAGCGCATATATATTGACAAAATTAACTACAATGTATTCAACAAATAGTTTCTGATAAAGTATAACATGAAAATAAACATACTTTGTAGCAGTAGCATCGCCTAACCCAAACATGTCTGTCGCACCTTTGATGGCCAAGAAATCATCTACAACAAGTCCACGACTAAATAGTTTGCCAATAAATTCATAAATACAATCAGTCTGATGAGCAATAGTGATTGTACACGATAAGTTTAGTCTTGTCATACCAATAGGTTTACTTACCGTTGGTTTTGAACATCGCTTGGCAATTTTTTAATTAAATCTTGCACAATAGGTCGAGCTGTATTTCCTGTAGCCCATACAATCAGTCCATATGGAATAGTATTCAAATTTTTTTCTGCATCCATGACCTGAATATCTCGTTGATTAACCTGTTTTACTGACGTATTATTCAAGATTGTTACTTTGTTTGCAGCAAAGTGATGCTCTGTATATTCAATAAGCTGTTTAGAGAACATGGGCAGGACATGTGGAGATGCTTCTACAAGGGTAATCTTGAATTTTCCTGCCAGATCGGGATACCATGTTAGCAAGTCTTCATGAAGAAAGTCATAAAGCTCAGCCGCGTATTCTACTCCAGTAGGACCACCACCCACTACAACCATGTGGAGAAGACGACGAATTTCTTCGTCAGTTTGACCTGGAAATGCAGCTGTTTCAAGACAGTCCATCAGTCGTGTGCGAATCTTTTTTGCATCCCTGTAATTTAAAATGCAAATATTGTTAGATATACATTGAATATATTTAAAAGAATGCGATGGATTCGAGTGATATAAAATGTCAATTTACCAAGCTTCTTTCAAAAAACAAGCATGTTCACGGACTCCAGGAATTCCAAATGTAGCATTTTCAGCACCACAAGCAACCACCAAATAATCGTATGGAATAGTTTGTTTGGACACCACCCCAACAATTTCAGAATTATCTGCATTTACAAAACGATGTTAAAAATTGATCTCAACGTTGAAACATAATAAACAAGCTGATTAACCTGAAACTGAAAGAGTTTTTGTTGTTGGATCGATGGAGTTGCAATCTCCTTCGATGAATACGACTTGACGCTTTTTGAATCGGGTCAAGTATCGAATGGGCTGCATAATACTACGCAGCTCGACGGTTCCAACAGTGCAGCTAGGATCATGATAGGAATTTGAATTTAGATATGCAGTCAAGGAATGAATTGCAGAAACAGCAAGCCTAACAACCAAACAAGAATGTACAACAAATATACCTGGGAAGCAACGGTGTAAAGAGAAAGTAGTTGCGTGGACTAACAATTACTACATTGTAATGATCAGTGTCTAGATCTGTCAAGAAAGAAGTAGCAGCCCAACCCGAGCCAAGAATGGCAACAGTTTTTTTAGATGGATCCCAGTCGAATTGAGCGGACGGGTGTCGAGCAACATAAAGCTCTACAGTAGGGCATTCATTAGTTACGTTAAAAGAGCAGGAATTGATACTCGAGCAGCTTGGCATGGCGAGGATTGGCATGCATTATACATCACACAATTGAAGCCAAGAACAGATTCTGATGGAATTTAAATATATATTACCGTAAGCAAACGAGCCAGTACCAACAACAACAACCCCGGCAATAGATAGTCGAACCAGACGCCAAAATATAGGCTTCTTTGGAGAATGGGTGTTTTTTTGAGATGCAGGGGCTACAGCAGAGGAAGCCATTCGAGCAAAATTAGGAGCAGCAATTAATGCCAATGGTCGGAAAGCATGACTAACAAGAGGAGTCTTGTGTATACGTATAGACTGACGAATAATAGATCGAAACATGGCAGTTACTGGGAATAAAAGCGAGTTTGCGCAAGGCTGATTGAGTGTGTTGATAAAAGATGAATGTTTTAGTTTACGTCAATTAGTATTCAAAATATTCCTGCAGTATTCTGATACGATTCCAGTAAGATCTTGACAAGATTCTGGTAAGACTAGCAGAATTCTGGCAAGATTCGCCAAGACAAGATTCCAGCAAACTGATAAACTCGACTGTCAGATTTATTCCACAACGCGTCTTAGCACTGACTTCGGGGAATTTTGTATCCACCAATCAAACCAACACACGGGACTGCACGAGACTATGTTTGGATTGTTTTCTTCATATGAACGCAAGCGACCAGAAACTGATTTTCTTTCTTAGCCATTAACCCACTCTTTGTCAACAATGGGTCGTCGTCCCGCTCGCTGCTACAGGTATGGAAGCTTGTCCTGTTCTGTCTATGCTGCTTGAAAACTGGATTTAGTTTGGCTTTATTCTGCCTACGATCACTTCAACTCCCAGTACTTTGTATGCCTGGGCCACAGTCATTAGAAATCTACTTGTCTATCTACACTTTAAGCATTGTCCTGACCGTTCTTTCTATTTGATTTTAAACAGGTACTGTAAGAACAAGCCCTATCCCAAGTCTCGTTTCTGTCGTGGTGTCCCTGGTTAGTCTTGTGTATTGGATGCACAACCATTTGAAGTTCTACCTTGTTGACTTGAGCTACACTAACTATTTTTATTATAGACCCCAAGATCAGAATCTTTGATTTGGGTCGTAAGAAGGCCAATGTTGACGAGTTCCCCTGCACTGTCCATTTGCTTTCTGACGAATATCAGCAGATTTCTTCCGAGGCTCTTGAAGCTGCTCGTATTTGTGCAAACAAGTATATTGTCAAGACATCCGGAAAAGATTCATTCCACATGAGAGTTCGTGTTCATCCCTTCCATGTTCTCCGCATCAACAAGATGTTGTCTTGTGCCGGAGCCGATCGTCTTCAAACTGGTATGCGTGGTGCTTTTGGTAAGCCCATTGGAACCGTTGCTCGTGTGAACATTGGTCAGGTCTTGATCTCTATCCGTACTCGTGACAACAACAAGGCTATTGTTATTGAAGCTCTTCGCCGTGCAAAGTACAAGTTCCCTGGTCGCCAAAAGCTCATTGTCTCCAACAAGTGGGGTTTTACCAAACTCACTCGTGAGCAGTATGTTGAAGATCGTCAGGCAGGAAAGTTGCAGCCCGATGGCTGTTACGTCAAGTACCTTGCCGAGAAGGGTCCCCTTGACAACTTCTTTAAGCGTGAACTCCGTTTGGCTGCATCAGCTGGTATTGCCGCCAACTAAATTCAAAAATAACATTTAAATCTATCGATTTCTCATGTTTTAACCCTAGGGTTTATTTTAAATACTATGTGAAGAGTGGTGTATTTAGTGATGGCTTGAAAGTAGATTTATAGTTGTATTTGTGTAAAATGGAGCACTAAATAAAAGTATCCAATAAACAGCCAGTTCAAAGAATACGATTGGTGCTAATCTTGATAACACTGTTTTTTGGAATCATTGTTCAGAAACAGTTTTTGCGGTTTATCAAATATGTCCATTTTATATAAGAATCTTGTAATATATTGCCACGAAAACCAACACATTTAATCATTTATTGATGGATTGAAAGATTCCTGTAGTCATCAACACTTGGACAACGAGAAGTTGCGAGTGCACTTGTGAATCTTGCCAAGCACAAATGTCTCGGCCAATAATCTTGATAACACTACGTGCAAGAACCAATTCTTGAGTGACAGATTGTAAACGAGGAATATGCCCAGATTGCAATGAACAAATCCAAGAATGTCTATTCAAGTCAATCTGTAATAGGAAAACAACAAATATTCAGAGTCGATTGTTGCAAGATAAATTCAAGATCCATTCCAAAAGTAGATTTTAAACTGTTATTAGTATTGGGTTTCATTATGGATCCAACAAGAGTACTCAGCGCTGCATATCCTGCTCCACCAGCATACTACAAGAACTACACTGATGAGAACTTGGCTTTAGTAAAGGCTGGAGGAACTGCTTTTTCAACCACAGACAATCTATCATCACAACTATCCGTCAACTTGAAACCACCTAATCCTGTCCTCGAGCCTATCTCTGTATTTGGGACCATACTGGATGTAAGCTTGAGTTTGCTTGAATATACTATAGCTTACACTCAAAGTTTGGTCACTGTTTATACTTGCTAGATTTCATCAAAACCTCCATCATTGGAATCATTGGGCATTCCTCAACTTTCCAAAAGTACACTGATATCAGGTATTATTATGCAGTCTTCAAGAACCTGCCAACAACTCATCTGCTATATTGCTGAAAAGTCGTTGATTATACTAATGAATTGAATCTACAGATCGTGCAGAGAATCTAAAAAAACTCAACCACTCACTCTTGATCAATTTTTATGAATTGCTGGAGTTGCTCGAGACTGATCCCACCAATGCAAGTCGCTTACCTTTTCAATCAACATGGCACTGATATTATTGCATATTTGAATTATAATCGTATTGATATCTATGGGTTATTTTTAAAACAGACATCATACAAAATTGAACACATTCGTCTTATCCTGATTAATTTTCATAGCTTATTGAACGAGTATCGACCACACCAGGTAAATTTCATGCTACGCTTGACAACTTTTTCTACTTTCCATTGACTCCGATTGTCGTTTTCTAGGCCAGGGATACCTTGGCAATAATGATGCGTGATCAGATTCGACGACGGAAAGAAACAACACAATCCATTCGGGACGAAATCACTAAAGCCCAGACTCTTAGTGCTGATTCGGGAAGTGACACCCTAATGTCTGATTTGTAGTATGATGATAATAAATTCAAACAAGTCGCCTCTGCTTATTATTACGATTGGGTTTAGGCACTGACAGCCATTCTATTTGGGTATACGTATTGTATCTGCTCGTTTGTCCAAGTAGCTGAAATATTGGATATACCAAACCCTTATCAGTATCACCATTTGCTTTACAAAACAATGGCCATTTTTGTATTGCCAAGCATCCATGAGCATGCATGTTCTAGAAACTATATTGGGCTACTGCCTCGGCCAAAATTCGCTCAGATATGGCAAAGCTAATTTTGTCACCATATTTTTCAAAACAAAGTCGGCGAGATTTTGAGCAATTTAATTGAGCGTGTTGCCAACCTGATTTACTTTAGCTTCAAACTATATACTTGATATTGCTATTTCTTTATTTTTACAAACTATATATTTTTGAATCTTGAGACAAAAATATAGACTGTACTATATACTACAACTTTGCTATAAGCAGTCCACCTTGACTAGCAGGCACATTCAAGATACTCCCATAAGCGACGCGATACCCAGTAGAGTCATATCCATCTACAAACTACAATCAAAGCTCTGGGTTTAAAATATACGGCTCAAATGAACACTCTGGAAACGTTAAAACCCATAGTTAAAAAAACAGAGCAGTTGAGTACTACTAGCATATCTCATCCACCAACTATCACGAGCAGAAGCAGTACAGAGGATATCTGCAGTGACGAGGAAATTCAATATGGGTTTGATACACATGTGCGGTATGGATTCGATTCAACCGACCTTGAGCCCTTTCCATCAGCTTCAGGTAGAAGATCGGCCAACCAAACGGGTGTTCAAACCATTTTGCTGCCTGTTTCTACGACTGCAGTTGTCGAGTCGAGCACATCAGATAGCGAGACCCAATTGCCTTGCCCAGACACGCAAGAGTCGCAATTTACCAAAAAAAAACAATCAAGCAATCTTTCAACTATAAAACGTATCAGTTCAGATGTTGCTTTAGAACTGCAAGTATCTTTATCACCTAGAGGAACAATATGCAAATCAGAGTCAAGCATTGCTCCAGCACAACCTTCCAGTCCCTTGTCAAGCTACAATCTAGTTTTAAATCCCAACGAAACTGTCCAAAATCTATCCATTACCACAAATCTATTCGGAAAACCCACAAAAGACTCTTTAGAACATCATCAGTCTACTATGGAAGCGGAATCGAACATGTCTAGAGTAGATGAACCACCCGATGTGATGCTGGCGCGTATGAGACTAGAATTTGGAGACTTGAGTCAGGACAGAGCTGATACACCCAACATACACTCCAAGTCAACCCATTATTACACACAACCATTCACGCATGAAAGTATTGCTCAACGCTCAATAGGGCTTGTTTCTGGAGAAAGTCACCATTCTTCCATTTCAACAATCCGTCCAGTTGGTGCATCAACTGTATCTCAAAATGTTGAAAGTATATATTCCCTGCAAAATGAAATGGTTGCTAATGAGAGTCACGACTCTATAGTAGCCGATCATAACGCTCTGGAAACAGCACCCATTATAGTGTATAGTACGGCTGCTAAATGTGAATCGCCAAAAGTCATTCGGCTTACAGCTTCAAATGATGATAGTGAATGCGCATCGGTTGTGTCGAGATTTCTTTTTGAAGACAGCAATCTTTCCAGAAATTCATCAACTGATAATGAATACAAGTTTGCAGCCATAGTCACGGATGCAGATAATAAGCAGGAGTTGCAATACCAATCAAACAGATCGCTATATCAAGGTAAACATTCAGAGTTGTGGATCAGTGATGCATTAAACACGTAGTATCATCACTATATATGCTGTTTTGTGCTTTCAATACTAATTTACATGTCTTGTGCATTTGGGAATATTAGCTACAGTGGTTGAGGAAGTATCACAACCAAAACACGTATCACAGGTTATCCAGTCATCAACAGAAGTGACGACTCACGACATCACATTTGATGAAATGTCAGGTACAATAGACTTGATCACCTTGATCACCTTGACTAATCTATCCAACTTTTCAAAAATACTGATGGTATTGAAATTGATTTTCTTGTTCAATATGTAGATGCACCTTTGTTGATACCCCACGTTGGAGGAGTTGACCATTATTCAGTTATTCAACCCATATTCAACGACTCTGCTTCAGATCAAGACACTTCTGAATCAGAGGATGGTCGTGATTATCATGCATCAACTAGTCCCAGCATACACGAACATTTCGAGTTTCTTCCTTCATCTAAACCAACTTCGACTACACATTTAAATGGGGTACAAGTACCAGAGATATCTTTTCAACCAGCCGATACTGATCTTGCCAAAAACGAATTTTGTGTTTATTCACATGATAGTAATATTGATAGTGACTCTATCCATTTTGTCGACGCTAATGCCGCTGATTTGGGTAGCCCATCGAATACAGTACAAAAAATGGCCAACTCAGTTGAACATCCAATGCGTTTGTCCTACTCTGGTCTTTCCAATATCTGTGAAGTTGATAGCAGTGTGCTACTGATTAGCTCTGAAAGCTTAGGCAAGACAAGTGTTGGAGAGGCAAAAATTTCTGTAGTTGAGCTCCAACTGCCAGCTGAAGTATCTACACAAGTTTTGGAAACGCCATCAAATATCGCCAGCAAAGAAACAAAACTGGACGAAACTGACTTGCCATTGCCTCGATCGGATAGCGTATCTACTGAAAAAAATGTTACAAGTGCAATTGTATCGGATATTACCTGCACGACACAAACTAAGTCCATTGATGCATCTGAGCCAGTACTATCTCAACCAGATACTTCTTGTTCAAATGTAGTTCAATCAAATATAGACACTGAGCTTGCTGAACCAATAAAACCCGCTCAGTCTGATTTTATCATTGAAGCAGGTACAATGTTTATCGCGATTGCATCCTTTCACGGCCAAGATCTTGACGAACTGAAGATGGAAGAAGGCGATCTGATTGAATTAGATATGGCACCGGCTTCTGCTGAAGAATATTGGTGGAAAGGCACAAATCGATCATGGGGAAAAAGTAATGGCCAACAAGGATTCTTTCCCAAAGATTTTGTCAAATTTTATGATCCTGACGCCAAAACCCAAGAACCCCAAAGCATCAGTGACAATGTTGAAATAGATGTAAAAGATGGTGAAAATATGCAAGAAAAAGTTGATATGGATGAAGATACGAGCATTGCCGTTGTTCATGGCGATCCTGAACCAGAGGAACTTGCTAGTCCTGATCCTGTAGCACCAGGCACAAAAGTGATTGTCAAGTATCCCTACGAAATGACAAAAATGGATGAGCTGTCCCTTATTGAAGGCGAGTTAATCGTGGTTCTAGAATCGCCAAAAGGCGGGTGGTGGAAAGGCATGAAGGGGCTAGACGAAAAATCGCCAAAAACAGGTTGGTTTCCGGCTACTTTAGTTCGAGTTGAAGCTGTTGAAAGTGACTCGAAAGACAAACAAGTATTTGAAAGCAATGATCAAATAAACTCGGGTCGTCCTCATGGTAGGAGCTTCTCTAGTGGGAAAAAGGCCAGCTTGAAACAAGGCGACGAGAATTCGCCTGATTCGCAGCGAAAAGGCGTATCGTGGCTGAGACGACTAGTACCAAAAGATAAAGATAAAAGAAAGCAATCCATATCTACCGATGAATCTGGATCGTCTGTATCATCCATCTCTACCTCTGTTGCCGCTGCAGATGCTGTTGCTGCAATTCAAGCAAGAAACAATATTGCATTAGATGGATCTGAAAAAACCTCGGAATCAACTGTTGCTGATGCAAATATGTTGATTGCAGCGATTTCCGACTATGCTACTCCTCAAATTCTTTCTGGTCCAAGCATAATACGAACAACTTCCATAACGGATGCAACCGCTGATGATTTGTCTACTGTTGCTTTGGTACAATCGCCGAATGCACAGCACGCAAACATAACAGGAAATAAGATCCCGTCGCTACAGCCAGTTGAAAATGTAGCATCACCAGCATCATTTTCACCATCCAATGGAGGAGTTTCATTTTTTGGATCGCAAATGGACACGGGAGCTCAGCCAACACAACCTGTCACTGTACCACCACCACTGCAAGTTCAGTTTACCAACTCCACATTTTTCTTGGATAGCGATTCGAGTAAACGTACCCAATCAAGCCACTCTACAGTAGTTACTCGCACAACCCGTGCAAATACAGCAGATACACCCATACCACAAATTCAACGAAGCGTGTCGACTGATGATGCAGTAGAACCAACATCATATCGATCCTCTGACTCGACAGGTTCGCACAATCACCGATCCGGAACATCCATAATTGGAAAGTCCAACAGCATATCCAGAAACACCATGATCTTTCCTTCATCTCTCCCAGCAACCATCACCTCCAACTGGAACCCTACTGATCTTCTTCGTGGCTCCTCCTCTGAGAAATGGCAAGACAGATTTGATGAGGTTAGTTTAGCTGGAATGTCATCTCAAGATAAAAAGCGTATATCCGCCACATGGGAACTTTTACAAACCGAGCGAGACTATGTTCGTGACCTTGCTGTCATTATCGAGGTGTTTCTTAAACCCATGGTGAATTTAAAAACTCAAGGAAAACCAGTAATCAATATATTTGCCAACATTGAACAACTATTGAACGTCAATGTCGATTTTTTGAACCAAATAGAATTGGTTGGAGATATAACCGACACCAAAGCATATGCAGACGCGTTTATTGCCAATGTAATTCTACAATGGATGTCAATTAAAATTGAGCTTGTGTTTTTACTGACTTTTTATTTTTGGGATGAAACTGAATCAAATATTTAGGGAGAAAGATTTCTGTGTTATATTCCATATATAGCAAACCAAAATGCCCAACTTCAAAAATTCCAAGCAAGTCTCCGCTCCAAGCCAGAGATATCAGCATTTATAGAAGAGGCCAACAAGAGCCCTCTTATGCGTCAAATTGACTTTTATGGGTTTCTTCTCAAACCTATCCAAAGAATTTGCAAATATCCTCTACTTCTTCGTGAAATTTTGAAATTCACTGATAAATCAGATCCAGATTACTCTGAACTGGAGCGTGCACTGGATCGAATGCAGCGTGTAGTTAGCACTGTCAATGAAAGTGCCAGAAGAATGACTACAGGAATGAGATCCATAATTGAAGTTCAGGGTCGATTTGCAGAAAAAATCAATATTGCAAACCCAAATCGATTTCTTGTACGAGAAGATGTCGTATATGTCATGTTTATGGGTGGATCTCGTAAAAGTCGTAAGCTGTTTCTTTTTAATGATATTGTCATTCTTGCTAGAAAAGATTGGCGTGACAAAAATCATGTGATTGAGAAAACACCTTTAAAGGACTTGCGTGTTTCAGAGATTATTGAAAACGATGCTCTGGTGGAAAACGGAGTATCAACCTCATTATTGGAGTTGGAAATCATGCCGACAAGTGAATATGATCCACCTAATCGGTATGTGATTGCCACTACAGCAATCAATGAAAAAGTGTCGTGGCTTGAAGCTTATAAAAGTTTAGCCAAACACACCATCAAATCAAAGCAAATCGGTGACGTAGCAATGACTTCATCAAATCGAGATGGTGGAGATGACGAGGACAATACCGACAAATCGTCTGGAGGAAATATGTTGTCGTCCAATTCATTTTCAAAGCGTGATAATGAGGATGAAGAAAATTCTGGCTTTGTGGCGAGAGCGGCTGTCTCAAAGAATGCTGACTTGATGGCTCGTATACGTGAGCTTGAACAAAATAACATTCTATCAGAGCAAAAAACAAACGAGCTTGTCAAGTCCGTTGCCGAAAAAGATGCACAAATATCTACATTGGAAAGTCGAATTTCTGCCATCTCGGCTGATTTAAGTTTGGCAACGGCGAATAATGTTTCTATGGATGTCAAGATAAAGGAAAATGACATGACTATTCATCACAAAAACATTGCTCTACAAGATCTTGAGAACAATCTCAGGGTTTATGCTGGCACGATATCAGATATGTACGAGACAGAAGCCTTCCAAGATACAACTATTCAGGCTCTACAAGAAACCATTTTAAAACTGGAATTGCATCAAAATAAATTGCAGGAAACACTTTCAACAGCCAATCAGGAATACTCGTCACAGTATGCTTACACATCACATCTTTTGGCAAAGATTGTTGAGCGCGATGCTAGTCTATTTGAAAAACAAGTTCAGATCAAGCAACTCTCACAGTCACTTGCAGAAACTCAATCATGTCTTGAATTGAAAAAAACGGAATTGCTCGATGCTAACAAACAGCTTCAGCACACAACCTTGATTCTCGACTCGCTTGACAAAAAACATCAGGAAACAGAGCAGCAGCTTGAACAAACTGTATTAGAGTCAAGACAAGTATCACAAGAAAAAGTAAATATCGAAAAGCAACTGTCAATAGCTCTTTTTAATTTAAAATCTGTGACAATGGAAAAGGAAGAAACAGAAAAAATACTATCCGAAGAAACCGCTGCACTTTATGCTTTAAAGCAATCCAATGACAATACGATAAGAGAGCTTGCAGAAACGCAATCAGAATTAAATTCGCTGATATTATTGAAGGAGGAAACAGACAAAAAACTGACCATTGCGACACATACCCTAAACTCTGCGTTGGTGGAAAAGGACGAAGCCAGGCATCAGCTTGAAAAGGCAACTATAGATATGAATTCTCTCGGTATCTCCACGGCCGAAACACAACGATATTTATCGGAAACTGCTTTGAAACTCGAGGAAATGATTCGGGAAAAGAAAACCACAGATTCTCGTCTTGCAGACAGTATTGCCAGCTTTATATCTCTTACTGGCGAAAAAGAAAAAATTAATGAACTGCTAGTTGAATCCAACAACACGATAAAAAGCATTTCCAAAGAAAAGGAAAAGCTTGAAGAGTTGCTAGCAGAGACGAATCTGAATTTGAAATCTCTTTCACAAGATCACCAAAAAACTGTCAAAACTTTGTCAGATACCGGATTCAAGCTATCCGATGCACTGCAAACTCTATGTGAAACCAAAATAGAACTTACTGACACTACTAAACAGCTTGAAAATATTCAGGCAATAGTAAAGCTAAAACAAGCTGAAATTTTGTCAATAACTGAACAGCTTGAGGATAGGCAACGCACATTAAAAACTCGTGAGGCTTTATTGGCTGAAACTCAGAAACAACTTGCTGATCACGAAGAAAAAACTTCCAAGCTACAGGCATTGACTGCCGCGGAAAGAGCTCGAGTAGGAGCTCGCGAAGCCACAATTCTTGATTTGGAAGCTAATTTGGCACACGCTGTCAATGCTAATCGAGACAGAGATATCAAGTTTGATGGACTTGAGCGGCAACTTAAAGAAACTCGTGCACATTTGTCTGAGACGGAAATTTCTCAGGCAAACATTCAACAGCGCATGGTTCAACGAGATCTTTATATCGTTGACTTGGAATCTGGAATTAAAGAATTAAAATCTAAATTGGCAGATTCACAAACTGAATGCACAACTTTAAAAACTAAACTTTCTCAGCAAGAAAACATGGTTCAAGATCTATCCAAAGATCAACGTGATTTCAAGTCCAGATTGAGCGATTCGGAATCCGCGCTCACCACTTTGCAGCAGAAATTTTTGATAAAGGATGTCAAAATTGCCGAGTTAGAAGCATGTCTTTCCGGAGTACAAAATTCCAATACAGTTTTAAAACAAAAATTCAACGAAGCTGAACAGAGTTTGGCTACGGCACAAATCAAAATCAACGATTTCCAAACCAAAGTGAAAAAAACCGAGGCATCATTAGCAACTTCTGTGGCAGCCCGAGCTACTTTGGAAGCCAAAGTAGCTGATATCAAAGCACAAGTAATAACATCACAAGAGTACACAACAAAACTGGAGCGGGAACGTAAAGATTTAATGGCAGAAACTGAAGGACAAATGCATGAGCTGGCATCATTGACAAAAGAAATTCGACAGATTAGAGAGGCTCTTAAAGATGCCAAAACCGATCATGAAAAGCTTGATGCGCAGCGTGTAGCTGCTCACCGGGAAGTATCACGAGAATTGGCTGCTGCTGAAGAAAAATGGAAAGCTATGCTTGATAAAGAGAAGCGTGATCATGCTAGTGACTATGCAGCACTGGTTGCAGAATTTCAAGGATATCGTGTATCCACCACAGCAGAGCTTGCAAGAATTCGGGCCGATTCAGATGCATCAGCCAAGCAACTTACTAAAGACAATGAAGAGCGACTTCATCGTGTGCGTGAACAAAGTGATGCTCGTATCGAGCAAATCAGAACAGCTTTTGATCATGAGCGCGAAACTGCCTTGTCCAAATTAGATGAAGAAAGAAATGTAAAAATTCAGCGACTAACACAGGCTTTGGAATCCACCAAATCAATGGCACTTCAAACAACTGAAAGCCTAAAACGATCAATACAAGAAACACAGGAGAGACTTAAAGATCGCGAACAAACACTTGCTGCAAAAGAAGAAACCTTGAAAGCAAAAGAAGCCGAGGCAATCCGTTTAAGTATGGATTTAAGACAGCAGGCAGCAGAAATTTTAAACAACGAAGCCCAGATAGAATCTATCAAAACACAGTATCGCAATACCATGGATAATTTAGAGCGAGATCTTCAAGATAAATCACTCGTATTATTAAGAAAAGAAAGTGAAGCGGTTGATTCTGCTCACAAAGCATCTGTTGCATTAGAACGAGTAGACAGTCTTGAGAAAACTCTACAACGAATGCAACGCGATTTTGATGATCGACAGCAAAACTTTGAGGATACAATTGAGCAAATGCATGAAATTGAAACTACACTACGATTGGAAATTACAACCATGTCGCAAAAGGTACAGCAACTTGATCAGTTATATCACGACACGCTTGAGCAATTGGAGCTGAAAAAAGCTTTATTGGCAACTGCTGTTGAGAACAATCGCCGCGATATTGCAGATACTACTCAACTCAAGGAAACGATCGTCAACCATAAACAGCTTGTTACACAGTTGTCTCAAGAACGAGACAATTTGAAAATTCATATCCGGGAACTTTCAGATACATTGGATCGTAAAACACAAGAATGTTCTGCATTAGTTTCAATCGAAAACCAATCCAAAGAAACCATACGAAACCAAAGCAAACATGTTCATGATTTAGAATTGAATGCAGAAAAGACAATTATGCGTGTCAGAGAGCTAGAAAAAACAATCATGATACAGGAGAAAACAATATCTGATATTCGCCAAGGTTTTAAAGAAACTCAAGCAGAATGGAAAGAGCGTCAGATGCAACTAGAGGTCAGTGCTACAAAACGTCACGAAGGCGATTTGGAAGCACAACGATTAAGATTCCAATCAGATTTAGAATCAAAAATTCAAAAACTTGAAGATGCACACATTGAAACAGTTTCCAAACTTTCACGTGAAGCAGAGACTGCTTCAAAACAAGTCGAGGTTCAAAAGACACGTTTCCAATCACAGATTGAAGAATTGACCAAAGCAAATCAAGCCCATGTCGAAAACAAAAGTAGTTTTAAACTACAGCTGGATAAACTCAAAAAAGATACAGACGTAAAACTTGAAGTGCTTGAAATAGAATTGAAGAACAAATTGGAACAACTTGATTTACTCAAAAAACGAGTTTGGCAACTTGAAACAGATATTGCTGCATGGCGAGATCAAAATCAACAGTTACTTGAAGCCAAGAAAGAAATGACTCAACAGTTCAATGATTTGATGGCCAAAACAGTTTTGATGGATGATGAGCTGATTAAATCGCGCAAACTGAGCGAGGATCACCGAGAACTGACAGAAAAAATGTTGGCAGATTCAGAAGAACATGGCGCAGCATTAAAAGCTTTGAGTGCAGCTCAAACTGAACTTCAGCAAGCAGTATATACCATTCAAAAACTAGAGACGTCTGTTTCAAGCAATAATAAGCGCGTTTCACAGTATGTAAAGCAGCTTGCCAGTGTGCAAATGACTCTTGATGAAATAGGAAAAATTGTAGATATTCCGCCATTCAAAAGCAATGAAGACTTTATGGATACATCACTAACAGTGGTTCAGAAAGAATGCAAAGGAAAAATCTTTGTGCGTATGATGGACAACTGCTACCTTATCAGTGTTGTTGAAGCAGTCAATCAACTATCATATTCTGCAAAAGATCTGATGGAAAAAATAGCTCAAGAAAAAACCAAAGTATGCGAGTACCAAGATTTGCAACGTTTAGCTGAACAAGAACTTTCTGCTGCTTCAGGAGCATTGGAAGCAATTGAAGACAGAATCAAAAGCCGCGATGAAAAGGCACTATTGGATCTTGAAGCAGCTGCTCAAAAACTTGAAGCTCGTCAGCGTGTGCTTGATGCTACTCTGCGCGACAAGAAACAACTTGAAGCCAACGTAAACACATACGTATCTCGCATTGCCACTTTGGAGCACGACAAAAACGAGCTAGAGCAGACTTTTATCCACATGTACGAACGACTAAAAAGTGGTAGAGAATCACAGGCACTCGATGCAAAACATGTTGCTCAAGAAATTTCAGGATTGCTGTCCGACAAATCACGCTTGGAACAAAATCTAGTCGAAGCTAGCCGACAGGTTACTCTGTTGTCTGAAAAGATATACAACACTGAGCATGAACAAAAAAGACAACAAGAGACTTTTGAAGCATTGCAATCTCAAAAAAGTCAAACGGAAAAACTATTAGAAGAAGCCAACAAAACATCCAATGTAATTGCGATAGAGCTGGATCACTGTCGAGAAAAACTGTCTAGTGCACGTGAAGAAATTCACGAATTGAAAAAAGAAAAGTCTGAACTGAACACTCGTATAAAATCCATTACCGAAAAACTAACCGAGGAAATAGGAAAAGTCAAAGAAGAGTTGATAAGATCGTCTGCAGAATGTACTGTATTACGTGAAACAAGCAAAGAACATACTGGTCAAGTAGAGAAGCTTGAAGAAAAGCTGACTCGTGCCGAACAGCGCGAAATAGAGCTGCGCGAACGAACTTTTAGCTTGTCCGAGGAGCTGAAGCGAGAAAAAGTGCATAGTATGTCTTTAAAACAAGAATGCGATCAAATCTCAGCACACAAGTCATTCATCGAGTCAAAACTTCAACCCGTGCAGACTCATACACAACACCAACATATTCGCTCACATACGGCAGAAGCAATCTCGACTACGCCAACATCTCAATCCGGTGTGTCAACGATGCATCGATTTCATATTCCAGAAACAGCATTTCAAATACAAGCAAATCACTATACACATTCTGACTCGATAAAAAACGCATCTCCAAGAAGAAAATTACCCATGCCAACACTTGATGATCCAATCGAGCTTTGTACACCATCAGCCAAACAACCACGTCAACTTCCAACTCTACATCCATTAGCTGCTGATGAAGCATACGTAGCACCCTTACTATCTATGGTTAAAGAGCTGATTGCATATGAACCAGAGATTGAACGTCAGCAGGGTATGCTGGATCGTTTAGACAAACTCAAGGTTGTGCTAAAACAACAAGCAACGATTGCACCTACACATGGACGACAAGAGCACCAAAGGCGTGCGCGTTGACAGCTTTTGAATATTCAAATATATCAACTAATAAAAGAGTTGAACCCAGTTTCATTATACATTCCAAATTTAGTATGTATTTCATAGGATTAAGTTTAAATCTCCAACTATATGCTTGAGTAAAATAAATGCCTAAAGTGATTCATGCAACGGAAAGAACAAATAATTGAAAAAGCAACTAAAACTCAGTATCGTCCATCGCCAAGAATGGCAATAGCACTATGTGAAAAGATACCGCCGTTGCCATACACAAGAGCACGACGAGCGTTCCTAACTTGGCGTAAAGGCCCAGCTGTTCCTGTAAGTTGAGAATAGGCCTCAATGATATTATACATTGCTGGAACTTCCCATGGTGCGCCAAAAGCCAGCAATCCACCGTGAGTATTCACAGGAAAGATATCTTGAGGACGAAAAGATTCCGATAACGCACCAGGACAACTTTCCATTGCATGTAATAACTCGTTGTATTTTACTTCAATGTACGCTCCACCCGATCCTTTTGGAGCAAGACCAACTGCTTCGACTGCACGGATCAAGCAAATTGGAAAGCAGTCATATAGACCGAAAAAATCGATATCACGAACACCCACCTGTGCTTCTTCGTATGCAATCGATGCAGCCTCTTCACATGAGAATGCAACTTCGGTGATGAGGGATGGATCCTTGGCAGGATAGAGTGGGCCAGATGCTTCACCACCACCAATGATCACTGCGCCGTGATTCCGAGGTATGTTTTTTCGCTCAAGAAATCGAGAAGAGGCTACCAATACGGCAGCTCCACCATCTGCACGTCGCGCACACTCTAGCACATTGGTTGCAGGAGCTACAGGCTGAGATTTCAGTACATCATTTAGTGAACGAGGTGTTTTGGTGAGGGCGTAGGGGTGACGAGATGCCATTATGGACATGAGAGCAGAACACATGGCCAACTGCTCTCTAGTGGTGCCAAATTGACGCATCTGATACTGTGCCATACGATCGTATCCAGACGGAATCACAGGCGAAGGCAGATTGGCTTCTGGATGACTACACGTCTGATCGGCTCGCTTTAGAAACTCGTCACCAGAAAGGTTTTTAACAGCATCACCTTTTTATATTCAAAATAATGTTTAAATAAAGATGGAATATTAGATCCGAGTTTTATACAAGGTTGTCAGATGTAAGCCAATTGGACGGTTAAGCATTACCTGCAACAACAGCAACTAGATCGGCTCCTTCCATTTGAACCATTCGTTTTGCTTCAAGCAACCCAGTAACAGGACCTGCACCTCCAGTATCAACGGTTCTTACTACAAGACTATGACCAGGCAACATGCCAATTTGAGTAGCCAAGAAATGTGCTTCCTATACAACACCAAAAAACTGTAAATTCATTCAAGTCTTCGACAGCAAGCCTGGTAATACAACAGTTTATAAAGAACTAATGCATTAGTTACCATAAAATGAGGCTCTGCCAGTGACGGAATAGCAATCAGACCATTCAAATCCCGAACATTCAAGCCAACCGACTCCAATGCTGATTGCAAAGACTGCTGCATCAATTGAGTGGGAGTAGCATAAACACCAGCAGCATTTGGAGGTGGGTTTAGTCTAGTCATGCCAGTACCAATAATGCGCACAGAACGGAGTAATCTGTAAGGATTCGTCATGTTGTTGGCTTGAGTTTACAACTTTTACATTCAATTCAAAATTGTTGTTTTGAATTCAAACTGACAAATACCGAATCACAGCTGCATGCCAGTCCATTCTTCCATATAAAACACATGGTATAAAATGATTTATTTATGAAAAAATACTACTCTTGGATTTGTTTCTATATTGTGGCGAGCTGGACATGCCATTGATTGAGGATTGAACAACAAGTCGTTTGATTTCTGCGTTTGTCTGCAACTGTTGTTGAAGATTCGCTGTTGTCGACTCGAGAAGAGAATAAACTTTTTTGCTATGTTGTCCAAGTTCCAAAATACACGATTTAAGTTTGTCTAGTTGATCGTAAATATCGCTGATGGTTGCAGTAGGATCTGAGCTAGACTGTTCTAGTGTAGAAATTGTATTTTCCAATACAGCCAATGCGCTTGAAAGAAGAAGATCCGATTGATCAATGGATGCAGATACAACTAAAGGTGGTGTTTTATCAGATGGGGAATGCTCACCAGCATCAAAAACAAGCTCAATGCTCTTGTGTCGGCCATTGTTTTGAACACTTTTTGATGATATAGTTGCAGATTGAGACGACTCATTCTGCACCAATAAAGTTTCAAGTTTTGTATGTTGAACATCAATGATCTCATGTGCAGCTAATAAATCCACTTGAATCTTGACTAGTTTTGTCTTGAGTTCCTGAATCTGATCTTGTAAAACTACAAGATCCGGTTGAGGTGGATCAGCTGGTAACACCTGAGCGGGATCCACAACTGGTTCAGATGCTATGCTATGCTTTTCTAGTTGTTGTGTCAATTCCAGATTATGCTGCACCAAAACCTGCTTGCTATCGTCCATTTCTTTTAATTTCATTTCCAGATCTAAAATATGTTGCTTCGATTTTTGCAATTCCAATAAAACATCAGAGCTTGGACTGACTTGTTTTTGTGGTAATGGGTCAAGAGGACTGGATGGTGATTGTTTTGGTGGTGATGAATCAACTATTATGGTTGGATTAGATTCATTACTCGAGTTATTGCTAGACGAAAGCTTTTCCTTTAGTGATGCGATTTCAAGGCTACTTTGTTGGAGTTGAATTCGAAGATCTGAAATGATAGATTCCAAGACAGTCGGATTTGAAAGATCAGAGTCTACCACACCGTTAGTGGTATGCTGTCCTGCTATTGGATAAATACTAGAGCCGGGCTGCGTTTCTTTGCTCAATTGCTGTATATGAGCAGACTGATGCCGGTATCTACCACTGAAGCATGGATTCAAACGATTAAAGAATATACAGATGAATTCAGTAAATGGATCAACCCAGTACATATACTAAATGACAAAGCAGTAGCTGCAGACGGGTTGATACAACACAATAGTCATTCGACTTGAAATCAATACATCAAAGCTACCTTTCAGCCAGTAGCTTGCTCACAGAAATAGTCTTGTGGTCCGCACGACGAGCATTTGAAGCTCTCTCTCCATTAACTCCAGAAGTGTCGTTGGCTTTATTCACAGCAACAGGTATGACTTGAAAACTGTCAGCAATTGCTGTATGTCGAGTGTGGTTATTTCCTGATAAACGACGCACCCACGATCCCATTGTAGGCATACCTTCAGTCTCTTGAGTATTGAAAGTGTTTATGGAATTGGAATGACTGCAGTCTGTAGTAGAAAGAGAGTTTTCACTACGAGCTCGGATAAGTGATTGTGCCCTGAATCGTTGTAACTTTTGTAAGCCATGCTGCACCATATCATGTCTGTCTGTCATTTGTGTAACTCGACAAACTGCATTCAAAATTGGCAAAAACTTCACTTTGGATATTCAACGTTGAATGTAAACTGTCAAATTATTTCTTGAAAAATATATGATTACAGTATTGATGTTCAACATTTGATATGAATTCTTGGATGTGTTCAAAAATGCATGACTGATCGAGCCAACAATTCGACACTTTTGCAAAAGTATAAATGGAGCAGTAGGGGTTCGAACCCTAGGCCTTTCGCATGCAAAGCGAACGCGCTACCACTGCGCCACAGCCCCATTCTGTATTACTTTCATTCTATTTTCGTACTATTTTGTTTTCCATATTTGCCTTTTGCTTTCAATCTCAATATTGCAATTATACTTTATTCTGAATATTTATATGCACTGCATGAATGATTCAAATACACCGTATATTCACTTGCAACTTGTATCAAATCATCATATTTGACACACCAATAGTCTAATCGAATTTATATTTAAACTTGTCTTGATCAACATCAACTGCTGGAACTCTTACAATCCAATACATTGTTGCTCGAGTGTTCATGTCTGTTTTCATTGACACATGTGTTGCAGTACTTTGAGTTCAATTGGTGATGGTGATGATACGTTTATTTGATCACGCATCTTTCAAATCATGCATTTAATATTTACTCGTTATTGGTGTGTATTATTGCACTAGCACAGTAGTATGGTTCAAACCGATGCATTCTGTGTATGTTGCTCACATGCAGTTGATCATATACTAATAGCGGCTAATAATCAAACCAATCATGATTGTTTATGGCTTGTTCATGATTAAATACATTAATTTAGTCGGATTCAATCATGTTGTAACCAGATATAACCCATTGTAATGCATTGCGTGATGGATCAATACACAATCAAGCGATATACTGTATGCTGTAGTCAAACTGATGTCAGCAATGACAATATACACGATTCATCGAGTCCAAGTTGATCAGATAAAATATGCACCACGTTGTATATCCAAATGAAATGTCACGGTAGTCATGACTCTGCAATGGCGATCCAGCATACATGCATTCACTCACCCGTCATGTATTGTCACATAGTGCAAACAACCGTAAACGGACCAACCACACCATTAAATGTATATAATTCAGTTGCATATATTGAATCATTAACAAAATGTGTTTTATATATACCATTCCAATTTATTGATATGATATAGATCCGCAAGTGTGACTAGTTCATATACATATATTAACAAGAATATATCATGTTGGTTAGTTCTGTAATGACTAGTGGATCCATCAGCTTTGTTGGTCGTGAACCAAGATGTGTTTTAATCGCGGTCTAATCATTTTGTTTTGGGTTGTGATGAACTTTGTGCTTCAGACTTGGTTTCTGGTTCATTGACAGGAGAAACCGTGAATCTTGTTTTAGATTGTGATGAACTTTGTGTTTCGGACTTGGTTTCTGGTTCATCGACAGGAGAAACCGTGAATCTTGTTTTAGGTTGTGATGGACCTTGATTGGGACATTCGATCGTCTTGGTATTATCTTTGGTTTGTTCAAAATCCTTGTTCAAAAGTGTTGTTTCTTGCTCGTTGCTGGTGGATTCAGACTCGTGTGTGTTTTGTTGGGTATCATGCTTGATATTTGTTTCGGGTACCTTGAACATTGAACTGAACTTTTCATGTACCTTGTTGAGCCTCTCGTTGGTTTTTTCGTCGAATTCCACTTGCATTCCATTTTCATTTTCATTCGAGTCCAAGCCTTCATCCAAGTCCGAGTCTGAGTACAAAGCTGAGTCTGAGTCCGAATCTGAATCTGAGTATGAATCCGAATCCGAGTCTGAGTCTGAATCTTCATCGTCTAGAATGTTCCTGGTGACATCTTTGCCATATTTCCGTATTTTCTTGTTTTTGATAAACTTCCTGGTTGTTTTGGTCGTAAACTTTATTCGAGTATTTCTTGATGGCAACTGATCACTTTCATAATCGGACTGCTTTGAGCCATATTGTTTAAAAGACGCGCACCGTTCTGGTTTTAAGCAAGATTTTAATGTTTTACCAGAATTGACTATGATTTCCTGTGATGACATCTTGAGTATGTCGAGATTCAATACGAGTTGATTCCGTGCTAATTCTAGCATTTGTTGTTTTCCATTTTCCCAATAATCTTGAAGCATTGTTTCCAAATTACAAGCAGCCTGCGCTCGACTTTTTAACAAATCCATGTTTATATTGAGCGGACATTCAAATTCAGTATCGTCTGAAATAGACATTCCAAGATATGTCATAGTCGCTTCGATTTCTTTCAATTGCTGTTGTAGTGTCATTTCAGTCCATCCACAGATATACATAAAGATGTCAAGCAATTTAGAGCCAGTATCGCAATAGCCATCAGATGATAAAGACGAGCTTTGGGCATCAGTTTGAGGGGTCGAGTCTTTGTTTGGCGATAAGTTGCAGAGCTGACAGTCAGAGTCGCTAGTATGTTGTTGATCGTTGGATACAGCGAGATGTTTAGAATCAAGATTGTCCAAAACGCTAGAGTCTGCAGTGGATTGGCTTGTGTCAGTAACTTGTTCATTTACTTGAACCACAGAGCCAACATCATCATTCGATTCATTATTCTGATGTTGTGTTTCAGATACGTCGTCGCCTATTGCTCGCTTTTCGAGATTAATTGATGACTCACTGATGTATGGATGAGCAATGACTGCAGTTGAAAATAATGAAAATACAGCGATCGATATAAGCTTCATCCTGTTTGGCGAGGTTGCAGTGATGATATTTAGATGCAATGAATAGGCAATTCAGGAACGATTTTAAATGTTCAAATAAATCATACAAATGCATCGTATTTAAATGGTTTATATCAAGGGAGGTCTGTTTAAAATATGCATTAATTTAATGATACAGTTTATGCTTCATGGATTGTATTGTATAGGAATCATTGCTTGCATTGACTCGACCCATACGTCTATGCTTTATTAAACAAATAGATCAACACTTTATCGTTGGAGTAGTTCAGTCCAATACGATAAAAGTGTTGAGATGCATAACATATTGAGTGTTAAGCGGTGCTAAGGGTTGGTTTAAAGTCACAGCCTATCTATGTGATATGGCTTGTCAAACAGTATTATCCATGAATAATTATCCATCAACATGTGCTGTGATGCTGTTGGATAACAAGATTATGGCTATTATTTGAATATAGTTCTACACGAAATGCTCAGCCTGATGTAATACTAGCGTATTCAGATCTCATTCTATACAAATCGAAACAAGGCCATAATTATATTTCTACAAGTTACAAGTCATCAAATGATGCAGTTTCAAGACTATCGACCGATAAGCTTTATTGGAAACAAATACCAATTTGTTTCAATACACCACACATGTTCAAGACTGATCCGAGTTTACTGTAATGACTAAAGATCAGTTTTTGAGATTTCCAGCAAAAACTAATGAGCCTTGTCATGACTGAGAAAGTTGTTGATCGCCTGGCCGTCGAGCAAGGAGACTGTCATTTACATTCAAGGTTCTCTTGAAAGTATAAATATGATTTCTGATGAGTTGGACAACTCTTGTCAGCATACACTTGAACGAGTACGACATGCTTATATGGGACTATCTTGTGTCCTGAAGCTATTTAGAAATCGAATTCATTGATTATCTTGTCAAATCTTTGCTACAGTCGATTAGTTTGCATTTTTCTATTCATATAAACGACTGAATCCAAATGGAAATTGAACTTAAACTTAGACTTGAATCCAAGCAAGTCCATACGGCAGTCATTGATCTGTTCCATGAGCTATCTTCAGAAGCCACATTTCTTGGAACTGATTCACAAGAAAACTACTTTCTTGACGGACCATCTAGAGATTTGTATGCTATTGTATGCAGTTTTAGAATGTATGAGTAGTGATTCCATGCACAGTATGGGTAGACTGATGTGATGTGTGTAGTGAAAAGATCAGACGCACTTTTCGACTGCGTAGGAATCAGCGATGGGATCCAGTTTCTGATACAAAAACTCCAAAATCAGTCGTGACACTCAAGGGAAAGGGACGTATTAACAGTGGTGTTTCCATCAATGAAGAGGTTTGTTTGGTTATTTGTGGATGCAACAGATCGAGTAATGTTCAAATCCACTCGTCTGGCTGACTGGTTTTTAATCAAATTCTTGATTTCTGTTATTGAATGATCACATAAGCTTGAAGAGCCTATCCAAGATGAATTACTCGATCAACTTGTTGAAAATCCATCCATGTTTCCTCAGCTGGCCCACAAGTATGTTTAATGTATCGAATCCAAATATTTGTGCTTCAAGCGCTCAACCATTTTATTTTCCAAATATTATATAGACATAAACTTTTTCAGGTCGTTTTTGATGAGCACCCTGAAGCAACTGCATTGCAAGTGATAGGATCTTTCAAAACCTTGCGAACAATGTTTGAATGGAAGAATCTCAAGTTGGAGATTGATGAAACAACATATGCTTTTGGAACAGCGTTTGAGATTGAAGTCGAGACTGAGGATTTTCAGCGTGCCAAAGATCTACTGTAAGTTGTGATGGATTTTGATAAACATGGAATTGTAGGATAGTTTTGACAATGCTCAACTGACGATTGCTTGCTACCCAGACTTCCGTTTCTTACTTCCAAAGGTATCGCATATGGTTATAGCCAACGATCCAAATTTGCAAACATGAAGTTTGGATCAATCCTCTAAACCCAAAACACCTTTTTAAAAATAAAGTGTAATAGCATCGTTGCATTTTCAAATCCATTACGATGTATTGAAAATGGGAACAAAGCCGAGCATCACAACATTCGAAATATTAATTACAAATCGAGACTGCTTCGTATCTAAATAAGCAGTGAATAGGAGTAGCTGCACCGCCCATGAACGAATTGGAAGACATATTGCTTTGCTTTACTTGAATGGGTTGCCAACCAGGAATAGAATATGCGATTGTTACGATCCGACGTGTTGGTTGACTGGTGTCCACATCATTGCGTGATAACCAGGCTGATAGCAGTGGTTTGAGTTTCTCCAGTCCAGCTGGGAGAAGATACATGACAATCACAGTAGCTTTTATAGCTTCTAGATCTACTGTAAACATATCCTGTTCGATGATGACCAGCTTGTTGTTGGAGATGAGGCTAGGATTGGTTTTTCGGATGAATGCAGCTAGATATGGATCTAGTTCTACACCGATACATTGAGCGGGTGGATAGATCTGGTGCGTTTCAATATGATCATTGTCAGGAGTGCATGAATCGCATAGGGCATCAATCAAGATACGACCATCACCACAGCCAAGGTCTACAAGGATGTCTGTTGGGCCTATACCAGCAAAGTGCAAGGCTGATGAAGTGACCAGACGACTCACAGGAACATAGGGTGCAACGAATGGAGTGTTTGTAAGAGGGCGAGAGTTTACTAGAGTGTATGGGATTGGATTGAATGGTGATGGAATGTCTGATGACAGATCATCCGAGTCTGCAAATGGAAGGTTATCTGCCATATCGCAGAGTTGGAATGACAGATTTTTATTGAAAACTTGAATTCGATCAACCAGTTTCTTTGAAAAACTCTTTTTATTTAATCATACTGAATATTTATTTGGACTCCCTTTCCAACTCTGGTTAACAGTCCATAAGATTCCAGTAGTGTTTTGACTTCAGACAGAGCCTTGGGAGGCTTTGGAATAAATTTGGAATTGGGGAGTTTCATTCCTGCCGTATGTGGAGCAGATATGCTGATGCTTTCAACAAATCCGTTTACTGTTATATCAATATATTGAAATTCAGTAAAGTGGATTTGAATTGGTGAATGGGAATAAAAACAGCGAATTGAATTCTAAAATCAACCATACCATCTTGCTTGCTTGGCCTGCTTTTCATTATAGAACCGATCAGTGATTTGATGTTGGCTAGATTCCAAGTTGAAAGAGTAAGAATCGGTTGTTATACTTTTTGATGGCAACGGGTCAGATACTACCTTCAACTTCGCTTTCCTTCCATAAAGCCTAATGGGTCCAAAGCATTTCGTGTAAAACACAAGCGTTAGTCAAAACATGACCATAAGATCCAGCGATCAATCCAACTTACCCGACCAACCTCGACTTGAATCATATTGTTGGAGCCGAGTTCAAATTTGGTGCTTGCATGCAACGACGCCATCATTGCAGGTAAGTCGTCAGACACAGTTCCTAAATTTCACCAAACATCAGTCTTTGAATATCTCGAAACAAGCTAGATTTAAAATGCACCTTTGGCAGGACTTGGCATGAGTCCTTTTGGACCGAGTTTTCGGGCAATTTTTATAACTTTTGGAAACATCTCACTGGTGGAAAGACAACGATCAAACGTGATTTTGTCTTCCATGATCTAGCATTTATAAAACAGATCAGCATTTACCAAGAGTACGGTTTGATGAAAATAGTATAGAATAAAAAATACCTGCTCGATAAGCTCGTCTCCACCAACAATGTCTACTCCGAGTTGTTTTGCCTCTTCTGCTTGTTTTCCCTGAAACGGAGAAGGATTAAATACATTATAGCTGGTCAAACCAAGTGCATAAATTAGGATTGACATTGATAGACAACACACATACTGTAGCAAACATCAAAACGACAGGTTTTTCCAGTTGCCCAACTTGATGTGGAAACATGACTTCACCACGAATTGGTTTTCCACTTTCAGAATGTGCGATCTTGATATGTGCAGTTATTGGTAGATCCTGACCAAGAGTATACGTCTATACATCCCAATGGTTCAACATGTTAGACTTGAAAGTAGTCAAGATTGGTCGAGTACATCACAAATGGATTGATGGCTGCAATCTGACCTGGAATACAGAGAATGCATGATCAAAGGTGATATCATCCTGATTAAGTTTCTGCTTGATTTTTCTTTGTTCTCGACGGTACTTGACTTTGTCGTAACAGCGACGTGCTTCTATTAGTGACACAGCTTCATGATTCTATGACATGATCCAAATGGAATTGATGACTATTAGATGGATCAGAAAAGGTTGAATAAAACAATTATTGAATCAACCTACAGAAGCCATGGCATGTGTCAATGGCATCTGATCTCTAGAGAAACAGACAGAAGGTATTTTAAAGCTGTTGATTATACTAGCATTTCGTAGAGTGGTGGTGCTCGTACTAGTGAACATTCCCAAAACCATTCTTGTATTCGATGAGTTTTGCAGCAAAAAACTCGACCAAAACAACGATCCATCACGTGGCATTTTATGATGGATTTGCAGTCTGTTAACCTTGACCAACTATGGCAAATGTATTGGGCGAGTTGGTCCTGCAGGATCTCAGACTAAGTGTGTCTTGGTTAATGTGTTGGAATTCCAATAATGATGTTTTAGAGAATATATTTGCAAGATCTGATCCAAGTCTCTTGCACTTTATTATAGCTCGATACGTTCTCAACATACAGCTGAAATCATTACTTGAATCAGTCAAGGATTTACCAAAACAATACATTGTCAAGACAGATCAGAATAAAGTAACAATGAAACACTTGTTTCTTGATATGCTGAATACAAGGATAATTGATGAATTGTTTGTGTAAACTCAGGATCAACCATATGTTGTCGTACCAATTCCCATGAGTCTACAATGGACACCTAAAAGGTGATTGTGTTGATTAATTTAGAGTAGCCCAGAATCCAGAGTATCGACTTTCAGTTCCATGTATTGACTGATATTCAGTATGATTGAACTAGGAAATCTTATAGCACAGACAGAAGGACTATCAGACTTGCCCAGGTGAGTTTCTATGTTGAATTCAAGATTGTATTTTAGTTGAATTGCATTAAATTCCTTGAATGCAGTCTAGTGCTAGCTATTGTTGCAGCCGATTCGAGTGTCGTGTATTACAAGTTTGGACTCGATGGAATCTCGTTGGACATTCGAGATTCTTCAGAATAAACGAGTAGATTGGCTGATGAGCTGCTAGAAATAAAAAACAGAAAAATATTAACAGTTGACTTGAGTTCAATTGGAAACTGTTATTCTTGCATACCACTTCGACTATTTCATTTATATTCAAAACATTCGATATCTATTCAGCAGACAATGACTGCCCGGACTGCTGCTCTTGCCAATGCTGTCACTCCGCGTCCTCAAAAGGCTTCCGATGGTCAAGACGACTCCATCGACCGTACTCCAGAGTATATTCAGTTCATGCAGGCTTTGGAGGAATTGCATCTTTCTCAAGGGTAGGAAGTGCCAATCATCAACCCAAGCTGTATGAATGCATTCTGGAAACACTTGATTAACATTACATCTTGTTGATAGAACTGTGTTGCAGAGAGAACCTGTGCTAGGCGGAAAGAACCTCGATCTACTCAAGATTTACACCATGGTCATTGAAGCCGGTGGTTATGAGCAGGTACACTTGTCTTGTTGAAATCAGACTATACTGTCATGCACATTCACTTGGATCTAACTGTTCTGGCTCTTTACTGCTGTCCGCGACGTCTTACTCTTTAATTGTCCTCTGTTTTAGGTCACTCATGAGCGAGGATGGAAAAAAATAGGAATCCCTTTTGACTTGCCAACTACTTGTACCAACAGTGCGTTTGTCTTTAAACAGATTTATCAAAAATATCTCTATTGCTACGAGTTGATTCATTTTCAAACTCATCGTAGTTCAATTACTGGTCCTGATGGTCTACCTCCTGGTGTGGTCGTGCGTGCTCCAAGTGCTATTCCTTTGGTTCCTACTGTTGCCGCTGTACCTCCTCGCATCGATGTACATGGTTTCCCGGGTATGCTAGTTTCATGGTTTCACTTTTAATCTATCAAATTCGGATCAATGTTAACCTGCTATATTTTATATTCAATAACAGGTGTAAACGATCGTATGGCCAAGCGTGCCAGATTCGAAATGCCGGTTTCATCACAACCTCAGTTAAATCTGTCTCGCCAGAAAGCCTCAAATACTCAGCTCTTTCAAATGAACTTTGAAGAGGATGAAAAGGATGGCAAGTGATATCATTGATCTGATTGCTAGGTGTCATTCTTGTTGATTACCATGTGCGACTACGGTATCTAAATTTAATTTTAAAACTATTCTTGATATAGAAAAACATTTATGCGGTGGATGGCAAAATCGGCTAGCGTTAGCACTAAAGTCTGAACTTCCTAACGAGGTGGATTGGGCATACAACAAACTTGTCAAGATTTCATTTGAACACAGTTTTTATATTGGATTTATTCCCAATTTACCTGAAATTCTGGTTGAACACATGCAGCCTTTTTTTGATCAGCTTATCTTGAACACATCTCCTTTCAACTTTGAAACCACACTAAAATGTGGCATGCCAGGATCCGTATCGTCTCCTATTGACACAACCGATGCCGAGCTTGGCATGGTGGTGCCTCATCTAGAAGCCCAGCCATTTGAGTCGGAAGATTTTCACATCACCTCGTTATCTGGCATATCCATGTTTGCATCTCAAGCCTGTCAAACTCTACAGGAACGAGTTCATCAAACTCTACACATTATCCGTAATCTGTCCTTTATGCCTGAAAATGCTCTTGCATTCAGTAAGGATCATAGAATGCTGACTCTTTTCGCAAAGGCCATTGCATTGCCAGCAGATACAATTTACGTCGAGATCAAACAATATGCTTTGGAAATTTACGAGAATCTTGCGTCTTTTATCATCCTTCGAGGCCAAAATGATTTTTACCTAACTTGTCTCAAACAAATGCTGTTTGAAAATGACAGGGGAAGGGTTGTTGGATCACTCCGATGCATGATTCGCCTTACTATGACTGAAGCGAACGAAAAGTCGATCATGGGCATAGAAACAAGCATCATTCAACGACTGATACAGCTGTTGTTGATACCAGATGAAGAGATTATAAGCGGGGTGATGGAGTTCCTGTACCTGTTTTCCGGACTAGGAAGTGAAATCGGAGTGAGAATTATGCAGTGTGTGAGGTTTAATGTGTTGAGGCTATTTTTAAAGTTTTTGGAATGGAAAGGAGTAGGAAAAGTGTCTACTCATGTTCATGGTAGTTCTGCTCCTCCCATTGCAGCAAATACAAGTTCTGTTGCAGCACCTGGAGCGGCTTTGGCGAGTCGTCCTACCACACCTGCCATGGCTGTACCATTTACTCCGGCTCTTCAACGTCCACCAGCTTATTTAGATCCACGTGCCATTGACCATTTTCAAGCTGCCATTTGGTAAGTTGAGCTCTGTCTACATCCAATAATTCATTATCACTAAATTCACTCTGTACTTTGCATGGGTTATAGGTTACAGGGGATTCTTGAAGCAGATGCTACGTATGCCATTCATCAAGTAGGATTGATGAACGAATACGAAGCATACTGTAAAATGACGAACCTCAAAGCGCTTCAACTTCCTGAACTGATCAAACTGATCCAAAACATATTTGTAGGATCAACAAGCAGAGATCACGCATCAGCACCAGGTGTAACCATTATAAACGGTGTCATCAAGGGAATTCGTCCTAGATTAAACACGACCGCATCGACTAGCACTCATTTGGTGAATGTGATGTCTCATTTGCATCATATATTTCCCGAGGCAAATGATGAGTTGAGAGGTATTCCGTTGAGTGCTGTACTAGTATTGCGAAATATTGCTCGGCATCCGGATAATCGCGAGTTTTTTTCTCCTTTTGAAGGAGATTTAGCTCAGCTGATGCTTTTACCGAGATTTAACAAGGTTGTTGGGACAATCTTGGCCGAGTTGAAAGGATAATATTTTTGTATTCAAGGGTTCAAGTTCAAATTTGGATCTGCAAATACCAATGAATAAATTGAATCAGTTTTAACTTTAATTCTCTTGTAAAACTTATGCCATTACATGATCTCATTCAAAGACGGTTCTAGTGCCAGCAGGTTTGGCAAAACCACCGCGTCCACCGCGACTACCACCACGACCACCTCCACGGCCACCACCGAAACCACCGCCGCCACGGCCTCCACGACTACCACCACCACGACCACCTCCGAAACCACCGCCGCCACGGCCTCCACGAGCACCACCACGGCCTCCACGACCACCACCACCGCCGCCAGCATTATCACGACCACCAGCGTAGTCAAGACGAAGGCTACGTCCGGCAATCTCAACACCATTCAAGCCCTCGACAGCTTTTTGAGCAGTCTCGACATCACCGTATTCGACATATCCAAAGCCCTTGAATGCACCAGTATCACGATCGGTAGGGAAACGAACTGAAACCAGCTGACCATATTGTGAAAAGGACTCACGGATCTCATCTTCTGTGACATTGAAACTCAAGTTTCCAAGGAAAAGAGTAGTGGTGGGAGCAGACTGGGGAGCTTCTTTGCGACCTTGACGGTTGCCATCACGGGGAGGCTTGGGAGTAGAAACATCGACACGGATCTCACGACCGTCAAGTTCTGTACCAGTCAAAGCCATAGCGGCTGTGAGTGCATCAGCACTTTCAAATGTGACATATCCAAATCTGATGTAAAATTGTTAGTCAACAAGTTAGATTAAAAGCATGTTATGTTGGAGGTGTTCACTACATATGCATGATCCAAAACATACCCCTTTGCTCTGCCAGTTTCCTTATCAGTAATAATACGGGCAGATTCTACAGTACCGCAGTCAGCAAATGTGGCTGCAAGCATCTCCTCATCGACATTCCATGAGAGGTTTCCAACAAACACAGTAGAGTTGACGGGCTCTTCTGTTTTTGGTTTTTTAGTAGGCTCCTCGGCAGCTTCGTCAGCAGAACGTTTCTTGCTCTTGGGTGCCTCTGTTTCTTCTTCAGAATCAGAAGATGAATCAGATCCTTCTGCAGATTCCTCTGCAGCCTTTTCTTCCTCTTCTTCATCAGAAGAAGAGTCGGAATCGTCGACCTTGGCTTCGGCCACGGCAGAGGTTTCCTCCTCTTCGTCGGAGGACGAGCTAGAATCTTCAGCCTTGGCTTCCTCTACTTCTTCGTCAGAAGATTCAGACTTTTCGACGGCAGCCTCTTCTTCATCAGAAGAGTCAGAGTCGGAAGAGTCGTCCTTCTTGACAGCCTTTACCTCTTCCTCATCAGAAGAGTCAGAGTCGGAGGATTCAACCTTTTTCTCGACTGATTCATATCAACAATAATGAAAAAAAAAATATAAATTAGGAATCCGAGGCAAATACACTCGGGTGAAACAAAACAATCATGCGTTTTAGACTCACCCTATTACAAATACAGAAACAGCATGAAATTTAAGAAAAAAAAATAATCACGAAAGTAAAAAAGCAGAATTAGATATCCAGTTGGCAAGGTAACAGTCAATACAATAGTTTCAAATACAAGAGTGCTGACAAGTTCAGCAACTGATACAAAGCCAGTCAAAGAAAAGAATAGCAGTAGAATAGATCAACAGAATTGATAATGATTCATTTGGCTCAAGTACACTTGAACCATCAAAGAAAAACATACCTTGGCAGCAGCCTTTGAAACCTTTGCAACTTTAGTAGAGGCTTTGACAGGTTTAGGATCACTTTTTACAGCAGCAACCTTTTCACTAACTTTCTTGGTCAACTTTGAAGATTTTTTCATTGAGACTTCCTTGCCCATGATTTGATGTTTAATGAATATAAGGCAGAAAGAAAATTTGATAAAAAAAAGATTTTTGAAATTCGAATTTATGCGTCAAATTTGGACTTGAAGCCACGAGACTCGAGCCGTTTGATTGGCTGGAATATCAAACTGCCCTCAGGTATAATTACGAGGTCACGTGTATGTTTGCATTGCCAGTTTCATAAAGAAGCTTAATTCATACCCGACATTTCAGCTTCAAGGCGGGCCATCTTCATCGCTGTCGATGAAATCACCTTGTATTCCTGATGAAGTGCATTTCGGATCCTTAGAATCTGACTGCTACCCAACACTTCACTCATTTGTTGTCGCTCCGCCCTTTGTATTGATTCCTGCACATCATCCGCTTGTTGTTTTTTAATCACTTCCTTGGCCCGTTCACCAACCTACACACGTCATAATAGTTTCAAGTTAATAAAATAATACAGTTTCATCACTCGAATGAGTCAAGTCTATTGAATTTACCTCGGTTATACTTGGTGCTACATCTCTACTTAGCCCTCTCCGACATCCTTGTAGTTCATGCATCCATTTGATCTCTGCTATACTGAGCTCAGGCTGTGTCTGATCAACCAAAATCTGTAATATTAGATCCACTTTGGTCAGGGTTTTTGCATACCGTTCACGAACCGCCTTCATCCGATCATGAGTGCAACTCTGCTTGGTTGTAAGCGAATCTATTCTGTTGGTGCATTCATCGAGTATAGTCATTTGCTGAGCATACTCATGCACTTGTCGATCAAGACTTTTAGAATTTAATTAGCATACTTTTAATTGCTATTGTGTTTGGAAACAATCTCAATCGTGTGCACTTACTGTTCAATCAAGTCACCTTTGGCATTGTATAGTATTTGCAAGTCTTCACTTACAATACTTGCTTGTTTGGCTATATTGGCTATACTATCGGGATTAATAAACACGGGGTACGTTTTTTTATCTCCATCATGTCCAACAAGTTTTGGACGTCGCGGAAACCCGCTTTGAATAAATTTTGGCATCTGGTATGGATGATCCACCAAGGCACTCTTGTATGGTGATTTCATGTCCTTGATAGTTGCTGTGGCTGACAGGTCTGTTTGAAAAGATGGAAAGTTGGAAACAACTCGCAATGCTAGCGCATCTCCGTATATCTCATTACTTGATGTCATGAGTAAATAGCTGTATCCCAGCACGTTTTCAGTAAGAATCGTAAGCCCAACCACAGCCTTGACACTAGACAACAATACATTCAATCAGCATTCAACCAAAACATATGTTATATTTTTCAAAACAACATACGGATTAGAGGTCTCCTGCTTAGTGTTTGTTGCAATACTGTTTTGCAGCAAAACAAGATGCCGCACACTGCACGCATCAACTGCAATACTTTCGCCCTTTTTCAATGAATCCAAATTTGGCAGAGTAATACAGTGCACGCCCATTGTATGGTATGCATAAAACATATCAAAATATTTGGGATCAGCCAAAAGAGTAATATCACCAGTCGAAACCGCGTGTTTGCTTTTAGATACACTATCCAATCCTGTAAGTTCTTTGGGATATTTTAAATCAATCGTCTCGAGTAGTGCCAAAACAGGGGATTCAGATTCTAAAGTGTTGATGGCTGTATCCTAATTTTTATATAACACAAAATAAGGTTAAAGATGTATAAACCCAAAGTAAACTGAAATAGTTGTCTATACACCTACATTGTCAAGTTTCCAAGATGGAGTAACAGGGTCAACTTCTAGCAAGATCTGAACAACACCACACGCACTCGATACAACAAACACGACGCCAACAGATGAAGGCATGCACACAATATCACATGCATTGTCATAAGAGTGTGCAGGATCACACGGCTGGACAAGATATGGTCCGCAAGATTTGACTTGCAATCGTTTCATGCTAGTGGGCAAGTCACAAGAAAAATAGGTATTCGTCTTTCCAGCATTCTTGTACAAATCACTTTCGTCAGAGTTTATGTTGGATAAATGTGCAGTCATGTCATCATCCGGCATAGGCATCTGGTCCAAAATATTTTGAATCCATTTCAATCGCCAATAGAAACTCGATTGTTCCAACGTATCACTTGTATTTGATATACTCCAATCCAACTCCGTTTCGACTTTGAGAGAGTTTAAAAAGTTGGCAGATAGATGCATGCGACAAGGTGCAACAGGGCATACTGAGAAAATATCACCGCTTCGCATCAATACATATACAGTAAACGGCGACCAAGAAGCAGCACTTTTACTCCGAGTCATTTTGTCATTTTCATCATATTCATGATCCAGCATAGACTGATCGACGCCAAAACAAAACGAAACAGCTTCTCCATCGTCCATTTTTGATCCGAATCGATGTCGGTTTGTCCAGGCTTGTGAAGACTGAATAGCATTGATTTCTTGATCATCTCCATTGACAACAATACTACTTTCAGGAGTTTTTGAGCTTGATGCAACATTATATATCCTCAACACAGCGTCAGAAGTCAAAACAGCCAGATGAGCACCCGTGTCACTCAAAGGATGCCAATGGCATTTTGAAATAAAATGAACATGATCGCTGGTGGAGATGATGTTGGATATTTTGTGAGTTTTGCATTCGAGTGATTGAACACTAGACTTTAGTGTGATGGGCAGCACGGCAATAAGAACCGATCTTTTACCACACAATGCCAAGATACGACCAGTTGGGTTAAGCTGGATTTGTGTAACCCTAAAATCCAAACCAGGCATAACAAGATCCTAGCAATACAAGTGTCGATGTAAAGTTGAATCAATACATTGGTTAATAATAGTAGAAATAGACTAGAAAAACTAGGAGGGTTGGATCTAGACCAAACGATAGAATACCTTCCATGATGCATGATTGTAGACTGCATGAATATCTTCATTTGTACCGTCAGTAGTAGCTTTAGTACAGATTCGCTTCCACTCTCGTAACCCAATATGTCTAACAAGAGTACCAGATTTCTTATTTAAGCACATGAACAAGTTTCCATCTGATTGAGCCAACAGTGCATGAGAAGTAACACCATCAATATCATCCAAAAAACAAGGGATTTCTTTAAAATCATTGCTGGTAGTAGCTGTGAGTTTGGATGGAGTAGGCAGATAAGATATAGAAGTGTCGAATGTAGCATTAGAATCCGAATTCATCGAGATGGCCGATATATCAGCCAAACCCCAATTGAGTGGTTTTTGAGTCTTTGTAAGAGGAGTTGAAGGCTCTAATTTAGTATCATTTGCAGTAGAATCAATGGCTGGATGTTGAGCCAATAAGTCGATCCAAGTAGTGTTCATTGCTGGCTTGTAGAAACTTGAATTATATTTAAACTGCAGTTGAATTCACAATCGAATACTAAAACAAGAATGTCAATTTCATGAAATAATTAACACTAAATTCACTGGAAAATACTAATTCTTTCATTGGCCGACTTTCTGATGATTGGCATGATGGTTACATTTTGATTGGTTTCTTAAACTGGATTGCAACGCATGAATTGTACTGAAAATATCGACATTTAAAATCCATAAATCTCAGTTCAACACTAGTTTAATCTTGTGTATAGTGTATGATGGTTGTCGGGTTGATCAAATCAATCTAATAGAAAAACAAGTATTTAACAATTGCTCAAGAGCAATCACTGCAGGATAGTGGCTCATTCACATGAATGCAGCTGTAAATGTTACTCAGACAAGTCAAAGTGGCAACTAAACCTTGTAAACAAATTCTATTACACATTAAATTGATTAGCAAATAGTAGCCATCGGATCATCTGCACTTGGAAAGATGATTCGAGGCACTGGCCCAAAAGGACGATTTATTATCACAAATGAAATAAAGGTTTGATTTGGATCCATAAGAACAGACTTGTGTAATACACAAAGAGCGAGTTGAAGGGCGGAATAACGCCGGGCTATAAAAAAAAGAATGAGATAAACAGCGAGGCAATAAGGGTTAGATGAGGAGAAGCAAATTATCTGCTTGAAAACGGTTTAGGCTGTAGTCCAGCAAATGTAAAGACATTAGGCAAGGATATTACTGCGGTATTATAAATGGGCAGAAGCAACAAAAGTATATATCAAAAACTATTTGAAAAACACACCAATGTTCATCATTCAATGTTCAACGTATAGTTGGCGCTACCCGTGGGTGAGGTGTTGAAATCTCCATCCCCGTCGCTCCACTCTGAAGACAGAGTAGATCGAGCAGGACGATACTGTTTCCACATGGCGGGAGTGAATTGTGATGGAGAAAGTGGTACATCAGCAGGGAAATGAGAATCGTCAAACTCATAGAACCCCGAGTCACCGCGCGATGAAACAGTACTGATGCAGTCGATTGAATCTTGAGTAGATACAATCGAGTTTCGCGATTGCATCGGACGAGCACCTCGGGGTGCAGGCTTTAAAGATGCAGTATTGGTACGGGATGCAGTAAGAGTAGATTGTCCAGAATTGTGATTAGAAGTATAAGACACTGCAGCATCTTTTGACAACTGTGCCATCATAGAGGGCGAGTTTTGATGTTGGACAGACTCGAGTGGAATAACTTCAACAGCATCCAAGGGAACTAAACCAGAAGAAACAGACGGATGAGCGCCAGATTTTCCAGCAAGAGTTGGTTTTGATGCAACTGCATAGTCTAGACGGTCAGTGAAGAGCTGAAGGATTTGCGCATGAATTTGTGGAGATGCGAGGAAAAGAATGCCACACGCTGGAAGTGCAAGCCAGTCAAGTAGGCTAAATACATTGCGAGTAGAAACAAGCTGTGAGCGTTTTCCAAGGGGTTGTACGCGTTGGCCACTACCTGGACGCACTTGCTCCCGAAGCGACCAGATCCATCGCTCAGTAGAAACCCAAAAAAAGTATTTTTCATAATTATAAATCATAACGATAAAGGGGATTGCACAGATGGTGCGAATGTATCCTCCAAGACTTGCCGCCAGGCTAACGTAAGGATGAACTTCTTGTTCGGATAAGAGAGACCAAAATGAAGCAGCGAATGGGGAAGGGGAATTTGCAACAGGAAGGGTGATGGATGTGATAAAGACAAGCATAAATACTTGTCCCATGATCATATTGGCTTCAAAGATACGGTGAAACAAGTGCATCATATTAGTGATTGATATCTGAACATCTTGGCTACCGCGAGTTTCCTCTGAGCGAATCAAGGGAACTTCCTGCAGCTGACCAGCAGGTGCATCATATCCAGGAGCAAATAGAGCAAATAAAGCACGACGAACAATGTAACCAACATCAAGTGAGCCCCACATATGGCGTTTAGACTGGGTATATCTTTGCTGCATGGTGTCAATCCAAGAACTGCCTTGAATGTTGCATTGAGAGGCAGGCGAAGCAATTGAATGAACTAAAACACGACCCTCGGTAGCATAGAAACACTTGAGATACATATGCATGTCTTCGCCAATTGATCCAGGATCAGTATCCCAAAATCCAACAGCAACGGCAAGATCCATAGAAAGAGAATAGGCTGAGCAAGGCACTTTAATAGGAGACGAGGGACTCAGATTGGACATTACACCTGCAGACCAAACCATATCGGCCGTTCGAACAAAAACGGGAACATTGCTTGCATTACTGTAAATATCAAGGAAATGGGCTTGTTAGTCAACACGATATACAGTTCCATTACAACAAGAATGTGTAACTATTCAATGGATGGTACAAGATAAATCAAGACTATTTCAGCAATGTAGATCGTACCGATCAAAAACAGTACACGGAGCAAACATGGTGATTTTGCGATCAGCGGGTTTAGAAACAGCATAGTGATATGCGATGGCAGAAAAGTAGTCTTGGGCAAAACAGGTATCAGCATCCATGACTGTTACAATCTCTCTTGCTCGAGTGGAAGGAGAGGAGCGATGAGCCATTTCACGTGCGGCCCAAGAAACATTACTGGACTTGCCACGTACCTCGCCAAGGATATCGGCAGGATGAATAGTAAAAGTAAGGTCATAAAATTGGTCCTGAAACTGACGCAACAGTTTCCGTGCTTTAATATCGGAACCTGCCTCAGTGGCTTCCATAGCAAGACAGATCTATACATTGCAAATGGTTAAATCAAGCTGACATGAAAATCAAAGTAGAAAATCAAATCACCTTGTACTGAGTCAATGCGTGAGAATGACTGGCCAAAACTTCGAGGGTTTCGCAAAGCGTTTCCATTTCCTCCTTGTAATTAGGAACAATCACCACATGCATGATATCATCAAGAGGCAATTCTCTAGACGGGTCAGCAGCAGAGGCGGCACCAGTAGTCTGACAGTATTTTTCGGTCCAATCTGTTGATGAATGCAACTTGGCTGCAAGATACATTGTACGAGCAGATAGTGCCATGCGAACATTATTGATGATAAAAAAGACATGCATTACAAGATAAAAAAAGGAAAACAGGATAGGCGAGTAGACGGGACCAAAGGTAACAAAGATTAGAAATATGATGTACCAAACGCCAGGAAGCCGCTGAAGAATGGCACTGAGAGGAATTGAACCCAAAGCAGAGGCAGCAGGAGGAACTAGCTGGGAGGTGAGAGGATCGGCACCGACCAACAGGGAAGACAGCGAGGAGGAAGAAGAGGAGGCGGATGTGGATGTTAATGGATGATTAAAGCCACTTGGATGGATAACGTTGTTGGCAGGAATATGTGAATTGAACGAGCCGAGAATCAAGTCAGGATGACTGCTCGCTGAAGCAAGATTATCATGAGCAAGTAAACGGGAATTGCGAATGGAAGCCGTATCACTCAGTATAGGACTCGAAAGTGAGCTAGGAGAAGAATGCGAGGTATCCATAGATTCACAGGGTAAGTGGGAAGTACCCAACGACGAGTTGAGCAACGACGACCGAGAATCAGATGAGGGGGTTGACCAATTCTCATGAATGTCAGGATCCATGGACGGAAAAGACGAAGCGGTGGTCGTTGGAGTGGATAACAATGACTCTGACATACAAGTCGTACCATCGTGTTCAAATGCAGCTAATGGCAACAAGGGAGGTTGAACTTCTGCCATTGATATTGTGGCTCGAGCAGTGTGTTGTATCAGGGTTTGTTCCTTTTTAGATTTTGTAGGGTACGGCAACATTCTAAGAATTATGTTGTGAATTGTCGAGTATCCAGCAATCCTTATTTGCAATGCTTAATTATTACTCAACGAAAGCGCTTTGGTTACAGCCCTAGCTATATTACAAAGCAATATCTATTAGATGAATAAAATCTATGCATCGTTTTGGTCTATTCAATGCACATGCATACCTGCTCTATTTGAAACTATAGATTGAACGAGATAAAGAGCCTGGGCTTTAACCACTGGCGATTAAATATTGCAAACGTTGGTCACCTGAACAACCGTTTGCCAATTACTTCAAGACTACTGTAGAGTGGTCTTTAATCAAATTATCCGAATGCGGATGATCGGCTAGTACTTTAGTTTCCCAAGATGGCTCAAGAGGAAAAGATTAACCAGTAGGTAGTTGCAGCAGAAATAAAAATGCGGCGTCACTATTAGATTGTTGGCCACCAACGCTGCTGTTGGAAATATCAATTCAAAAAATGTGGTGAGTAAAGTGAGATCGTTTTAATTCTAGCGCTAACCAATGTTAATTTTTAATACAAAGGGTGGTAAACCCTTGTTTTGCAGCACAGCTAATCAGCTCTGGAAACTTGCGAGTATTATAGCCGTATTCACGCAAAATAAAACAAGGGTGCCCGATATGCAATAACTGTCGGCCTCATGAAATAATTCGTGCCAGTTCCCACCAAATTTACTGGTCATCATTATGCCTTGTAAACTGTTTGGTTCACTGACCTTTTCCCCGTACCCATTTATGTTTAAATCAGCAAACATCTGTTTGTCAATCCCACCCTTGTTGAATCAACTCTATTCTAAAACATTGGGTGATTGGCATCTATAGTGGCATTTCCAAGATTATTCTCTTGAACTAGAGCGCGAATGTATCCAATGTTTTAGAAGTGGAGCTGTACTCATACAACAGCACAACTCAATATCTGGACTACAATGGATGAATTTGGTTTCAGATTGGGTCATTGTACAGCATATGGCTATGCCAAGTGGAGAAAGGAATAATTTTAATTTCAATTACAACTGTGCATCATATGATGGTCGTTGTTTGAAACAAGAATAAGGTCTATTGAAGAGGCAGTGCAGTCCACTTTTAGTAGGAAGGCGCAACGAATATTGTCTATTCTGAAGCAAGAGGCGGTCTTCAAGGACTACAGGTTTCATTTTACATGAATATGGCTGTAATAACGAATTGGCTGATACCAATTATTTCATTACACATCCATAACATTTCAACCAAACGGGCCCAGCCCCAATTCTGCTCAGCCATTGGCGTTCAGATTAACTACAAAATCGGACTCGACAGGTGGCAGTAAATGTTTGGATGAGAAATCCACTCGAGTCACAATACTCTCCCCTCATATATCCTTACACATTCGATATATTTAGCTGAACACCGCCATTCGTTTTAACCAATGGGGTCTTTACATACCTATAGGGGATGCTGTTTTAGCAAGGTGTATGCGGAACCTGCTGTACTTTTGTGAATGCTGTGGTGTGTAGTTGCAATTGGTATCAAATTCAAGTGGGCCACTTGTGAATATCTGCCGTGAAAGTCTTGGTACCGAGTGTTCAGCCTTTATTGCTTTTGTATGGGTGCTCTTGTAGATGCACCAATATATCCAGATGAAAGGTGTACTAATAAACGTGTTTGGGTATATCTGGTCTACAAAAATGAAGCGTAGAAACCTGGCGTCCTGAAGTACAAGTAGCTGTAATAGCAATATTAGAGAACCATAAACTAGATTCAGCTTTCAACATATGTTCAAGTCAGGTGCTTTTATATCTGGAATAATGTTTGAACAAGCGGAAGCATTGAGCGTGTCAATGTTGAGCAAGTTTATAGCATCTAATGCGCGGCTAAACTGACCATCAAGCTAAAATACCAAGGCTCGTTGGGTTCAAGAGTAACAAGTAACTTTGATATAGAATGGTTGGCTGCCTTTGCATTGTTTTAATCTAAATTCTGCTATCGAGTTTCTGAAAAGTCTTGATGTGCCAGTATTCAGAATATCAATTATGTTTTAAATCTGGCAAAACCAACAGATTCAGATAATCATGACAAAAGTAATTCAAGTCATGGGGATTCATGTTATTTAAGTGGTTCACTAAGTTGTATTCACGCAGAATGAACCACTTTTGTATCTTGCAATGACTTTTTTTTGAAATAAACTGGTTGAATGATTCATTATGCTTTCCTAGTAGAAATTGACATTTTTAACTCTCGAGTAAATACAACGTTTATCGTATGATGTATACTATAGTTTTAAATTAAAACTGTCCTCATTTAGCATAACCATACATTGTACACACTTGTTTTTTTGTATCTCATACGTTTTTGTCTAGCTCAAGGGATTATAGCTGTTGTTTCCATGTCAATCACTGAATGATTAGAGATTAAACAATAGAGATTAACTGAAATGGATGTGAATGCTGATTAGACACTCATTCAGTTATACAAGAATGAGCAAGACCAGTCGAGTAATGAGCTAGAATAATACTCGCTATGTGGTGTGAATTATCATTTCATGAAGCTAATTGGACTGATTTAGTGTTCCGTTTTGCGTGAATATGGCTGTAGATTACGCGACCCTTAAAAGAAAAGGGTTGAGCTGGATATGCATTGATATAGATCCTGACACCCTATTCGTGACCCATCCTCTGGCAAGTTCACAGTAAACCGCAAATCCATTCTTTCCCCTTTAGTTGTCTTGTGGCGAGCTTGTTATAGCTCCACTGAACTGACCGAAACCTTTTGCCTTGCGGCACCATCCGCCAATTCATACGTATGCCTTCTGCATTGACTTTCCAAAGACCAGCTGCAGTAGCTTTGTGGCCACCTATCACAAAGGCTGCTGTTTTTTCACAGTCCTCATTTAGTGCTCTACAATCGCAACACCTACGATTATCGTATTCTTATGCATTCACTCATACCCGTCCGAGCCTCACTAGATGGCTGACATCGTGGTTTATACCTCGTACACCCCACTATGCCGTCAAACCTACTGGCGTTTTACTTACTTCTCATCCTCGCCATCTTTCATTACCAAATTGGTTACATCGATCATGGTGGCTTGGTGATAAGCCAAAATACGATTGTCCACTACCAGCTGTAGACTATTACTCGTTGAGTGACCGTGCCTATCCTTTTACTCTTCGAACTGCAGCACAGGATTCTCTTGTCAGAGATAGAGCTACGGCAGCAAGACCAAATCTACCCACTCGGTCTGTTTCGAGTGCCACTTTTTTAAATTCAAACATGTCGCTTATTATCCCACTTGCACAGATTCAGCCGATTCCTACCCCACTTCCTAGACATCTCACCCCCATCATTAATAGCTCTAAACCTACTCCTAAAAAACCATCTCTACTTCCCTCTGGTGCGCAGCTTCGAAAGGATCTCAAGGTTGTGATTGTTATGGGTGGTCCAGGATCGGGTAAAGGTGTCCAATGTACTCATTTACTTGAAAATTTCAATGTTGTTCATGTATCCACGGGACAACTAATCAGAGAAGCGCTCGAGGCTGCCACTGCTGCTGCAAAACTCGATTCTCAGATTGCCACCGTTCCTGCTCCTTCCAAACTTAGTACTGCAAACACAAAACCCAATGTGGACACACCTACTTCATATCCTGTTTCTCCGACTCCGATGGATTCACCCACTACACATAGCGCGACGAAAAAGGCTGCGGAGGCACGTCGACAGGTTATTGAAAACTGCGTGGCTGCCGGGGTGTTGGTGCCAAACGAGATTGTTATGGAGCTGCTTTGTGGGTTTTTTATTAATCTAGACAAGAATGTCAAGGGTGTTTTGCTTGATGGATATCCTCGAACGCTCGAGCAGGCTGAAGACTATGTGGAAAAGGTATGTTTATCACTTGTATCAATCTAGATGAGGTTGATTACGTCAATTTAGTACTGACACGTCTGATTTACTAGATTGGAGTCCCACATACTGTTTTGGCGTTGCAATGTCCTGATGCTATTCTCACTAGTCGGCTGCTTCGTCGAAAACGTCTTGATGACGCATTGCCTGCTATTCGGCAGCGGTTACAGCACTATCGCGTGACTATGCCTGAACTCATTCGTTTCTATCTTGCAATTGGTGCACGAACATTTCGTATTCCAGCATACCTTCATCGTGAAGCTGTTTCAAAAGCTATTTTACCTCATATGCAAGGCATTTTTGAGCCTAAATGTGAACCAGGTAACAGAATCTCAGGAAATAATGGTAGTGCCTCTGTATCCAATGTTTCAAATACTGTCACTTCCAATCCTACGGCGTAATCCCTAAGCTGATCAGGCGGATTACCTCGACTTTTTGCATCCTCTTTATATTCGAATTCTGTTTATGATGATCAAGGAACTGGTGTGTTCTTGGTTATATTTTTGGTTGGTTTTAGAAGTTTATTTTTGGTCAAGTCGTTCTTTTTTGAATAATCATTTACTAGTCTTTTTTCATTTATATCATCTTTCGATTGGATTGAAGAGTTTGCTAGACATTTCTGTAATAGTTCTTGAATGTATTTTGTTTTATACACATGGCTGTCAGATCAGCGTGCGATCCTGATAAAAAGCTTGGACTAGTCAAATCTAATCCAGATCATACCAACGAATATTATTTGAAAATTATACACATTTGATAGTTTTAAGCCGTTGTTTAGGTCATACGACTTTGGTGAACCCATTGATTAGACCATCTGATGATTGAGTAGGATTTTAGCGGACTTCCAGCACATAGACAAACTGTCCCTGTTGAAGAACAGAGCACGATTTTGCGGATTACCGCTCACGGCCGCATTCACATGAAGTGGAATACTATGTTTTATCAACTTTGACATTTGTTTTGGAGTAATCCGTGGTTAAACACTTTTTGCGGTCTATTAAACATTGTTCGACACATTGATTCTTTAAAACAGTGTCCGTCATATGATACAGGTTTAAACTGTAGGGTCGAGTAGAAATGTGTGATTCCGGCATAATCATGCATTGTACAATCGCCCGACTCACGATTGCAATCCAGATACTGGATTCGACTGTAGAGCACCCTTTGTATTTGAATCTCATGTTGCTCGAGAGGATTTCAAGAATGTTTCTATGCCAATCACTCAATGTTTGTAAGAAGGGAGGGTTGGAGATTTAACAAGTGCCAAGGGTGTGGGACAGACAAGTAGAGATGAACATTCAGCTATACAAAAACGAACACCAGTTGATGGTTTAGAAGATAATAGTCAACTTGATGGGAATCGTCATGAGACTGTTTTACCCTTATATTTATGCTCCATAAATATGGCGGAAATCCAGAATCCGAAATGTCAATTTGAACTTTATTCAACTCAACCAAACGACATACAAATTGAATGGTAACTCACGGCTTATGCTAGTTGCTGTGCTGTTCATATGACTGCTTAGTCTCGAGTACAAGAAATATAACATTTACTTAAAAGCTTTATTCCTTGTACTCGAGTGTCATTGCTCGCCAGTTTATCTGCCAACTAACCATCCTTGCTATATTCGTAGGTTTCACCTATTTCTCCATCGGAAATGAATATGAAGATGGAGCAGCGTCGTATGATCACTAATCAAAGAGAACTTCAACAGAAGAATCAATTGAAACAGGAGCAGTTGAACCATTATCATCGTCATCAATTGTACCTGCAGCAACAAATGACACAAGAGTTGCATCACCTCGAGCATGACCAGCAAAAACCTATTCTACAAGCAATACAAGACTTGGGACCACCAAAACGTCCAAGACCGAGGTCAAGGTCATTTGCTGGCTTGAATACATTTGAGCCTGATTCTACAGTCAATGTCAACTTGATACCAGACAGTCTGGTCGTTGGCAATTCCACTAAAACCGCGGACGAGTTTCATGACTTTCAAAAGTATTACACTATTGATCAACGTGTTCCTCATAAGAGCAGTGCCAGTTCTCCTTTCTTGGGCAACACCTCAAGCACTGGCCCAAGAATATTTACAAAATCGTTTTTGAGTTCTGTGGTGGATTTTGCTATTCGACCATTGACAGGTGCCTCGACTCCCGAGTTTTCCAAGCTGCCCGATAGTGCGTTATTTCCCGATGATCAAGCAACCAGCAATAAACATGTATTGGCTGAGAATATCACCAAAGATCGACAAGATAACCTCGATGCACTACATGCTCACCGCAGCAATAGTGCCATGAACCACTTTTCCGATCCTCACACTGTCTTGGCTTCCAATGTTTCCCTTCAGAAACACCCATCCAACTCTTCTGTCTTGTTTTCACCCAGCGATACTAGTTCCATCCATTCTCAGAGTATTGTGTCAGATACCCATTTGGTTCCTTTGAATCAACAACTCGGACAAACCCTATTTGATTCTACCCCGCCGTCCAATCCGCCCCCCGCTCCTCCGTTGCCCACACCTGAAGTATTGGACAGCGTAAAACAGATTTTAACGGGTGTCATCAACGGGGAGCAATGTGAAATTCATCCTGGTACCGGGTTGCCTTTTGCCTCTGCTGAAAAGAACGACGAGTTTCACAAACTGTTTGCACTGTATATTCCTCAACATGAAAGGCTGATTTCTGGTATGTTTGCTGTATTGTACGGGTTTTATTTTTATTTCTTGAATTACCCGTACTCATGTCTTGTCAATTGTTTAGAATTCGTGTGTGCGTTGAACATGGGCGTGCTGGTTGATGGCAAGTTGTGGATTTCCGAACATCATCTGTGCTTTCGTGGCTGGACTTCCAAGGTAATTTTAATTGTCTGTATTTTTTTTAAAATTACTCACAGGCAACTTTTTGAATGTGCAGCCTATCGTGGTGTTGGATTTTTTCTCCGTCATTCATATTGAAAAGCGAAACTGGGCTGGCGTAGTTCCGAATGCCATTGAAGTGGAAACAGATTCAAACAAGTATTTTTTTGGTACAGTTTGGCCACCACGAAACCCCAAATACGATCTATTAGTCAGTGTTTGGAATGCTCACGTTGACGTAAGTAAACTAGCGTGATTATATGCTTACAGTTGAATACTAATTTTTGGATTTGATTGATATAGAGATCTTGCCTGTTGAGAAAAATTCCTGATATTAAAAACTTGACATGTGCATGCAGCGATTTGGATCTTGAAGATGGGGTTCAGTCTAGTCCATGTGATTTATGCATTAAACGAGACCAGCTGACAAGTAGAAGCAGGATTTCTCTCAATCCTATTTCTGTGCCTGCCTCAGGACTATCCAGTCCCACTCTGTCTCGTTCTTCTGGAAGTCGAAAGAGTACTCATCCTAAATGCGATAATGGCTTAGCGCTTGGATCTTCGGCATCACCCACCCATGCATTACCACTTACTCCACATATCAAACCCAGGATTTCACTGAGCGACGAGTCCCCTGCCCCGAATCCACCTCTTGCAAATTTGCTGCCTGCCAATCCCTCGCCTCCTAATACTCCTGCTCTGCCTTTGCTCGCACCGATTCGTTTGCCACATCCATCTGGGCCAGTGACGTGTTCTTGTGTTGCCAGATCAGAGCGCTCCTTTTCAAGCGAAGGATTCACTGTTGTTCTTGATACAGTTATTCCACTCTGTTTAGAGTCTGTATGGATCAATTGGTTTGGTTTGCCTTCAAAGCGCAGCCTATATTCACGCTATTTACCTGAAAACCGTAAATTTCGTGACTTGCAGTTTGGCCCGTGGGTATCGGGTAACATCAAAGAATCGGTTCTTTCTCCCATTGACGATATTACTGATTTTAAGCACTACAATCCTCCCATGTCGACAATCTCTTCAGGTTATCATCGTTGTACACAATACACTGTACCGCTTTCTGCTCCGGTCGGTCCAAAGCAAACACGATCCATCAATACTCAAAGCATCTTGGCACATAAACCGGGGCATTACATTTGTGAAGAATTACATAATCATAGTCCCGACGTTTCTACTACATTTTACAGCATTGGTCGCACATGCTTTACCTTTGTCTCGCCCAATGAAACCCGGGTTGTAGTCCACTGGAAAGTAGTGTTTACCAAATCCTACTTGACCAGAGCACTGATTGAGCGTATTACTGTAGACCAGATGAAATCGTTTTTTGGAGATTTTGCTGTATTCATTAAAAACAACCTGGAAGATGCCGATAAAGTCTATCGGGAAAATAACGAGGGATTGTACGATGATGAGGACATGTCGCCTACTCCTTTAAATATATCTACAAGTGAGTCTCTTCAACCTTCAGACTTGACGAATACAAACGCACCGCAACCCGAGATCTCTTCGATGCGATACCGCGAGAAACGCCAAGTTTCGTCTAATACTCCTCTACTTTCTGATACTGCAGAAAAACCTTATTATGGGGTGCTGGCACCCAAAAACATAAACCATATCGATTCAAAACATAGTTCACTTGCAAGCACTGACCAGAGCACCTTGGTTACACTCATTGGCGTGCTGATTGTATTGAATGCATTGATGTTGGCCTACTTGATGTATATGCTGAACTACACAGATCAGCAGTTGAAGCAATTTCAAATTCATTTAGCATCTCAAAGCACTCCTGGACTCTAAACCCCGTACTGGGTTGAATCATCATATGCCATGCTTCTGCTTTCTGACTGGCTTTCATTTTCCATCATTCCTTTTCATTCGAGGCTTTTGACTTGTATTTTATTGCTTCATCTGTTTCTTTCACTTTTGATTTACCGTTTGTCATTGTTGTTGATTTAAACCTACACTTTAATTGTATTTTTGTAGTGTAGTCATTTAATGGGTTTAGTGATATTTGGGTATATTTTATTCGATCATGAACCACTGTTCCATTTGTTATAGTCGGGTACGAACCCAATACAGAATAAACGTATATCATTTTAAATCGATAGTTTCAATGTATTTATTTGTTCGAGTGATCCAGTGGAATGTAGTTTTTGAATGTGTATGCAGGCATGGATTTGGATCAAGCATTTAAATTCCAAAATTGTGTAAACTTCGCCAAACACTCTCCAAACGATCTTTTTTAGCTTCCACATCTGCTCTTCTTTCCGCCACGCCCCAATCCTCCCTCAATAACACCTCAATGCCTTCAGCATCTCCATCCAAAACTCCCAATTGACTAACCAACTCCTTTTCAAGCATATCCCCAAATCGAGCTAGGAAATGATGTTCAATCGTCATAGGAATCGTGTCGCACACTCTTCCAATTGCAATCTCCATGTACGCAAGAGTAGATGCCATCAAATCCAAAATCGAAATATCAGTAGAATGATACGATTTCAGCTTTCCAGCAATCGAAAGATGAAAAAACCCATCCTGAGCAAATATAGACGAAGCACGAAATGTATCCTCGATCGATGACGTCGATGGTGTAATAGGTGTAGATGCAGTTGAATCCACTGACCCATTCAAAATTTTAATATACCGTGCTTTACGATCAACAAATACTCTCGACGATAACGTAAATGGATGTCGCATCTCCATTTCAATTACGTGATGAATTTGTTCCATGGACACTCTTTGCAGCTCGTTCAAAAACATTTGCGTAAAAAGTCTACACCATTTCAATGTAAGCAATAGGTTCAACTACTTGGCGTTTAGATTACAATAGGGATAGCATACCTTAATTGTGCTTGAAGGTTTGCAAACCGACCAAACACTTGCTCAGTCAAATCGAGTAGTAATTGAGCAAGTTCATTTGCCACATTGGTAAGACATTCGATAGCGTACCGTTTCCATTCTTCCTGACATGCAGCAATTAAAAACGTGAATGCTCCATAGGGTGAATAGCCTTGTAGCTCGCGACCTTTTTGTGCATCCACCACCCGTTGTAGATCTGCCAGTGTAAGTGCACGTCGCATATTGAGTTTACAAGCCTCTGCAACTGAGGTGTTCCATGATGTTGGAGTCGAGTTGAGGCTGGGTGGGTGAAACTGTGTATAGGGGTTTGATCCAGAATCGTTTGCTTTAGCCGTACTAGCTTTGATGGAATCACTCGACACTGTGTGGTTTGAATTGGATACAAACATACTTGGAATCACCATTGAAAAAGATGATGCAAGTGAAAAGGATGCTCCAGGCGTTGGTTTTTTTGAAGACGAGGTGTCTTGTTTTGAAATATTAGAAACATTCAAGGGTGGATCATTTACATCTGGTTTGAATGAATCGGTAAAGTTTCCAGGTGCAACAGTGGCAGAGTATCCTTTTTTTTCCAAATCGAATCTTGGTCTAGTATCTACGATTTGATCGCGCAATCCTTCAAAACATTTTCTAACTTTTTGATAAAATAGCTTAAAATCGTGCTGAGCATTAATGTTGAATGTCACCAATGTGCAATAGTGTCGAATCATTTGAAACAGCTCAATACGAGCATTTTCACCTAGAGCAGGAGGAATACTTCCCAACTCAGCGATTGCATCCTCGATAGCAGTTTCAGTTAAAGATTTGATCTGTGGAAGACTCATATCGACCAAGTTGATGAGAAGACGACTCAGTTCGAATCTAAGGGCAGGAGCACCAAATCTGGCAGATTTGCGACGTAGAGTAGACCATGGTTGCGATTGAGCAAAGAATGCATTTTCCAGCTTTTGTGCATCCTGCAACGTATTTCCAGCAGCGAGTTCAGCCTTGCTTAAACAACGAACCATAAAATAACCGAGTTTAAGAGGATACAAGTTACCCATCAGTATATCAGCCCACCTTGCAGCCGTCCCGGATTCAATTGTATCTGGTTTTGTCAATACGCCAATGGTTCTTATACCTGTTGGATCTACCTCTCTTGCCAAATGCACGATTGCTTGATTTTCCATTTCATCCTTGCATGTAATTGTCGCCACAATGATTGTTCTTTCTTTTTGAATGTACGATTTCACAAGATCCTCAATCATTGGAATAAACATTGCATCGTCGGGATGCTCCACATTACGGATAATACCAGGAAGATCTACCAAGGCGAGATTAATGCCTGCACCCTGTATATCCAAACATACGATATTTTTTGTAAACTTGAGCTGATTGAATTTAGTATCCGAGTTTGATTGATCGTTGTCAGTAAAGATGTGAGTGAGAAAAACAGATGGATCGAGTGTGGGATTCAACAAAGCTTTTTGGGCTCGACGAACAGCCAAAGCAACCAGAGATTTTTCAACAAGAGGTGGACCGAATAGAACTTCCCTGATGGATCTAAGTGGAATACCAGCCTCATCGTATTCAAAACGGAGAGTGATGGTGCATGACCAAGTAGAAGATTCTTTTTCATGACCATCAATATGGAATGCACTAGGAACAGAACCACTGCTGACTGTATCGAGAGCATCAATGTATACACCTTGAGTGATTGTACTTTCAGTGCTGTTACGATCGCCTGCAACGGATTTTTTACGAACCGAATCCACTGGACCAACATCAGAATACTCTGACAGTCGAACTTCGGTAACACACCGAGTGCATGTACCAGCAGCCTTTGGCAAAGTGATGCCACAAATCGCTTCAACCAAACTGGACTTTCCTACACTTTGATTACCACAAACAACGAGTGTGGGTAGAGAGAGCTCAATATGTGCTCCAGCATCCCGCAAGTCATTAATGAGATGAACGAGTTTACATGAACGACGACTATATACAGTTTTTTCCAAAGCACTCGCATCTGTAACCCATGACATTTTATTATTATTGATAGTATCAGTAGAAGGAATGGATGGCAAGTTGCCAAGTGTATGTTTGAGTGGCTGTAGATGGACTGCAGTTGAATGAAAAGGTGTGATGGAGTGAGGCGGAAAAAGACTAGTTTTAAAAGACTTGTCCGCAGTGTTGATGGACGTTTGAGAAGAATGCCCGTTTGTAACTATGCTAGGCTTGATGAATGCTGTCTTTGTATCTATCTGTTGATGTTGGTTTATCTTCGCGACTCGTGGATGCAAGTCACTGCAATTAGAACTGTCATATAAGAGCAACGATGACTGATGGGTATCAGTAAAACTATGCATTGCTTCTATTCGAGGATTAGATGGTCTAATTGAACCGCAACTACTCTTTAGACAGAGTGTCAAATCGGGAGGTGGATCTCGCAGCATCTAGTGTTGGTCCGACAAAGTGTTCAATGTTTAAACTTTTAAAGGATTACATCACTTTATTATTCATCAACCTTATCAGATGACTACAAGTGCAGCTAGTCCAGCAACGACAGATCCAATGAGTCCACCAACTACCTTCATTGCTCCATTGGTTGATGATCCCGTGGCAGCAGTAGGCGCTTTACCATTTGCGTTTGTGGATGCAGGTGCATTAGCAGATGCAGTCGCGGCAGAGCTAGCACTAGATGCAATTGGAGTAGGAACACCTGGAATTGGCACAGGTCCTGTAGGCATGTTAGGTGGAGTCAAAACCGCATCCACGATGTGCATTACTCCATTGGCTGAAAACACATCAGCAAGAATAAGTTTGGCCTGATTGAACGTGGCAGATTCGCCACCAACTACAAGAGAAACAGTGTTTCCGCTCAATGCAGTGGAGATCTGACCTGCATTGAGTAGAGTGGATACCATACTAGTGGGTAAAATATGATACATGAGGGTGGCTTTGAGTTGGTCCAGAGTCAAGGCAGAGATCTTGGCAGATGCAGCAGTCCATGCAGCATCGTTGGGTGCCAGACTAATCAATATGGGTTCAGATTAGCGCTTCAAAATTAATTGGATGTTTTGCAACATTGCAACTTGATACATTTGATTTCAAACGGAATTTGATTCGTTTGAAAATTAGTCGAGCACCCTTGGAAAAGGTGATTGCCACAGCCTACTAAAATAACAGTGAATGTATATTACTTACATGGTATAGGTCGGCAGACTATCAACGTAGGCAGCAAGACCAGCATCTTGCAGTGCCTTTGCAAACAAATTACAGTTTTGGAAGGGCATGGTCTTTGTTGGGGGTAAGGGTTGAGGAATGGGTGCATTCATCACATATACCCAGCCATTGTCTGCTTGCAGTTGTCCAGGGGCAAGAGTCTCGCCAACACCAAACCGAATATGAATTTCAGGATTGGCATCACCAGGGGTATAGTTGTCTAACGTAATTCAGCATGGATACTTGTCAGAATAGGCTTCTAAATGCAATCATGAAATCATTACATACCAAAAATGAACTGAAATTTGCCACTGGCATCGTCAACAACTTGATAGTTGGGACGCACACGATGATCAATCGTTCTTGTAGTGAATGAAATACCAGTCCAGCCAGCAGGAAGAGTGGCAGCAGATAGAGCAGCATCTGATGGCACAAACAAAGTACCATTAGGAACAGTAGCCCAGGTAGGATTGCTAGAAATCAGAGCAGCCACTTTTTGTAATTGTGGATTGCTCTTGATCACATCAGCAAGATTGGCAGCATATGCCATAGGCGCCATAATAGCTAAACATAGAGCAGCCTTCATTGAATGCATAACAATTGATATATGATGGAAAGAATAATTGCAATCAACAGTTAAATAAGTACTCCACGTGTTGGTCAAGCAGCAACTGCGTATCCATGCCAAGCTGGATTATGAATGCCAACCACTCCACGCTTGTTATTCAAGGTGATTGATAATAACTGATTTGGATTGAAAATACTGACAACTACGATGGTTCTAACTGAACTTGACAATCATGTTTGATTATCATTTTATAAATAGCTGGTAAACCTCAAGACTGACCACGTTGTCATTCAATTATTGCTTCTTGTCAAGTCTTGCTCAACTCGCATGCCTAAACTCACTGTTCATACTTTTGGCACAGCTCCTGTAGATATTTATTATGAAACATATGGCAGCGGACTACATCATGTTTTATTTGTCAATGGTCAGCCAGCTTTAATAAATGACATTCTGAATGATCATCGTATTGGGCTGCTGTGCTTGGAATAGCACTTGAGCATCGGATAAAGCTGTTTATGCATTCAATATTATACTGGTTCTAATAGTCATTTATATACAACAGGAATGAGTAGTATCGCACATTTATGGGATTTGCAGGTAGCCATTTGTTGTTTAACCATATCCATTCATGTCCATTCATGTCGGTAGTCTCATTAATAATATCCAAAAGGCCTTGCAATTGGTTTGGAGTATAAATTACAAGTGAAACAAGTTTGAACTTGATTACAGGATGGAATTATCTAGAGATGCGTCGTTCACTGGCTGGCAATTACCACACATTATTCTTGCAGTTTTACAGCAACTATAGTGACTTTTATGATTGTCAGCTTGAGTGAAATATAATCAGCAACAATGGAAAATGTGTAATATTACAACTGTAATGTCTGGACAACTGACTGTCTGAATAACAGTAACTATTTCCAGTGATGCTGATTTGTAAAAACTCGAATTATTCAACACTCTATCAATGCATTTGCAAGAGTCATTGGACGTATCCGTTGTTTGAAAGTTGATTCGCATACATTCAGAAGTGGAAGTTATGAAGCTTATTTCCATGCAGACACGATCAATGTATTACTTTTTGTTGGATAGGCTGTATCATCTGTCATCAATTCAGACACACTTGTCAGTCCTGTTCCGTATACAATGAGTCACATATGGACACATATGCAACAATCAAGAATCAATTGTCATTTACAAGTCTGAATTGCCAACCAACAATCGTACTAATGGACCAACGGACCAATGCCAAAACACCTGCACATCAGACAGTTTATTGGACATGACTTGATTGTTCTTGAAAACTGTTTGAAAACTGATTGAAAACTGCTTGATGACTCGAGTAATCCAATCACACATTGCTGGCAATTAAATGGAACTATACAATGTGTCATGTATACATTGGATACCATCAGTTTATCAGTGACTATCTGGTGTTTGTTTATGCATGATTACTTGGACTACTATTTGCAATCAATGCAATCACTGGTGTCAATGACCGATAACAATGAAACCAAACGATTGCCCACATCAGATTATACAGGTTCATTCTGGAATGCAACTTTGCATCGATATCGTAAATATCAACCAGAATCCGAGCCAAACAAGTCAAGCGAGTGTTGCAAGGTTGCATTCATTTGAAAATACTCGATATCAGGCTAAAGTTGCATGTGAAATGGTCATTTGTACAAGGTTAAACAACATCGACATTTACAATCAATGTGATGTTGGAACAGAGCTGCTATTTCCGAATTTAAAAGTCCAAATTGTACACATTGTTATCAAGTCTAATCTACACCCTTCATGTCATACCATGTCATGCTTGATAGTTTCATACACTGCTGCAAGAGTTGTATTGTGTGTATTTCGAGTATTTCCATCACTCCATCACACTGTATTGGCTCAAACAACTCGAACAGATTGTCATAATCTGACATGATTCCAAAATAATTGCAATCGGTTATATTTGACATGATCGGATCATTGTAAACCATTTGATTTCAGTAATTCAAGATTAAACAAGCCAATATTACTTTTTCCAAATTTGAATCAGCATGTTGTTGTAATATCGTCAATATTGTGAGCAACTCTGAGAAGACACTTGGACATTCAGTATCAAGTGATATTGGATACTTTCAAATATGTATCCAGTGATAAATAAGCGGTGATGTGTTTGAAATCAATTTACCATTACAAACCATTGTGTATTTGCCAATACACTTGATGGTATCAATGACCACTAATGGATTCAACTTGCATTCCGAATGAGCCATCATGTGGTAACCCAATTGTTTAGTATTTGTTGTTATTTGATAATGTCACATTTGAGGATCGTGGACATATGATGGCATATCGATGGCTGTCATTATTGGCAAGTGTGTTGCAGTTGATCAAGGATGTGAAGGAATGAATCAATATTCGATTACGTCATTTATTAACAAGAAAGTGAGTGTGTTTATAAAATGGAAGAAACCAAGAAAGTCATGTGAATTCCAGTTCAAACGTCATTGTTGATGGTTTTTGATTGTTAAACTATTCAGAAATGTCTCACATTCACACACTACTAATGTCTCACACAATGCAAGTCAACACTCTCACACTAGTAATGTCTCACATTAATGAGACATTAATTCTGGTGTAAATTTGACTAATTTCCAAATATTTAAATCGTGTGAATTGTCTTGAAATATCCCAAAATTTTGTTATTTTGACTCGATTAAAAAGTCGATTTTTGTTTTACAATTTGACAAATAAATTGCTTTTTTACTCTTTTTCTTTTCATAAAATGCCAAAACGATTCCTCAATGTTGAATATGGCACTATTTCTACTGAAATTGACATTACTGGAATCAGTAGACTTGGTGGAGTTCAGGATGTTATCAAGGCAAAGTATGGAGAAATTATTCCTACTCCAGCTGTTCTTATTCAGCTCTACGACCAACAAGGCCAGCTTATCGCAGACTTAGATGACATAGCAATTGAAAAAACTCCACAATACTACAAGAAACTGGCTAAAGGTGGCTCCTGTGTTGTTATTGGTTGTTTACCATCACCTTCAAGACAGCCTACTCAAACTGACCTAGGTTCAGCATCTGCAGCAGCCTCATCCGCACTACTGGATTTTTGGACTGCTTTCACAAACTACCCTAACCCTCTTGAAGGAAACACTGTTGTCCAACTTCCAGCAGACGTATTCATCCTTGGAAAAGATTCAATTGGATCATCCATTTACATCCGTCCTTGTTATCCTAAACTTCTTGAAAAATCACTATCTATTGTGCAATCTGCTGATATATGTCGTTTGATCATCCTTGGAAATCCTGGAATTGGCAAGACATATTTTGGTTACTTTCTGCTGTTGCATCTTGCTTGCTCTGGTGCTACAGTGATATATGAAAGTTCTTTTCAAAAAGAATGTCTATACTTGTTTACTCCTAATGGGGTATTCAAAGGAGATCGTAGATCTTTCCATAATCAGTTGATGTCCTTGTCAACATTCTACATTGTTGATGGCATGGCTCCAACTGTTGTTAATGCCAAGACCATTCTTCTTTCTTCACCTCGTCGGAAAATTTGGTACCAGTTTTGCAAGAATTCCTGCGACATTCGGTATATGCCAGTGTGGTCAAAAGAAGAATTGCATTCTTGTCGCTCAATGCTGTTTCCTACAGTTCCACAAGAATTGGTTGAAAGTCTGTATTTGAAGTGGGGAGGAATTGCTCGTTATGTTCTTAAATATGCATTTGATATGGAACAACAGGATTTTCTCGACAAAGCCTTAAATATTTCCAATATCGATTCAGCTGTCAAGTCTTTTGGTAAATATGGTGAAAACCTAGACGCTTCAAGTTGTTTGATTCATATATCAGTCAAGGATGACTTCCACAGTGGTCCTTATCAGTTCGCTTCTGACTATGTGGCTGATAAAATTTACAACCGTGTCTATGCCAGAGACCGAGATCATCTTATCAGATTCGTTTCTGTTACTCGAGAAATTGGTGAAACTGGCCAACTTAATAGGGTATTATTTGAAAAGTACGCTCATACAATCATCGCTAAAGGTGGTTCATTCAAGATTCGTGATTTACGTACCAAGCTGGAGTCTACACTTCAACTGCCGATGGATCTTACTACTTTGTTATTCTCCAACAACTCTCAAGTTCAAGACGCAACGAATTGCTATTTCCGTCCCATTAGCAATATTTTTGAATCTGTTGATTCGTTCATCAAGCCAAATCTACTTTTCCAAATGACATGTGCCAAAAATCATCCTTGCAGACAGGCTGGGCTTCGTAATGTTTTGGAAATACTTGGTAATCCGTCAAAACCAGAACTGTATTTTGTTGTACCTCCTGATCGTTTTGCCTGTTTTACACGCCAAAGCCACCACGGAACAGATGGTCAAGTGTTGTCACAAAACGATACTATTGCGAGTGTTGAGAAGTTGACTCGATTTGTTTTGACGTTTGAACCATCTCATCAATAAGGTATGTAGACTAGAATTAATGATTTTTATTGGCCGCATAACGCTAATCCTAACTCTGTTTCTCGACCTCGTTCTACACAATACACGGCGTTTGATTTCTTAAAGGTGAATAATATCGTATGGGTTCCATTGGACAACAAACCTCACTTTGTGGAAATGACCACTTTCATTGTCAGGAACTTCCCAATCGTGTAATTTAATCGCTTTGGTTTTGAAACCTATAGTTTCTTGTAAATAATTGCATATCCCAAGACTGTTTTCCACCATACAGTTTTGAAACTAATATTTTGATTCAAGAACAAACTGCGTTTTCCTTTTTCTTTTGCAAATAAAAGTTGTTTTGTTGCTTACAATTATGGTCAATCAATTGACTGTCAAACTGTACAGCAGTTTTGCTGACATTGGATTTGTCCGATCGATAGTCTTGGGTTTCAAACTTGAACCAAACTCCCAGCTGATAAAACACTGCAGGGATTCTTACAAGCACGAAAGCAGCTGTTTCAAGAGATGTTGGTATGATACAAGGAGTACCAGAAAGTATACTCTTACAAAGAATTGTTTGCAGCTGGATTGAATCAAATAGCCATACGTGATAAACAGCGGGTTGATTGTGGCTTTATTCCCAATCAATGGTATTGACAAAACCAACCGGGGATGAGCCAGGATCAAGAGTTGGAGGCTAGACACAATTATGAATGGAATATGCTAGAGTATCAAAAAGATGATCAAAGAAAGCGTGAAATTCAACAGATCAGCAATGATGTCCAAATGCATAGTGTAATCAAGCAGATTTGAATCCATTTTGGCATTGCAAGACACAATATCACATTTGGAAGAGTTGATTGGAAATATAAAGACTCGTACTCGATAAACACGGACTTGTCAATGGTTTGATTTATACTCTATCATGTTGCTCATGGACATATAACGACATATTTTAGTTGTATATTGTTTAGAGAAATCTCAGAGGTAACAGATAAGCGTGAAAAAATGAACCAATGAGTGAATTTGAGTTGTTTATTCAGAAAAGAAGAACCTTGTGTCTTTTATAGACAGAGGAAGTAGTGAAGGAAGATAGTGGAGGTACAAGGACCATACCATAAGCTTCGCC